ACTTTCATGTGATTCAAGGTTTTAACTTGTGACTAGCTGAAACTATAAACATGGCCACTGTATGCTTTTTTATATTCCTTGTCATGTGCACTTCATTGGATACAACTTCAAAAAGACTAATCAGCCTCGGATCAATGGAGTTTAAGGATGCAAAAGTGAAACAATGATGAAAGTATATGCATTAAAACAACATATTGTTTTACATCCAATAAATGCTTCACCTTACTGATATTGATTAATACTTTCTATTTTTCCTTATAAACACTGTTAAAACCATTATGTTGCTCTAGTTGATATAATGATCATCTAGTTGACTTCATTACAGTTATTAGTATTAGTGGTACTCGTTACATCGTTGGGTGAGTCAGAAATATTTTTGTAACAAAGGTTAAGCAAAAAGTTCTATCCTCACTACCTTTACTCATCGAAGCATTATTCCCCAATGAAGCAATTATTTGGTGTTACACTTATGCTTTGCATTCGTTTGACTTCACTTCTTAAAAGAGAACTTCGTCTTCACTCTTTCAAACTAAAATAAACCTGTGAACTCACTGCGCCAATCAGTGTTCGTCGGCCAAATTTGACCGACGTTCTATATATGGTCATTCCTTCTGACGTCATCGTTGAGCCCGGAATTGACCAATGACATGCGCATAAGTTAATTAGAACGCATTTGGCGTCTGTTTCCTCAAGCTCGCTGATTGGTGGAAGAAAGGTCAGCGCGTAGGTCAGAAGTGATTTACTACCCAAACTGTCACCGGTACCCGTCGTGGGGGCGGGGCTACTAAACTGTAATATGGTCTCTACTAGGCAGAGTGTAGTTTAACTAGACTCTGCACGCAGGGTATGCTTTGTTATGTGTGCGAATTACTTATCTGCCCTGACCACTACAAACGACTATAGAGTTGCCAACTTAGAAGCAAGATGTGATGTCTTCATCTGATTATCTATTGTTAGGGAGACATTGAGAAGATAATAGAGAATAAAAATTAGATCAAAAATATTTTGTGTGCATGTGTTATACTCGTAAGTGCAGGAGTGAGATCAATTACTGATTGGAGCAATAATACGAATTGACCAGAGATTTACTGCAAAGCTAGCTTTATTTATAACAAACAAAATGGTCTCACCTTCATGCTCTCTTTGTGGATTTGAGAGATCTTCACTGCCTTGCCACAAAATTTTCCCTGAATCAGCATCTCTCAAGTTCATCCAATTACTGAGACGAGTTAAGGATACATATGCAGAAATTAGGATGATACAAAAATTACATTTTAAGTGATTTTATACAAGGACTATACAGATTGACTAGTCTAAGCTATTGATTTAAACACAAGATACCCTCGTCTTCATGAGTAAATGGAATATAACTGCAGGGGCATAGCCAGGTATAGCAGTGCTAGTACGCGAGGCCATGGGTAGGCCGAGCAAAACTAGGGGAGTCTGGGGGCATACTCTCCCAGAAATATTAGGATTTTGACACATTCTGAGCATTTCTAGGGTCAAAATATATAATTTTTTTTATTTTTGGTGCATTCTGATAGATTCTAGGATCAAAATTTGATTTATTTCAATTTACACTTTTTGTCTACTCTCTCAATAGTACACGGCTGCATTTTCTATGTACAGGGTGTTCAAAAAAAAAACGCAACCCAAAGAAATCGCTATATCTTGGAAAATATTTATCCAATTGTGTTCATATTTTCAGGAAAGAAAGAAGAGACTATGTATGTACAGCTCCTGTTGTTAGTTAGTTGTAAAACATGATGTCTTGTACACCTGCCCAAAAGGCAGTCGAACATGGAAAATACGAAAAACGTGATTTGAAAATCACTATATATTGGAAAATACCTATTCAATTATGTTCATTTTTTCAGGAAAAGAAAGAAGATATTGTGTATGTATAGCTCCTGTTGTTAGTAAGTTGTAAAACATGATGCATTGGACACCTACCCAAAAGACAGTTGTTCTAGGAAAATACGAAAAACACAGTCAGAGGTGACGCCACAGCAATAAAACCTAACAACTTTCTAACCATAGTGTTTTTGCACGTAAGATTTGGCACAAATTATCCTCATTCAATGTGTGGTGAATTTGTGGAGTTTCATCAAAATCACTTCAGGGACTTTACAGTCATGGTCAAAATGCCTTCCGAAGTCTGCCGGAACCAGGGCGTTTGACTGAGATTTGAAAGCATTTCAACCATAACTGTAAAGTCCCTGAAGTGACTTTAATTTCACTTTACAGATTTACCATACAGTGAATGAAGATGATTTGTGCCAAATTTGAACAGCCAAAACACTATGGCTAGGAAGTTATTTAGTTTTTTTGAGGTTGCAGTCAGCCCTGACTCGGTTTTTCGTATTTTCCTAGTACAATTGTCTTTTGAGCAGGTGTCCAATGCATCATGTTTTACAACTAACCAACTACAGGAGCTATACATACACCAACTGTGGAATCGATTTGGATTCACTAGAACCTCCTTAGCAAGGGCCAAGGAGGTTCATTTTTTGAAAAATTCCAGGGGGGTTATTTTTGACAAGTTTGGTCCAAATATGGACAAAATCACTTGAAAAATGGTCAGATTGATGAAAACTGTATGATTTTTGAGAGAATCTCCAGCCGTGGGGGTGGGGGAATTAGAAAAATTGTCTGAAACAAAAATTGTGGTCATAAAAAGGAAAAAAGATAGCTTTTCAAATCAGTTTTTTTCATTTTTACTCTATTTCTAGAAATGAATTCAAATTTTCAAAGTTTCAATTATTTAAAATGTGTTGGGCAGAATTTCTGAAAAATTCAAAATATTCTGTTCAGTGAACTTTTCGAAACGCTAAAATCTAACTTTTTTTAGTCACATTTTCAGAGGGCTGAAAAAGCTATTTCACCATCGTAAGGTTCATTTTGACCATGACCATTGTGATCCTGGCCATGGAGTAGTATAACTTAAGTCTCTTAAGAAGTAATTTCATCTGGAACACCGTGAACCATTTGAAAAAAGCTGGCTGTTGTTTTATAAATTTATTAAATATTTTTAAAATCGCCAGATAAATAAATCATGAATTAAAATAGAACTGGCTGGGCTCCTTGATGAGATATTGCATGATTTCGTCTAAAATTAAAATAAACTGCTCTAAGAAAAATAGCTATATTCGAAAACTGGACGAAATGTTGTTATTGTCTGACATTAGTAACTGGCTGTAAATTCTAAGTTAGCGATCCTGAAGATGTGAACTGAAACTTCCTAAAATTGATAATTTTGTGCAGAAAATTTCCTGTTTTTTTCCCACAGGAGGGACATGATGATCAATGGACTGAATTCTCAAGAAATTCTCAAGATATTCAGTCTATAGGATATAGACGATAAGTTACCCCTAATTGAAACGAAATGGCGTAGACGTTACATGTCTTCCCTAGTATGTATCTAACAGAGGATATAGTCTATCCATTCACCCAAATTACAAAGTGGAATATATACACAAATAAGCACCAAATTGAGTCGTAAATCAGCCCCAAAGATCTGACTTATAGCATTTCCAATGACTTCTGCTGCCTCGGTAGCCTAGAATTTACCTTCTTCTACTTGTGGCCTTTGTCCAAAGATAAACTCCTGTATGTATTACAGGTCATGCCATAATCATAAAATTTGAAATCAAATGCCCGCCATTTTTCCACATCACAATTTGAATTGCGAGTTTTGGTCTTATTACCTCACCAAAAATTCCAAAACACACATGAAGTGATCAATGTATTAAAATATTTTTCAGATGCTGTCCGACGATCGAAAAATCTGTCTGTTTTCTCATTCGAACGTATTTTTTCGCCCATACATAATAAATTTGGCCCATGACTTATCTACACCTCCTTCCTTATGTCAGAGAGCTGAGTAGAATCATGTCCAATTACATTTTCTTCTGATTAATCCTCTAAATCTCAAAATGGTGGATGATTCTAAAATATCTCATGACATGACAAGTCATTTTAGTAGACCAAATGATTTGATTGAGGGATTTGAACTTTTTCTAAAAATTGATTTTTTGACTGTCAGACAGAAACTGAAAAATATTATTGTTCACATCTTCTTGATCGCTAACTTAGAATTTACAGTCAGCTACTAATGTCAGACATTAACGACATTTAGACCAGTTTTCGCATATCGCCATTTTTCTTGGAGCCATTTGCTTTAATTTTAGACGAAATCCTGACGAAATTAATTAATGATTTATTTATCTGGCGATTTTTAGAATATTCAATAAATTTATGACACGCCAGCCAGCTTTTTTCAAATGGAGTTTACGGGATTCCAGATGAAATTACCTCTAGCCAAGAATTGGTTAGAGACTCGAGTAACCTAGAATAAGCTCATACCGGCGAAGTGTAAGCTTACCTAAACATCAAAACCTTCAATTCTGGAACAGATGATAACCAGTCTCAGTGATCAAATAGCATGTTGAAGTTAATCAAACTATATCGAATAGTTGATACTTTCTCTGTGTGTAACCAGGTAATATACATCTCAATGTCTTATTTTTATGCAATCAAACCACCAAAAATAAAACTGAGTCTAAAAATTTTAGAGAAAAAGGATACAGTTGGAATCCCTTGAGAATATCGTCAGCTTTCGATGGCATATCGTGTCCTATATTCTTTGAATCTTACGGATTGCTGTCGCTTTATGCATTAACAAATCCCATGAATTAGAAGGGTGAATTCCCTTGAAATACTTGCAGCTTCAAATCCGATCTCCAATGTCAACAATCCAAGATGTCTTCCATGTAGTTCGGTGCGTATGGATTTTTATGTTCCGGGTGTCTGATGTCAAGAGAATTTTTTTAAGGCGTTTGGTTTAAAATTTAAGTATTAATTTGAGATCTTCGCATCGATAACTATTGCAAAATATCAGTATATTATCTGGATTATCATTCTTCTTCTGGATTATGTTCTGAAGTGTTGCACTTTAGTGCATTTAGTGAGTAGGCTACGGGCTGAACTTTTCAAAATCACGGTAACCGGAAGTAAAATTCCAAGATGTCAGCCCCCTTAGATGAAAATTTTGTATCTATTTAATTTCAATTCTTTCATTGAAATAAGCCCGAGAATGCAAAGATCACTCGGATATGAAATATCCAACTTCTTCTACATAATATAAATATTAATTTCATGTTAGGTAAGCTTACATTTTCTCTCATAATAGAAAAATTTAGATATTTTCAATTTTTATTTTTTTACAGATGTAATTTGAAGAATTTCAGCCATGTTAATCTTATTGAAAATAACATGGCAGAGAAACATCCAAATATAAGAGGCCACACACTTTATAAGCCAAACTAGAAGCAATCCAAGATATACAAATGTCATTCATGTACATTATGAATATACTTTTCCATATTTTATTGCACAATGGTCTCCCAATTTCTTATTTTTGCCGTTCTACTGACGAAATGAAGCAGTGAAATGGACTCTAATGTTGTGTCAAATAGCAAGATAGCTCTTTTCGCTGACGACATTAAAGTATACAGAGAAGTTAGGAACAAAAATGACACGGATGAACTCCAAAATGACCTCAATACAATACAAGCATGGGCTTCCAAATGGAAACTACAATTTAACCCAAATAAATGTACTGTTCTGAGAGTGGGAAATATGAAACCAGAACCTACCTATAATATGACTGATTACTCCCGTCGAGAGCTACTTAGATTTTGAAAGTATACTTTCAAAATCTAACATGGTAGCTCTCGACGTGAATAAATGACTGATACACGAAGTGGAAAAAATGTAATACTAAAAAACAGCAGTGTGGAAAAGATTTAGGTGTCAACATTGACTCGAATTTGAAACTCCCCGAGCTTGTTACAATAACTATAACTGACTATAACTATAACTAACTAATAACTATATTTTATAACTTTACATTTTCTTCATATGGAATGAAAGATGAATATCCACTCTAAATGTATAAGTAATGAAATGTATTGTACATACATGGCAACATGCTGAATTAAGGCTTCGAAAAAGTGTCAAAAACACTTTGATAGTTATATACAACCCTTAAGCAATTTCTAGATCCAATTTCTATTTTTCATTTACAGGTTAGTAAATACATTCTGTTGTTCAAAGATGGCAATGCGAGACTTAGTAGATGCAGAATGTGGTGGCTCAAATGCCTTGATGAAAGTGACATCACACTTTACTCAGGATAGAGCAAGGAGACAGGTACGTGATTGTGTATTCTTTTTTTCTGCTGTGGATCATTTATGGCACGATTCGAAATTAAATTGAAATTGAATTGTTGCATTTGCATTAAATTCATTTGTACAAGATCAAACTTTTACAATGCAAATAATAAGAAAAAATAATAAACTTAGTAGGAATCAACTGTCTAATAATGAATTGACACTTTGTTTTCAGGAGGGGTTGAGACAGGTTAGAAGAGCACATGGACCTGTGAGTATGGTTTTCAATTTAAAAAATGCAATGCAAAAATATACATTAACAATTCACAAAAACACCTACATCTACAGCAAAGTAACTTGTTTAATATAAACAACCATATATACATTTACTTTGGAATTACTTTCATAATGTATTTTTAATCACAATTATTAAGCACTTCCCTTTTCAGGCTTCAGTTCCATTTACCGAGGCATCTGAACATGAGGTAATGTTTAATTTTGTATAAACTTTTTTGTTGGTTAAAGCTCCATTTTCCTGTTTGAAAACTGAACACCTCCATTCATTATATAAAAACCTGTTGTGAATACATTTACTAGTATGTACATTGCTTATCATTGTGGACAATACTAGAAATTCTCAAATATATTCAGTACATGTATCATGTATATAAAATTTAATGTATTAATAAAGATAAAATAGTTAATGTAAAATGACAAAGTCTACATGTATTTATTTTGCCTGGAATTTAGTGTTTTTTATTTACATATAAACATGTGTTTCAGTTGGTTAATGAGTTTTTGGCAGACCAGCGACAGCATGCGATGCCCCAGACATTCAGGATGGGAGAGTTGCTTCAGGAGATGCAGGAGATTGACAAAGCCAGAATGAGGCCTCTACCTCAGAGAGGTTAGATAGCATTTTTTCGTACATACAGGTTTTTCATTAACGACATCTTTACGCAAAATTTTAATTCTGGGACAGAAAAAATATCTGACTTCGCGTAACATGTGACTAGAGCTGGCATCGAATAGGATTTTAATGTCGACATGTCGGAGCTCTCGATCGACAACGATATCGACATTGTCGGGTCCAATGATATTCGAAAAATGAAAAAGATTTTGAAGAAAATCCGTCTGAATTTTAGATTTTCTAGGCTTGCAATTAGCAATACGATGCACAATAGTCATCCTCAGTTGTATGTTTTATATTTAACTTACAGGTAAACCATGTTCAAGTATCAGACTTTGACGAAAAAGCAATAAATAGACATAAAACTACGATTTCTGTTGCTATTTCCGGGCAGCCATTGAAAATAAATCTCGAGGGTAAATCTCGAGGGGCCCCGAGACCTAATTCGAGAGCAGGAAGTCGATTAAAACAAAAAAGAAAATTTGAAAATGTAGGCGGTAAAACTTCACTAAAATACACCATACAGCAGGTAGTAACAAAGATTTTAATTCATAGGGAAATAGCTTATTATGTTGTTCCGACTGTCGATCAAGAGGCGTTGTGTCGACATGGGTGTCGCAGAGAGCATTCGACTGACAATCGACCATTCCGACATTTGATGCCAGCTCTACATGTGACGCAGATTTGAATTTTTTGTTTTCTCCAAGTTTAATCTAATAAATCGAGTTTATACAACTTAAACTTCAAAAAGATTGTGAAACGTACCTTAATAACGGCTTTGTATAAAAAACCTCCTACCTCATACCCACCTACCCACATACGTGGGACATGATACAGTCTTTGAAGGGTTCAATTTTAAAGATCTTAGTTTACTAAATCTTAGTTTATGATGAATTATAGATGCATTTGTAACGACCCTTGATAGCAAGTTGCTACTACATCCCAGCTGGGTTGGATCCCCATTCGGGGCATTGAATATTTAGCACACTTTCTTTCAATTTCTTTATCTGGCTTGTTGGACCTATGCTCGCGGTCGTTAGTTATTTATTCCCTTGGGCGCCCTCGGGTCATTACACATTAAAATGCATCCATATGCCTTTTTATGGATCTGTCATCTGTCTAGTCATAAAATAAAGCCGGAATTGTAGAAATGTTAATAATTTGAGCTATTTTGAGAATTAATAATCTTTGAAATTGAACCCTTCAATGACTGTATCATGTTCCACGTAGGTGGGTAGGTGGGTATGAGGTAGGAGGTTTTTTATACAAAGCCTTAATGACAGTTATTCTGGTGAAGCAATATGATAAAACCGGCACATTTTGCTTAAAACAGGAAGTAATACATGACGATTACATATTTTGGATATTATAGAAATTATTGAATGGAAATCAGTCTACACCCATGCCATCTATATTTAGATATACTACACTTGCGATTACATTTGATTGCATAGCCTGGATTTTAGAATTTGACATGGCATAAATGATGATGATTAGGATAAACAAAATAAAAACATGTGTAAATATTAAAATGGAAATAAAAAAAAGCATCAAGTTAAGCTATGATTTTATGTTCAAAGACTTCCTAGAAATGCTTAAATTGCACCATTATGAAGGTAAAACTCAATAATGGTCATTATCGTGATCGCCCCGCTTTTTTGTCATCGCCATTTCAGGAAAACCACTCATCAGATTTTCTCCAAATTCACACACATGATAGAGGATGTCATGTTCTAGAGCTGATTAACTTTGGGGCGGCCATTTTGTTTTCTGGCAGCTATTTTGAAGGTTTTTCAGAAAATCTTGTCATCGCCATTTAGCCTTTTTATTTTTTCCTGAAGCCACTCAGTAAAATTACGTTTTCTCTGCAACTTGATGTCCAATCAAGATCATTCAAGTATCTATGTGTTCCTGACACGTTTTAACCGTTTTTATATGACATTAGTACTTGGGAGTTATTGGGTTTAGCTTGTCCAATCTTTATTCTATTGAAGGCAGAACTTTGGACTTACAAAATTATAATCCAGGTATGTGGTTTAGAATATGGAATTTTATTTTTGATTATAGCACCTGGTGTGGCGGAGTTAGCTCGCACTGAAAATTGGGCTCAAGAGTACTTAGACTCTGAACAGCTAGCAGATGAATGGACAAGGGACTTCCAGGCCCACCCTCCTGCTTTACCCACCAGCCCAGAGGTTATCTCAGGCTCTGACTCTAAATGGGCTCAAGAGTACCTGGAGCAGAGTGAACAAAATACATGGTATCTCTCTTTTCCATCCTATGCAGTTCAATACTTTCCTCTGGTATATTGCTATCACATGACCATTTTACTGGATGAAAATAAAGGTTCAGCATTTTTGAGTGCATATGTCATTTACAATCCCAAAATTGTGTGAATGGTAAAATAGGCTGTGATATTTGGTTTCACTTGATCTACATTAACCAAGTTACACAGATTCTAGGAGTAATCATGTTGTAGAAGTAACATTGAATGTTGTAATACATATTTCTAAAAGGTGCTTAAAGTTTAATCTTTTGTTTTAGGGCCCAGGAGTATGAGAAAGATCTCTTGGATGACACCAAGTGGGTGGATGAATATAAGACTGACAATGAACTCTCCAGGACAGCTAATGACTTACTTGGCAGTGTGGATGATCCTAAATTCTCAAACTCAGAGGTATTTTCTCAACTAGCTTAGCTTTTTTAGTGTAATGCTTATAGATGAAAACATAATGATGACTTCATTTTTTCCAAAAATGCAATATCTCTGTTCTGACATTTATTGCTGTGAAAATTTGGTTTTATTTTTGATTAGATAAAGATTGACTGATTTTTTGCTTTCCTTTCAAAATGTGTTTTTGTCTTCTTGCAGTTTATGAAATTCATAAAGAAAATTGGGGATGGGGACATAACAATAAAAGACAATCAAGTGATAGATACACCAAATGCTTCCAAATGGGCTGATGATTTTACTAGTCAACAAAGTCAAAAGGTACTTTTCAACTGTATCTGAAACTGTTCACTTATTTTGTGCTTTCTCTACTGTTCTGTTCCATTTAATGATATCATTTTGAAATTCTTGTATATTACTTTTCTTGTTTTCATTACCTAACATCTTTTTTATTATCGTTTTTCTTGTATAGTTAACATGGTTTGGTGTGTCTAACATTTTAAAACGTATACATTAAGATTTGGTTAAGTTTCAGAATTAGTTTAGTGTGATGATATTATAAATGATGATTATTTAATAATGGTATGGAGATTAAACCTGGATACATCAACATTTCTTGTTTTTCAAAATATTTGTTTAAGAGACTTGCTTATGTACTTTCTTTTTTGCCTCTTACATATGAGGTTGGCAAAACAATATGGCTGCTACTTGATGTTAGAACTTAGAAATATAAGAAATTATTGCTACACTTTTAGTTTTCACATTGAGCACAGTAAAACAGTTAAGCATTTTCAACTGATCCTAACTGTTAATTATCCTGTTCATGTATAGAAATTGTAAAATCACAACCGTGAAGCTATGCTCAGCATGCTCACCAAGCATGTTTTTGTACCATAAGATAAGGTACTTATTCAATTTCTGCTTCTTGACTCAAAATTAGGCTGACAGTTATGCTGCTTGTGAAGATATCATATGCATTCATAGATAAATATCATATCACTCATAAATCATAGGATATCCTTTGATTCTTCCTGTAGGGTGGTTCATTGGCAGACAAATGGGCTGATGAGTTCCAGCAGAAACAGAGAGATGTGCCCAATGATGCCCAATTCTGGGACAACCTTCAAACAGAGTGGGATGATATGGCCAGGTACAAAGATATGTTAATATTTGCCTCAACTGTTCTTGTAAAAGTAATACAAATACATTTCAGCCAAAAAATTCTTTTGATATTATTTTGAAGAAAGATTGTATAGATTTTCCTTCAAATGTGGTCAGAATCTCCCTTTACTCAAACTTCCTTCATTATTACTAGACACTGTAGAGGAATTCTTGTCCCAGAGAAAAACTAGGTATCTTATTGAATGCATTTGCCAAGGAATTAGTAGATTCATCTCAGATCTGCCCTTTCCAGAGTGCCAGTACATATATATGCATGTGCAAACTCTTTCCAGAGAATCTGGTGGAGATCATCCATGGTTGTCAGATTATCAGTCTACAATGGACATATACAAGGTAACAAAATCAAACTTTTTATTGCACTTTGAAAAGGTGCCATCTTGTCGTTGTCTTGAGCTGTTGGGTGGTTGCCACATAAATCTTGTCATCAAAATCTGATTAGGGTTTGGGCAAAGAACTGATTACGTTTTGGGCCTACTGGGTAAATCTTTGTTTCCATTTATATTACATATATGGTATAAATACACTGGACGAAATGCCAGTTAGGGTTTATGGTTCAGATTACACTGGATGAAGTCATAGCTGGGGAATAGGGGTTATTTTCTAGTCACCTGTAGGGCATAGACCAATGAGAGTGAGGAATATGACACTGAATATTAATATCAGAAATAAGGTTGTAACTTTACCTATATTTTTTCTTGAAACAAACTCATTGAAAAGGTCAGAAGAAATATAGGATAAACTTGAATGAGATTATGTTTATAAAAGGAAGCTGCTGTGATATTCTAGTAGAATGAAACATATGACTCCATCATGTATGTTTTATAGGATTACAAGTTTGAAGAAGAGAACCCCCTGAGAGAGCACCCTGACCCCTTCAAAGAAGGACTTGAGAGGCTCCAGAGGGGAGACATTCCTAATGCAGTATTGCTGTTTGAAGCAGCTGTCCAGAAGGACAACACACATTCTGAAGTAAGTAAACTCTCACATATGATTTTTATTTTATTTATGAGGATGATTTTAACGATTCTAAAAACATTAAATAAGTGTAAAATTTTATTGAAAACCCAAAATTATGATGCACAATAGTATTCAATAAGATGTTTAAATGAATGGAATAAACATGACATGGTAGACATTTTATGTACAGGTCTTATTTTGGAGATGATTTATGCTTATTTGTATTTCTTAGCTCATGTCCACTACACTCTATAATTTTGTATCAAAGACCACGTTCCAAGTGTTAATATTGACATGTCTCTATTATATTAATGTTTTGATTAAATATTAACTTTATGGGTTGGACTTTGCACTTGTATAGAGATATGTTAAACAATGTACATGTATACTTTTGACCTGTATTGTTGTCTTATGATTCTCCTATGATTTATTACACATACCAGCAGAGCACACATTGCAAATACATATATTTAGTTCATTTGGTTGTTAAATATGGAAAACTATAAACTCATATTTGCTGCAGCTGAAGGGAATCTAGAAACTTTGAGTTCTTTGCTAGAAAAGGGAGCTGACCCAGATATTTTTGATGACACTGAGGGTCATACAGGACTAATATGTGCCAGTCAAAATGGCCACTTGGATTGTGTCAGTCTTTTATTGGAATTCAAAGCATCAGTTAATCTTGTGGAAAAGCTGCCATTGGTGTATGGCAGTGGAGATACTGCTCTTATTTGTGCAGCTCGAGAAGGTCACACTGACATAGTCACTGCATTGATTGCAGCAGGAGCTAATCTGGATATCCAGGGGCTTGCAGGAAAAACTGCATTGATTGCAGCTGCTATAAATAACAATCCAGCATGTGTCGAAGTTCTCCTCATTAACAATGCAGATTATGAAATAAAGATGGATAATCAATATAAAAGTGAAGATACTGCATTTGAGCTTGCTATTGCAAATGGCAGCAAGCAGTGTGTTGAAGTCTTCATTAAGCATCAAATGAAATATGATGTTACAGTAGCCTTATACACAGCTATAAAGTACAACAGTCAAGATATCTTAGATATATTGCTGAGACATGATGGGGATCCAAATGTGATACACAAAGATCATTCTCTTTTAGCTCATGCTGTTTTTAAGGCCTGTACTGCTGAAGATCTAAGTGAGTCAAACATGGCCTGTATATCAGCATTATTAAAGGCAGGGGCAGATCCTAATAAACAAACAAAACACTCTGACTTTACTCTCCCATTGTCTTTGCATGGAGGAATACACACTGAAGTTCTACAGACATTCAGATCCACTTTGAAAAAGTTCCTAGGGAATTACATGACTAGGTGTATGTACATATTGTCCCCTATATACATTGCTTTACTTTGCTATGCATGTGAACTCCAGGCACGGAAACAATTTCTGTTTCCTCCCGACAACAAGGAAATAGGCTTACCAGTTGTTCTGATGTTGCTGAAACACGGGGTGACAATCCTTGAGGTGCCTCGCTGTCCTAAACATGGTGAAGAAATGTTCTACATCTTACATGCACTGTTGATAATTTTCTACCAAAATCCCAAAATGTATATTGGATTCTTAAATGCAGGAGCAATATACCGCTCATGTATAGAACTCCATGTCATCAAAATGAATTTCAGCCCAGACATTTACAATTGCTATAGATTGAATCCAAGAAGTCACATGGCTGTCTTGTTACCTGTTCATACTGCATTGTTAAAGCAAATGCTCCCCATGTCTGCTTATAAGGAACAGATTCAACAAATGCTCCATAGATGTAAGAACAAAGACATCAAGATTGCTATGGAGGAAGCCATGGCTTGTGTTCCTTCACTGAAAGATGTCACTAGGTGCTCTTTATGGGACACCATGTGGCCAAGAAATGCAACTTTTAGCAAGCCTGATAGTCCTCAATATGTTGACGTTAAGAATGTGGTAGATCAACTCCCATTGCCAGAACATCTTAAGAGGTACATATTGTACGAAGATTATCAACAATTATATGAGGATTTGACTAGTGAAAGCTCAAATCTGTAACTTCAAAAAATTGGGTGTGTCTATTGAGTTCCGGGATAAAGACCCCAAATCATGAGGAAGAAGAAATCAAGGATCTCACGCATACAAGTCACTTAAGTCATTACTCAAACAAATAATTAATTAACAGGACAATGTTGAGGAATGAAATCTCATAAATTCTTTTGAAACTATTGAATTAATGCACAATCTAATTAATATATACAGTTACAGGGTTATAAGAGAGTGAAATTATACAAAGGTTTACCTTTGATGGAGATGATCTTAATCATTCATGCTATTTCATGGAGTTAGCATGAATAACATGAAGTTAGCCCCTCTAAAATTGACAATTGAATAACAAGAAACTATCATAGTTTAAAGTTGAGCTACTTGTCTTGTAATATGATTGTTCCATTTAGGCCTGGCAATATCTTGGAACAACCCAGGCTGACAATGAGAATGAACCTGCAGCTATTGCAGCCCTGAGAAAGTGAGTAAATAATCCATAGATTTGAATGAGTGTATCAGAACAATGTATTTTGGGCAATACCTCAGGGGGTTGTGCACAGGGGATCAGAAAACAGGAATTTTTGTTAATTATAAGATATTTCTGAAGTATTTTATATAGCGTAATAGTATACTCAAATGAAAGGCAATTTAGAGTAGATTGCAAATATTTTATAATTTTTCTGATTCGTGCCACAGCAAATTCAAAATAGCTACGTAAGGGGGAATTTGCTAAAGTATGGTGACATTATACTACATTAGGTCACAAATATTGTATTGTCTATGATTTCTGCTGTTGATACTCCTAAATCACCCAAATGCTTAAATTGGTGGAAATTTTGATATATGTCCAGTGATCTCCCCAGCATTAAAGCAAGTGGGTGCAGCACAAACCTGAGATTTTGAAAACAGGCTTGCACCAACCTGAAAATCCATTTGCACCCACTTGAAAATGAGAAGAATCGTGAAAAATATTTTGAATTGTGAAATGAGAATTTTGCAATCACTTGACAAAAATCCTGTGGAGAACACTTTATGTCCAATGTGTGTCTTACATCTCTGTTATGTACATGTACTAGTTTGTTCTTTCAAGGTTTCATTTAATAGTTAAGTGTTGAACCTGATGATTTACAGGTGTTTGGAGATTGACTCTAAGAACCTCACAGCATTGATGGCCCTCAGTGTCAGTTACACAAACGAATCCCTCCAGAGCAAAGCTTGTGAGACTTTGAAGTTATGGCTCGCTAACAACCCCGTCTATGCCCACATAGTCCCAGGTGGTGCCACCGCAGCTCAAGAACCAATCGTGTCTTCGTTTGTTACCAGGTTTGATAAATGAATGTTTTTTTTTTAACCTCGAATGAATTGTCCAGTTCCAAGACATTAGACAGCAGTTTTGTATCAAGCACATTGTTTTTAATTAACACGTAATGCCATTGAGAAAAGAATTTGATAAAATATAACAATACATAACACTTATTCCATGGACAACATTACAAAATTACTTTCTGATTTCTTGTGTTAGAAATTAGGCTTATGGCTACTACTGTTATATAGACTCGAATTATTGGTTTCTTATCTGTATCATCTCTGTGTTTATCTAATGTTGCTCTTTGTTCTTTCTGAATATAGTTCAGTACACAATGAGGTGCAAGATTTATACATCAAGGCAGCCAGAATGTCTCCTGAGGGCACCATAGACCCTGATGTACAGAGTGGCCTGGGGGTGCTCTTCAATCTCTCTGGGGAATATGACAAGGCAGTTGACTGCTTCAACGCTGCTCTTCAAGTCAGGCCTAATGTAAGGCACTTTCTCATATATTTCGAACAAATTCAGTATGTAATCTATTTTGTTTAGTGTGAAAATCATTTCCAGAATACATTTATTCTCCAAAAAGAGTTTGCATTTTCTAAATAGCACCAGGTTACAATTTTACCAAAGAAATTCACCAGTTCAATGAATCTAGCAAAAGTTAAAATTGAGAAGATGTTGGTTTTTGTGAAATCAATATAGAAAGGTCAGATGATACAAAGAAAGTCTTTGATCTGTCATGGGTCCATTCTTTTTGTGGATAATTATCCTTCAATTATCCTTCAACCAGAAGATTTTATAATTAATGTAGTGACTTCTGCTCACAGAGAAAGCAATATAAGTTTAGTTCAGACCATGTTGAATGTTTCAGGATCCACTACTGTGGAACAAACTAGGTGCTACACTAGCTAATGGTAATAGAAGTGAAGAGGCAGTTGATGCCTACCACAGGGCCCTTGAGGTGGCACCAGGCTATATAAGGACGCGCTACAACCTTGGTATCGCCTGTATTAACCTAGGAGCTCATAGGTATCTCCCCTTATTCCTCAACTTGTTTTATTATGTATTGCCCAAACATTCTACAGATCAAATTATGTAAAGTTTAATCATGCTGATTTAATTTAATTTTGCTGATTTTATTGTTAAAGTGTTGATTACACATTAGACTGTGTACGGTAATGCTAATCAAGTCAATTTCTTAGTGAATAAAAAAGATTTTTACAAAAATATTCAAAATAATATATCCATCCTTTGATTTTTTCAGTTTGATCGTTTTTGAGAAAAGTACAAAAAAATTGTATGAATATTAGAATATTAGAAAAATATAGAAACCATGAAAATAAAAAATTAATCCTAATAGGCTATAATATTTGCACTTTACTATGTTTCTTTTTTCAGTCAAGCAGTTGAACATTTCCTATCAGCATTGAACATGCAAAGAGAGAGCAAAGGACCATTGGGGGAGACCTCAGTTATGTCAGATAATGTCTGGTCTACGATGCGTATGGCAATATCAGTACTTGGACGTGCAGACCTTTATAAGGCATGTGACAATAGAGACCTCGATGCAATTAACCGAGAGTTTAATACATGACAAGCTGGATCCAGGGAAATACAGCTAAATCAAAATTGCAGTAATTTTAAACACCGTTTGTTTGAGTACAGGAACTCAAGGCGCAAACCAGGTCAGACAACACTTCCAGGGGTGCTCAGGCTTATCTTTGAAGATTAGGGGGTTTTCTAAAAACATTTGCTTGAGCATGAGATTAAATTGTGGAGAGGGAGTAAATAACGCTACAATGATTGGAGATGTACGCCAATAAGGCAAGTCAAATTCAACATCAACTAAGAAATGATCTGTTAAAGAGATGAATACGCCTCATAAAGAATGTTATGTATAATCCCTTATTTTATGTTAAAAATTGTTGAGATATTATTATGGTCCTCACTGTTTTGTGACGGAGGGTTGGTATCTTGGGTTCGTCATCTGTAACAAATGGCAGGTAGTGACATTTTCTATGTTAATGCCTTGTTTTTCATTATGTAGGGAACATATATATTAATATCCACATTTCAATTTAGAAAATAGGAAGACATTTTAATTTTAACTACTAATACATGAAATGTAAGGATATTTCATGAAAGATGGTAGTCACATACGCACACACATATGTATTAAGAGTTATATGTAAAATTCAATAGTCAATTTAGCAATATACATAAGAAACTAAAATATCTTGTTTATTTTAAAGTAAGTACTGGGGAATTGTATATTAATGTATCAGTAATGATGAAAAGCTAAATATTATATATTTCTAATTTTTATATAAATAATGTATAAGAGAGGTTGTTTTAAATTAAAATTCTATCTAGTCAATTTATATTCATGTAATTATAATTCTTTGTTAATAATCATAATGTTTGAGGCATTATGGAGCCACAGTGGAGACATGGACCACATTGTCAACTGACACTTTATATACAGTATAATATTTGTGTGAAAAGTGACTTACATACATCTTTTATTCACAAACTCTTAGAATTATTTAGATCAAACAACATCTGTTGACAAAATAACATTAAAATTCTCGTGATATATCAGTCTGAGTAAATAATAGTTATGGTACCAATGTATAAAAAATAAATATATAGCCCTATATGTAGTTTTTGGCAAAAAGGTTTTTCAGATCATGGGACTTATACATTTTGAAATAATTGTTTTGTAATTGTTATTATGTATAAAGAGAACTGGAGTACATTTATTGTGTCTCTCATTTAGTTCATATGAAAAACAAAACTTATAAAAGCCTTCATCATTTTAAAAATGATACAATATTATGAGTTGTAAATTTACATGATTGTGAAAATAATAACATGTATGTTCTAAATTTTTAAAATAAACAAACAAAAAATATCTCTTCTTTAATAGCCTACTTATTTATTTTCTCAGGTGCAAATATATTTACATGCATCAAAAACAAAGCATTTTAATATGGAATATGGGGAAATGTCCAATGTTGAAACATGTGAAACTAATAGGGTTTTTAACATTCTGCAACCTCTTTCTAGATCTCAGATTGTACAACTGGCCACCAGGTGGTGTGGATTCAATAACAAGTAAAGAACATGTATTAAAACTCATCAGAAAAAATTGTAAATAAATCAAATCTGAGAAAGTTCTTGTAAATTTGGTGGGACAAAAGCCTTTTGTGGTGGATTGGAGGATATATAAAGGTCTTGAACCTAAAGAGACTGATTGCAGCTTGGTCATTTTCTAGATTGCACAAAAATGGAAGTGACCATTAACAACCCCAAATGTATAATATAAACATAGTATTAACATATATATATATATTTCAAGAAATGTCATTCATTCCCAAAATATGTTGAATAAAAAGTACAAACAAAATAAAATGCTATATGCAGTATGAGATAATGATTGAAAGAAGATGTACAAAATGAGTGCCAGTAAGTCCCAGAGATGTAGGAGGCTATTTCATAAAAATAAACAGTTGCTTTAGATACTTGATAATACAAAATGTGCCTAAAATCCAATCCAAATGTCGGACTGAAGATATTGTACCTTACTGTTTATATCCCACAATATTATATGCGAGCTTCAACTGCTTATGGTACACATTGACATCAAATGCATGAATGATGTCACATTACAATAAACAATAACACTTAAGTTTGTTCATGACATTCACACACAAAGGGAAACAGATATACAAAAACATTACATCATTACATTAACATGTTAATTTTATTTATAGTAAAAGATATGTTCTTACACATTCATTTAATAAATTCAGTCAAAGATTATCATAATCCCATCTAATAAATGGAATGTTATTTATAATGTCTTACAATTGCACCTTCCCATATCTGACTGCAATTCTGCAATTAATAATTTCACAAAAAATCTATTCAAAATAATGTTCAAATTATTTACTGATTGATGGAATGAATTCAAGAGGATTGGCATATTCAAAAATACTATAATAATAATAATTAATAAAATGAACAATTAATTGTGTGTTCTATAAATTATTATGTTCCTATAAAAAATCTTCTCTAAGTGATGAGAGTAAGTTTGCAGGCTGTAAAGTAGAAATAAGCACCTAGCTCCCTTAGTCCAAGCTCTCTCTCAGGCCCATACCTAGGCCAAAAATTCTTTCAAATATATGCAGTAAATCACCATTTCAAGCACTTTTCTAGTGATTATGGGCTGACGTGGGCAAATCTGAATCCCCATAAACCTTTTGAAAACTGGCAAAAGCATTTAATAAGAAAATCCTAAAAATGATAGAAGCTTTGGAATTTACAATCAAGATTTTGTTTCTAAATCATTTAAAATTCTGTAACCCTGGTTAATTTGGCACCTATTTTAGTTTGGTTATCTATCTTCATTTTTATGAACTGCATAACCAATATGAAATTATACTAAAATGGATGGGAATCAGGCCAAAACATGTGATTTTAACAGTATGAGCAACATGGCATCTTATCTAAATTCATTGCACTCAAATACTGCAGACATTTACATTTTCAATGTCAAAATAACCAGGATTACAGGATTAGTATTATGCATGTCATTATAAACAGTTCAATTAAATCCCATATATGAATTTACATTTCCAATATACAGATGTTTATGCATTATAATAATGTACATGTACAATAATGAGTTTACACAATATCAAACAACAGCAAATAGTATATACTGTATATACATAGAGATTATCCTATATGAGGTTCAGGATATTGGGATTATCCAGAGGCCAATATAATATATTTGCCCGAGGGCCGCAGGTCCCAAGGGAAAATATATTATATTGGCCAAGGGATAATCACAATATCCTGAACCGACTATAGGATAATATGTTTATCCCATATCAATCTTGGTCATCTGGTTCACATTGTTCAGTCGTGGAAATATTTTAGAATATTCATGTTCATATTCATGTTTTGTTTACTTGGCCGTGGGCGGATTTCCTGTTCTCTCAAATATTCCCACATTTTTTTCGAATTTTTGATTGATTAAGTGGATGCTCCTTCCCTTTTTAAACCATCAAACAGATCCCGATTGTCTGTGTTTTCTCCACTGTCGTTTACAGTCATTACGCGAACGTTACAAATTATGAACAAATATGCGAGCGGCGATTATGACGTAGCGGGCAGATATACTATATCTGCCCGCTTGGAGCGGGACGTAAAGCTATATCTGCCCACTGGTGAAAATATAAGTTTTTACAAACCGGCTTTATGTAACTGTAACACGTCCAAGTATGGGATAAATGTACATACAAACTTTCCCTTTCTTCCCCATGCAGCTCAAGTACTTCATGATCATGAACACATTATTTGTTAAATCTAAAACGGCGAAATAGCTATGCTACAGTGGTCTGCAACAGTCAATAATAATCAAAACTTGGTGGCAAATAGATGCCATGCCTCAGGTTTTCGAATGATACAAGGATATGGTGAGGTCATTTATTTGAAAATGTTTCATGTTAAAAACACTTATACATAGGTGCTGGTTAATTATGAGGTGGATATTGTGATGTGGATATGGCAGAATTCAAAGAATTTTTTTTCAAATAAATGACCAATTCTCATCTTCATAGTACCAGCTGCTCATTTCAATGTGAATTCTGGTCTGTACTGGAACAATGTCTGTGTTCTGTTGCATCTCAGGGTATAGGGGGCTTCTCAAATGTCTGGTGGGGCTCTGCAGTTTCTACATTGTTAGAGGGTACAGGTTGGGCTTGATCTATGTTGTCATAGCCACCATGGTGTTGAGGGCTCCCTAGAATAATAGTAAGAATATACAGAATGGTACAGAACACTTAGATACAGTACCTGTCATCAAAATGATTTACTAGTATGTTTCTGATGAAGAGGAGAATATGTATGACGCTTAATTATTTTTCAAAATAATCTTTTATAAACTGGTAAAAGTAGGGCTTGACTTTCAAAAAATGATAACAATTGATGACTTTGTAAGATTCTATACATTACACAGTACATACCAGTAAAAGTAGGCATCCCTGGGATGTTGAAGTTTGCATAGCTGCCACCCCTATCCTGGTAGATTCGGTATAAAATGAAGCTGGTGATTGGCTTGATGATAAGATTCACTATAGACATACTGAGAGTGGTCAAGGAGAATTAGATGGAAAATTTAAAACAATTAAACATACAAGATGCCAGTAATCAGGTCCATATTTGGACATAAGGTATAAATTGAATACGATAACGCAGGAATGCTAAAACTTTAAAGTCCCCGTCTAAAGTTTGAAAATATTTTTTTATCATTCATTTTCTATTTATCAGGACTTAAAAAGTGATTTTAGAGATTTTTGAACAAAAAAATTTTTTTGAAAAAAAGTTGTGAGCATTTCATTTCTCAAATATTCAAATTTCCCGCCATTTTTCAAAAAAAGTTGAAATTTCTTAATCATCAAATATTTCTTAATGCATTTCAAAAAAGATTATATTTTAACACCAATGCAAAGATTGAACAAAAGACACACTATTTCAATAATAAAATGTCATATTTAATGGGCCACTTCAATGTTTTAGCTTATCAAAAATATTTTGAAACATTAGTGATGTCACTAAGGTAACCAAAACTTTTTGAAAAAAATGTGAATTTTTTTTTGATGTCAATCTTTTCTAAATATGCTAGACTTTCATAAAAAACCAATGTTGATTGTCTAACCAGGTTAAAAGGAAGAATAAATTATGTTTTAGATATCATTGTACCATTGGTTTCTATGAGAACTAAAATTTTGAAATGCATTTTTCTCAGAACCATTTTCATGCACTGATAAGTTCATTTCTCGCTTGTTTATCAACCGATTTTCTTAATTTTTTCGGCAAAAAACATGGGAGGATGTATGCTATGTACTGGTATGAATTGTGGCTAATTAGAAGATATGGGTGACCTCTAAAAGTTGGTTTTAAATAAATTCACAAATTTTGGAACAAAAAGTCTATCAAAAACCACTTTTTGAAATTAAAAAAAAAAGTTTCACATATCACACTTTGATAACATTGGGTAAGACTACAATATAAGCCAAAGTGGTTTAAACTTTACATGGGGCCTTTAACAAAACAAATTTTAAATTATGAACATATTTAAAATTCAAAGTGATAGATGATCATGCAACATGATTTCATGAATAAAAAGGTTTGAAGAATATCATTTAAGGTTATTTTCTGTAAATCTTTATTGCCTAAATTAAGGACAAAAACTGTTTTTGAGTCTTAAAGGTGTTCACTAAAAAAGGTGTTTACATTTAAAGCTTTAACTGTTAAGTCATGATGTGGATTACTCTTTGCATTTGTTCAACTTTGCGATGATGACTTTGTTAGCACATGTTCCTTCCAGCTCACTAATTGGTTGAGAAAATGTTAGTGTGGTAGGTTTGAAATGAGTTATGATCAGGACTGTCATGGGAAATGGTCATGGGGGCAGGGGGGGGGGGCTAATCTGTATAATATAGTCTATACTAGGCAGAGGGAAGTTTATACCTAGGCTAGATGTGGATTTAATGTTTAAAAGGATACCCTAAAGAGAACCTGTACTCGTTCTTGAGGTCTTGTGAACCTGAAAATAAATATGTATAAAACATGTCATTTGTGTAGTCAGATGCTTTAACATGCCACAGTCGCAAGCCTTGTCATAATACCAATATCATTTGAACATACAGGAATGGATGGTAAAAAAATGGCAACCCGGCATTTTCCTCATATCTTTGTGATTTGATGAAATTTTTCCCTGATATTTTACACATGTGTACATCATTCAATTTCCTATCGGCCTATTTGACTGCATTCATCAGCAAATATGGCCTGAATGACACAGATGATCTCCTTCTTGAGGTCTGCAATTGTCCTGAGGTCATTCTGGTACACTTTATCATTTGCATATCCCCACAGGTAGAAGTCTGGTACAGACATTTTGGATAACATGTGCAGATTTGCTTTCATTACAATAGTGGACACTGGAGCATGTTGTTTAAAGTTGTTGTTTTTTTTGTTTTTTTATTTTATTTATTTTTTATTCCAAAATAATAGAAAGTACAGTTTTCCCCAAAGAATGGATAGTGGGGTTACAAATAAAGGTTTGCCTAAGACGGCGGCATGAACACCTCATTCTTTTAATTTTTGTATATATGATTTAATATTTTTAATTTCATAGGTTGACTTTTCATAAATACATAGGTGTGCGATTGAATAATATAATGTGTTCCTCCATAATCTTGGACAATTTTTTTCTTTGCTAATGAGCCATGATTTATAGCTGTTATATGCAAATGTTGATATTATAAGATCAATGACATTTTCATGACTTCTTTTAAAAATAATATTATTGCCAATAACAATATTTTTCCATGAAATATTAATTTTTAATTTTGAAGAAATATAGATCCACAAGTCTTTTATTTGATCGCACTCTAAAATAATGTGTTTTAAATTATTTTCAACCTTACAAAAATTGCAAATTTTCGAATCTGCTTTTTTCCACTTAAAAAGATCTATGGAAGATGGAAGAACATTATGAAATAATTTGAAGTTAAAGTAAGCTACCTTTTTATCAACAATTGCTATAATCTTGTTATTAAAATACCAAGGAGGATTGGCTCCCAGAGTGCACCACCGATATTCTGTCCCATATATGGGTATGTCGTAATACAAAATTCGAATTCAAACAGCCGCCATTTTGTTCACTTCAACATTTAAATCGTGAATTTTGGTCTTATTTCCAAACGAAAAATTCCAAAACTCACAAGAAACGATCGAGATATTGGTTCGAATCTTTTGAACTGTTTATTTTGAATTTATAGTCGGTTTTAATTTCAGAAAATAACGACATTTCGACGTTTTCATTGTTGGAAAATATCGAGTTTCGATCCTGGGAGCCAATCCTCCTTGTTAAAATACATTTTCCAATTTATGTGAAATTTAAAATCAATCTTCCATTTATCTTTGGTGTACATCCTTTCTTTATTATGATATTCCAGGATATTATAGAAAAACTTAGATTTTTGATCTTTGAAGAATACTTTTTTATTATTATTGTAAAAAAATTGTCCTTTCATAATTTTTACAAACTTAGCAATTTTAGGTTTCATTATTTTTTCAAAAGGTTGCAGTATTTTTCTCGCTAAAGATATTTCTGAAATCCAGTTTCTCTTGTCTTTTAATTTTTCTAAAATGTGTTCTTCTTTAAGTAAATTGCCATTCACATCTATAATATCCTTTACATAAAGAATATCACTTTTAATCCAAGATTTAAAAAACAGACATTCTCCATTATTTTTCTTAAACAAATAGTTTCCAAAAATTGATTCTTGACAGAGTTTGTCATGATTTATAGCTACAGTATTCCCTCTGTCTTTACATTTATTGAAACTTAGTAATATTTCTTGATAAAATTTAGGAATACTTAATAAAAGTGGCATCTCTTTAGCAGAATTAAAGTTCATTCTAAGGAGTATTTCATTATTGGATGTTATTTTATTAAAATTCCACAGGGGTAAAATATTCCACTGATTTTTTTCACCAGGATGAAAAATTCTATCTATCCAAGATGCTTTTAAAGCACTGAATTGATTTTCGATATTAATCATATTCACACCTCCTTCTGAAATATCTTTATATAGTATATTTCTTTTAATCCGGTCTTTGCCATTCCAAATAAAATTAAATAGTATTGTATTTATTCTTAAAATCATATCTTTTGGAATTGGAAGAATAGATGCACTATAAATAAGTTTTGGGAGTGCAAGTGACTTTATTATTAATATTTTTCCAAAAATGGTTAAATCTCTTCTTTTCCATTTTTCTAAATAAGTTTGCATACCTTCAATTTTTTCATCCCAATTTTTCATCTTACATTGATTGTTGTCATATCCAATATAAATGCCAAGATATTTTATGGGTTGAGATTTGAACTGTAAATTTTGAAATTTGCCATTTTTGTCACTCCATTTACCAAGCCCTATTGCCTCAGTTTTTTCTAAATTTAGCTTCATTCCAGAAACAGTGCAAAACATATTTATTTTCTTTATGGCATTCTTTATGGAATGCTCATCTGCAAGGAAAAGTGTGCAATCATCTGCATATAATGCTGTTTTTATTTCAAATTGGTCCTCATTTAGTTTGACATTAATTCCACGGATATTCTCACTTTGTTTAATACTGTAGATTGGGTTAATTTGGCGCCCGCTTTAATTTGGCGAATTTGGCGAAATTGAAAAATTCGCCAATATAAATCTTCGCCAAAATTTAGAATGAATCCCCGGGAATTGTCTAGGGTATTTCGTCGAGTGTATTTAGGTCACTTCCGGTTTAGTTTTTTCCAAAAATATGAAAAAATGTCTCTCATAAATTGGCTCAGAACTGGTCAGTCACTTATTAATACTCAGGGAAAAACTAGAAAGGAAAAGTGCAGTATAGTAGCAGTATCAATCGAGGTGCAAAATGTAAAGGATGATCTCACAAAAATGTACAAACGTGGTGAATATTGCCAGTGGTCCTCAAAAGAAAAAATTAACATAAAATTCGCAAACAACGCGTAAGTTAATTAAATTTTTTTTGCATATCCGCCAAATTAAATAGCCGCCAATATGCCAAAAATGGCAAAATCGCCAAATTAAGTAGCGCCAAATTAACCCAATCTACAGTACTTAAATTTAACATTTCCATTGATATGATGAAAAGTAGGGCAGACAATGGACAGCCTTGCTTAATTCCCCTGCTCATGTGTACTTTTTCAGTTAACCATCCATTATGTTTAATGACAATTGAGGGATTTGAGTATATCATTTTTACCCATCTTAAGAAGTCATTCCCAAAGTTAAGTTTTTTTAGTGTTAATAGCATAAAATTCCACTCAATTGAATCAGAAGCTTTCTCAAAATCAGTTAATACTATAGCGCCATCTTTATTTGTGATCTTACAATATTCTAATGTTGTTTAAAGTGCTGTAACATTGCTGTAACAGTCTGATCATCATGAAATATGGTACGCTGGTGGGAAATTGAATGATGTAGAAGTGCGCCAAATGTCAGGGAGCAATTTCCTGATATGACAAAGACATGAGAGTTGCTGTTTTTTTGATTTTGTATTACAAAATGTTTTTGCAATTGACTCTTATTTTACTCATAGAGAGAATAGAATAGGTATAAACACATTGATAAATTCTCAAAAAAGTAAATTGATTAATGTTCAACAATTCAGACTAATTTGTACAGTGAACAGATATACATTAAAGCATCCCCTCCCCTATTTCCTTACCTGATAGGATTTCAATTTGTCTAAAAGCTCTAGGTTGGTGTACTGCAATGAATATTATGTCCAACATAATGGAGGCTAAGAGCATGAGCATGAACTGCAAAGAAAGCATAGAAACATTTATACCAGGTGCCAGGGGTTTCCTCAAATAGACCACAATCTTATAGGTAATAAATTGGGATCCCAATTGTACCATTGTTTGCACCACAATTAAGACTAATTAGTTTTGGAAAGCGCATATTGTATACCCTATTTTTAAAATACGAATTGAACATACCATAAATACTGCATCAGGTGATTCATTCTGTATAAGAGCCCAGATGCCCAACACTAAGATGAATGTATTCATGTAGATATAAGCAGGTGGCAAGTAAAGAGAGCTCATAGATGCGCTGAAATAATCACATAGAAATCTTACATCAAACCACTTACTTTTTGGAAAATGGTAGATTGTGTGTATGAAGAGGGATCAGAGGCATTAGATTTGATGCACAGTAAAAAAGGGACTCTATCAAGGTGTCTATGATGGAAGGTTGTGATAATCCACTGTATCCTAAGGGGTGGAAATTTCTGTAGATGGCATTAACATACAATGTAGAGTATTTCTTGAAGGTGACATTGTTCAATGCTTCCTCATAGGTTGTTTCATGTTGAATTCACTATTTCAGATTTCTGTTTTGATATTACATGTAATTTAATTTCTGTTTTGATATTAATAATGAAATTATCATAATTATCTATATGCATATCGAATAATTATCTATATGCATATCAAATCTAACCATCATAGACAATTCCTAGTTTATCTACCACATCATATCCAAATCTGTTCTCTCCTAATAGTACATTTTTTAGACTTTCTATAATTTCATAATTTAATCATATTTACACATGAAAATGTGTTATGTTCATTAGAGACTTGTTTCCGCAACTTACCAGACTGTCAGTATGAAATGAGCACCCCATATCACCTGTAAAATTAACACAATAAGACATTTAATGTCATAATAAAATACTTTCAATACACTGTTGTAAAATACGCATAGCATGATAAGAATTCCAAATCAAGTCATGTAATAAATCTTGATAATAATTTTGGGGGAAAATTGTGAATATCATAAGTAATCTCCCATCAACAACTAAACAAAAAATAGTTCACCAAGCCTTGGGATCTTGGTAATGGGTCCATTATCTATAATATGTTGCACATTATTCATAACCTTCTGAAATGTTTCTATTTTTCATATACTGTTGCAATGTGGTCCTTTGATTGCTTAGTTTTGAGATTCAAAGTTGCCGATGGAATTATGAATCTGACTGTAATTGCATGCTTCTTGATTTTTTCTGTTAACTTTCCCTTACCTTTAAGGCGAATGTTCAAGAAAACATTTTTGAAAAAATTGCTATGTCTCCAATGTTATTTTATGGTACAAAATACAGAATGACTAAAGCATATGTGTATTTCTTTGCTTTTTCCAGGAAAGCATCATTACATTGTCTATTAGTTAACCTGGTAAGAGGTCAATGGTAAAAAATGCAGATATTCAAGAAATAATATTAGAAATGACCGCCTTTTCAATTTTCAAAATTTTTTCTTCAGTTCAACTGCAATTTGACTGTGGTCTTTATTTGCACAAGAAAATAACATGTAGACTTACTAAGATCCTCTAGTCTGATATTTTTTGAAAATTGGCTGAAAGTACTTATGGTAAGGGTGCATGTTCGGAATTTTGCTGCAACCATCAATAGGGTCACATGTTATTTTTCAAATTTGAAAATAACATGTAGACTTACTAAGATCCTCTAGTCTGATATTTTTTGAAAATTGGCTGAAAGTACTTATGGTAAGGGTGCATGTTGGGAATTTTGCTGCAACCCTCAATAGGGTCACATGTTATTTTTCAAATTTGAATCACTCCTTCCCCACAATGTCTACATCTCTCACTTTTGCACAACGAGTGCACTAATGTACCTAGAAAAGAATGTAGAGGAATAATATGTTTTGCTAAAATGTATAAAAAACAAGAAAATTCTCTCATTTTTTATACATTTTACGAAACAAAACTTCTCACTAGTCTTTTCTAGGTACATAAATTCACTCTCTGTGCAAAACTGGAAGATGTAGACAATGTGGGGAAGGAGTGATTCCTGTTTGAAAAATAAAGGACCCGCGGTCCTGTGCTCACACAGTTTGGAACCTTTAGAGGAATGTATATCCTGACTTTCAAACAAAAACATTGATTTGGATTTGTAGTCTCGAACTTTGAGAAACTTAGATAGCACAGTTGTGTGACCTAGTTTGATGACTTTTGACCTTGAAAATTTTACTTATTCAGAGCTCAGTAAGGTCTTTTGTGATTAAGCTGACCAAAATTTACATCTAAAAATCAATTTGAAAAATCAACTTTTTTGACCTTTTGAAGGTCACTGAAGGTCAAATCCTAAAACTAATGTCAGATTTGAACTCCTGGCACCTTGTAGATGATTTTCCATAAAAATTTGGTCAAATTGAAGCAAGTTGAAAAATAACTTATTTTTACTGTTTTTTGATGTCAAATATCTCAAAAACGGTAAAAATTTCATGCTGGCATATAATGAGCAATATGTAGGGAATGCTTAAATCTAGTAATGATGTAATTCATTGCAAGAAATTATCAAGTATAAGGCAAACTTTGATAAACTTGTCAATCACAAAAGTCCTACTTTTTGTCAAATTTTATAGAGTAAACACCAAAAACTGTCATTCCAAGACCTTTGGAATCTTCAGAGGACATAAGTTGCATATACAGCAACTACTACAAGTTATTTGAAAGTTCTACTTCAACAAAGTCACGCCCAGTGATCGTGAATATGGGACGGAGGGGGGGAGCAGGCAATTTCTGCTAGGAAATTCAACAAATCTGGAAGATTTATTTTTTCAAGAAAAAGTTTACAATTGAATTGCTAAATGGATAGGCGCACGGTATGGTAGAATATGTTAGGTTTTCTGGAATTTTTTCTGAAACGATACGCATCTAAGGTATGAGATCTATTAAAAAAGGCGCAAGGCCATCAACAGGCACAAATCAACGTTTTTGCTATAAATCAAGCAACAATGGTCTGGACGACCTGTAATAAATACTTGTAAGTGATGTTATCATAACTAAATTAATGTCATTGCTGAATTTATAAAATAAGTTTCCATATGTGAAATAAAAAATAATCGAAAATAATGAATTTGGGACGGAGGGGGGGAGGGGACGGAGGGGGGGGGAGCAATATGTATATAAGACATGATTAGAGATGTTTCGCGACTTTAAGTCCTTTTACTCCAAATGTCCCCATTTTTCAGTCTCCAGGGGTATATCATCCAGTTTCTTACTAAGTTAATGAGTTCATTTTTCAAATACAAGAATTCGTGTGAAGTTGTTTCACTTTATAGAATTATTACTCCCCCCCTCCGTCCCCTCCCCCCCATTTTAATTATTTTCGATTATTTTTTATTTTACGTATGGGAACTTATTTTATAAATTCAGCAATGACATTAATTTAGTTATGATAACATCACTTACAAGTATTTATTACAGGTCGTGTAGTCCATTGTTGCTTGATTTATAGCAAAAACTTTGACTTTTGCACGTTGGTTGCGTTGCGCCTTTTTTAATAGATCTTATATCTTAAAAGAGTATCGGTTGAAAAATAATCCTAGAATACCTAACATATTTTATCATACCGTGCGCTTATTCAATTTGCAATTCAATCGTAAACTCTGTCTTGAAAAAATAATTTTACCAGATTTGTTGAATTTTCTAGCAGAAATTGCCTGCTCCCCCCCTCCGTCCCATATTCACGATCACCGGGCGTGAAAGTGTCTAGTATTTACAGAAAATTTGACTTTTTAACGTCAAAATCAGCAACTTCTCGGAAACCGGGCGAACTTGAGAAATGGCAATGATAGGTCAAATAGGCATTGTGGATATGCATAAAATGAATGTGGATATGACTCAATCCGAATAGCAGTTTTAATTTGTGCGGCCAATGTTGACGTACGCACGGACAGACCAACGGACGGATGCCCGGTCGATCCCATAGGCTCACTGTGTGAGCCAATAACATGTGACTCAATTGAGAAATGTAGCAAAATTCCGAACATGCAACCTGGCCTTATACTAAAATAACATACACTCTGTTAAGCATGATAAAAGGCAAGAAGTTTAGTTAGAAATAAAAGAGTTATCTCATGAATGGGACCCTTACATAGCTCCTAAAAGGTAGAAGACACTAAATGATGTAACACTATAAGCTGAATTTTGTCCACATAGAGCATGTGCACAATACTAAAGACATGTAAAATTGAACTGTCAAAAGAACTGAAATATACTTACCAGCTCGCCTCTTCCGGAAGTTATGATACGTTATGGTGTAACTACGGTAATTAATTTTAAAATATTGAAAAAATCACAAAATACAAGTTCTGAGGTATATCGCCATTTTTAAGCGAATTAGCCCATACTATGACTATATATTCGCACCCCCATATACAGATATATATAAACTTCATCTTCACAATAAATTGAGCTTCTTTCAAATTTCCATTTTTTGAGATAAGTGCCATTTTCTTACAATTCAAGCCGTAAAAATAGTTAGAAAGTGCTTCCCAGTTGAGGTTAATGGCTTTTATACTTACATTAATGTATGGAGCACTTAAAATGTACTTAGAATCGTATAAATAGCTCTATTCTGTGAGATTTATTTTTGTTTTTATTTTTACATTTTTCTCACCTCATAATTGAAGAGCTCCGCTGTTGATTTACATTCAGTTACACGTATTTGCTTGAAAATTCGCCATGATTGGAACAAATGATGGTTGGTTTATGTTATATTTATTTAGTTTGTATTTGAATCTAGCTACTTAAACACAAAACATGTCTTCATATTATGCTAAAGAGCAAAGATCGCGAATTCTAGGTGAAGCCAATTATTTTGCACAAGTCATATCCTGATTGCATCATAGTTACTTTGTACTAGTCACATCCTGATTGCATCAGCCAATTCACGTGATTTACAGTTTCAGGCCTGTCAACTTGGGAACACCTACGGAACGGAATGCGTGACATATTCGTAATTCGCGTGAAAAGTCCGAACGAAATGCGTACATTTTTTTTCCGGCGTTCGTATTTTTGCTGTGTAGACGATCTTTTTTAGAAATTTTTCTACAGAAATATTTTTGCTTGACAATTACCAGGTAAAATGCGTATTTGCGTGACATTTTCTGTCACGCAAAAATAACTGGCGTGACTTCAAATTCTTCAGCAAATGCGTGACAAATACGCAAATTGCGGGACAGTTGACAGGCCTGCAGTTTGCACATGGTTTCAATATACATGTTATACTACTTCCGGGTAGGGTAGTGTTTTTTATACTTTAAAAACAAAGCCATTTCGATCAGTTTTTATAATGCTTGGTAGAACTGAGAGGTTTTACAATGCATATTTAAATTAATACACATGAGTGTATTTGATGAACTCTCAAAAATAAAACCCACAATAATATCTTTTTTATTCACAATTTCATGTCATTGTTTCTAACAAGTCGCCTCTTTCTCTCTTTTCTTTATTTTTGTCAACAGTCAAAATCGGAATTTAAAACTTGGTTTCTTTACAAGCTCTGCTTCTGTAAATACTAAATAACATGAAAAATGTTAAACCTGACATCCTACACTTATTTGATATGAAATAGGCGATCATTGATATCATTTTTGTGCTGTTAAGTGTGGATCTTTTAATTTTTTAGTCAAACTTGATCGCTGATCTCTGTCGATGTGACGTCACGCATTAAATATGCACGCATGGGCAGTACAATACTTAAGGCAATATGGCGTCTTAGGCCTATACATGAGCCAGAATGGAGGTCTGCAAGTTGAAATGAATATGTTTGTTTATGCATCAATCGATCACACATATAATCCAGACAATCTTTCAAATCATATACTTAACATTGTAATGGATTTATTTATTTTGTGAGCTAACGTTCCCTTTAATTTTCATTGGTGAAGCAATGATTTTACCTAAAATGAGTCCCTGTCTTTGCATAGTGATATTTAAAAATCGAGAAGCAAAACCTATGTTGAATATACTGTGTATTGATGAAGTTTATATATAGCCACAAAAATATTGTTATTATATCGGCAAATTCGCTCAAAAATGGTTGTACACCCTAGAAATTGAATGTTGTTGATTTTTTCAATATTTTAAAATTAATTACCGTAGTTACACCATAACGTATCATAACTTCCGGTAGAGGCGAGCTGGTGAGTAATTTCTATTATTTTGACAGTTCAATTTTACATGTCTTTAGTATTGTGCACATGCTCTATGTGGACAAAATTCAGCTTATAGTGTCACACCATTTAGTGTCTTCTACCTTTTAGGAGCCATGTAAGGGTCCCATTCATGAGATAACTCTTTTATTTCTAACTAAACTTCTTGCCTTTTATCATGCTTAACAGAGTGTACATGCAGGTATGTCAATTTTATCAAAATATTTTCTTCAACATGTGCCTTTAAGAATAGGATATTAACAGAAAGAAAATGTAACTGAATTCATGCTACATAAAAAGGAAAGTGATATTTCAAACATATTACTATTGTATGATGAAGAGTCATGTGATTTTATTTGTGATGAATATTTTCGCCCTTTATATTTGGATTTCCTCCGTTTAATAAGTATTTATGTTCGCAATTGTATCTCTATGGAATATCTTACCTTTAGTGATACCTGTGGAGCATTCATTTTTTATTACAACTGTCTAGATATCACACAATATATCGAAGTAGAAAGATAATTTTATTTTCAAATCTACCAAGTTTACTTCCGGCATCTGATAAGTCTCTATCAAAAATGTAATTACATATTTAGCAGATTTAAATTAGTTATATAAATTAATTTTACCTCCTATTACAATAAAAAATATTTTGTATCAATACAGTACAATAAAATGTACGAATAATATTGATTTAAACATGATAATTCATTATGTTGATGAGGCTATTGTTCAAGATGGCGCCGCCCATGAAAATGTGAAAAAATGGTAATATTTTCAGATATTGTTAAATTTCTTGTATATTTACAATATGTTGTATTCTTAGATGTATTATTCAACGATATAAATACTCCATCATCTTAGGGGCATGTATTTTATTGATTTTTAGTAAAGTATTACCATAATATACATAAAAATAATTCAATTTATTATGGCTTATCTAATTTTCAGGTAAAGTTAACCAAATGGTCGCGAGTAAATCTCAGGCAAAACTGCCCTAATTCACGTCACCATACTAGTCAATGGGCAAAAGGGCAAACGCCTGACTTTTTATCTCGAGTTATGGATTTATGTGGCCTCACTGGCCTATCTGAGGTTCTAAAGCTATGTCTAAGCTACATCTTGACACTAAACTCAATAGGGGCCAATCATCTACTTTTTGAAATAATTGGTCAATTGTGACACTACCCCCTCTCTCTGCAGACACAAATTGAAATTCACAAAAATGAAGGCAAAATTAATACGCCACTTGACTCGAAATTTTCCTTCAGATAACCCAAATAAACGCATTTTCAGAAGAAATGGCATGTTGCCATTGCAAAAAGATTACAACTGTGCCTACATCCTAGCTTACTGACTCGTCATGATCACAATTGTGTTGGGACTACATTTATTTTTGAATACTACTTTTTTCTATTCAGCGGAAGTGACGTATTAGGGCATTTTTGCCTAATAGCCACATGGTTGGATGATTTCTGGCTTTAAATTGCGTTTTTCCAATTTACTAGAGTTTTTCAAGTAGTTTTGTGCAGTTTAAGAATATTCTGACAGCAATTATGAAAAATATGGCAACTACATTACCCCTGGGGTCATTTTTCCAAGAACCCAATGGGTTTCCTTTAAATTTGACTAGTTTTTCATTTACATCATGAAATCCACTGCCTGATGGTGACATTTTTCAGTATCGTGTCAAAAAATTGAGTATTTTATTGCATATTGCGATTTATAGCCAAAATCACTGAACCGTGAACCAGAAAATTGGACAAATTTGGCCCACTTTTTGGCAAAATCTTACTAAAATCATCACTTTTTCATACTTTATTCCATTTAACAACCTCCTGATTTGAAAAATGATGACAAATTTGATCAGTTTTGACTATGGCCTAGAGAATTGGGACTTTTGAGATATTTTTTAGCTCGAATGTAGTCATTCAGAGTGAACAAATACATCAAAAATTGACACTTAACTCACCAATTTCTGACTGCACCCCCGATATGTACCTTCTTTCTATACTGGAAACCATAAGATGGAAAATTCAATCTTTATGATGAATAGCAACTCGTTGGCTTCCTCATTTACGACAACAAATGACATTTAGGGGTCACTAAGGACACAATTGTAGCCAAATATCGTCAAAATCAGTGGTTTTTGGGGTAAAAAGCGAAAACTGCTGATTCAGCAAAAACATTAAATTTGTTCATGAAAATTCCCCTTTTTGCCTCCGTCCAAAATATGTTTCACACTAATAAACTTCAATTCTGGGCGATTCTGAGTAGTTTTAAAAAATTTTGGTCACTTTCACATGTGACTAATAGGCAAAACTGCCCTAATTCACGTCACCATACTAGTCAATGGGCAAAAGGGCAAACGCCTGACTTTTTATCTCGAGTTATGGATTTATGTGGCCTCACTGGCCTATCTGAGGTTCTAAAGCTATGTCTAAGCTACATCTTGACACTAAACTCAATAGGGGCCAATCATCTACTTTTTGAAATAATTGGTCAATTGTGACACTACCCCCTCTCTCTGCAGACACAAATTGAAATTCACAAAAATGAAGGCAAAATTAATACGCCACTTGACTCGAAATTTTCCTTCAGATAACCCAAATAAACGCATTTTCAGAAGAAATGGCATGTTGCCATTGCAAAAAGATTACAACTGTGCCTACATCCTAGCTTACTGACTCGTCATGATCACAATTGTGTTGGGACTACATTTATTTTTGAATACTACTTTTTTCTATTCAGCGGAAGTGACGTATTAGGGCATTTTTGCCTAATAGCCACATGGTTGGATGATTTCTGGCTTTAAATTGCGTTTTTCCAATTTACTAGAGTTTTTCAAGTAGTTTTGTGCAGTTTAAGAATATTCTGACAGCAATTATGAAAAATATGGCAACTACATTACCCCTGGGGTCATTTTTCCAAGAACCCAATGGGTTTCCTTTAAATTTGACTAGTTTTTCATTTACATCATGAAATCCACTGCCTGATGGTGACATTTTTCAGTATCGTGTCAAAAAATTGAGTATTTTATTGCATATTGCGATTTATAGCCAAAATCACTGAACCGTGAACCAGAAAATTGGACAAATTTGGCCCACTTTTTGGCAAAATCTTACTAAAATCATCACTTTTTCATACTTTATTCCATTTAACAACCTCCTGATTTGAAAAATGATGACAAATTTGATCAGTTTTGACTATGGCCTAGAGAATTGGGACTTTTGAGATATTTTTTAGCTCGAATGTAGTCATTCAGAGTGAACAAATACATCAAAAATTGACACTTAACTCACCAATTTCTGACTGCACCCCCGATATGTACCTTCTTTCTATACTGGAAACCATAAGATGGAAAATTCAATCTTTATGATGAATAGCAACTCGTTGGCTTCCTCATTTACGACAACAAATGACATTTAGGGGTCACTAAGGACACAATTGTAGCCAAATATCGTCAAAATCAGTGGTTTTTGGGGTAAAAAGCGAAAACTGCTGATTCAGCAAAAACATTAAATTTGTTCATGAAAATTCCCCTTTTTGCCTCCGTCCAAAATATGTTTCACACTAATAAACTTCAATTCTGGGCGATTCTGAGTAGTTTTAAAAAATTTTGGTCACTTTCACATGTGACTAATAGGCAAAACTGCCCTAATTCACGTCACCATACTAGTCAATGGGCAAAAGGGCAAACGCCTGACTTTTTATCTCGAGTTATGGATTTATGTGGCCTCACTGGCCTATCTGAGGTTCTAAAGCTATGTCTAAGCTACATCTTGACACTAAACTCAATAGGGGCCAATCATCTACTTTTTGAAATAATTGGTCAATTGTGACACTACCCCCTCTCTCTGCAGACACAAATTGAAATTCACAAAAATGAAGGCAAAATTAATACGCCACTTGACTCGAAATTTTCCTTCAGATAACCCAAATAAACGCATTTTCAGAAGAAATGGCATGTTGCCATTGCAAAAAGATTACAACTGTGCCTACATCCTAGCTTACTGACTCGTCATGATCACAATTGTGTTGGGACTACATTTATTTTTGAATACTACTTTTTTCTATTCAGCGGAAGTGACGTATTAGGGCATTTTTGCCTCAGGCACGACATGGAAATCTGAAATTATAGAGGGCGCATTTTCATTTTACACACGGCGAAATGAAACAAAGATTTCCCGGGAAATTTTGGACAATACTAGTATATTAAGGTACAGCTGGAAAGTAACATTTTGGTAAAAAATTGCTACAGTGCTGATATATAATAATATAGGGTGCGTTTTCAAACTAAAAAGAGTGTTCCTACCAAAATGAATTTGCCTACATACCCCTGAAACTCTTATCTGATAGATAGAATGCACAAATAAACAAAAGTTTTGCAATTATAGGTAAAAAGTTCTCTTGAAATTTCGAAGTGATTTTACCTGTTAATTCTGTCCATGGTCGGCCATTTTTGCGGAAGTTACACTGAAACGCAAACTCCATGAAACGAAACGAAATCACTAGAAAAAAACATGGCACACATTGTGCGCATGTGCAGCAAAGTTTAGACCAATTAGATTATTTGATTATTTTGCGCACGTGAATTGTTTGCTTCCGAGCACTTACAAGCTTGCCACAACAAACAAACCTGGCAGAGACTACCCTTAGCCTACTTCATTTTGGCGAAATTTCAGCTCAAACTCGTGAAAAATGCATTATGCATACGCTGGTGTGAAGCCTTGGAGACACTCATTTTGGTAAATATGATTTATGGGGTATACTTTTCTGCAGTTTGTGGGAGTTTGGGACATTAAATGTTAAAATTCAAGAAAATATGCCAATTAAACGACTGATCAATTAATATATACCAGCACTGTATACCTGCACATGTTATTTTCTGGTACAAAATAAAGTATGAAGGCATGTGTCAATTTCCTTGCTTTTTTCAGGAAAGTATCATTACATTGTCTTCTTTTAGAATATCTGGTAGGGGTTCAATGGAAACTCCAGGAAATTCTGATATTTCACACTTTCTATTTTTCCAAATTTTCTTTCAAAGTTTCCAGACAACATAGGAGCTACCATTGACCTGTTTCTAGATATTCTATAAGTAAACAGTGTAAAGATACTTTCCTGAAAAAAGCAAGGAAATACACACACAACTTCATACTTAATTTTGTACCAGAAAATAACATGTGCAGGTATAGCAATTTTTTACCAAAATGTTACTTTCCAGCTGAACCTTAATAGTCTATTGTACATTGTACAACCACATTTGATCAGCACGATCACAAATCACATAGGGACCAATTAATATGATCTAAAACAATCAACCACGTACTGACTGTTAGCTTAGTAAAGAAAAAATATCAAGGATCAAGGTAAATCACTTATGATCAGGAACAATCACCTAAACCAGGGACAATCAACTAAGATTAGACCAATTGAGTACAATCACAGTATCAAAACAAAATATTAAGAACCACAACCAAACAATTGCCCAGAAGAGTCAAGAAAAATTTAAAGTAATAAAAACAATCACTTAAGATTAAGAACAATCACTTGTAAAATTGTTTAGGATCGACCCAATATCAAGATTAATCACTTAGAATTAAGAACACCAAGGGCTCAGAAGAAATTTTTGGATCGGGAAAAATCACTTAGTGTGCTGTTAATGGGTTCAATAATGTAACTTAAAAGTCCAATATAAGATGAGATATAATGCATTTTTATTTGAGACATAAATACTATAACTTGACAGACATCTAGCAGCCCCTCGGCTATTGGCTAAAACACATCACGTGGTACAAAAGTAGGTCGAATTTGTGTAGTCCCGCCATATTTAGACAGACTTCCGGTACAAGTGCACTTGGATTTGCGCCCTCTATAATTTCAGATTTCCATGTCGTGCCTGAGATTTACCCGCGACCTTAACCAAATCCGTCTGGCCCAGTCATCTACTCCCGAAGTCGTACGACGTCAGGAGTAGATAACTGGACCATACTGGTTTGGTTAAGGTAAAGTATGAATCTTCAAGACTCTACAGTTCGGGACATAAATAAATGACAGGTGGATTTGCTGAAGTGAGAATTTCCCATGTTAAAAATAAGAGAATTTTCAAGAGGCCATACATCAGTGGATGAGATTATACAAAATGTGAAATATATAAATTTTAAGGGATATGTATCTAGACAATATTGGAAATTATGGGCTTTCAGACGACCATAATTAGGAAATGGTGATCGAAAATCGACCTGTCATTTATTTTTGTCCCCAACTGTAGGTATTTCTAAAATTAGTCCTGGGGCCGTGAATACGTACGATCCAAGAATTTATCCACCAGTACATCTCTGCTGATATTATGCTAAGTTATTCAGCGGTTTCGAGATTTCCATAATACCTATGCTGTCAGGGGTATCGCAAAACCTTATTGATTGACAAGATCGCATGGACACGATGTGTGACTTCAGGCTGATTGACCAATCAAAACGTTATCAGGTTGACCTGCATAAACTAAGCAAACTACCCGTCTACGACTTGAAATTCAATGATCTGATCGAGTGTTTCTTTAGAGTTACAATATATTATGTAATTAAAATGTACATTGGAATGTAAGCAGTCATTAATATAAATTAAATCATGCGATTCAATGTTGATTTGAAACTGAATTAGTGATGAAAATGCCTGAAGACCTGGTCAGGCCATGTAGTCGTTGATGTCTCTGATCTGATTCAGTGATTGAATCTCAGCCTAGATGTACGATCACTTTGAATTCAGCGATCGTTTCAACATTTCCTGTTGTAATCTTCTCATCTCCGGGTATCCGATCAATGCTCCAGCATCCACTAAACTCTGATTGATATTTATCTGATAAAATATTTGTATTTTCATGATGAATTCATGCAAGATTTGTTCGTGAAAAGTCCCAGTGAAAAGTGTACTTGCTTTTGACCGTGCATAATAATGAGCTAACTTGTCAGGGCTGTTGTTGATTGGTCAAATTTTACCGACATAAACATTGGGTCGGTAAAGCATGTGGCTTGACTTGGGCAAGGCTAAGAGTGCTCGTACCAAAATGGATTTGCCTATATACCCTTGAGACTCTCACCTGATAGATAGTTACAATGAAACTCAAACCCCATGGAACGAAACAAAATCACTACAAAAAAAAACAATCAGATTATTTGAATATTTTGCACACATGAATTATTTGCTTCTGAGCTCTTACCATTAAAAGCTAACCACAATAAACAAACCTGGCCGAGATTACCCTTACTTTATTTAAGCGAAATATGAGCTCAAACTCGTTACAAATGCATTATGCATATGAAGCCTTGGAGACTGGTAAATATGATTTACACTACAGTATATACTTTTCTGCAGTTTGGGAGAGTTTGGGACATATAATGTTAAAATTCAAGAAAATATTCCAAATATACGACACAGGATCTTGTAGCACGTTTATGATGACTGATATGGGGCTGCCTGATATGGGAGACTGATATGCTTTATATAGAGAAGGATTATAACGCCGACAAATTTCGAAAACTGGAATAAAAAAAAATATATGAATTATTGGTCAGAATTTTATAATTAGGGTCTCATTTTGAAAAAAAAATCTTTCTTCTGTAAGATAAATGTCACTGCCTAACATTTAGATAAATTTAAATAAAAAAGTTTCTTTACTTTCTGATACCCATGCTAAGACCGTTAGGTGCTGTCCAACCAAAACTCACCTTTATAGCGATTTCTCCCCAAATCTTTCGCCAATTAATTTGTCCTTTACTCGTAGAATCCTTTACCCACTAGAGATTTGTAGGGATGCTGCGCTTATGCTGTTCAGCCTGTAAAAATATGTTATTTTGCTGTTTTAAAAATGAAATGTAATTTCGTGGATATTTTGGCAAATTCTAGCGGCCATCTTTGTGAATAATTATGACGTAAATTTTGAACCAATCAAATTGCATAACCCAGGAGAAGAGCGAAATTCATAATATCTATTTATGATTTAAAATATATTTGGGCAGTAAAACATTAAAAAAAACAAAAGATAAATATATCTTTTGTTTATTAACTATTTACATAATTTTTAATAGCCCCTTTCTATATAGAATTATGAAAGGTCAGACGGGTCAAGTTTACTACGTCATTATTTCAAGATGGCGGCAGAGAATCGTATCAAACAGCCGTATTTTTAAAATTAGTATGCTTTTACACATTTTTGAACAATAATAGTACAATTGGAACAGCGTATACCATTGCGTATGTGTGTATTACAACTGGATCAAACCAGAGATCAATCGACGAAACATTGAGGGAGAAATCGATCGATAAGGTAAACTATGAAAAATATGTCTGTCCAGGACCTCATGGTCTGATGCTAAGGTAACAGATAAGACGAAAAAATCATATTTGCAGTGTGTCTACAAGTAATATAATGACATGTATGTTGCCGCTAAATAATTTTTCTTAAAAATGAGACCCTTATTGTGGAATTCTGAACAATAGTTTTTTTTATTTTTCATTTACAGAACCCGGAAGTAGTGAAGTGTTATTACCCTTATTATTATTATACTATAGGGCCTATCATAGTGCCAGGCCTGTCAACTGTCCCGCAATTTGCGTATTTGTCACGCATTTGCTGAAGAATTTGAAGTCACGCCAGTTTTTTTTGCGTGACAGAAAATGTCACGCAAAATACGCATTTTACCTGGTAATTGTCAAGCAAAAATATTTCTGTAGAAATTTTTTCGAAATATGTTTACGATACGGTAAAAATACGAACGCCGGAAAAAAACGAACGCAATTTGTTCGGATTTGTCACGCAAATCCCGTATGTGTCACGCATGTTCATTGGAAATTTTTCGTACCATTTCGTGGCAAAGGTGCTCAAACTTTGGCCAAAGGTGTTTAAAAGTTGGCCAAAGGTGTTCAAAATTTGGACAAAAGTGTTCAGATTTGGACTTAGGTGTCCAACATTTTGAAGTCACTCATATTAGGTGGTCCCAAGTTGACAGCCCTGTAGTGCTCATCTCATATCATAGTGCTACATGTCTCTGTGATATACAACTTATCAATTATTTTTCATCACCATTGTATGTAGGTGGATTGAGATTTAGATAAAATTTATCCTTAAGTTTGTACGAATTCACCAAAGTTGGGATAAATTCCAAGATTAATTTGCCAAAGTAATCTCACAATGATCGCTGTTGATTATGTTAAAGTTTGGATGGTGTAACTTAAATAGTTTTACCATAGTTTAAAATTGGCATGTTGAACTGAAATAACCACAAATATTTTAAAATAATATTTTATTTCAGACAAAAAAAAATGTGCAGTCTACAGAAAATCTCCCTTCTTGAGTCTATTGTAATATAAAGAATGCCTCTTAATGTTATCCACAGGATTCTTTTCTCAAGTGGGTGCAAAATTCTCATTTTTATAATCCAGCCCAAAACTGACAAAATATGCCCATTATTCAAGACTTTTCTCATTTTCAAGTGGGTGCAAATGGATTTTCAGGTGGGTGCGAGCCTGTTTTCAAAATCTCAGGTGGATGCTTTGCCCACTTGCTTTAATGCTGGGGAGGTCATTGCCTCTCAATGTTATGCCAGAACCAAACTTCACAGAACTTCTGCAGATTATTGGAAAATGTCACTGTACCTAATAATATATTAGGATATTTAAATAAATGATCATTAAAGTTGCCTTACATTTCCAATTTAGGCCTAAAGACTCTATCTTTTATTCTAGCTTTGGTGACCTTGAATTCAAGTTCCAACATGAATACCAGGATAAGTTCTCTCGGCCTCCAGTGCTATCGCAGACTTAGTACAACAGCTGCAAGTATAACAGGTAAGAAATGCTGTCTAGTAAGATTTAAAAAAGATTGCATTTAAATATATATGTAATTATTATAATATACATTGTAACTCTGTACTTCTCAACGGGGTGCTGAGTACTAATTTTTAGGGTAAAATTATTAAATCATTGTATACACCAGGAAATTATATTCAGTATTTTTCTTATTAAAACATGTACAATATCCAAATTCCTTTTTTTGTTTTTGCCTTTAAAACATATTTATACATGTATTTCAGTTTTATATGTTGTCTCTAAATAATTAAAAACACTGTAAAAACGAGGAGAACTTGTACTTACACGGGGCATATACATATAAGATACATGTATAAACAATATTGGGTGAACAGTATTTGAGTTATTGCCTGGATGGACTGAGCTATCTATCTATGGGATAACAATAGACTAAAGTCTCATACTGGTTTACCAGTTTAGTTTCATTCACTCTTCTCTAGTATCACTGAACCGTTTTCTTTCAGAAAAACCAAACAAATAATCTGATTGTTGCAGTCATATGCAGTGTATTTTATCGAGAATCTCACTAGTTCAATTCTATTTAGGTTCCTTGTGAACAATAGTTAATGCTTTTAAATAGGCTACTGTTGTGGTTGACTGCCTAGCATCATTTTTATGTCACCACCAAAAAGTGTAGACATATTGTTATTGTCTCCGTTTTTTTTGACGACGGTTGGTGGCTGGCGGTTGGTGATCGGCGTCTGTAACAAATTCTTACAACTTCCAATAATTTAACAAATACTGTATAGACTGACTTCAATTGTTTTCAAAATCATCTACATGTTTTCAGAAGTTCAAATCTGACTTTACATTTAAGATTTGACCTTCAATGACCTTTTCAAGGTAAAAAAGGTCAAAAAGGTATTTTTCAGCTTGCTTCAAATTGACCTTTTTTCACAATCATCTATAAGGTATCAGAAGTTCAAATCTGATTTAAGATTTGAGATTTGACCTTCAATGACCTTCTTAAGGTCAAAAAGTTCTTTTTTCAACTTGCTTCAAATTGATCAATTTTTTTTCAAAATCATCTAAAAGATTTGACCTTCAATGACATTCTCAAGGTCAAAATAGATTTGACATTTCATGACCTCATCAAGGTCAAAAGGGTCTTTTTTATCTTGCTTCAACTAGGTGGTGACATTTTGTCATGTTAATGCCTTGTACCTTATACATGAAAATGATTATAATGTAAACTGTAATTTTTGGGATATTATAGTATCAGAGCTAGAGACTAGCCCTTGACTTATGTCCTTGACTCTTTTGATAAAATCTGATTTTCTCTTTTTCAGGAAAAACAAGATTCAATGGGAAACCACCACAAAGTTTGATAACAGCTTTGAATGCGGAAAAACAGAACAGAAAGGAATTGATTACACCAATAGCCCAATTAGAAAGCAATCCAACATTATCATCATTATGTCTACAGCTCTCTATTTCTGGATCAACACAACCAAGTGCTCAAGATGTTACTGAGTATAGGCTGCCATCTTTGAACAATGGGCTGTATAAACACACAATCCTGGATCAAACCACCCCCAAGAGCTATGACTTACCAATGGGTATGATACTCCCATTAGATAAGGAAATGCCATGTATTGATACAAATAAGGAAATCAAGGATCCAACTGTGCATGATCGTCCCGTTATACGAAAAGAAGCACGTAGAATTCAAAAATTGCGACGTTGGAGAATGAACAGGCATCAACTTAAAAAACTGAGAAAGAGAATGAAATATGAATATCGTAAACAGAGAATATACAAGGCGAAAAAGAAGGAGGCAGCAATCCAGGCTGAGTTAGATGCTATTATGTTGGCTGCTAAAGAGTGGGATCCCCTGAAAGATGTTGTCAAACAAAATCTAGATTTTGCTAGAAGGGGAGGGTATAGTGTCAATGTTTGGGAAACTAGAAATAAAAAACAATCTTAATGCTTTTCATATGGCATGTTCTAGATTATCTAATAATTAAAGATTACACTTGACTCTGGATACTTAGGTACTAGATCTAGTAGTGATCATGTGTGATGGGAAAATCTAAATAAAATGATAGAATCAAAATTCAGTTTTGAATGTTTTATTTACTCTGGGAAAATCTAAATAAAATGATGATGTTCAGTTGATTTTCCACAATGTAGGTTATCAAAAATATATGTATTATCATTTGAAACAATTCTTTGTCTTCTGTTATGAGAAGGTTAACTCTTAGGTGATAAGGCAATTCCATGTGACCTATCACTTCAGATGCGAGGGGAGCCTGACATTAACATTGATTATACAAAGTTATCCCAGTGTTTCTTAAAAGATGGCAGCATTTAATTGTAAAATTTGTTTTGAGGTGGTGTTCAAATATCAACAGTCGTGAAAATACTAAGCTAAGTTTGTTATGGTTTACCCCCTCCCCTCGTCTAATAAAATTTAAAATGTTGATTTGTCTTTTACTTGAATATTAAAAAAATCAACACTATTTGCTGACAAAACCATCATTTACCCCCTCCCCTAGTGGATTTAACTTCATTGTTCCACAACTGTTGATAATTGGACATCATCCCTAAAGGGAAAGCAACTGAAGCACCTGCTTTGACTGCCTCTATCAATGCAAACTTTTGAAAAATGGTACACTTTTGATTTTATAATATGAAATATGTGTAATGAGTGCATACTTAGATACAGATTTCCCATGAAATTACAAAGGGGCTCACCAATTTTAGAATGAATATTTATATTCTTGTTAGAAGACGTTTTATGAAACCATGCCAAAAAAATTAATCAACAAAATAGTTTATTGCTTTTAGCTATATTTCTGCAGGGGTGACTTCAAAATCATTGATTTTAGATTTCTTAGATTTAAAATCAATTCAAACTCCAAAGAAGTGAAACCAAAATCCAAGGCAGATATACAATATAATGCAAATGACGACAATAACAGTCCCTGATACATATATGTTAACTTTTACTTAAACTATTTTTGCTCTGATATTTAACTCTACGAAGGAATGTATTTGAAATGCATTTAAACATACATTTGAAAGTGAAACACTAGAGGTCCATGAATTTCACAGCATATGCACAATTTTAGCTTCTTCACTTAACCCATTTGATGCTTCCACTTTACAATCATTTGCTGGCGATCTCTGCACGGTGGTTGTTTTTTAATATTTGAAAATCACCCTCATGGTCTTACCTAACGTTTCCCATATAAAAGCAATATGAAGGCTCCAAACAAGTCTACTGGATCATTCTATTTTTAAGAAATTAGGGGAATTTGGTAAATTCCAATTAACTGAAACGGTCTTCCAGAAGATTAAACAATCTGTCACAAAGTTTTACAATCTGTAAACATTGAGAGGGTGAATTATCCAAAAGATTCATGAGCCAATATTCCTACTATTCATAACAACAGATGTTACTTTAGTATATCAATGCAAGTTTTATTTTGATAACTGTGAACGTGCACAAAATACACTAATTTTAAACTATTTTTTTGTACTATTTGTATTTGTTATATTTTTTTTTGTATTTCAAAAAGTTTAGAAATGCAGTAAATGGCATTTCAATTCTAAAATTTTCACAGGGGTATGCTCTCGGCCTAATCCCAGTACAGTTGGCATTCTGATAATCAATACATCTTTCTGTTTTTGAACTAGAAATCATGGGCTCTTCTATAAGTACCTTTCAAGGAAACCATGAGCTTGAATCTGCCTTCTATATAGCACATAGTTTTGTTGAAAATGTCATGGACTAGTTTAGAATTGCTAATGCTAATATCAAGTGATCATGAGTATCACAGTAGCATGGAGTTAGCTTTCATTAATCAGATCAGAACGCAAAATGTAACCAGCTAAATTGGAGAATATTTCAAGTTGAAAAACAGAAAGATTTGTCTATCAGAATGATAATACATTTATTTATGAGTGTGTATTGATAAAATGATATCAAGACTACTAATATCATGAAGAAAGGCTAAACTAAATAAATTCTTTTCAATATTAGAAGTCATAATCTTTCCAATGGTATTCAGTTTTCAACTTTTTAACAACACATTCTAATTACATGTCAATAAAATATAAAATTCAAGTTAAAATACTGCATGCTTTAAGTTAGTTAATCATAGACAAAGTTAAAGTACAAAATTTTATCGGTTAATATAAAACATGGCACGCTACCATGGCATGGCATACCCTATGGAATAGGCTATGACGCCCCTTTGCCATAGTCTCTAGGACACTATTTCAAGTCAAATCCTTGCAGATATATATGCCTCGTTTGAGTACAAGTTCTGCTCAAAAGCCACTTTTCAAAATGACCACCGGTTTTGAAATGACTACCATTTAACTGTCAATTTAACTGTATTTTAGACACAACATAGCCTATGGAATAGGGTATGCCATGGCACCGCGCCATATTTTGTACTAACCCCAATTTTAAATCTACTTGCACAAATCACTAAAATATCAGATACCACACCCACCATATAAAGTGTGTAGTTGTAATGAGGAGTTATTGATGATTCCTAGAATGCACCAGGACATCCTCCATCCCAGGTTTACAAAATCCATTCCTCCTTCAACTTCTTTAGAGGAATAAGGGTAAACAAGATAATCTGTATTTTGGAGCTTGCTACCCAAAATCAGAGGATGATACCAGGTAGACTTGTGTCCTTCAACAGCCAGAATGAAGCTCATACCTTGCAGCTTTTCATACCTTGCACCCATTTACAAAAGCATAAACTGAACCACTTGTGATGTCGCAAAACAAAAATTGCACTCACATAGCAAGTGGTTATTAGTTTCAGCTACATGTATATATTTCACCATGTAGATAAAGCTCTGATTCGCCTATCAGTAAAGCAACATTTTGTCTGTATTTTCAGAACTGATATGCTCTTTGATTAGATCAGGTTCCTTGAAAAATGAATAATTTTCTGAGAACTATTTATACACTGGCAGGTACTAATGAATAATAGGCTTCTCTTTTGTAAATGAGTGTTTTCACTTGTTTTTCAGCGACTGTCTTTGGTCCCCCATTATTTAACAGACTAAAGGGTTGATGCATCGCAACATTATCCATGATTAAACTCTCGCATGTCATCATTTCAAATATCACTATAAGCCTCCAATGTCATTTGTTACATGTCATTTGTTTTGAGCTTTTGGCACTGAAGAACACTGCAACACTGATTATCCTCATAGTTGTTCATTTAACTGTGTAGATGTGCTTACATTATACATGAAAGGTATCCATCTCAAGAGGTGTATTGGTTGAATTATGGATGAATCACAGCTGGGATATTGCCATATCGTATGGATGTAAGGGGGTACCCTTCAGTCTTCATACATGCATCTGTGTGTGTGGGTGTCTTATGTGGTGGGTCACCTTTTATTTCCTCGTAATATCAGTTCACACTCCCACCATTTGCCTTTGCCTGGAATATTAGAAAATAAAACATTACCAAGGCAATAACATGCTAAATGTCACCACCTGCCATTTGTTACAAATTACAACTGCCAAACACTGTCCACAAAAAACTGGAGACTATATAACAACATGTCACCACTTCTGGTTTATTAGTAATTTTATACAGTGCTGTAATGATCTTGATCAGGACAGGTAGTTTTTCAATCATGATCATAATGAGCATCCCTATGAGAAGTTTCATTTTTCCTGCCTAATTCTTTGTTGAAACCATGAGAGACTCTTTCCATCTCAATTCAACAAGCATAATTCACTCCTCAATCACCAAACTATCTTATTTTTCTTTTGTCTATATGTAGTCAGTCATAAGTACCAAAGTTGTTACCTATTTACGGAGCATAGGGGTACATGGTCAAAATTGCTGAAAATAATCATCAACGCTAAATTGACTGAAGATATCTTAAGTGTATTGATGTTTGGAATAATGTGACTTACCATGTGTTACAGGAGATTTTCCAACTAGAGTAAAGCCTACCCTCGTATAGAGAGGTATGAGATTGGAATGGCATATCAGAACTATTCTATCCACACCGATCTGTGTGTCCTTTACTGCTTCAAGGAATGCTGTTAGGAGAACTGTTCCTACACCCTGAAATACAATTATATTACTCAGGTCAAAAAGCTAGGAGGGTCTCCTTTCTTTGAGGATATTTCATGAAAAATAGTTTGGATCTACAATTTGTTAATTCACTTGCAACCTTTAAACTTCTCCTTCTTCTCTACTTTTTGTTTATTGTTGAACTAACGTAAATGACTTGCTGGATACATTACCACAGCTGGAAAATGAAAAAAATTGTGGAGGGGATGACGAGAAAAAATTCAACAAATCTATTAAATCAGAATGACAAAAATGATGAGATGGTTACGAATATCATACGAGCCTTAAACATTTTACCACACCTTGAGCTTATTCAATTATTGATGATTCATTTGTTGAATTTTATGCAATTGCAAAACATGTTCAATTCCTCTACACACATTAGTTCATTTTACAGCAGTGATTACTTTCCTTTAAGAATTGATAAGATCCTCAAATCATTATGTTGAAAACATGAGTTCAACTAACCTTCCTCCTCATGTCAGGTGCAACACACAGTGAGTGAATACACACAGAACCTGAAAAAGAGAAACATGAAATAAATGAAATCACTTCTATGTCACCCAAAGATAATGAACTGGAGAACTTGCTACCCTCTTACTGTAGATGGGTTTGAATCTGAAGAAAATCCAATGAGTAGTTTACTGTTATGGCAATGATAGGTTTTATGGAAGAACTTCTTAAATGGCTTATCAAAACCAAGATGGCTGCCAAAAGGTTTGTTAAATGTAGAACAAATTAATGAATTAAAAATATCGCCAAATTAAATAGTCACCAAAATCCTTGGGAATATGACATGTCTTTCATTCAGTGCACTTCCAGTTATAAGAAAGATACCAAGATGGTCGGGCCGTTTAAATTTATAGAAACAAGAAATACTGAAGAAATTTATGTAAATAACAAGAAATATTGAAGAAATTGTTGATCAACAACACTGACAATGAGTATATTGAATTTGGTTAGACGACAGGATGTCTGGGACACTTGAAAATCCACCAATTTAAATACACGCCAATATGCCCAAAAACACAAAATCGCCAAATTAAGTAGCACCAAATTAAAGATAAATACAGTAAATACTTCTTTGCAACTTTGAAAAGCCAACATTTCTCATTAAAACCAATGGTGTATACTATAAATACTACTTTGCATCTAAGATAGGCCAACAACATTGTTTGCATATTTTGAAACACTTTATAAAAGAAAATGAAAAAGTTTGAAAAACACTCTATATAAAATATCAAATTATAAATAAAATCAACAACAAAGCCAGGAACTGGAAAATGTCAATGTGCATTGCATGTCAGATATACCACTTATTTTAAATAGTATCTCAATCATCCTTTTATTACTTACTAAAGAGAAATGTAAATAACTTTGTAATGTTAAATTGTTTGTTTTGAGATTACTGTTATATTATAGATAAGAATCCATAAGGGCCCTCTTATGTTCTAAAGTAGGTGAGCAAATATTTGAAAACCCAAATAACAGGATATTCTGGCATGAATGATCAACAATAAAATATGTGTATCTATGATTTTGTTGTAAGACTATCTCATTGGATAACACAAACAACCTTTGAAGATGGTACAAATATTTTCCAATAATGTATCTATGAGTAAAAGTGTGAGATTTATGTTGATTCATGCAGATAGCACTATATACATGTATGTATATATTGTATATTTAAAATAGTTTATTTTAGTACTGGTAGAGAAAAGTTAATTTTAATCAGAAAGTTGGTGTGACTGATAAAACATGTACATATTGTATATCATATTTTCTAAATAAGAGACAGAACTCAACTTTTAATCCTGTTGTCTCAACTCATTTGTTCTTTCTAACCTAATATGGTCTATGGTAAGGGGGGGGGGCATTTTATTCTATGCAATAGATGATGGCAATTTACAATGTAAAATGACATTATTTTACCTCCATTAGGGATGTGCATGTTCATGGACTCCCCAGTCAGTGATGTCCCATGGTATCTTGTTGCACAAATGAACTAGAAAAAAGAAGTGATAAAAGAATATGTTAAGCCAATTTTGCACTGTATGTTTGTACATCTGTTTTGGCAGTTGGTAAAATACATTTCATTTTATAACATTCACTTATCAAAACCATTATTGTTTAGTTGTCTAAAATATAATTTTTTGCGACACTGCACAATGGACATTCTTAATACTTTTGGTACAAACTCATCATTTTTACTTTACCCGGGGCGGACAATATAAAGTCTTCCTAAGCATAAATTATCAGAATGACCCTTACCCCTATCAGGGTGCTACGTATGAAACAGCCAAGAAACAGTTCTGGGGCTTCATCCTGCCTGTAAACTAGCATTTGTCTTGAGGCAGCCTCTTCTTTGGGATACCCTAAATAAATAAAAAAGAACAAGATAAATAAAAAATAAAAATGAAAAATACGAAATTGTTGTACAAAGAAATTTTCTTAGTACTTAGTAATTCTTAGAAGGTGTGAACTGAAAACAAGAATAAACTTCCAATATTTATACATAAATAGATATTCTATTGACATTTGAATGTTGTTACAACGCTTTTGTGGGTATATTTCTCTTTAAATATACTCTCTCTCTGAAAATGAAACAGAGTTATATGCTTATAAAAGAAAGCATTTAAGGATGTTTGTTCAATGTCAATAAGCCTTAACAAAAGAACTTAAGGTATATTACACATGTTTTATGAGTTGAAATGATATTATGAAGAATTACCATTGCTAGGCAAATAATTTTCAAAGAATTTAAATAGGATTATTATTGCAAGGAGCCAAGTCTATTGATATCCAGTAATAAACTGGACATTGCTGGGTAGCCTATATAAGATTCCCCAAAATACTTGAATGATTCGTGTTCCATATAATGTACATACATTTAATGTGCACAATACTTCAAGTTCAAAAAATCTTGTCAACTCATGTGAATATTATCTACTTTACTAATTAAAAAAGCAATTAATTAGTTAACATGTACTTTCAAAACCTACAGAGATAAAACTTAAATTTTAAATGTACTGTTTCAACAGGACTGAGATGAAGTTTATATACACCCTTATAAATGACGATGTATAAACTTCTTATCTCAATGATAACAGCCATCAATAGCAGAGGTCTAATGACAATAAATACTAGTAGTTTGTAGATTGAAATAGGTAGAATCAGATAAAGGTACATCTTTTCCAATAGCAGAATACATATGTTTTGTCTTATTGATTATGTGCATAGTTCTTGTTAGGTCGAGTTCTGCTCTAGTTTTGAAAATGCCACTTCAGTTTAATTACATGTGTATGCAGCCGCAGGGAAATATACGAGTACAGCATTTGGAAGAGCTTAGAGTAGACATTTCTAGTATTTCTGTATCCAGAATTGTAATACATGTATATGAACTATTAACTGTTTGATTAACTGACATTATATCATGAATCAGTTTGAGGTAATATATTGGAGATACATTTAGATTTTCTATACGACAGACCTTTAATACCATTTTAATTAGACCATCATTCCAATTAGCCAGATGCCACTTGAAACAAAATGTAAAATGTTTTTCTTCCCTTCCAACCTTTCTAAAGAGGTCACAACCTTCCTAAATATCTATGAGGGTTATACTTATGGCTTACTGCATGAACTTCAGCTTGCTATAAAAATCAGAGAGCTCAGGAGACGAGAAGGGGCGTATAGCCATCAAATGTCACGGGATGCGATTTTTGAGTTTGCATCAGAAGTGAACATACTGTACTATATGGTGCATTCTAAGCATTTCAAATTATAATTTGTTAATATTTTTTCAACAAATTTTACCAAATAACTTTTTTCTTTTTTGTGCGGGTGGGGGTTTTGGATTCATTGCAACCATCACCCACCCCCCCCCCCCCCCCTCCTCCTGGCTAGTGGCTACGCCCATGAAATGTACCAGGTAATTATGTCACGACTGCTATTGACGATGATGAAGCTTCATGAACATGGTACAAACAAACATTTGCCCTTGATCACCGAACAGTTACTGAAGCACTGGCGGATCTGGGGGGGAGGCCAGGGGCCCGGGCCCCCCCCCCCTTGGGTGGGCCCAGAAAAAAAAATTGTGCCCAAAAAAAATTTTTAACCAAAAAAGGCCTCAAGGCCCCAAAAAGTAGGCCTTTTTGGTCATAAATTGGCCTTCTAAGGCCTTATCTTTTAATTTTAGGCCAAATTTTGAAGAAAACGGGCTTCAAAATTTCAAAATTTGGGCCAACTTTGGGGTTTTAGGTGCCCAAAATTTTTTCCGTTTTTTTCTTAGACCAGAAGTTTGCCCCCCCCCTTGTTGGTTCCCAGATCCGCCCCTGCTGTAACATTGTAACACCTTGAAGTGTAAACTGTACTGTACATAGGCCCACTGTAGAGTCCATTTCACTGCTTCAGTTCGTCAGTAGAACGGCAAAAATAAGAAATTGGGAGACCATTGTACAATAATATATGGAAAAGTATATTCATAATGTACATGAATGACATTTGTATATCTTGGATTGCTTCTAGTTTGGCTTATAAAGTGTGTGGCCTCTTATATTTGGATGTTTCTATGCCATGTTATTTTCAATAAGATTAACATGGCTGATATTCTTCAAATTACAAGACGGCACAGGTTTATTGCACAAAAAACTAAAAAATCTGAAATATACAAATGTCATTCATGTACATTATGAATATACTTTTCCATATATTATTGCACAATGGTCTCCCAATTTCTTATTTTTGCCGTTCTACTGACGAACTGAAGCAGTGAAATGGACTCTAGCTTAGTATGTATCCAACAGACCGAATATAATATTCGGTCTGAATATTTATTCAGACGAAGGATACAGTCTACACTGTAGCTGGTGATCACTCATGTGTATACTGGTTCAGATTTCTGTCTTTCTATGTTATGGCTGGCTACATTTGACTTTATATATGGTTCAGTAGACTGAAGCCTCCCTTTGCAAAATCACAACAGATTTGCAATTTTGATGTGTTATGTTTTTAATTTGATACAAGAAAACTGCACTCTTTACCTATTTTCTCCAATTGATATGCCTTTTCCACATCTTTCTTTGATATTGGGTAGATCTCATAGGCCATCGTTTATTTAATATTTACAATTTCCCTTTACAAGTCAATAATTTGTTCACTATAATCCCAAAGAGCTATGACTCACAGTCAGCACTATCAATGGTATACTTTACCTTTAGTAATAGAAGAGAGAAGTTCAAAAGCTGTTTGTCACGATATTTACCGATCCATCCACTCTCTCCAATACGCATGCGCAGCCCGATGTAAAAAATAAGGCAGTGACTGGAGAGCCTAAAATTTTAGGCTCTTTAGCAATTTGGTAACCCATTTGGCTAAAGAGCCTTAAATTTTAAGGTTCTTTGGCATTTCGGCTAGAAAGCCTTAAATAGGGTCTTTAGCATTTTGATTGCCAATTTTGCTAGAGAGCCAGCCTTAAAGGAATTCTAAGTGACGGAAATGACAAAATATTGCTTCTGGGACGAGATCAAACGATTTTGACATATTTTTACTCAACCTGTTTTGTAATTTAACAATCAACACAAATTAACATACTATATTTAAGCAGATACCGGAGATATTCATAAAAATATATTTTTTTGATCGATAAACTCACCGATTATTAAACCGGAAGTGTCTTCTCTGAGGTCCGCGAAGAAAACGAAGAAGGAAACATACAACGATTTTATTCATTTCACTTTTGCAGTGGATTTGATTTTAAATGCTTCTAAATGATCCTTGAATGCTTACTTTGACTTCCTATAAGAACTGTTTTGACTTCCCCACTTCATAAAACGAACATTATCACTTTTTACTCGACTCGTAAATTTACTTCCGGTCTACCGAAAAAAAGTTCTTATAACCTTTTCAATCCTCAGTCTAAATTTGGCTTTTTAAAGGTTCAGTAACCTTCGTGGTGCGGCAACTTGGAGCAGTCATATACTTGTTCAATTTTACTAATCAGTAAAGATTTTGATGTTTAGAATAGGCCCTTGGGAGAATGGTGTTGAGGTCACATTTAGTGATGCCCAATTGGAGGCTAGCTTAAAAAAACGTTGATACAAATGAAGGACTTTTGAAGGGGAAGTTTTTGCAAAAAATTGAAAAAATATTTTGTGCCTCTTGTCATTTGAAAATCCTAAAAATCGGCATGGGAATCTAATAGGCAATAGATTTGGAAGTGTATTCTCTGATGTCCCCGGGCTGGTGTCCCTACATTCCCGATAAACTGCATCATGATGTGCTGTATCTAGAATTCAACAAGATCATTTTCTTCATCCCAAAGTCTCCTTCATACTTTTTGCCACCTTCAAATGGGATTCCCCGTATGCTGTAAGCTTGTGAATATAGTAAAGCCAATACAAGTGATTAATTTCATTAAACATGGATGGTTGAGCGTTGGAGCGAGCCCATGAATTTTAAAAAAATTGTGTACATAATATCCGGACCTCAGAGAACAAACTTCATAATGAAAAAAATTGTACCAACATTGAATCGAACCTGCGCCGTGGGAGTATTAGGCGAACGCCATAACCACAAAACTAGAGTGTGTTTTCTTTTTGTAAAATCTATATTTCAATAATAAAACATATGTAAATAATATAATTATACATAGACCCAGTTACATTGTTTAATTTCTGTACAGTTTTTCATTTTCAAAATATGCATGCATACTTCCAGTTTTGTCTCTATTGAAAAATTGTATTTCCCTCCTGGTCATTAAAACTTCTTTATAATTCTTATACTTAGTTATTCATATAATTTGTTCAAAAGTGATATTATCAAAAAAATTCCATATATCCCTTATTTTTGTACACTCATAAAAATTATGTTTAACATTGTCAATTACATTACAATTTTAAAAAGAAATATCTCTAATTCTAAAACCATTTAAAATCTCATTACATGGATATACGTTGTGTAATGTTTTCCAATGAATAATTAAGAGTTTGGTATCTACTTTGCACTCAAATGCTCTAATCCAAGTTGCACATGAAATATCCTTACCATTATACTGTAGAAACAATTTTCTTTTATCTGTACATATAATCCAAAATCTGATGTTTCATAACATATTATCTCTATACCATTTAAATATACTAGAGTGGCTTGTACAGACATTACCTTTAAGGCTCTTTGGCCGAAGTGCTAAAGAACCTTAAAATGTAGGCTCTCCAGTCACTGCCTTATTTTTAACATCGCTGCACATGCGTATTGGAGGGAGTGGAGGGATCGAGTGTGAGTTTGGACCAACTTTTGCAAGTTTGACCAGGAAATCACCTTTCATTTGGTATGTTAGTAACCTTTTTGATCGTATTGGTATGTAAGAATCATATATATGTCGAAATATAAGCATAAATGTCACAGTTTGAAGGATAAATGTCAGAATATTTACCGGAAGTGTTTATATTTCCAAAGAGCTTTCGGACTTTTCTCTTCTATTACTAAAGGTAGATTGATGGTGATGACTTTGCTATGACTAATACATCTGAAGATGTAGAGTTTGATTTGAATCTTGAATCTTGCTTCTGAACTTGAAAGGAGCATAGTTGAATTTATATCCATTGTTCAAGGAGTGCCAAATATCTCAATGTAAATTAACTAAGAAATATGTGATTTTATGTCTAATAAATATAGAAACATATCAAATACGATTTCACAGACATGTTTTATCCATTAAATATAGTTTATATCATATTTCGAACACAGCGAAAATGACAACACTGAATGATCAGTAAGTACTTCCGGTTCAAAAATGTGGAAAAATGAAATTTTCCAAATTTCTCGATATTTTGGTGTTTCTTGCGGTAATGTGACGCTCGATGAACAGTTCAGGGTATGTTAAATACTTTCATGTAAAAATTATTGATAATTATTCCCATATAATACTTAAAAGGATCGTCGAATGGGCACATTGGACATTTAAAGGATTTGTTTTTAGAAAATAAAAAATAAAATCACGGCCATGCAATTATTATCAATATATTATATCATTTATAGATAAATGTTAGATTCTTTATAGATTCTAATCATTTATGAAAATCATTTTGGTGTCTAATTTAATACTAAAACTCCCCATACAAACCTGTATCAGGCCTGTCAACTGTCCCGCAATTTGCGTATTTGTCACGCATTTGCTGAAGAATTTGAAGTCACGCCAGTTTTTTTTGCGTGACACAAAATGTCACGCAAATACGCATTTTACCTGGTAATTGTCACGCAAATATGTTTCTGTAAAAAATTTTTCAAAATATGTTTATGATACGGTAAAAATACGAACGTCGGAAAAAAAACGAACGCAATTTGTTCGGATTTGTCACGCGAATCCCGTATATGTCACGCATGTTCATTGGAAATTTTCGCCCCCCCCCCCCCCCCCCCCCCCCCCCCTGGGGAATTCCCCTTCCGACATTTTGAAAATTGCTGATATATTTCCAATGTAAAAACTAAAATCTCTTCGTTCTGCCGATAAACCCATACAATTGGCGATCTAACAACATAAAAAGAATACTAAAATTCAAATCCTTTATCCGTTGGTTTGTCAGTTGGTTCATTTTTTCATTCATTTCTCCATTCATTCTTTTGTTTGCAAGCAATGCAAGCAATCCAGCATCAATAATTTGAATGTGAAAATGGTGGTTTCGTTGACAGGTCATCTTAACACCAAGTCAACTCAACCCAGTAAAACCAAACCCCAATTCAAATCAACCCCAGTAAAACTCAGCTTCTGTAAAACTCAACCCCAAGTCAAGTCAACCCTGTAAAACTCAACCCCATTCATTTCTGCAATTTCTTTATTTCTCTAGTCATTGCATATTTTCATATTAGGAAAATACAATTCTGGCAATTAACAATGTTTTTTAACAATGTTAATGTTTTAACAAAATTATTAATGATCAACCTGAAAGGTATTACAAAAAACAAACTTATTTACAATATTCAAAATTAAAATAAAGATGACATGTGAAATAAGATTGAATCACATTAATTCCCTGTATTAACCCCTCGATAATTCTTCAGCATTTAGCAGTTGCTGTTAATCCCACATATTAATCCTATTAGCAAAAAAAATATGAATAATTAATTATTACTGTTTCATTGGGGAAGATTTAAAGTAAGTCCTTTCTCATTAAGTGTTAGTCTAGCTCCAAGCCCTTGCCAACAAGTGTGTCTGTGTGAGGTGAAGGGGGGGGGTTACAGAGGCTTGTAGCTAGACTTATTAAGTGTCTTGCTGTCTAATTTTTTGTTTATTGTACCACAGTACTATATGTCTGTTTTTTATTATTTGCAGATTCCATGTCTCACTGTTAAAGATGGCAATAAAGTTAAAGGAATTGCAACAATAGCTAAATATATTGCAAAGAATTGTAAACAACAAAATGGTATTTTAGGTAAATATTGACTCTGAATATACATTTGAAAATAAGTTGCATTTTCAATGTTTTTGAAAATCTATGTATGATAATTTTTACTAAAATAGGCCTATAAGAACAGACATTTTTACCTGACAAGTGGGGAAATGTCCTCAACATCACACTGTGCTATTTTCATAATTTCATTATGGTATCCCACTTTTAATTGCATTTCTTGGAAAGTGAAACAATGTCATTGTCTTTTGCTGATGGGCATGCATGTGGGCAGCATTTACATTTTGTCATCAAGATCACAAGGAAAATGTTCAATTTTTCAAAAGTTCAAATCTCATCATTCTCTGAATCCCCCCCCATGTTCTGTAATAGAGTAAACTCATGTATAGTAAGTTCATCTGTCTAATGTCATCTTTGTCAATGGCACGCTGCACCTTAACCTCTAGTACATGTCATTTTGGGGGTTTATTTGATCTAATAAACCACTGTAAAGACATTGTTACCTAGTAGTATCCCATTTATAGCCTGATAACAGTGGACAAATGTTTTAGAAAACACAAAATGCAATGGAGTACCAGGTAATGAAAAAAGTCCTTGTGGATTTAGTTGACAATTTCGCGAAGATTAATTTTCGCGATTTTACCATAATCACGAAAAACGTGAAACTAAATCACACGCAAAAAAATACAGAGTACAGTATATTTTTTTCATCTCAATTCCAGGAAAGTGTTTTGATTCAATCAAAATTATACAGTTGTCAGATATTGATTTGTCTTGTTATCACTTGTAACTGGTGCTGGAAGTTTTTTCCTGTATAAATTGTAGATTATCCTGTCACAATCAAACTATTCATTCAAATAGTATATAAATGATCATTCTGATACTCATAGTATCTTTCTGTTTCACCAGAAACAAGGCTGAGAAGAAATCAGATGTCATTTATCATGATGATAAATGCCTGAATAAATGACTGAACTTGACTGAATATAGTAATCAGGGGGCCATTAACAGAAACAAATTCGTAAAGTCCATTGTTCTCTTACTGTGATGTCATTATATCCATGGTCACAACAATTGATTTTTGAATTCCTTACTTTACAAAGTTTCTGTTAATGACCCCCAGTCCCACAGACTAACATTTTAAGAGTAAAATCCAAGAAACCTATGAGAGTAATATGTGATTAATTTCTTCTTATGTTGTTTTTGCAGGCGCCTCTCTAGAAGATCAAGCGAATGTAGACCAATGGCTAGAATTCAGATCATCTAGACTTGACAGATATGGAACTGAAAAAGATCTTTCCTCAGTGTTAAAGGTATGTAACTGCGTGGTTTGTCATGCAGGAAGATCTTCCCGGAATCAATCTAAAGTATCCAAGTAAAAAACTAAAGTCAAATCTTCCATAAAATAGTAGTATATAAAGCCTTTAAAAGGTACAATATTGTTGTACTATATCAGCTTTGTGAATGGTGGCATTGTCTTGGAATCAACCAAAAGTATCCAAATAAATAAATTCTCATTTTATGGTTCTTAATGAGGTTCCTGTTGAAAGATCCCTTGAAATTATCAAGGAGAAGTTAAAGCTACTGAAACCTTGTGAATCAAGATGTGGTGGTATCTCACTTCTCTTGTCTGTACATTCCAGAAATGTTTCTTGGTTTGAAAATCTCAACTTGTTGGTTTTTGTGCATGCTGGGTAAGGGTTTTTAGGTATGATGTTGTTCAGTTCGAATTACCAGAAAAGTGAGAGACCACATCTGGTTTAAAAATCTGATAAGCCACCAAAAGATACATGCTGTATTTAGTCTTGGAAAGGAGTTCATCCAAACAGGCCTAAGGATATTAAATTGTTAAAAAAACAGTCAAATGTAAATTCTGTGAAAGAAGTTGCGATTCAACAATACACAAAAGAATAACAACATCATATACAGTACATGTACTTACAAATGTCAAATATTGATTACTAAAACAAGGGCATTGGTAATGTTTTAGTTTATTTATTTTAAAATACATGTCAGCGAATATTGCATATTGTTTCATGTGTCTGAATGCTTGAATTGTTTATAATTGTAGGAGCTGAATAGTTATCTGAGTAGTAGGACATTCCTTGTGGGCTCCAGTGTTACACTTGCAGACCTCCTTATGTTCTATGGACTTCATTCAGTATATGTGAGTTGGTATACAGAGTATAGTTATTTTACATATATTGATAATCCAAATTGTAATTGTGGAGCTCCTCAGACAGAAAAACACTTTTTCTTTCAATGTCCTCTCATCAAAGGAAGTATAACCAAATTAAAAACTGATATTATGGATACAACTGGTTCTTCAGACGAACACTCAACTCAGAATGATCTGCTTTACTTAATGAAACATGGTTCTGAAAAATTTTCCCTTGATTTAAATTCAAAACTCCAAACCCTAATTGCTGAATTCATTGAAACAAACCTATGAGCTCTTTCCCCTCCTTAACAGTACTTTAAATAATTTTGTCCACAGAGATAGGTCCACCCCATGGTCAACCTCAAGTGCAGTATTAACCCCCTTGACCTTAGTCATATTGTATTTGTATAATCTTACTGTACCCTTCTATAATGCCATTGGGCGATTGAAGGGATGTATAATGTTATATCTTGTAATGAAATAAATTTATCTTAATAAAAAAAAAAAAAAAGTATAGTTATTATATTACGCAATATTATGTTAGGTTTTGTTAAAGAAAAGCCAGAAAATAACAGCACATACCTAGCTATATAAATATGTTACATACAGTGATACGTTAGTGCCTTGATTGGTTTAGTGCCTTGATGGATGCTCAATTTTATTCTTATATTCTGGATCTTTAAGCCCTGTCTTTTGAGGTTAAGTCAACCATAATTTGTGTTTGATTCAATTTTTATAAGCTATTCATGTTCATGTTTCAGAGCGATCTCAGTTATTTTGATAAACAGCGGTATATGCATCTCTCCCGGTGGTTCAGAATGGTGAGTAGCCATTAAACATGTTTTATGTCATCATTTGGTGCTACATTGTAATCAGTTCATTTTTATAGTTCATTATTATACATGTATGTACATATACATGACATGTATTTATGTTTTGCAGATGCAGCTCACTTCAGGAGTAAAACAAAAGTTAGAGACAATTCCCTTCCAAAGAAACCTTATATACCCCTGTCATGGTGTAGCTCATTGATGCTACCCTTACTATAGAACTACACAAATACAACTACTGGTGTACAGGGTCACACCTTCATTTACTCTTTTGTGTGTGGATTTGTTGTTTTACTGGCTACTTGAATTTGCCTTTAGCATGTTATTATATCTAAAATTGAATGAGCCAATGGAGCCCTACAATGAGTTATCCAGTTTAAACTTTACATAGAAGAAATATGAACAATATGCAATAAATTCAAAATTTTATACAGCAGCTGTACAGTATTTATATGAACTTCATCTCACCATGGAGCCTTTATTATCAACTATGACTAGGTTTCTTGTATTAAGTGTCCCCCCCTCCCTCTCTAGGTAAGGTAAATACAGGGATTTGATTCAAGGCATTCAAATCATAATTGGAATAAAAATTGTCAACTTTAACATCTAAAGTATAGTATTGTAAAACCAAGTTGGATTAGTTGAGATGTTATATAATCATTCATTGCAACCTAAGAAAATAATGTTACCATTGCAAATAACAACTTCACTAGCAAAGCATATATCTTTGTGCAGATGTTAAATGTATAATGCAACTATTAAACTAAACTGAGAGATTTTAAGAGAAAATTCCATATTCAAATGTAATAACAAGTCAGTTTGGGAGTAATAATTTGTAATATCAGGTAAATGAAGCAGTATTTTATTTATACTGTCTAATGATGTCATGTGTAAGAAGAATAAATGCAATAAATAAAATTACAAAATGATAATGTTGTGTCATATGTAATATGTATTTTGCAAGTTGGAAGTACTTGCTTGAATAACGCTGATAGAGAACCCATAATGAGGGCAGAGCTATCTGTGTCTATCTATTCTTCTCTTTCTACCAGTGTGCCATCTTTATATCGACCTAAAACCTCGGAACTTGTTGAAATACTAGTAAGTTTTCAAACATGACAAAGCGTCCACATTTATTATTAGTTCAGCCCTGTATCTAGCTTTGCCAAGGGGGTTCACTTTTTAAAAAATTCTAGGGGGAGTTCAAATTTGACCCAAAATCACTTGAAAAGTGCACAAAATGGTGAAAAAGTCCATGAATTCTAAAGAATGTCCGGCCAACGAGGGGTGAGGTTCGCTCGCACAAGAACCCTCTTGACTACCGAGCTGTAGTTGCAAGTTTTTGAGAAATGTTTTTCAAATACATAGAAGGCATTTAATGATTTGTTCTTATATTGAATTGTATCAAAATCGACTTGCTGAATCTTTGATCATGGTCTATTTCTATTTGTTTAAGATGCAACAGGCACATTTGCCCACTATGCAAATTTCAATACATACATTTATATAAATATTAATAATAAATTGTCTATGAGTGTAAAAAGTTACTAAAATAGTTAATGTAAAATGCATTGGTTGACCATGGGCTAATGGTAAAATAAGTTTACTAAAAATTGTCCTTTTATATACATGAACTGACCTGCAGTTATCTACATATTTCTAAGATGGTTAATCACAGAATGTTTAAATGTTGGCTCTTGTGAGTCTAAAATGTTCCCAGGTAATTTATTCCAATCCACTATTGTTCTTGGTATGAAACTATATTTATATAAGTCTGTCCTGGTATTGGGGATTATGAATTTGAGGGGATGAGTTCCTTGTTGTGACGAATTTTACTTCAAAACAATCAACCTTTCATTCATTATATAAGAATAAAAATTCAGATAATATAAAGTAAATTATCACTTTTTGGGTAAATGATTATGACATAAGATTAACATGTGAAATGCATGTCTCGTATACATGAATATTAGGAGATAGAAGATACGTTTCACATTTCGTGATTTGAATAACCCCGCCATAACTAACTTCCGCATCCGGGTCTCTCATCTAAAATGGCTGCCCGCGCCACAAAGTAATTTTCGGAATTTCAATATTATTTTCCAAAATACTAACGTATTTGACGGTTATTCAATTGTACCATTGCCACACAAAGATAGCATAATGTCTAAAGAATCTGAAAATTATGTTGTGTCGACTGTAGACCTTGTGTTACCTAAGCAAGTTGTGGATTGTGCTCACAAAATGTTACCGAATACGCAGTTCAAGTTGATTGCCATGGATCAGAGGGAAAACACCACATCGGAGATTAAGTTGTTCAAACAGGGTGACGAGTCTGTGAAGATAAATATAGTGGGTAAGTTTTAGGGCAAACTGATTTTCGTCTGCTATGCTGTACTTGGGGTGTATCATGACACCCCATAAATTTATCACACCCAAACATTTTTATGAGTAAATCCTGCTAGAGGATTACCCATATATTATTCTTGATTTAGATCAGTGCAACAATCAGTTTTGTGTAAAAAATTTTAGAACATTTCCATCATGGCGTAATATATGCCACACCCTCAGGCCTGTACCCAGGATTTGACATAGGAGATAGGTTACCTGAAAAAGAAGATAGATATTATATCTCTTCTCTAAACAAGGACTGTCAGAGAGGTAATTGCCTACCCTGGCAGAAATCAGCTCTGAAATGACAATCTGCATGTCCGGCCTTCATTCAAGGCTGATTTTGTAGAAAACAGATCTGTCGATCCCACATGGGAGTTTTTACCCTACTACTTTTTTCAAGGCCTGACTGCGTCGCTAACATGCTAAATATAAGAGTTAGCTGACGTTTGGGAGTCTGACTTACCTTCTAAAGGTTAGAACCCGAATCTTAATGAAACCATATCACCTTTGTTCCGTCAACCATGGAGCATTTGCCACAACATCCAAGAGGTAAATCATGGATCGAGAAAATGAATGATTTCCTTGTAAGTTCCGGAAGTTTCAATACGAAAAATTACCGAACATATGTGAAAACCGAATATTTGTTCGTTGTTTTCACGATTTACAGGTTCGTTTGTTCTTCAATGTTTTGGTCTAAATTATAAAGCATCACCAACAGGTCTTACTCTATTAATCGACTAATACAGCAGACGGCTCATATTTCTACGTAGCATTTCATTCAGACCAATAGTGGGAGTGTAGATCACGCAGTTTCGTTCGTTGCGTACTTCACTTGAAATTGGTAATTTTAAATATTGACTACTTCACTTAGCTTGGCGGATGTAGAACATTGCTTAATATTCTTTTAATTTTCACACCAGACATGCTTGGTTGACACGTCAACAAAGTAAAGTTCAAGGGTCAATGCGTTATTTCGTGATAACTACAACGCCTTCCCGGAAGTCAACATTGATGAAAAATGAAAAAGTCGGAAAAGCATTTACGCTAATTTCTATCAAATGCTATGTTTATGCATCATCATCGACGCAACAAAGGTGATATGGTTTCATTAAGATTCGGGTTCTAACCTTTAGAAGGTAAGTCAGACTCCCAAACGTCAGCTAACTCTTATATTTAGCATGTTAGCGACGCAGTCAGGCCTTGAAAAAAGTAGTAAAGATACATGCTTGAGTAGAAATTAATATATCGTTATGTTTTTATGTTTTGATTTCTTGCCGCGAATTTAAAACGGAAGTGAACGTTAAGTACAGACTGAATAAATGCATGTTCGTTCATTCGACAATGAATATATTTTATTTCATGAATAACCTAATATTTGTTTCTGAATAGGAAAAACGGTGGCATGTCATGGTTTCAAATCTAAAAATAAACAAAGTCGAAAAAATTCGAGAGAATCATGATTATTTGTAAATATTCAACATGTTGAGCCTTATTTACGATTCAAATAAAGGTGAGAGATCATAATTATTTGTTTTTGTTAGGTATCGTTGTAAACACATTGTAGTATTGACCTAAAAAAAAATCGCGTCCTAAAAACGGAAATATTTTCAATTTTTGCGTCCTCCAAATTATTTTTGAGTCCTTAACATGTACGGGACGCCGTTAATGCAAGCCCTGGTATATTCATAATGTACATGAATGACATTTGTATATTTCAGATTTTTTAGTTTTTTGTGCAATAAGCCTGTGCCATCTTGTAATTTGAAGAATTCCCGCCATGTTAATCTTATTGAAAATAACATGGCAGAGAAGCATCCAAATATAAGAGGCCACACACTTTATAAGCCAAACTAGAAGCAACCCAAGATAAACAAATGTCATTCATGTACAATAGGAATATAGTTTTCCATATATTATTGCAAAATGTTATTTTGATTTCTTATTTTTAGCTTTTACTGACGCAGTTAAACAGTGAAATGGACTCTAAATAATAAGGAATCATGACAACTTTGCAATATTATATGGAACAGTTCATATTTGCAAAACGTTTGTTTATTTCATTTGGATTGCTTGTGGTTTGGCTTACAAATACGGACCTCTTCTCCGATATGTAATTTTCAAAAAAGTATCAATCCGAAGCTCCATAAATTGCATGAGGCTACTGGCTTACTACACATGAATAATTCATCTGAAACACAAAATTGTTGTCTAAAATGTGAATGTATTTTTTCATATGATATTGCACATGGTTCTTTGATTGCTTGTTATCCCATTGAACAAAGTTTGGTAGGGATATTATAGTCATTGAAGTCGACCATCTGTCTACCTTCTATTATAATATTCTATTTACCGGTATTTAGAAATGAGTCATCCTTTATCTCAACTAAAGTAGAACCTCTGAGATGGGAAATCTAATTTGACATTTCTTACATGAAACATTTTTTTGTTGTTTCAGTGAAAGGACGTAAGGTAAAGATTCACCAAGATGACACACCCAAAGATGTTCAGGAAACCTCAGGTATTATACTATGGTTGTCAATGAAATACTAATACTTATAGTACCACATATACCTAGAAGATGCTTTCTACTTCAAGGCATTTCATCCCTTGGACATTTCACCCCATTTTACCTCTTAAACATTTCCTAGACATTTTACCTCTTAAACTTTACACCCCGTGAATAATTCAGACCCTTGACATTTCACCATCAATATTTCAATATTTTATTCCTACATAATTCATTGCAAGATTTATCATCATCAGACCTGAGTAGTGAGTATTAATAGTGCATATTATGTATTATCTAAGACATTTCTTATCACCACATTTCGCTTTTAAGTTAAATATAATTGATTATAGGGTGGCTGATGTAGCTCCAACATGAATATGTACAAAATTACTAGCAGTATCTTGAATAGGAAATCGAATACTTGTGTAAATTCAGTTAAAATTCAGTAATAACCCAATCCATGACATTTTACATTTACAGAGTCCCAAATTCAAAATTTTGGATAATTTATTTGTCTTGATTTTATCCCACTTAAAAGTGCTTAAAAGTGAGGCAAGTGAAAACTCACACCCTTGCAATGTTCATCAAAATAAAACCATGTACATGTAGTGTAATTTCTCCAAATATTAAAAAAAGTGAACAATAAATGTTTAATCATCATCTATCTGAAATATGATGCCAATAAAAATTGATGATATGAGAGCAAAAATTTCAAGACTTTTTGGACAACCCTCGTATATACTTATATATGGGGATGAAACATCCAGAGGGTGAAATGTCTGAGGATCAAATGTCAAGGGGTGTAATGTCTACCAGTCAATCTATGAATTCTCTTTTGTTCCCTTTTTGTCATATTAAAAAAAATCAAGTTTGTTAAAGTATAATCGTTTTATTATGTACTGCACAAAATCATTTTCATCAATTTGACATATGAAACTAAAGTACCTCCCTGCCACTTGGAAAATGAAACTCTAAATGTAACACTGGTCTTATATATTATTCTAGAACACAATGTTGAAGGTGATGCTGATGAATGCGATGTTGGTAAAGACCAGTCACCAACGCCTGAAACATCTACAGGTTAGTCAGAATGAAAGGCAAAACAGATATAACTATACTTCTCATTTACTCATGCGAATAATAAGATTTCTAATGTATATCCAGCGAACTGATATTTTATTGGCAGATGTATTTACTGGAATGTATGTCTTGTTTACTTATAATATTTATAATAATTGCTGAATGTTATGTCAGTCATACAACATGTAGCTTTGTCATAATTTACACATCAGACATCTTGGATAAGTTCTAAGTAAGGTTGAATTTCTGATTGAATACTACTAAAATGACTAGTTGTTCAACTTCAAAGTGAATCTGAATATTGCACATACACTATTTGGACAACTTTTGTATGTTTGACTTCCAGGTGATGCCTCATCGGTGCGGAGATCTGGTCGGAAACGTAAAGCAAGTGCTGTGATACGGCAAGCAGGTATAGCATCCCTTTCTGAGACATTTGATGAAGAAGATGACATTGAACCGCCCTCTCCATCTACCCCACAGGCAACTCCAACTAAGAAACCTCGTAATATCTCCACCCATACTGTAGTACATGATAAGGACAGTGAAGTTAATGAAGCAGTCGCTGCAGCTGAAAATATACATGGACATGGTCCAGAGTTTATAGTACGCGAAGACGATGAGGTTGATATGCCAATGGGTGCTGGTGCATCACCACGCATCCAACAGAACTCAAAATGTAAAATGTGCGCTAAAAGCTTCAAGAGTATCTGGATGTTTAACAAACATCTTGATGATGTACATGTAGATGACCCAGGTTTCGCAGAGTATAAAAATGAGATTGAAGTTGAGCGTAAATTAACAATGAAAAAACCATCATACAAACGTGAATTCAACGTTCCATGTAAGTTTTGTAAGAAGTTGTTTAAAGAGGAAGCAAGTGTACTTGAACATACCATAATGAAGCACAGTGAGGAAGAATTCTTTGAGGAATACCAAGAGGAGCTTAAGGAAAGAATGAAGAGCACCTGTATTGAGTGTGGCAAAGTGTTAAGCAGTCGCTACCTGCTGAAGCAGCATCTACATTTGATACACGAGATACGTGAACCTCAACAATGTCAGATATGTGGTAATTATTATAAAGATTCTGAGAGACTTCAGCTTCATATTAAGAGGACCCATGAGACTCCTGCAGGTCGGCATTTATGTCATCTCTGTCCCTTGGGCTTCAAGCACCCAGAGTATCTTAAAGACCATGTCAACAGTGTTCATTATAAAAACTGTAAACAGACTTGTAATATATGTGGCAAGGAACTAGCCTCCAAACGAATACTACGTTCACATATGAAAACTCACTCTGATCAAAAAGATTTCCAGTGTGGTGAATGTGGTCGAGAGTTTAATGTGCGTCGAAATCTTCTCCGTCATATTATGTTAGTCCACAAGCGTAATGAGATTGACTTCATGTCCTGTCCCCATTGTGAACGAAAATTCAGTGCGAGAAGCAACTTGGCTCAACATATTAAAACAGTCCATGAGGGCCAAGGTGGTAAAATGATTTGTGAAATCTGTAATCTGAAATTTCGTCGCAAAGCTGAATTTGACCTCCATATGTCTAACCATAGCACTCAGTCACGTAACTTCAAGTTGATGACTGTTGGTGGTAAAGAAGTTACCGCCGTCAATGAGGGCCAACCACTCTACATTCAGATGGTAATGGATGAATCAAACCCAGATTCTTCGGAAAAGGTGTTTTACACTGTTAACATGGATAATCCAGAAAATCCAGGAGAGACAATAGTTGTAGAAAATGTAGAAAGTCTGCCTGTGAGTGAAGATGCAAATGGAATTGAAAGCGTTCATATTCTAGAAAATGGGGAAGAAGTCCATATGCCTGAAGGGGCACAGATGATTCAGCAACCAGATGGAAGCATCCATTATACCATTCCCAATTCTGTTAATCTATCAGAGGAAACAATTGCTAACTCAATAGCACCATCAATTTCTTCTGAAAGTGTGGTAACTACGGAAACTGCTACTCAAGATGTTGCAGCCATCTTGTCCAGTTTAGGTGGTGCAGCGAGTGGAGTTAATGTTGAGGATGCTAATACAGCAGCCAATATCCTTGCAGATATAAATGCTGATATGGATACCCAGACAGGAGTACTTCTAGCAATGAAAGACTCTGATGAAAAAGTTATTTTGGTGTCTGATATCAATCAAGTATGAATTGTCTCAGGACAGAAACCTGTAAGATAAACATAATCAAATGGGTATTGGAAGCTATATTGGAAAAATTAACTCTCATGAACTTGTTTCATCAGCTTGTGCACGCTGGCTTGACAGTCAGTAGTGGTAGTCTCCTTTAGTAGATGCCTTCCTTCTACATAGACATGGGATTGAAATATATATTGTATTTATTCTACATGTATATATATTTGCAAGTTTTCACTACAAGTTGTTATGGTATAATGTTATAATTTATGCATAGAATGAATGTATAAATCTGATAGTGTAATATAAATGAAGGCAGTAATGTATTTTATGTATAAATTAGAGGTTTGAATTATTGAACAATACTCGAGTACATTCATGGGATTAGTCGATTTGACAGCTTGAAGATCTGTAAATATATAAAGGTACCTTGTTGGACACAATACGTGACCACTGATATTTGATTTGATTTGATAAATTCATGTACGATGTACTGTTCAATGATGATACATTTTGTTCTACATACATGTTACTTTGTATATATCTATATGATCTATATGACCATTCTGTTGTATATGACTGCTATTTGTTATGGGTATCAGGCCTCGCGCTTAACTTTTTTTATCAGGTAGTTGTTTCACTACTTAGTGAATTTTCCAGGTAGCTATGCTAGGTAGTGATGATTTTGATGAAAGTTGTCTTTATTCTTATGACTTAGCAGCACAATAATAACATATTGCATTGTAAATAAATGTATACTTACACAGATATTGCTATGTTCTAAGGCAATTTGCATACACATTTCATTGACCGTTAAAGAATGAAGTTGACTATCATTGGTCTGCTTTCGCACAATTGTAAAAGTTGTGATTCAGCTCGAACAAGAATTAACAAAGATCAGCTGATCGGCAAATCAATCGAAAATCTGTATATTTTCACATGGAGAGGTACTAGTGTAGTTAGCTAGTTGGAGGAATTGACAAGTAGTGTTTTTGGAAAAACAGGTAGCAAATCACTACCTTAGCAATGCTAATTTCGAGGCCTGGGTATGTTCGTGTCAAAATAAGATTATTTTGCCCTTGTTATGTACCTACAGTGTATAAGTAAAATAGTCAGTGAAACAGTTTGAAGTTCTCTGACATGACATGATTGACTTCATGTCGATGAGGTGATATTACCTTTATAGCGGAACACTACTGGTCCTTAGGGTGTTCCACGAACAAAGGTTTTACTGTAGTTTGATTGAAAAAAATTCTTGACGATTTTGCTAGAAAGTTAGCAAGGAAGTTAGTGAGGAAACTGTCCTCGTATAAACAATATCCTGTACATAATGTGTATGAATTGATTGATTGAATTTAGAGTGATTTATTATGGTTGTTAAATATGCACATAGATATACAGAATTTACAGTAACTGGAATAATATATTTATATTCAAATATATATTGCTTAGAAAATCAACAATTGTGAGATGTTTTCATTGCTACTTTTTCCTTGTTTCTGAAAAATCATTTAATCCTCAAAATATCACCTTTTTGGGAATATTATCATTAACAGAGTTTTCAATGCTGCGATTTATGTTCAGAAGAATCATTTTGAGTTTCATCTTCTCAGACTTTAAGTTCAGGCCTGAAGCCAGCATCTGCCAAGGGGGTACAATTTTTTAAAGAAAGCCAGGTGGTTGACATTTGACAACTTTGGCCCAAAATCACTTGAAAAGTGCTCAGAATGTTGAAAAACTGCATGATTTTTGCTGGAACCCCCCTGGCTACTGGCCTGCAGTTTTCTCACCTACTCAATGCAAATAGTTGAACTTAGCCACTCGAACAATGATATCATGATAAGCTAATTTTACTGATCATAGTGTATATGTATAATGCTATAATGTCACCACCAGAAGTGGTGACATATTGTTATAGTCTCCGAGTTTTTGTAGATGGTGATCAGCGGATGTCATTCGGCATCTGTAAAAAATTCTTACAACTTCTTTAAGTTAGCTTAATCATGAAATGCCTACTGAGGTCTGAAAAAGTAAAATTTTCAAGGTCAAGGTTATCAAACTAGATCACAAACATTGTTTGCAACATAATTGAAGGTCAAGAACGGTATTTTTTCAACTTGAACTTCAATTGACCTAACTATTTTTTCAAAACTGCAAATTCTCAGAAGTTGAAATCTGACATTAGATTTGAGATTTGACGGTGGTGATATTTTGTCTATTAATGCCTTGTTTATGTATTCTATGTCCACCCAGCTTTTTGCCCAATTGCTGAGCAAAATACTCACTTTACTTATTCTGACTACCTAATTAATCCTTTTCAAAATTCTCAACTAGGCTCATATAGAGTCGAGTGCCAGGTAGGGTCCTGGGGTGATGAGAAGATCATTTTTATGTCACCACCACAATACTGTCATGGTCTCCCAACTTTTTTGTGACGATATCTTGCAATCAACGTCGGTAACAAATGTCAGGTGATGACATTTTGCATCATTGCATGTTAATGCCTTGTTTACTCTTGTTGCCAACAATGAGAAAAATACATCATTCTTGAATATACCATGTGGCTGATTTTAAGAAGACCCTGAGAAATACAACTATTTAACTTCAGAGTCTCCAAACAAATTCGGCCTTTTTTGAAAAGGCACATTTTAAAAATGTAGACCAAGTGTTCTAAATAAATGAGGCCTAAAACATAGTTCATTGTTAATTATGTAAATAGAATGTAATATCTTATCCAACCAGTTAAAGCACTAGAGGACCTCTGTTTGACTACATTTAGACTGTTTTAACGTTCAAAATGCATTGTCTAACTCGATAGTTACCAGTTTCACCACCAGGTGGCTGATTCGGGGGAAATAACATGGCAGGGTATTACAAAATTCCCTTAAACTTGAATATTCATCAGTTTTAGTGGTTCACTTTTCATATTACCTTAATGAATCTGATAGTTATACAAATCAAAATATGTTCAGTAAAAGAAAATATCTGCCCAACACAAGAAAAGATATTTCCATTTTTGTGATTTTACAACATGGGGTCTATGGGGAATCTCCCCGACCTAGAAGTCACATTTTCAAAGAAAATTAAATTTTCAAAGTTCAAACCATATTTCTAGATGTAATTTTACATGTAGATTAATTTTGAATTTTTAATGACGTAAATCAAGATTATTTCTACTCGCATCTAGGCTATTTGCTGATTTGTTTTCATCCAGAGATTATAGACAAAGTCAATATGTGTAAGTTCCATAGATTGTTGCTGGGTACAGATTAGTGGGCATTGATTGATAATCAGCCTTCTATGTGTATAGCTTATCATCAAGTGCTACATGAAGTTTGTGTAATCATCAGGTCCTCTCTGCCACATTCCAAATACATATTTATATTGCGTAAAGATATAAGGGTCTTATGTGAGGCTATTGATGATTTGTCATTGCATACATATATTGTTATTGTTCATCTGGAGTGGGTTTAATTAGGATTAATTTGGAACATCTCATTCTGTCAAAATGCAACTTCAAAATGCCCATGATTAAGAGGTCATCAAAGTTGGCTAATCAAAATACCTGTTCTAGAATATTTCTCACAGGGAAAGTATAAACAAAAGTTGTTTGGGATGTTTACTTTTTAAAATTAGCCTAGACTACAGAGATTTATTTATTTGGGCTTTGCTCCAGATGATGATGACAAAGTTGATATTAAAATACACGAGTCAGCCAAAATACTTCTCATTGCATAATGTGTAATCAGATTACAAGCATATAGTGAGTAACACTCATATTGTCAAGCATTTTGATAAAACATCAAGTACATCCATCTAAGAGACAATCTAGTACTAAGTACATTATGAAATCTACAAAACCACAAGATAAAGAACTTGTTTGAATACAATAGAAGACAATGTTATGTGAATGACTGGCTCAGTTGGCTACTGTTAATGCCAAGTTAAACCATTCAACAAAATAGTAGAACAGCTACGTAAGAAACCACATGAACAATATAACACAATAGGTAATACAGCTATCAAGCTGGTTAATCGAGAATGGATAATCAGGTTGATAATCACATTGAAAAACTGCTGAGAAATAATGTGGTAAGTAAACTAGAGGGGATAAAGTGATTACCCTCAAATATATTTCAGTTGAACCTTGTTATCATTCATTAGCAATTGTCCAGCATTGTTCAATTTTCTTACATTTCTAATCGAAGACATGTAGTAATTATGTTTTATGTTTTTCCTTGTGATTCCTAATAATGTATCTTATTTCAATGATATCAAGATTTCCAATATATTTTTATGGGGAGTAATTTACCTGGAATAATTCCATGTATGCCCCCTGGTAATAAACTGAGCAATTGCAAGATGTTTTATTTTCTTTATTTAAGTAACTTATACTGCCCGCCTAGCTTTATAATATATATTTGTATTCATGCATTGCAATAGAAATATTCATACATTGGCCATTGTACATACTGCCTGTAATATACTTTTTAAACAACCAAATTTACGACAGTCCAGTATCATTCATTAAGGTAAGTCAGCAAAGGAAATTGAATTCTCAGTTATATCATCTTAAAACATATGGTTTAATCTTTATTTGATAAAACAGACATTTAAAACAAAACAGAGTCAGCCCCAATTGAACTTCTTATCAACTTCAACTTAACAGCTTAATACAATAGAATAGATATCGAAATAACCTTTATATTTCATACTTGAGCATTATGCTTTAACCTTTTTTCAGATAAAAAGGGGATATAAATAGAGAGGAGATGGGAGTTACAGATTGTCACAATTTTTCAATATGATCCTTTTTGAACAATAAAATTGGGACATTTCTGCATATTATTTCTTCAATAACTTCCATATCCCAATTCTTTTTTCAGAAAAAATTAGGCTAATTATAATGTATAAAGTACATGTACAGTATAATGAATATATAAAGCATTATGTGCACAAATGCTCTTGAAATTTCAGAAATATATGAGGGTTGTTCAATAAAAACTTCTAAAAGTGCTCTCATTTTCTTGTTAATCAGTTAATGAGGGAATTGAGATGGAATTGAAGGCAATATGTATGTCTTTATAGTGACATGACATTCTTAATTCATTCTGGGTAGTTGTAAAGTTACGGCAAATTAAATGCATATGTTTGAAGGTGTCCAGGGTAGTTTTTTCCTCATCATAAATTGCTAACAAATTAAGTATTTTAGTTCAAATCTTTTTCAATATACAAGGCCACTTATCCTTTTCCTTAACTGAGACATCTCAACACTAGGGTTCTATCAGACCATGAAATTTAGTCTGCTAATTATTATCCTCCTATTTCAATTATTTTGCATATATTCTATATTTGATGTAACCTCTTATTAACAATAAAAAATTCATTGATATTTGATCAGTATAAAGACATACATATTGCCTTTTATCTATTCAAATGTTATCTTGATTTCTTAACAAATATGAAAATAAGTCCAATTGTATAATTGATTTGGTTTAAACCGATCACATTTCACAATACTTCTTATTGCAGGGACATGGTGAAAGAGGAGAAACTAAACTCATTGAGATACTTAATGTAGCTATAAACAGCATAGCACAGTTGGAACAGAAAGTGGATGCAATAGCATACCAGCTGGACACCATATCTCCAGTTTCAACCCCCATAGGGAATATCCACCTTCACCAACCATACCATTCAACACCAAACTCTACAGACTCAAACCACGATAACATTGATGCAAATCTGATCACACCCATTATAATAAATGATGTTACTCCAAATTTCACAACAAAGACTCGAAATGCGAGCTATGAACATGCAGTAGAGGACTATGGAAATCGTTCAGACTCCATTTACCCAAGTGGTATTTCATATTCTGTAGATAAGACTCCTCCAGTACAATCTGATCAGTTTAACCAAAGAAGAGAGAGCTTGATAAATGTGATCAAAAACCTTGTAACTCTTGAAGAGAAAGTCGAAGGACTGTACAGAAAATCAAGTGTGGTTGAGATTGCAGAGAATCCAAAAGAGGCTGCTGAATTTGCGGGTGAGACGATTGAGGAGAATCAAGTTGATGTTGCACTAGATGGTGCTCTATATGCAATAAATGATAGAGGTACTGTTAACACCAAAAGTGGTGCACAAAATACACCAACAATGACAATATCGGAGATACAAAATGACATTGCTGGTGTCAAGGAGGAAATGAGAATGCCACCAGGAATACCTGAGACTACATATCAAACAGAATTGTTGCTAACAATTGGAGCAACAATGACGGAACAATCAAATCAAACACACAAATCAATTGTTTATTACAAAGACGTTGAAGATGTTAAAGATGAGCTGAAAAGCTTTCAGACGAGCATGGATAACCAGAATAACAAAGGAAATATAAAAACTGTACGTTATCTTTCAGAGACTTTCAATGATATTGATGATGTGAAGAATGAAATACAAGCTTCCAATGTCCAACAAGATTCCACCAATGACAAGAGTCATCCAAAAGACACAAATAGATTGTTCAGCCTTGGAGAGCATGAACTGCCATCATATATTAAACATGAAATTGGTGGGGCTCTTTTAAGTCAGATGGCCTTGAATGAGTTAGAAATGTCCCAATCTGGCCCTCCAATGAGAGTTCTTCGATATGCAACTCCTGATGAGCCATGGGAAGATTCTGTAACCTCAGATCCTCAAATGATTGACCACACAAGAATTCGAACAAATAGCGAAACTGGAGATCACATGGGAATAAATGCAATGAAAGAAATAAAGCCTATTCCAGTTACTGAGTTTATGATTAAGGCTCAAGCCCCAAAGACGGTAAGATCAGATGAGCCATCAATAACAAATGTAACCAACTTTTGGATAAGTCCCCATGCAAGTGATGAAGAGGATCTTCCAGCAGGTAAAACAAAGCCACCACCATTGCCAGACAAAATCGTTATTGAAACGGGAAGATACCGAACTGTTCCTAATGATCTACCAAATACAACTAGTCCAACACCAGATAAGACTGATCAGAAGCTACACAATATGGGAAAAATAGACACAAAATTAAACAAACCATCAAAACCTCTACCACCATATCGGCCAATATTCAGAGTTATACCTGCAGCTAAAGGTCCAGAGCGCTTTGGACCTGCAAAAGCAAAGCCATATGATAATACAGAATATGAGGTTCTTGTTGACTCAGTGCCAGAACCAAACAAGGCTGAACCCAAAACTGGACTTGTTGTCTTAGAAACACATCCAGCACCAAAGAAGAAAGAACACAGTTTGAAAGATTCTAATCGCCCACCCACACCTTTGCGACTATTTGATACAAATGCCACAAGGACACACAGCAATAACACTGATATATCTGATAATGTGTTTTCCAGTCCTCTGACAGTACAACATATTGACTTTGATGATGAACATGATGATGATACGAAACAACAAGGTGATGACAACACTACTTGGGACAATCCTGAGTACCGTAGAAATAACTGGACAAAGAACATCAATCCTTTATTCAATGAAATACCTATTATTACACCAGAGCCATTTAAGGAGACAGGACCTGATGCCACAGATTCAACACAGCAAGACAACGACCAACAGCAAGTAGATACAGCTGATGAACATGCACCACAACATGTGGATATTCCTAAGGATGTTGCCAAGAAAATAAAAGATGGAAAGGGCAGTGTTCGCCATAATACTCCATCTCCAAGAGCTAAAGCTTTGGATTTGCTTTCAAAGCAAAAGCAATACAAGGATAATTTCTATGACAAACAAATTCCATATACAGCTGACAGTGGAGACTATAAAGCTGTTACATTCAACAGAGCTCAATTTAGAGCTAACTGGCTCGATACCAACACACAGAATGAGAACACCAAAAAGAACATTAATGGTGATATCCAGGGCAAGGCATTTGTTGTGACGGGAAGAAATACAACAGAGTCTGAGGTTGATAAAACACACTCCAGTTACACTCATGCTGAGATTCCTTTTATTAAAGATAAAGAATCTAAATTGAAAGCTAAACTTCTATGTTGTGCTGAGTGCAGGTCTGAAGCTATAGTTAGTTTGATGCAGGATGGGGAGGCAACATTAGTTTAATTCATAGCCTTGTAAGATGAAAACTGTGCTATCAACAATTTGTGAACAAATCTGAGCCAAGGTTACATTTGTAATATTCTAAAAGTACATATTTGAGTTACATCTTTGACTCAATCATGTATCAAAAATAAGACCCTTTTAAAACCTTATATTACAATAGTATTACTTTTGATATCAATTTGGCAAATTTTTCAAATTAAACCAGGAGCCAAAAGCAAATGCAGTATTTATTCTGACAAAATTCAAAATATTTGTAAACATTATGAAAAGGCATTTCAACTCATGTTTTCATAAAGGAAGGTTATGGCACAACATACTTTCAGAGCTGAAATATATCTGTATATGTGGTAATTACATTACCAATCCAGAATGTAATTAAAGCTTATTCCAAAAGTTGAATAATGATAGCTTCCCTGTACTAATTCTTTTTAAGACCCACTTTGTAAACACAATACTCATAACAAAGTAACTGATATGGAACATTTCACAAATCACGACAAAGAATTTTTAAGTATTGAGTTTCAAAACTTCAGATTTGAGAAAATTGTAAAATCTTGAATTTATAAGGAATTTCATTGAAACAATTAAGTTTAGAAAAAATGTATCATTTGACTTTCAAATATAGATACTGCAACAATATTATATTAACCATTTTTTGAAATTGGAATATAATTATATGATCTAGTTTACATACAGATTGTAATTCTACCTTAATATTATTTTCTTGAAGAGTAAATCATCTTTTAACAATTTTCTAACATTGTGTTAACAGGGATTTAGGGTGATCTTTTTGTAAAATTTAAATATCCTTGGAAACTGAATACAGGAAAATAAGGGATGATATCCAATTACTGAGTCGTGGAAAAATAAAGTTAATTTCATTATGGGTTAACCCCCCTTCCCTCATCTAACAAAATTTTAATGAAGTTAATTTCATTATGGGTTAACCAACCTCCCCTCACCTAACAAAATTTAAAGATGTTGATATGTCTTTCACTTGAATATTAATAAAATCAACACTATTTGATAACAAAACCAACATTTATCCCTTCCCCTAACGAAACTAGCTTTGTTATTCCACATCTGTTGATATATCTTTTTGTGCACAATACTTGACAGTTCATGTAGTTTTAGACTGGAAAGACCCTTTTAGATTATTTGAAAGTGTATAACTATGTGATACATACTACTACTAGTCTTTTATTGTCCTATACAAAAAGATTTTGCACGTTCAAATGCAAGTAACATACATAAACTATTTTAATGCGATAAAATGCTATGATTTATTAAACAATCACCACTTTATGTATTAAATAAAACATACATGTATCATGTATAGTATGTAAAATGTGTTAGATTTTAAATAGTTAACAATATCATATACAGAATTACTTTTGTATCTACAAATGTAATAAACAATGCATTAAAATGTAATTTAATTTATGAATCTTGACCATTTTATCATCTTAATTGCCTATTATTAGTTTATTACAAGAATCATTGTAATAGAACCACTTCCCTCTTACATACTTTCATCCGCAAACAGTGTGTAGTGTAGTATTACTGAACAAGAGATGGAAAGATGTTGAGATTTGATGCATTACTTATTCTTGTTGAACTGAACACATCAATTTGAGCAGCAGTACATTCAATAAACCATGCAGAACATATTAGGGTTGGTGGTTTGAAGCCTCTCAGAGGCTGGTTTATCAATATTATATGATAATATTTTAGGTTTTGCATTCAGGACACTTTAACAATCTCAAAGTCATTGTAACCAAGGCAATATCCTTCAATATACAGGGTGTCCCGAAAGTATGGCCCCCCCCCTAGGCAGACATATTCCAGTGTCCTCATTTTAAAGCTTATCCAAAGTTACATTGATTAGCCAAGTATCATGGTTTAACTCCCAAATTGGAAAAAGTTACGGTCATTTTAAAAGTTAGTGTTTTGTCAAAATAAAGTTCCATTGTACACCACATTACTAGTCAATGAGTCCCCCCTTGGCCATGTTAACAGCATCAATTATTTTCAGATATGACCCTTCAAATAGGGGTGTGGAATTTTATAACCCTCTTAAAACCTGTTAAGGCACTTTAGAAGAGTTTCCTTAGAGTGTCTACCCTCACCGTTCTCTTTTTCCAACTCAATATCCATCCGACCCGAAAAGAATTGCTACTGTTAAGATGGCCCGGAAGGACACATTGACTAGTGATTTGGTGTAAAATTGAACTTAATTTTGACCAAACACTAAATTTTGAAATGCCTGCAATTTTTTCACATTTGAGAGTTGAACCATGATACTTGGTGAATCAATGTAACTTTGGATAAGCTTTAAAATGATATATGACACATACTATGAGGACACTGGAATATGTCTGCCTAGGGGGGGGGCATACTTTCGGGACACCCTGTACATGTCATCTTATGGAACAGTCATCTATAATTTTGTAATTAGCCCATTAAATGTTCTATCACAGGAGCACTGGAAACGGTTTCATATTAAAAACTTACATGATCTACTGCATGCCTGTCAAAGTCTGCCTTGTGTATTATATATGAATATGGAATAATGCTGCTGCTGTTAAAAAGTGGAAGATTCTCATCTGGGAGATTTTCCATTTAAACATTCATGTACTTATTCCAGATCCAATTTCTTAAATATTAAAAAAACATGATTTTCGTTTAAAATGTCAATGAACAACTTGTATAATTGTAAAATATTTATGGCAAGAAAAACAAGACTACAAGACATCAATCACAGAAAATCATTTAAAATACTAACTTGTAATTAAGCAGTAATATAAGAAAAAGTCAAGCAACATTTGATTGATTAAGATATCAGTAGGTTTCACAGTTCTCAGTCTTACATTATATCACATCAATCACTGGCATCTTTGGCTTTACACACTTAAACATACATGTATTTTATGCTCTGTATTTTACTGTACTCTATCATTTGCTGATCAAACTACAAGCATGCCATCAATCATATTTCTACATGTGTATACTGTAAGTTGCTTTAATTTGACGGCCGTTTTAATAGACTAGATGCGAGTAGAGATAATCTTGATTTACATCATTAAATATTCAAAATTCAGTCAAAGTGATGTGATAAAAATCTAATGTAAAAGTACATCTAGAAATATCGTTTCGAAAATTGGTTATCAACTTTGAAAATTAAATTTTTTTTGAAAATGTGACTTCTAGTGTGGGTTGATTCCCTATAGACCCCATGTTACAAAATCACAAAAGAGTGAAATATCCTTTCTTGTATTGGACAGATAACAGTTTCTTTTACTAGACATATTTTAATTTACATAACTATTAGATACATAGGGGTTATATGAAAACTGAACCACCAAAACAGTTGTAATAATTTAAGTTAAAGGGAACTTTCTACTATACCCGCCATGCTATCTGACCCGAACGAGCCACCTGGTGGTGAAACTGGTAATTACCTACTCGCATCTGCGTTATTAAGCGGAGTGATGACAACCGCCAAATTAAATCCAATTTTTTGAACAAATCCCCAGGGATTCTCTTGCAGGATAAAAACATTTGAAAATACCCCACTAAAATGTCAATATTGAACTATTTTCGAAGATCTTGATCCACTGCTGGTTGTTTTGAAAAACGAGAGCATTACATGTATTTGGATTTTTGTATGAACCCCCTTATATCCGCATCTTACCAATGGGTAAATCCGCCAAACTAAATAGCAGGCAAAATTTCAAAATTTGCCCAATCCACCAAATTAAATAGCACCAAATTTAAGCAACTTGCAGTATACATTTGTACTACTTTTAGTTAGCCATATTACTGACTGTTACCATGTTCCATCTTTCCACAATTCTGAAAGTGAAGCTGCTCATATATGGGAACACAGAAAGCATGGAAGCATTTATAGTCACTAAAACTCTATAGATAGATAGAATGAGCAATCTAATTGACTCATTTACAAGTATTGGAATGTCATCATTACAATGGCCTCAATAATGACTTAAGAATTCTCTGACTAAGATCACCTTCAGTAGTTCATCCATGGTAGGGTGATTCTTACATTTGTTAAAGCTTAGGTTTATTACATGGACTCACTGCACAGTGCACATACTCAAACGTATGCTCCGTGGCCCCAAATTTCACTCTCAACACATCGATCAACACTATAATGCTAGGTAAGTATTAACACTTATAAATATATCAAAATATTTACAATCTTGTCCAAGTTACATTCATATATATTATTTAATAAATTTAATCATTCAATCTGAAGATTGTCAGATTTGCGTAGAGAGAATGTGTTGTAGTTGTATTATCAGAAACTGTTTGAGGTAGATAAGTCGACTGTTGAGACATATAATTCACCAAGAAAGAAGTCACTGAATCCTATCTTAAATATGGTGCATTGATTTTGAACATTGTATCATTATTGTACTACACTAATGATTAATTGTTACCCTTTTACAAGTATTGATGACACTTGTATACTAGAGTGCCCAAGTTTCTCGAGCAATTTTCAATGCACCATACTTATTCTTCTTTCTATATTATGCCAATCCTCAACACAGATCTTCTATAATCCATGTTATCTGTACTATTGCTTCCAGGATATATGGAAGATGTCCTTGGGGTTGCCACATTATTTGCCAATATTTTACATCATGAAAATATCAACTGGCCAGTATTGTAATGAAAATGTGCGTCTCATGCATCGTGATGAAATCTCAGTAATGCTGATAGCTAACAATATGTTCCCCAAAATATGCTTGTTATTATAATACTTTTATTTTGGAAGACATCAATTGGAAATGTACTTAAAATGTACTAGTATGTGAATGTATGTACATGTCCTCAGTTGTGGCATATATGTACAGAATGTGCTTGACTCATGTATAAATTAAATGTACAAGTAAAACTACTTAAACGATGCTTATTATCAAGATTTTTTATCCTCATTTGACTTTTCTGTTTTTGCGTCTGTTTCTTTTGAGTCTGTTTGTTCTTCTGATTCCCTACCATCCATGAACAATAAAGGGAACATGCCAAGTATACAGCCTATTGTAATACCTACTGATCTCCCCTGAAAAAATCAAACATATGTTTTGAGAAAACTCCACCATATATAGTAACTTACGATATGATAAAACATTGGAAATTTGAATTTTAAGAAAATTCCTTCTCAGATAAGATCCTATTTCCATAAGAGATTAGACTATATTTAAAAATTGGATTTTTTAAATAAAACAATGTGACCATTCTTTAGATTAATTTTGTGGGATATAATCAATATTCTAATTTGTGTACATGTATACAGAAATTCCAGAAAAATCATAGAACATATTTTTTAAAGAGAATCTGCATGAAGCATGCTGAGAACAATTCAAATGTTAAAGGTTATTTTAATACATATGTTCAATAAAGTGTTAGTTTGAAAATAACATAGGTTGGCAGAAGAATTCTAAAGCAACTTACCGCTCCTGCAGACCACCTAGTGGATGGGGTGTCTAGTTGCTGGGGTGTCAGATCAGGAGGTTTGATCCCGACTTTACTACATAATTCTTCTACCCAACCAGCTAATCTGAAAGATGGTAAACACATTATAACTGTTTTCTTTCAGAGATGATATATTCTTGCCTATCATCCCACAAAATATCAATTTTCAACCAAAGTTATTGATCAGTTGATAAATCCATTAGATGACAATCAACCGAAGCGACTTCCACATACCATGCAGTATTATAGCATTACTCCTTAATTAAAATTCCAGGAGGAAATTTTGACAAATGATTACTGAACATTTAGCAACAATATGCATGGATATTAGCATCATCTCAGCTTTAATATCTCTATTATAGCCATTACACATATGATACTTTGGCAGTGTTGACTTACCCTACACCAAATACGTCAGAAACCAAGTTCCCTAAAGCAGCAGCTAAAAAACAGGAAAATGACAGAGTCTCAATAGACCATTCATTAAACAAAATACAGAATGCATGTATACAATGATCTAAAACATTTCACATTACCCCATACCTAACATGTCTCATTAGAACAAACTTCTTTGTCTAATGGATAGACATCCAAGTTAGATACAGGGATTTCATTAGTAGAAGGCAACAGGTGATTTTCCCTGGTTGTCTTTACCAGAATAATTTAATTCAATATTTTGTGACTGTTTTTTTTTTTTGTTAAAATAATTATACATGTAATTTCTGATTTTTTATGAGGAGTGTTCAATCAGTTCATTTAAATTTTTCTTTAATAACCAATGTGTTTTTGTTAAAAAACACATTGGTAAGACTGAAATTGTTATAAAGACTGAAATTGTTATGAGCTTATCAAGACAGAAATGTTTTCCTAAATATTCAAATACATTCATTTATAAAATCTAAATCCATTTCTACCTGCACCTGATGCACAAGAGCCATCTATTCTTTTAACGATTTTTTTATTACCTGCCATAGTTGAGATTCCAAGTAAGGCACCAAATGTTGTATCTATGTATTCACCCTGAAATCAAATGCAAGTTCAAATTAAAGTCTATTATTTTTACCATGCATAAAGTGTCTTGATAGAACTGATTTTCCATACTTGTTCAAGAAAGTAGTGCATAAATTTTAGCGTGAACATCAGAATATGTGCTGTAATATAATTTGAGAAGACTAAGCCACATGGGAATATCAACACATGAAAGTGAAAATACTGATCAAATCTACCAACTACAATTACAAGTAAAGAAAACAAGGTAGGAAGCTATGAGTGGATGATGCTAAACAATGTCACAAATTAAGATGTCATAGCTATTTAAAATGACATAGCTAGAAATCTGCATCAATGGAATAATTTATAACCATAATCAATGATATACATATAGCATTTCACTTGATTCCAGTTTTGTTCAGTAGGATAGATCTTAGGGCTCAGTACAAGAGTGAATGCATAATATCTGCTCCTATCAGCCATATACATACGGTATACTTACAGCAAGGATCATGATTATGTTGTCTAGCAGGCCAAAACCAATAAATGGCACCCCGCTGAAGATGAACACTGGAAAAAGAAAACAAGTCATGATTCTTTCCAATCATTCTAATACTCATAGGATCTTTCTGTTTCACCAGGGCTGAGAAGAAATGAGATGTCATGGTTTATCATGATGATTTCCAATTGATAAGTGCCTACCCTACGCACAGAGTCTAGTAATAAGTGTAAGGCCAACCCATCCTTTAATTCCCAATTGAAATCTATCAATTCAAGTTCCACAATTAAAATCTAGCAACTGAATTGCACTACTTTCAGGCTCAATATTTTAACCTGGAATAGCAAATCCCTCTGATCAAAACACAACAATCACTATTCCACAGCTGGATGACTCTAACTGCAGTTAGCTTCATTCAAGATGGTTGCCGAAATTCTTTCGTTTTTGACAAACCTCTGATTTAAGCTAAACTAAATTGAATCTTGATTCCAAAAGTTTCGCCATGCAAATTAATAAAACCACGATTGTATTTAACCACAAATTAATGCCAAAACACCCGCAATATTAGGGAATTTTAAAGAAAATGGCTTCTTTTAGAATGACTCTAACTGAAGTTGATGATCTACCTCATCATTACATCATCATCAACTTCAGTTTGAGTCATTCTAAAAGAAGCCATTTTCTTTAAAATTCTCCAATATCGCATTTATTTGTGGTTATTTATTATCGTAGCATGGCGAAACATTTGGAATCCAGATTCAACTTAGTTTAGCTAAAATCGGAGGTTTATCGAAAATGAAAGAATTTCGGCAACCATCTTGAATGAAGCTAACTGCAGTTAGAGTCATCCAGTTGTGGAACAGTGACAATATTCATTCTCTTCTAGGCATACCTTATTCCATTCCAAATGTCTAAACTGAATCATTCTGATTTTTTTCTCCATGATACCTCTAATTTTTGTACATGTGGTGGTTCAAGTAGAATATGTGCACATAATTCAAAATTGAAATATATTCCAAAATAATTTCATTTGTGAAAATATAGAACTACTAATTGTTATATTAATTTTGAAAATAAAAAATTAGTATAAAAATAAGTTGACAGCTCTCAGATTCTGATATGATGTTTTAAAAGTAAAATACAAAAATGATAACCTTGTTTGCCTGCTATAAAAGTCAAGGCATTTAAATAAGTTAATCAAGTTTACATTGGGACATAGTATAACATTTAAGGTAAATGGTACACCATGCAGTAGATGCATTTATATGTATTCGTTGAGAGGCATGAACTATATTTCATTAACATATCAAGCTACTCTATTTTTGTGAATTGGTATGTGAATTAGAAGTGCTCTGATATAGGATATAAATATGATGATAAACTTATTTGAACTTCATTGATATATTTTTAAATTCTGTGAACAACTTCTACATGAACCCCATAAAAACCGCTGAGTTATTCGACACACATCTCTGTAGACACAATTCTTAATGCTATCAGTAGCGTTCAATATCCGAAATCCAATTTTCAAATCTCTTTAATAACATTAGGCTGGTATAAGTATACTTAATGAATGTGTCTTACATCATAGTTAGTAACATCATGCCACTGACAATCAAATTAGATATTGCACTTTTAGATATATCCAAATTTAATAGGGTACATTACTTACCATGTCTTAGCTGGCCTACTGTTGGTGCTATGGTTTCAACTTTTGATTCTGGAAAAACAAAATCAAAAAATGTTAACATCCAGTTCATATTTTTTCATGTTTTACTCAAATCGAACATGAAACAATTTTTAATAACCAATTTAAAATCACTACATACAAAACTCAGCAAACATAATGAAGTAGGGTGAAGGGCTGGACGTGTTTTATCTTATCAATGTGAAATAGATTAGTAAAGTATCTATCATATAAGGATTTAGAATAAAAGTGTGAAATGTGTCTCAACTGAATGCCACTGGGACTAACAAAAAGAATTTGGATTGGGAATTACTGTATTTATATACAATTATATCTTCAATGTATGTATGTATATGCAACAAAATCAAACAGTAAGCATTAAAGCATCAAGGCAATCAATCACAAAAGCAAAATATATATACATGCTCTGCACACCTTGCACGTTGCAACAGAATTTGAAAGTTCAGTATCAGACACTTTGTTGTCAAAAACTTCCACTATTGGGAGATGTAAACTAGAAAGATGTTCATAAATACAGGTTTTATTGAATCATTAGTTGAAAGCTTGGCCCACATTGATTTGAAGTATCTGAAAGGGTTAATCTGCCAAAATACCTACTTTTCTAAATGTAAAGATCAAATTGGCCAAATGTGAAACCCAAGAGATTGACTTATTTTTGTTAATTAACTGTGTAGCCTTAATAAATACTCTTCATGAAGTTTTCTTGTATGAGGGATAAAAACGGAAATTGCAGATCGTGTTGCAATAGCCTGAAAGAAATATGGTTGGAAACTATTTCCAATGTTGATAGATGCAACTGATCATCTCTATTCAATAGACACACTATCAGAAAGATATAGGCTGCATTAACTGATATAATCTGATAGTACATTGAAAATTATTTTTTGTTACAGTGACGAAATGAACAAAACAGAGTTTGTCTTTTTCTTTAACCTAATATTACTGTTCAATAATTATATTCATAAGCACAGCTGTTTGTCTTTCCCCACCCACATCAAGTAGTTCATGTCACTAATCATATAATTCAAGGCTATCAGGTTTCTAATATCAATGATTAGAAGCTGTGTCTTCATTGTCATATAATTACCTTCAGTAAATGAGCTCTATTGTTTCAATTTATCACTGTTGAAGCAACGAACTAAGGTAGTCATTACAAGTTATTTCGCATCATGAGCTATTTGCTTGATACTATATTACGAGGCAAAAACAATTTACGAAACTACAGAAGCAAGAATGTATTATGTGAGTTTTTATTCACGCCGATTAGAACACAGTTTATAAAATAATGCAATCTCAAATCAATTTTTAAGATAAATGGTAATATTAGAAACAGTGCAATCATGAACTTCGTCAATTTCATGATTTTGAGTTTTCAGTTGACACCATTACAACACTACAACAACATTATAGCACTTCTTTAAAGTATGATAAAAAGGTAGTAAGCATCATAGGAATCAAGAGAGAGTCCTTCATTGCATATCAGATTTTGCTCCTAATCTGTATGCTTTAAATAAGTAAGGAAGTGATGCCTGAAACTGAACAATCAGTCGTTGAAGGACATCCCTTGTCTTTCATCTTAGGCCAAAGCCACAGTGAGCCCAATTCTGCCACAGCAGCAACTGATTCAACTACTGACTTCATTATTAAAATTAAGCAGTGGGAATGGTTTCTCAGTCTCACAAACAAAGCATAAGCAGTGCAAGTATTGTAGTCTTAATTGTTAGATTTCTCAAGACATTAAACATACTATGCAGTTATCTCCCCAGCATTTAAGCAAGTGGGTGCAGCACCTACCTGAGATTTTAAAAAATGGCTTCCACCCATCTGAGAATTCATTTGCACACACTTGAAAAAAATGAAAAATCATGACAAATTGGGATATTTCTACCAATTTCTATCTGAATGAGAATTTTGCACCCATTTGCAAATGTATCCTGTGGAGAACACTGCTATATGTCCTGATACCCATGATTGATATTGGCAATCATAGGCGTAGCGCCCGGTACGCTGGGTACGCACAGGCGTACCAGATGATTGCAAATTCGCTCTAAATACAACCAAATTTCAAAATTTTCCTGGGAGAGAACCCCCAGACCCCCTAAACGCTCGTTTTTGCTTCGCTCAACTATTGTTCCCGCGGTGGCGTACTATTTAGAAGTATAGCACTACGCCCATGGCAATAGATAATTAAACACTTGTCACTACGACACCAATGAAGGCAGAAAGTACAGTAATTGCAAAAGATGTAGATGAAAGTGTCAAAATGAATCTTAACTACTGGTAATTAAATTAGCCAACCAGACAAAAAGCAAGTATACTAATCATGGTCCATTGTATATTGGTGATAAAAAAGTTAATTAAGCCCTGAAGAATATGTCAACCAATATTTGAGTTATCGCCCAGACAGAGACTCAGTATTGTTCGATGAAAGAGAAAATGGTTTCATGATCTGATTGATCCATGAAAATCAAGTATATCCTATATCTTCATATTGAGTAATCCAGAATCCATATGTCCTACTAGAGTATATTATACTCCAACCAGACTCCAACATTTAAAAAAAAATTCCATACACCCAATGTCATTATCATTATGTCATTAGTCAAGAAATCCTCATAAAATACAGAAAATATTCTACCCTCGAAAGACTTGTATGTATTTCAATTTACTTGTCTGGCACCTTGTGAAATATGCTTTTTAGCATAGTATTTTCTTTATCAGCTTGAATACTACAATTTCAAGGTAAGATATAAAACTTAAACAGAAAGTAGAAGTTTGGATATAAAAAACACAGTACTTTGATAAATCAGATGCAGAAAAGACGAAAGAGCTTTTGTGACCCTAGACACGTAAACAGATGTAAACCTACAAATTATGGCATTGATAAGACAGCTATTCCTTTTTCTAAATGCCAATATGCAAATCTCTCAAATATGCATTGCCAATAACACTTCCTAGGAATATTGGATGGTCCTGAGACATACAGATACATATGTATAAAATATTATACATGTATATAGGGACTTAGCAATATATATTCCATAACCAATGATAGCCATGCATTAAACTACATATGGGGTGTGACTAGTGCAAGCCCGTAGCCAGATTTCACTGGTATATACCCTAATATGGATCATTACCAAGGTTTTTTGATTATTTTAGTAAATTCTGAAAGAAAGTGTGATTGATTAATCTCAACCTTACTATCACCTGGCTACGGGCCCAGTTGCATATATAAAAACAAAGTCCTGCTTATCACTTTGACATGGATGCTGAAGATCATATGTTGCTATACCTGCTGGTTCAATATGTTCAATGGGGTGAATTGCTGGGTGAACCATTGGATGGTGACGGTAATCTATAGAAACAAATATGTGTTAGTAAGCTTAAATAAAAATCAACAGTTCAATTTATGATTAATAACTACAGTATACTAGCAGTCAAACCACACAGACAAAGGGAACTTGCATATTAGCATTTAGCATCGCATACTTTATTTCAGAATCATACGAGCGTATTCACCAAGTGTAATAAGACAATTTCAGATGAGTACACTGGACTACATTTTAAGTTTTTTAAGATTCAGGGTTCTCACTAGGCTCCAGAGATTCTTCGGAGTCTAATGTCTTTAGACCTTCTTGCTCCAGATATAAGAGTCTAATCGTTTCTCCAGAGTCTAAACTTTTTCCTTGAGTCTAATTTACATTTTTGTCACATTATTTGTGGTAAAACTCTTGGGAAAATACATAAAACTGGATACAAAAAAGGAATAGGAAGTCAGAAACCTTTTAGAAATGTATATTGTGATTAAAATAGGAATATAATTATTAATATTATTAAGTAGAATTTGGAAAAATATACTAATATGATATTTCTGATCTCATATGAGGGAGGAGTAGTGGCGATACCGCGAAAAATCAAGGGTCTAAAAATTTCCAGGTAAGAACCCTGAACTTGTTGCTAAATTGCTCCTCTTTGATTGGGGTATCACATGAATTTGAAGGCACCCTCCTAAAAATAAGAAAGGTTCAGAACAATAAAGTAAATTACCACTTATGTTGCAAGCCTTGGCAATTAAACTGTATTGTAAATGTCTGAGCGGAATAAACAGAAATAAAAAAAAACTAAAAAACAGTCAAGTGCTACATGTATGCTGATGGGTAAAGCATGGCTTATACCAAATGGTATTTTCTGATCCTTTACTATGTATATGTATTTCTAAAGGAAATCTTTTTTGGGTGGGGGGGGCAGTGACAATTAGAGGTGTCACGGATACCCGATTTTGTTCCGATCCGCGAAATTATGCCCTCGGAACGGAACAAAAATTAAGAATTTCGGTTCGGTTCCGGAACAAGAACATTTTTCTTTCAATATTTTGTATCAAAAGAGGTTCATTCTTTTTACTCCTTCTCTTTGAAGAGTTTTGAAGAGCTTTTCGCTACCAAATAGACCTAGATGATCAGATTATTTTAATCTAATACACGCAGTCACTCTGTTCCGAACCATACCGAAATTGTTCCGTTCAGAAGCAAAATGTTCCGAACCGTTCCAATTTTTTTGTTCCGTGACATCCGTGACAATGCAAGGTATGTTTCAATTTAGTCTGGGAAATAACATCAGCATAAGCAATCTTCTGACAATCCTTATTATTCATTTTATCTGTGATTCCCTGTAACCTAAAATATGTGTACAGCATATTCAATTAGAAAATATACAGCAGAAGTTTACTGTAGAAAAAGTAGGAACTCCCAGGAGTAGCAAATCCAAGAAGCTAGGATGTTGGATGAATTGATGATGTCATGAGTTAAAGGTAAGTAAAGGAGCTCGTCTATATCTATACTAGAACTCAGTTCATTGGGATGATGATGCATGAAACTAACTCCTCATATAGAAAAACATAACAGTAAAAAATCGATTGGACAATTCTTCTTGTAGGAAACTTTGCACATAACCTTTCTCTTGCAAACAAAAAGCAATTAATAAAACAAATGAGCATTAAATTAGTTAATAACTTCAGATGTTTTAATGATCTAAACAGAACAATCTAATCAAGAAGTCAACTCCACTCAATCTAGATACCCAAACCTGATAAAACCAAATAGATCTAATCTCAGGCAATCACTAAACAATCAATGTACTTACTTCTTTAAGAAAACTGGTATAAGCTGTGAAAATATTAGAGGAATATTTCTGCAAGGTCAACATTATGAATATGGTAAAGGGTTTTATTCATGGAATCACTAACTGCAATCAAATGTTGTTCTATGCTACCCATCCAATGGCCGCAGATTCATTAAATTTTAGTCAGCCTTTCTATTAAGGAGCAAATCCCACAAAGCAATGCAAACTAGGAGCATATTATTATGCCTTTAACAGTTATGAGGTTTGTAAGTGGGGTAAAAAGCAGAGAACTTAAGCTGGTGGCCTAACATAAAACATACCCCCTTTCTTCAGCATGCTGTCTATACTTTGTGACCAAGTTTCTAAATGAAAGTAAAATCATTTATAAGCAAGCATTTGTGATAATAACTGCTGGGGTGTCATTATGATTCAAGCGTGTACACTGATGAAATAAAATAAGAGGATGTATGCATTGAAGAAAGAGATAGACTGGTCATGGCAAGTTATGAATTCTCATAGATACATAAGGCAGAGGGAAAGAGCGATGGGGTTTGAAGCTTCTAAAGGCTCAGATCAAGCAATAGTTCTACTCCCTTGGGATTCACTTGAGGATATCAACTGAAGATATACACATGCACAGTTGATGGCTCCAATTTTTATGCCCTTGGAAGAACAAAATGACTAAAGGTTAAAATCTGTTGCTGTAAAAAATATTTGTTTTGAAAAATAAAGTAGAGATCATTTGATACTCTTCACAACCACATAAAAGAGCATGGGTATAATACATGGCATGTGACAAGTACCCAGTATGTTTATTATACACATTCAAAGGTTTGTGTGAGATCCCCATGTGAAAAGGGGTGGTGGGAATTCACTTGAGGATATCAACTGAGGATATATAAGGGTTATGTACTGGGAGGTTTTGGATAGAGGGTTTATCCCAAGGGAAATATGTGTATCTCACGAGGGACCGCACTGTATCCAAAACGACCGTACATAACTGGTGTATCTCATACTTGAGTGGGTTTGGGGTAGATATAACCTTTACCACCTTTTTCAAATGACAAGATAGGTCTATACTAAGCACAATTTATATTTAACATTTTCATAATATTCCTTCAGTTCAATACAATAGAATAGAATTTAAACTTCTGAAATTTAAATTTTTAAAATTTTTAAACTTTTTTAAACTTTTGAAAAAATTCCCGGGAGCAGGATGGATATATTATTTCTGCCCGCATTTGGCCTAGAGCGGGACATGTACAATATATCCTGCCCGCTCCTCAGATATGATATATATTCCCGGGTGATATCTACCCCAAACCCACTCAAGTATGAAATACACCTGCATAGTTGATGGCTCTAGTTTTTGTGCCCTTGAATGAACAAAGTTAAAATCTATTGCTGTAAAAGAATATTCCTATTACATAAAAACATGTAGTTGGAATTCTGATAATGGCATTTCAAGAGTCCCTACTCATATTACGATATACTAGGTCAAAATGCCACTAACTGGGACAAAATATGTCAAAGTCCCCGCATGGGAGTCACAAGCAAATCATTGAATGGAGCATTTACATATCTGCAAAAGGCTAATAAGCCCATTAAAAGCAGATATATAATTTAGACCAAATAAAACTACAACTGACTGTCACCTCCATGGTTTACTCTATAAACCATCAATTTACACAACAAGTACTCCTTGTTAAGCATTAAAAAAGGCAAGTAGTTGACTTCGAAATATAAGAGTTACCTGATGAGTCACGTGGCTTCCAAATGTTATTAAACACCATCCAATGTAACTACATCAGCTTATTTTTGTCTACATAAGAAGATGAGTAGAGTAAATCCATAGAAATGACCATGACATAAGTTTTAGTAATTTTTCAATGTTTCCATTTTACATATCTCTGCACACATGGGGACATTAGCCCTATCACAAAATTCATCTGATATCGTTTGAGTCACAAAATCTATTTTGTTGACATATCACTATAGCAGCATCACGTAAGGGAAGAGACAATGCCCAGATATTCGCTTTTCTTTAGCTAGCGTAAAATGAACGAACAAACATTCCAGTTTCACATATGTTTGGTACTACAACGTATCAGAACTAACAAGGCAGTACATGCACCCTGGAATAGCCTGACAGCGGTAAAGTCAGATACAGTTGTCACAAATGGTGGACATAACCGTTGCTTCAATTCTTCAATCACTTGGTCCTCGTTTCACGGGACTTTATCGTCGCTAATTATGTGCATGTATTAAGTTCTTGTGATAATATATCATATGAAATCCCAATTTCGATCAAATTGGGTCGTGAATCGCCACAATATAACTTCTTTGATATCGTCAATGACAACGGAATCTGAATTTGGAATAATTTACAAAAACAATGGCAAGTTATGTTCGCCATTTGTGGAAACGGTATCTAACTTTACCGTTGTCAGGCTATTCCGGTGTGACATGTAAGTACATTTTGGGAATTTTTACAGTTCGTTTACATATCTTGTAGTTACATTGGACTGTGTTAACTACGTACTTGCCTTGCCTAGTCAACTGCTTGCCTTGTTAAGATTTAACAAGGAGTAGGACTTATACGCGCCATGAAAATCGCAAGTTATATTCAACTATCATAGTTCCAAAAGGAACTTTGTGTATGATTCTGGACTCCTGCGTTCGGATGATGGCTTTAGACGGGTGTGATCAATAATCCATGGTTTATCCCGTTCCCGGACTATGGTCCTGTGAACATCTCAATCTTTTGCCTGTGCGATTACAACATGGGAGAATTTTTTACTGATCTTACACTTCAGATACCTACTTCAATAGATTCCTTGGTAATTTAGCATTCTTTTCGTGTAGTTGAATCCACAATTGTCTGGGTTTATCGGCAGAACGAAGACATTTTCGTTTTTGATTGCAATATTTGCGTGTAACATTTAACTTTTTTCAACCGTCAAATTCCTCCATATTGGTACTTCCGGGCTACATCCGGGACAGCCAAACGGGGGATTCCCCGTTAAAATCCAACCGCCATTTTGAAAAGTGATGGAATCTCTCTCGATGAAAAAGACAAAATGTTCTCGTTCTGCCGATATACCCAGACAATCGGCGGTTCCAATATATTAGAAGTTACATCTTGAGTTCTATAATGCATTGAGGTAGGTATCTTAAGTGTAAGGGGCGTAGATAATTCTCTCAAGTTGTAATCGTACAGGCAAATGAATGCGATCAGTGCAGGACTATAGTCCGGGAACGGGATAATCCATGGTAAAATGACATATCTGAAAAGTTTCAAACTTTTCAGAAGTTGTGAATATTTTCAAAGAAAAATAGAGACGTCTGGATGAAATTTGTATTACATTATAGTGGCATAAATTAATGTGTAAAATATCATACCATTTATTTTTGACCGTTCCATCTCCAATTTATGCAATTCGTTGTACAGAAGTGATCGTTGATTTGGATCCAAAGCATAAACGAAACTTTTTACTCCTTTTTCAGTGTTCGGACTCTCAAGTCCATGGAACAACATTCTAGTTTGCACCTGTACACATGAAATATTTGGCAACATTCTGTTACAGTTTTGTAGTGTCATTGATTTCATAGTGTGCACTAAATTAGGTACAATTCGAGGAGCAAATAATCGAGGCATTTTCAGTGCCATCTTCGAAACGGAAGTTACCGACTGTGACTCAAAAGTAAATCAATCGACTGTTTACTACCAAATCAAACAATGTTTCTAAAAGGTATAAATCTACTATTTCGCTAAGCGTTTCTAAAATACATTGAGCAATTAGTTATTAATCGATTTTGAAACAAATATTTAATATTATTTGATGTGGTAACTGAGAAAATAAATCGCTTTACGCCACATCTCAAAATAATTTTTCTTTAGCCACGACATCTATTTTATGAAAGAATCGTCATTTCACTTTAACATGAGACTAACAGATTTTTTATGATGGTATCAACTGGAACTCATTGAATGTGGTTCATCATCTTAGATCAAGATTCACAATGTTTCATTGCTCCAACTCCAGCTTTCATTGATAACCATCTTGGAGGTCGGAGATGGTGGTTTATCAGTTACCACATTAAGGGATCCACATAATAACAACTGTCACTCGGATTTAGGCAAAGCTCAGATGCACAGGAACAGGAAGCACAGTGAGCATGGGTCAGGGTCAGATGTAGCATCATTTATTAGTACTGTTCTGACTTAGACGCTGTAGATATGTAGAATGAGTACAATACTAAATGTCACTATGTGTTCCTGTGCTCAGAAGGAAAGTATTGAAATGCCCTCAAGCCCCCTTGGACAACGTACCAGCAGGTAGAAGTAGACTAAGCCCAAATGAGGGTATCTGCCTTATCTGGTCAACCCTAGTTACTCTGACCCTGGTCAACTTGGACTCATTTATATTCAATATAGATCAGAGGCATTTTGCTATATAAATGGTTAATTGCTAAATATTAAAAATTATGAATGGCTCCATGCTATAGCATAAGAGCAATGATTTGACGAGTATTCAGCTTTTGGTCAAATTTTTGCGAGGGAATTATTTTTTGTAACTCTCCTATAGTCAAACACCAGTCTCAACAAACAAGTAGTCTTAACACAAAAAATGATAAAAGATGCCAGGTTAACAAACAAACACAATGACATAATGTTCATCAGTTTAAATACATTTTATTCAGATTCAAAATATTTCCATATACTATTATTAGTTTTTTTTATAGTACCCATAATGTGGAACACAGGCTCTTATTTTAATTGAAATTAATTAGGTAAGTATAATTTTATGTTATGACAATGAAAAAAGTCTCACATATACCACGTGGTCACTGGTTGAAGCACTGAGACCCAAAATCATCCACTAAAATGCTCAAATCATGGCTTAGAAGTCATTTACAATGCACAATTATCAAATAATAATCTAAAGTTCAACCCCCAGGTAACTGGTACACTGAACAATAGAATCCTTTTAAAATCTATGGTACCATAAATAAAGGAGAGGTAATTCAAATAACTGTATGTAGAACATATCAGTGTCTTCCATCAATTGTCAATTCAACCTCACTATCTCCATTTTCACCCATAAGATCATGATCTATATGACAGATCTATATAACCAAGTTGGGGATTACACAAGGAGAAACCTGAAAGTCTTGTCATTTTCAATTATAAGTCCTGTAACTTCTTCAGTAGAATCTGACCGCCTTTAAAGTCCAGTTTAGTGAGAGATTGACGTATGGCTGTGAGATCCAATCGTATTCTCTCATTGACATCTTTGTTGCCAACATCCAAAAGACTGAAATAGTAAAGGACAAAGTTGAAAATGCAAAGAGAAACACAGTTGGAAATATTCACACTGAATTACTAATGTAAGGTAATTCTGTTGGTTCTCCCTGTGTCCCATGTTATTCGTAAGCACCCCAATTTCAATTGGCCTGAGAGCAACTTATAGATGTGAATAACCATTCATTGCATTCTGGGATTAACGTTTTTGACAATCAATTTCAATTTGAAGGGATTCCATTAAATGAAGACATCATGATGTAGATTAATGAATCAGGTGGAAAAAATGGTTGAATATATAATCAAACTGATATAGTAAGTAAGCCTTGTATGCTAACACCTTGAGAGGTCAACAATTAAATTATGATACATTTTACAAGACATTACATAGTACATATACTTTACCTGATAATTGTAAAGCAACCTCTGTTGCATGTTGACCAAGATTTTAAAGTTCCCTCGCCAATCTGTTCCATTAAGATAGTTGAGAACAGCACTGGAAAACAGGAAGAGATCTCACTTAAGCACTCCTAAACATACTTATCAATATTTTGCATGTGAGGCAAAATGTAGAAGGGTTAGTTTACACATTCATAATTTAATCATCATGCTTTTATCTTTGTAATCTACTACAACTTCACATATTCACATTTTGAATTGACCAATAGAATAATTTCCTAAACCTACCATTATTGTCTTCCTTTATTCTCTCCTTATCATTCAGGATGAGTCTCTTCATTGTAAGATGTCCTGCTGGGTGCTCAATTATATGAAAGTTCTCATCCAAGTTCCCTGCTTTGAATGGCTCAGCAGCTATCTTAGCCACAGCCTCTAGGGCGCTGCTGTGGTCACCTGCATATTACAAAGGCAAGATTATTGAATGTGTAAAATGATCTTGAACAAGGCATTAACATGCAAAATGTCACTACCTGCCATTTGTTACAGATAACTGCTGAACACCTACAGCCAAACAGGGAAACACCAAAACCCAAACACCAACCACAAAAAGTTGTATGCTTTTTCAAGGAGTACCATGGATAATATTGAAAATCAAATCATATAGGACATACAATTGTACACAATTACAAACCTACCTTTAGCATGAGTTAATATTGCTGATAGAATCACTAAAGTAGAGTTGTTCAACACGAGTGATCTTGCATTATCCACAATATATTGGAGAAGAGGCTTCGACACAGAATCTAGAAGCTCACTTCGACGTACTGTGGCATCCTTCTTGCTGAAAAACATGAACGATTTAGGTTTAGCATTACATTTGTGGATTTACACATCTTGAACTTATCACACTCTGGGTATATCAAAGGGATTTTTGACATTCTGGTTATGAATCATTTTTGAATCTGTTATAATAGTTCCTTGTACAATATAAACAGATAGCTTGTCAAAATCAGTTATGCCTCTAGGCCTTTTGGCCAATGCTCCTGTCTATGGACATTACAATTCTTCAAGTCTGGGTTATTTCTTACCCTAGCTACACATACAATTATTTTTTGTATCAATTTCTTTATGAGAGAAATTTCTGAAAAAACAAGTCTCTGCTCACGCCCACTACCCCTCTAATTATTCCCAACCATATTTGTGTGCAAGATGTATGTCCTATGAAGGACAATGATGATTTCATATATGACTTTTGACTAACCTGCTTGCATTGCTGTCTCCCTGTTGCAGAACCTTCACTATATCAGAGTGACAATGCTGAGGGTGGCGTGGGGACAGCAAATACAGGAGGACTTTACGACCATATGCATCTGCTGCAACCTCATTTAAAGACTTTATTAGCTCCTGTCATCAGAAATAAAATGATAAGGATGTACCCCACAAAATTAAGTAATATTGCTTTTACAACTTTCAACTTATCAGTTAAACGATTAAAAGATTATGAGATTGTGAGCTGATTGTGTTAACTTAATCCTTAAGAGTGCTGACTAACCTCAAGAATGGCTTTAGAGACCAGCTTAGTGTCATCTACCACATCAAATATTGCAAGTAAGGTCAGGTGACCATACTCCTCCTTCGCTATCTTTTCAATGTGGGTCTTGAAGCTCTTTATTATAACTTTGCGGTCCTGGAATAATCAAAGCACATGCATTTGGAATACAGTATGAAGTCGAGTGTCATCATGGTTCTACATTAATGGCTGACATTAATCAAGTCATTGTATCCCCAATATAACAGATAATAAAACACAAACAATATACAATAGAACAACAGAAAAAATATAAAACTGAAGAAAAGGACCAGAAATGGAACGTTTGTTCTTAAACATTAGCACAGATATATGATATGAAAATAATGACAGCATCATTGTTTCTTATTCATAATTCAAATATGTCAAAAATGTTGAGAGACAATCTTCCATCTCTCCATGACAGATTTTTCATTAAAACGTTGATGAATCCAAATTCTGACAAAAGTAGTTGAATATTAATTTGTAAGTTGATATATAAATATTACCTTTGCAGTTCCATGCCATATACACTGCATTGTAACTCTAGCTCCATCTCTGGTATGTAGCATATGTACAACACTTTCACGTAGATTCTCAATCATTTCCTGAAACATTGACAAAGAAATGTAAATAATAATCTTGCTCTTGCAGTGAATAATCAAGCATTGTAAAAATGATCACTGCATCCAGATGAGAATTTTATGGCACTCTTTCTTCATTAGTTCATTTTCACTCTGAGAAACCGGGCCAAAATAAAAACTGTGACAAAACAAAAAGAGTTGGATATTATTTATTTCTTGATCAGAATCAATTGAAATATGATATTCCCAGTGTCTGCTTCATGCATATGATATAATAAAGATTACTTCATTCCTTGCTCATTTCACTATTTTCATTGTTTCTGTGTAATTTAAAGCATGGGTCCCTTGAACAGAACTCATGGGCAGTGTATACTTACAGTTCGCATCTTAGGGTTAGCATAAGTGAAGAACTCTGAGAATATCCGATGCACCAAGGAATGGGCCAGGATATTTCTGAAAATCAATTAATACTAAATTGCGACCATATAAGCATATTACTTTTTCTGATGACAACTTGGCTAGTGAGCAGCCATTTTGAAAATGGTGGCCTTATATGTGTTATTTTATGATACTTGCTATATATTTTGTTTGTAAAAATGCCAGCCATTGCTTTGGCGTTGCTGTTGTCTAGTTGTACAGCTGCATCAGCAAACCCAAAAATCTTGAAAGCACCTAAACTCAACTTTATCCTGCTATGATACATTTTAAAGCATATTTTGGATCTTAAATAATTTGAATGCTGGACTTACTTGTCAATGAGTGGACTGAGTGCATCTCTCATGTTGCTGAGTATGGTCTCCCTCTTTGTTGGCTCTGATGTCATTATCTGCTCTAGTGTCTTGATCTCAGGTGTCTACAAATGTTTGACATATATAATTCCAGTCAAAAAGCTACAAATAGTGATCAGGGGAGAAGGATTTTTATGTAAGATGATTGCTTCTTTGATATTTATGATAACATTCTAAAAGGACTTGAAGAAACTATTTGTTAGATCTGTTGAACCAGTTTCGGTTCTTCAAAGTAATGATTAAGTTTTTCATAAATTTTGGTGAAATTTGGTTAAACTTTCTGTTGCCTGACTAATAAGGATATATCATTTCTAAAGGTGAAGTATATACCTTAAACAAGGCAAAGCTAGGCCCATAGAACTCTTCCACGAGAGCAGCTCTTTGTGGGGCATTGGCCCAATCATTATAACCATACTCTACCACCTCAGCAGCTTCCTATACATACAACAAAATAAATAATCTTAACACATTGATTCAATGAGTTTCAAGGGCTTTAGGGTCATTGACACAATCTCCCTATATCTTTAAATGGTTAAAACATTTAAATTAAACTTGATGTCTTTATGGGACTAATCTAACCCTTTAGTTATATTTACAACCTTGCAAACAGAACTATTATGTAAAAATCTCAAGAAAATCAAAAGAAATATAAAGTTGTATTGAAAACTAGTTGAAAACAGTGTTTAAAAAGTCTCTTTATTCATACTTACAGCATGCCTTATGAGTTTCTTTACATGACCATAGAAGCATTTTAGGATGTGGTTCCTTTGTGCCTTTGTTCTGCAGGGAAATAACAATACATGTACAGTATAATGTTTTATTTACAAAATTTGAATATAAAATTAAACAGAATAGTTTATTAAGTTTGAAGAAATATTAGAGCTATTATATTTGAAGATGGTATTATCATTACATCAAGTTTTAGAAAAATAGACAATTATTTCAATTATTTCATTTCTGGATCCTGTTACTGAAGATGAAATTTTAACATTAATGCAGGGACTTGGTGATAAAGCACCTGGTTTTGACGATATAAAGCCCATGGTAATTAAACATGCTAGATTCAATATAGCTACTCCTTTTACACATATTGTTAACCTTTCACTGCAATCAGGTATTTTTCCAGATAAACTAAAGATTACAAAATTAATAGCACTTTTCAAAAAAGGAGAAAGATCACTTTTTAAGAACTATAGACCTATTTCTTTACTGAGTGTTTTTTCTAAACTTCTTGAAAAAGTAATGCATAAACGTTTTTCTACATTTCTTAAAACTAATAATCTAATGCATGAAAGGCAATTTGGTTTTAAAGAAAAACATTCAACTTATATGCCCATTCTTACTTTTTCTGAACAAATTCGTTTTGCTTTAGATAATAAAAAACATGTTTTAGGTTTATATTTAGACCTTTCCAAGGCATTTGATACCATTGACCATACAATTTTACTAAATAAACTAGAAATGTTAGGTTTTCGCGGTGTTGCTAATGATTGGTTTAGAAGTTATTTAAAAAACCGTCCTTTAAAAACTTTTATTGAGGATACATATTCAGATAAAAATGAAACTTTAACTTTTGGTGTCCCTCAAGGCTCTGTCTTGGGGCCAGTATTATTTACACTATATATAAACGATCTTTTTAAGGTATCAGATATTTTCAAATTAGTTATTTTTGCTGATGATACTAATATATGTCTCGAAGATGATAACCTAGAAAACTTATTCAAAATTGCAAATAATGAAATGATTAATATTTCTAATTGGTTCAAGAACAATAAACTTTCACTCAACATAGATAAAACTAATTATATGATCTTTACTAAATCAAAAACTAAACTCAATGATCCCAAATATCAGTTAATTATTGATAGAAATACTATTGAACGAGTTGAAAAAACAAACTTTCTTGGAGTAATAATTGACAATAAATTAAATTGGAACGAACATATATCTTATATTATTTCGAAAATATCCAAAACTCTAGGTATACTTTACAAAATACGCTACAAATTACATTTAACAGCTTTGCTAGATATATACTACTCACTTATATATTCTCACATTTCATATTGTAACATCATATGGGGAAATGCCAACAAATTTTTATTAGACAAGATTTATGCAATTCAAAAAAAATTTGTCAAATTATCTTTAAATTTAGATTTACTTCACCCAAGTTTACCACTATTCAAGCAATTACATATATTAACTATCTTTGATATTCATAAATTAGAAAAAGCAAAATTCATGTTTAATATAGTTAAAGAACCAGCACATTTTCCTTCCCATTTATTTAAACAGTATTTCAATTTCAGACACACTCGTACCACGAGACAAATCCATCACATTATCCCATGCAAATTTAAATCAAACTTAACAAAAAAATCAATTCAATACTCTGGAACAATAATATGGAACAAACTACCAACATCCCTTCAATCTTTACCATCATTTTACTCCTTTAAATACAATTACAAAAAAACATTAATAAATTGTTACTGAGCCATGAGCATGTACTGTTATTCTTCCACAATTGTATTATGTTTGTATTTTTCACTTTTGAATTGTTTATGTGCAGGCATTTTTGTATATTGTCGTATTTTATAACATGAACTGGTATGATATCTATAATTGTATTTCTTGCTTTATTCAATTCATATAAATTGTAATATATTTTTATATTGTACAACTTTTGATTTTAGCACTGATATGCCCTTTTATGGGTATCAAGTGCCAACACTGTTAATGTAATACTAAATGAATATGATAATAAAATAAAAAAAATAAATAAATTTGACAGAAAAACATATCTTCATGAAATACTGCCAAAATGTATCCATGTATTGTGAAATAATTGTTGAATGGTTATGATCTAACTCAACAATTAAATCTTAATACATAACAAACTATACAAAATAATAACTTACCCATGTTTTAACATTTTCTTCACAAAGAACTTAGAATATTTTGATTTGGACATAGCTACAACATCATCTGCAAGTAAAAACAAAGGTCTTTCATTTATAGAACAGAGCACACAGAAAGCATGGTCATTACTAAATAACACTACAACTTGTTGACTTGATGTGTGATGTTAATATATTGGCTCAACATCTTCCCAGCATACTCTAAATCTAACCAGAATTAGCATAAATCATTCCTTAATATATTAGTAATGCTATACTACGTTGAGTCATTTGGCCTCAAATGCAATAACTACAGTAGAAGATAAGATGCTCTGCCCAATTGATAGTAACATTTGCTTGACATTTGTTGTAACAATCAAAGGGACAATTGAACTAAATATGAATGAGAATCAAGAAACAAAATGGATAATGATCCATCTATTTGACAGTGAAGACATTACAGAAGCATTAGAGGTTTTGCATAAATCTGGCGAATGCATTATGGATTCTAGATATGTTGAGCAAAAAACGTTGTGTGAAACCACTCTTATAATTGAGATTTTGTACCTTTTAATTCTTCAAAGACAAAATTCCTGTGCTCCACACTGCCATATTTCATCAAACACTGCACAACTCTGGCAGTGTCATGGGCAAATATCATCTAAAATCGCAAAACAAGAACATTCATATTGGTTGCCCAACAATCAGTGTTATACTGGTTGACCAGCAATCCATCTTATATTGGTTGACCAGCAATCCGTCTTATATTGGTTGCCCAACAATCAGTCTTATATTGGTTGACCAGCAATCCGTCTTATATTGGATGACCAGCAATCAGTCTTATATTGGATGACCAGCAATCCGTCTTATATTGGTTGACCAGCAATCCGTCTTATATTGGTTGCCCAACAATCCGTCTAATATTGGTTGCCAAACATTCAGTCTTCTATTGGTTGTTGCCCAACAATCAATCTAACATAGCTTTCCCAATATAAATATCACAAGTACTGTAATAGGTGCTTACCTGGTTAGCACTTCCCTTTACCAACTTGAACAATTCCCCAGACAGCTCTGCACGCTTCTCACTAGTAGTGTTGTGCCTATAATAAAAATATTTCTTGAAATTATTTTGTGAAAGTCTGATTTTTTAATGAAATATATTGACAGTATATCATAACACTTGTGATACATACATGTAGCTGATATATACCCTGGACCCTGGAGTGTATTATACACATGTATTTCATAGTACATGTACAGTATAATTGAAATATAAAGAATGTTGATATATCTGATAGAGTGGAAGGAATGTATCTTTAGGTATATATAAGGGTTATGTACTTGGAGGTTTTGGATATAGGGTATATCCTGAGGGATATATTTATATCTCTCGAGAGACCGAAGAGACCAAGGGGAGATATATGAGCCTATACTGTAAAAGCTAGAGGTGTCACGGATACCCGATTTTGTTCCGATCCGCGGAATTATGCCATCGAAACGGAACATAAATTAAGAATTTCGGTTCGGTTCCGGAACAAGATCATTTTACCCTTTCACAACTTCTGGCCCTTGAATCTCCACAAAACAGCATTTTTCTTTCAATATTTTGTATCAAAAGAGGTTCATTATTTTTACTCCTTCTCTTTGAAGAGTTTTGAAGAGCTTTTCGCTTCCAAATAGACCTAGATGATCAGATTATTTTAATCTAATACACGCAGTCACTATGTTCTGAACCGATCCGAAATTGTTCCGTCCCGAAGCAAAATGTTCCGAACCGAACCGTTCCGATTTTTTTTGTTCCGTGACATCTCTAGTAAAAGCACAATTTATATTTTCGTAATATTCCTTTTGTTCAATACAATTAAAGTGTAACATTTAAACTTTTTAACAAATTTTAGACTTTTAAATGTTAAAACTTTTAAAATTCTAAATACTTTTTCTCAAAATTCCCGGGAGCGGAATGGATATATTATATCTGCCCGCATTTGGCCTGGAGCGGGACATTATACATGTCATGATATAGGGAGAAAATCAATAAACTCAAGGCCTGTGTTACACTTGCTAACTGTATATTGAATGCTCTTACTATGCTAGAATATTTTCTCTCCCTATATCTTGACACTGTTTCTCAAGTATGAGATACACATGTCTATCTACCTTCTTAGCTGTTCCCAAATTTTCTTTGCTTTTTGTGACACTTCAAAATTGTCCTTCTGCTGTCTTCTCACCAATTTGCGATCTTTCTTTTTCATTTCTTCTAGCTTTGGCTTTTTCTCTTCACCTACAAAAACAAGTAGATTATGCATAGCTACCTTGACATTATACACTATAGTCCAAAAAAGCTGTAGACTCCTATAGTTTCATAGAATATGTTTGACAATGGTGATCACAAGCTAAGCAATTTGGCACTTCCGGATAAAAGCAAAATTATTTCAATTTTACATCATTAGACAACTAACATAAAAGAACCATCCTTAACAAAATGCATGTCATTTCATACCAAAAATGGTATGTACATGAACTTACTTGTGTCTGCATTTCCTCCTTTCCTTTTAACACCCTTTTCTTTCCCAGATCCTGCTTTACTAGATTCTTCTTTTCCAGTCTTCTTGAATTTTTTAGCTGCATGCTTTAATGCCACCTAGATACAACATGCCAGAAGGATTAACCAAGAATGAGGCCTTAATGACAAGATTGAAAGGTGTATAATTTACCATGAAAAAATTATGGAAGACGTAAATTGGATAACACTGGTTAATGATAACACAATTCTAATCATTTTCCCAACTGAAAGCATTGAACATTTCAGCCTGTTAGGTATACATGGAGTTTCATGCATGGACTGGAGCTGTGGTTTTATGACTAACCAATTGTATCATGTAATATTACAAGGAGTTTCTAGCAAGGATTTTTGTTATGTAAATAATATTTATCAACATATACCTTAAATGGCTTCTTTTCTTTCTTTTCCTCTACACTAGATTTCTTTACTTTCTTTTTCTCTGGGCTCCAAGTACTTTCCTCTGCATCATCACTTTTCACATTGACTGCTGAAAATGTTCCTCCATCTGGCTGCCCCCTTGCTTTTTCAATAGCTTGCTCCCAGCCATTACTTTCATTGGTCTCTATCTTACGTTTGGTTGATGATTTTGAAACTTCAGATTTATTGGACTTTGATTTTTCAGAGGTTTTAGTTTTATTATTCTGTTTAGACTTCTTCTTGGACATATTAGTTTCATCAAAAGAACTGTCTAATGTAGATTTTGGAGATTTACTTTTCATTGGTGTCTTGGACTTTTTCATTTTGGGGGTTGAGACTTTATTGTTTGATGCTATTTTTGGAATGTTTTTCTTCTTTACACTGTTACCTTCAGGTTCTGCTCTTTGACTGATGTTCATCTTTTTTGGTGTAGCTTGACCAATTTTCTTAGACTTTTTTGAGCTCTCCATTATTATGTCCTGGAAAATAAGATTAAACATTATTTTGTTTCCATCACTGTAACTTGGATTTGTTCCCAGCATTCCATGTCGATATTCTGCCATATATGGTGTCATGTCTTGATTACAAAATTCAAAGTTAAACAGCCACAAGTTTTTTCACTTCAGAATTTGAATTGCGAGTTTTGATCTTATTACCTAACAAAAAATCAAAGCACACAAGAAGTGATGAAGATTCTGTATTTGTCTTTAATTTGGTGAGCATTTTATTTTGGCGTATTAAAAAAATCACCAAATCAAATACTCCCTAAATTTCCAAGGAATTTCACATGTTTTTCATTCGATGCACTTCCGGTTAAAAGAAAGATATCAAAATGGGTGAGCTGTTCAAATTTTTAGAAACAACAATTAATATTGAAGATATTATATAGACAAGAAATATTGTAGAAATTGTTCATCAACAACACTGACGATGAGTATCTTGAACGGTATGGGTTCGATTTCTCGCCGAGTAGCCTTTTTTATTTTTCATTTTGTGAATAGTAAACTAGAAGTTTTTCTCTGAAGTCCGAAAATGATTAATTCTATTCTTAGAATTTCCTTGGCAGGCTATAACGCTCTATTACTTACAAATATCTAATGGAATAAATCACTTGCACTGGTTTTGCTCGAGTCTCAAGCTTACAGAATATAGAGGGAATCCCGGTGAAAGGTGGCAAATAGTCAGGCGAAAAGTATGATTACCGAATCTAACCTAGGATCAAGACATTATTCTGGATAAAGAAAAGGGTCTTGTTTATTCTAGATAACATTTTTAACATGGTTTATTATCACTGGTGATCCACTCGATTACGCTGGTTACCAAAACGGTTTGTTTTGGTAACAAAATGTCGGAGCATCCGGAAGGTACGATTTTTCTCGTTTCCTTATTTTACACTTTGTAGGCAGAATTCCCACGACAGTTTTTAAACGTGTATCAGTATCATATGTTTAGAAAGTGTACATATTTGCGAACAAATAGTTCAGAAGACAACAGAATCGTCGATTTACTTCCTCACTTAAGTTACATAAACGGTTTGGGTTAAAAGTGCAGATCTTAACTGTTTTTCGAAAAACCGTTTATGTAACTTAAGTGAGGAAGTAAATCTACGATTCTGTTGTCCTCTGAGCTATTTTTTCGCAAACATGTATATTTTCTAAAACATATGATACGGATGCACGTTGTGAAAAAAAACGTCGTGGGGATTCTGCCTGCAATGCCTGTAATAAGGAAAAAAGAAAAATCGTGCCTTCGACGTTCCAACATTTTGTTACCAAAACGGTTCGTTTTGGTAACCAGCGTAATCGAGTGGATCACCAGTGATAATGAATGCAGGAACATCAGAAAACACACTTCAGGATCTAATGCCTTTAGATTTCAATCCCAAAATGTCTTTGGTACACAGATATTTCAGTAGAATTTAGAAAGGAATTTCGGGGTTTCCCTATGACTCATTTTCATGTGTTGGTTTGATGATTCCAGATATTTGTCTTCTCAGCATTTTTGGACCTCTATGCTTAAAAGACCTCTCATGATTGTGACCTTGCAAAATCCTCCGTGGAACATTCTCATATACCTGGTCTATGAGATTTAGTATAAATTGAGAAGTGTATTTACTTCGATGTAGCAATTGATCTCGGCTTTATGGAACACACAGGACTTACATGTAAACTAAATTCTCAGAAAGTAAGTTTGACTTTTTGAATCAGTTTCTGAAAAGTTGTTTTATAGGATTATGAATTTAAGTAAAGAACTGAATATTTTACTTTCTAGCATTAAATCTTATGAGAGATAACTTGAGATTTCCATAGTCTCTTTATGGTTCAAACATAGATCGCAAGGCAACATGGGTTTGAAAGAAATGGAACAGAGAAATGAAAGTTTATAAACACTGATGTTACATGTACTTTAACTTTAATTACTTTTCAACTTATTTTCTTGAACATGGGTATCTGAAGTCTATTTAAGATCAAACAGTGATCGTGTGAAGCGATGGAGGTTTGAATTAAGAAATAGAAAAGAGAAACATTGTTAAGATTATTAATCATTGGCACATGGTTTTGGGATGAATACTTCATGTGCACATGAATTATTTGCTTCTGAGCACTTACAAGCTAGCCAAACTCAAACTCGTGACAAATGCATTATGCATATGCTTGTATGAAGCCTTGGAGACACTCATTTTGGTAAATATGATTTACGGTATATACTTTTCTATAGTTTGTGGGAGTTTGGGACATAAAATGTTAAAATTCAAGAACATATGCCAACTATACGACTTATCAATTAATTTGTATCAGCACTGTAATTATCAATTCCCGGCCAAGACTACCGATTATGTTGTCGCGATGTGCCATAATCGTACAACGATGCATCTCCAATTTTCAGTAGTAAACATCGATGCACATCACGATGTACATCGAGAAAAAGTCTGAGAAAAGTGCACTGAAATACCAAACACTAATGCACTAAAATACCGAACAGAACAAATAAATAAGAGTGCGCTGGTACATCCGAGAACTTCTAGTAACGGTGAAATGAAAGTAAAGTAATTTTTTTAGATTAATGGTTCATTTCGACTAGCTAAAACAGTTTTAAAGCGAAAGAATATCAGAAAACATTGGAAAATGAAATAAGACAAGAGAAAGGTAAGCGATTTGCGTCAAAATAAGATAAGAAAGCGTGATTTTTAGCAAATTAAATTTTTTTAAAAACATCGATGTTTTGTTTCAGACATCGATGCATCGCCAGAATCAGCTTTGGCGATGTATATCGCGATGTATCGATTAATCGCGACAACACTACTACCGATCGTTTCATTTGCTCCGGGAATAGTATTTTATAGACTTTATAAGCCAATTTCCAAGTTTCCAAGATATACAAATGTCATTCGTGTGCAATATGAATATATTTCTCTATATATTATTGCACAATAGTCCTTAGATTTCTTATTTTAGGTTCAACTCGTTGCTTTGAAGCAGTACGTCTCAACATGAGGCCACATGCTATCTATTGCAAGACTAACGCCTGGTGTAACAGTTATACAAGAAATGTAAATGAAGTGGAAATATTCCCCAAAATTTTCCGAAGGCATGTCAGTCCGGAAGTTATGATACGTTATGGTGTCACTACGGTAAATCATTGAAAAATATTGAAAAAAATCACAAAATTCAAGTTCTGGTGTGAGGTTCCATATCCATCCGCTAAAAGGTATGACACTATAAAGTCCATTTACAAATTTGTGGTTTTGTTCTAAATAACGCCATAGTTGGCTTCTAGGGTACCTAGTATGCCACTATTTCATCGTATCAAAATAAAGAGGAGGAGTTCAACTTTCATTTGAATTACGAAAATAGCGATGTAGGTCAAAATAGTTCCGGCGTGAGCATGTTTACTACGCGATTACACTACCACGGTCATGGCAGGCATTTTAATATAATACAGCATTGTCGCGGTTATACTAGGCTTTCACGATAACATTACCACGGTCATGGCAGGATCCTTGCGCTACTTAAAAAACACCAAATAACATGGTGACGGTTACGCCAGGCGTTAGTCTTGCAACAGATAAGGTCTCCATGAGGCCCATGTAAATACCTCTCTGTGATACAAGATCAAGATAGGGGGAGCAAGTTACCCACTCTAATATTCTGTATATAATAAAGAGATTATAAGAGTCAGGGGTGACTTACTCCCCATGGATCTACAGTACAATTATTCCATTTCCATGTTGTTTAGGCCTAGTGGGCGATAATAGGGTAAAAATTATAGCAACACTTTTCAATGCATTAATTTTGATTTCATGAGGAGATATGACAATTACAAAAGCAATACCTATGATAATTGTAATTGCGATTTCATAACTGGGTTATCATTGATGAAATTGAAGCATACATACCAGATATATGAAGTAAAATTGAAGACCAATTTCCTAAAACAGATTCCGGCGTGGAAATTCTTGAATGACCTTGACCCTCAAGGTGACCTTTGATGATTTGTGGAAGGATTTTGTTTACAACTCTCTTTATTCTAAGTTTATTCGTTTCACCGACAATGATTACAAACAAGCTTCTTCGTGCAATTATAATGGGGCCACCGGGGTCAGGAAAAGGCACAATATCCGAGAGAATAGTGAAAGACTTTCCAATGAAACACCTGTCAAGTGGAGATCTTCTCAGAGCTCAGATGGCCAATCAAACAGGTAAACATAGGGAGGGGGATGATATACATGTATGTATGTTTGGTTGAAGGTAGGTAGGGGCATAGCCAGGATTTACCAAAGGCGGTCGTTCGAACTCCTATGCAGTGTCTCGGTATAGACACTGCGGCGGGCAGATTATGGAATCCCCAAAATTTGGGGAAGATAGTCCCCCTTTTTGTCACAGATGTACTTGTTTTCACACAACTTATAAAATAAATGTTCTTTTATGTTCACCAATAATTATTTTGTCAAAATATTCCAAAATCAATGAAATATAAGAGCAAATCCCCGCGGAAGGAATTCTGAGTAAAAGTTGTGTTGATAAAAGTTTACCGCACGTGTTGTTTATTAGTTAATACGCGCAATTCAACCAATGAAATTGTCTACATTTTACAATCACGCGACCTGAGCATGGGACTAGAACCAATCACGTCAGTTGTTTATTACGATGTTACCATGCTTACGGTGAGACACCTGCCCGCCGCAGTGATGTATCACTGCACGGGAGTTCGGCGGTCGTTTTGTAACAAAGGGAGGTTCCAGGCGAGTGGGTGTTCGCTTGACGGAAACAGGTTTTGTGAACCTAGCCTTTCCACGGTTATGGGAAGTCCTCCATATACACTGGCGGATTAGGGGGGGGGGGCCTGGGGGGCCCGGGCCCCCCCCCCCCTTGGGTGGGCCCAGAAAAAAAAAATTGGGCCCAAAAAAAATTTTGGGTCAAAAAAGGCCTTCAGGACCCAAAAAGTGGGCCTTTTTGGTCATAACTGGGCCTTTTTAGGCCTTATTTTTTAATTTCAGGCCAAATTTTGAAGAAAATGGGCCTCAAATTTTCAAAATTTGGGCCCACTTTTGGGTTTTAGGGGCCCAAAATTTTTATACGCACAAGCGCGGACGTTTTTTCTCTAACTTGAAATTTGGGCCCCCCCCCTTGTTGATTCCCAGATCCGCCCCTGATATATTACTTATATTATTTGTCAGGGGTGTATATACCTCCTAGATGGAGGACTTCCCACTATCCGTGAGCCTTTCCAAATGGCCATGATAGGACATCTTGAAGTCTACAGTGTATGCTAACCAAGCAAATTACAGAATATACATGTATAGTACTCGCTTCAACAAATACATGTAGCTAGTACATGTACATATAAACATGCTATTCATTGTTTGCGCAAAAAGTCATCCTTCTGAGAGTGGGGTTCGTACCTGGCCTGGTATGGGGTTTGTTGATCCTTGAGAATAGGGGATTATTTCCGACTGGGTCTGGGGTTTCGTTTTACAACGAAAGGGGGGTTCGAGATGAATGGGAAGGGGGAGGGGGGTGGCATGAGCCCCACGAAACTCCCCTGCCTACTTGGCAGGCAGGGCAATTGCCTCAGACATTGAAAATTAAGTCTAATGATAGGCTTTGTATTATATTGCCTAAACTCCTAAATGTTTGCCTCACCTGTTTAAATTTTCCTCGCCTATTTTCAAATCATGGCCACGCCCCTGGTATGATGATGATCACCATCACGTTTTAACTATCTACTGATTATTAGTGGGGGTTTGTGGGGCTCATGCAACCCCCCTTGCTATATAATGAATCCAGCCAGGAACAAATCCCCTTTCCTGAAAGATCAATGCACACCCAGCCAGGAAACCCCGTTTTCTGAAAGATTGACTATGAGTGAACAATGAATCACACCTTGATACCAGCTACATTGTTATTGATGTTGCCGCACTTACTCCTTAAAAGGGTATAGAGATCATACATTGTAAAGAATGGCAATTATATTGAAGAAATCTATTTTGGTATGTTATGGACATTAGACAGGCTAGGCAATTGCCTCAACAAAACTTTACAGAAAATAGCAATTGAGACATCTTTTTTAATTGAAAATGTGAAAATGAAGTGTGATGAAAGTGTTATATTGCCCCAACTAAATTTTTGCCAGTTTTCCTCACCTGTTTAAAGGATTGGTATCGATATATGATGAACTGAATTCAACAATGTTTTTCTCTTAAACCAATTATTGAAAACATTCTGTCCTTTAGTAATTTTGACTGTTTGACAACAATTTAATGCGAAAATTATCTATATATATTTTATATAACTGTTTTTGTAAACATTTTTTGTTTTTAGTGCAATTGTTTTTTGTTCCTTTTTACCAATTCTTGAGAATGAAAAAAAAAAATTCCAAAGCTTGCTGGAACAAAATAGCATCATTTTCTTAGACCTCTCAATATTATAGTTATACAAAAGAAATTTTGGTTGATTTAACAAAAAGTATTCAAAAATTATAACAAGAACCCCCAAAATAGATAAAAATTAAGATAATCCTTTTATTTCATTAACAAGATACTTTTTTTTAAATCAACCAAACTTTCCTTTGCACAATTATAATATTGAGAGACCTAAACATGTTTTGCTTATGTCATTTTGTTCAAATGAGGTTCGGGTAGATGTTTCATTTCATTCCGAACATATGATATTCAGCTCCAGAACAAAAGAAGTGTCTGATGTGTTTTCTAAAACAATATAGAGAAAAGTATATATATTTATTTCAAATTGTATTGTTACCATTCAAAAGATGACCATTAAATTGACATTAAATTTTCAGAATTTTTTGATGACTGGTTTAAGAGAAACGTGTGTTCAAAAAGTTCACCATATCGATACCCATCCTTTGCCTTGCCTATTTTAAAGTCATGGCTGCGCCCCTAGGATCTGTCATATTTGTGAGATATTGCATACTTTGTTTGACATAAACATTGATGGGTCTGCAATTGAACAAGTAAATATGTTGAACTTTATTTTGCTATAACAGGAACATTGTCATCTTTTCAAAAGTAGTGTGGTCACAAAAAATAAATATTTTTTTTATTGTATTGTAAAATTTTATTAAAGTGTCATGGGTTATATAAATACATGTATAAAACAATTACATCACATGTAAAATATCACTAAAATATTCTTTAACCAGTATAACAAGTACCGTATATATATTTATATTTATCGAGTTTAGGTTATGCAATGTCAGTGTCATATTTATAGGTCGAGGTCAACTGAAAGATCAAAGGTCAATGTTTGGGTATTTATTTAAAATGCTCTCTGAAGATATGTATTATCATATTAGCATCATTGGAGGTCACTGTTATATTTACAGGTCAAGGCTACATGAAAGGTCAATATGTACAGGTATATTGTATTTTAAGGCTGACCCAAGTTCTGTCATCCTTATAATTTGTAAATGTATCATATTCAATCTGAGTATTTTTAATATTTTTTATTCTTTACAGGAAGTAAAATCTTTTAATTTGTACACTCATTGGAAAAACTTATTGAATGTTTAAAAAAGCTTTTATTTTCAGCTGCTGGAATTGCTGCTAAAAAATTCATTGAAGACGGCCAGCTTGTACCAGATGATGTTATGGTTGAACTGATTGGTAATGAGCTAGGTGGTATTGCAAGCCAAAGCTGGTTGTTAGATGGTAAGCTCAATATATATTTTTGCTTTGTTGATGCGAGCCAATTCGCCATATTCTCGTATGTAGTTCTTTCTGTTTATATTCATTTTGGTATCCATATTGCATACGGAAAATTTTACTTAAATTAATGAAAATGATTTTGCCAAAAGAGATTTCAGGGAAATCAGAACAGCATTTTTAAATAGCACGGTTGTCAAGGTTAGAAAATATTCAGGGAAAACCATCTTGGAAAAGTCCAGGAATTTCAAAATTCCCAAATGATTTGTTAGAATAAGGGAATTTTAGAATTCAAAGAAAATTCTGGGATGGAAGATATTAATTAAGTTGAAGGGAATTCCACACTTGAATCAGAGGAAGCCATGGAATTTTGAATTGAAAATGTTGTAGCACCTTTGAATGGTCTATAAGGGTATGGAAAAATCAATGGTAAAATTGAGTTGATCAAAGGTTTAATGTGAAAAAATACTACTATATTTCAATTAGTTTCTGTTATGGTGACTACCATGTAATATCATTTCAGGATTTCCTCGCACAGTGCCCCAGGCTGAGGCCTTGATTGAGAAAGAACCCATTGACACAGTTCTGCACCTAGATGTGCCATTTGAGATCATAATAGAGCGAACCATGAAAAGAAGAGTACATCTAGGCAGTGGACGTGTCTACCATTTAGAGTTTAACCCACCTAAAGTAGAGGTATGCATTTTTCACTTATGTACTACAGACATCAGAGGGTCAAATGTTTCATTTAAAAGATTAGCCATAATAAAAAAAAACTTGCCTAAGGTTCCTTGAAGGGAGCTTACATTAATTTACAATACCTTTAACATAAGAATGGGGACCTGGCAGTTTGTACATAGATGAATAAACAATAGCTATGAATGTTAAAATGGCACGTGGTACAGAAATTGTCCACTCTCTGAGAGTGCCTGAGCTTCTTTAATGATATATTCACAACTAAGTGTTTTACATTTTAGGGTAAAGATGATGTCACTGGGCAACCACTGATACAGAGAGATGATGATAAACCTGAGACAGTTAAGGCAAGATTAGAGACCTACCAGAGACAAACACAACCTGTCTTAGATTTCTTTAGGTAAATTCTACCATTCCATTTGTTTTCATATGAATCTTAAATAATGAAACTAGAAGACTAAAACATGTGCGAGTTATTAAAGTGGTATACCTATCAATGTAATGTCATGTCTTCTTGATGTATAATATTGCTCCAAGCAGCATACGTTGGATTTTTAGTGCATCACTATCTTATGAGACACATGTTAAATGACACTTTTACTTCTTATATTTTACAGTGATAGAGGGGTGCTATCAGTATTTAAAGGCAGCTACTCTAATGAAATCTGGCCTAAGGTGCACAAATTCCTAGCCACAAAGATGAAGCCCCTACAATACACCGACTATGGTACTTCAAAGTGATGCATAGTTTTTCTTCAGGTGGTCTTCATACTTATTTTAATGGTATTGTCATATGCAACAATATCATTTAACATTATAATTTATAGAATTTTTTTAATCAGTTGGTTGATACGCTTCAGCATTGGCAAGTATGAGACATTTACACTAATCTTTGCATTGCATGGAATACAATCATGATGATAAAAATATTTGGAATATGGGATTGTGACATAGGAGAATTCTATTATACAACTACATGTAATTTTCCAAATGCAATATTGGTTTTCAGAGGTATCATTTAATACTTTTACATGGGACAATCACAATGGTTTCCAAACATATTCAATTTTTAAGAGATTCTTTGATTTTCTGCAAGATGACAGAATGGTAACATATCTGATACATAATGAAATTAGGGTAAATCCCAGGGGTAACATGTATATCTAACTGAGAGATTGAGGTTTCTTATTTATTTTCTTAAGGATATACCCCATATCCTATCGATACGATATACAATATATGCAATTGATTTATATGTAGAAAAAGTAAATATTTTTGATGCATATTGCGGAATATGGTACATAGAAAAATACATATATATCCAACATTTGGAAAATGTACCACTGCACTATAATTTATATAAAGCCCCTTGCAGCTTACATTATATAAATGATAATATGGATGTCATAATAGTCATTTTGTCATCTGTTCAGGGCAATGCTTTTATGCTCCCATACTAATCATGTTGATACTGCATATTGTCAGGTAGATCTCTTAAAGCCCATGGATAAATATACACAAATTCACAAAGTGCAATCTATTTCTATGAATTTATGGACTTTATATTTATGACAATAACAATGCTGTACATATACTGAATTTTTGTAGATGCAAATAAATATGGTTTGGATTATATTTCTTGCTTTTGTTCTTTGATAACTTTTCCTAGATGTTTGCACTTAGCAGGGGTACCTAACTCTAAAAAAATACTTCCACATGACATCAATATGTCAAGGTACAAATGAGATGTTTGCTGTTTTATCCATTCCATATTGCCTACCTTAAATGTTGCTCAGTCTGTAATGACATCTCAAAAATTGAAATGTTTTATTATTACCACATTGCGGGACACTAGTTTAGAAGGCCTATACATGTATTTTACTTTATTGACTTGAGCAATATGTGATGTAATATAATGGCAGGCCATATTGGATATTTCATCCCAATAATGTTCCCCGGGATATGAGATATTGTTCAGTTTGTTTAATTTTCATTCAGTGGCAGTCAGTTCTTGCTATTTCAGCCCTGGGCATAAACGGTCAAAGATTTCACTATGTTACCCTTTGTAATGAGATTATTGGTATATGATTATAATCTATAAATTGAGGTTATAAGAAGTACATATGCACCCCTAATAACTTACGACATGCCACTTACCAGGTGAGCCATTTTTTCAAGCATTGATATTTTCAGGAAATAAGCTTTATATCAAAATCTGTTGATAGGGCAACTTGCATACTATTATCATTTATAATTTGGTGTATTTTAGAAATTGAGCCTTTATTAAACATAGTGGTATGTGAAATAATCCCTTTAAAAGAAGCATACACTTTGTAATGGTCTCATCATGTACTTCCTAGCCAATCAACTTTCCAAGCTTGAATACAAGAGTACAGAAGGGACCAATCAACTTTCCAAGCTTGAATACAAGAGTACAGAAGGGACCAATCAACTTTCCAAGCTTGAATACAAGAGTACAGAAGGGACCAATCAACTTTCCAAGCTTGAATACAAGAGTACAGAAGGGACCAATCAACTTTCCAAGCTTGAATACAAGAGTACAGAAGGTTTGCACAGTCTTGATGGTGTAAATTGCAGGGTACAGGTAAAAACAGAGAGTTATTTAAGTATAGTCACTAGAAGACACAACTTTTTATTTCTGACCTAGCATGTATAATATTTACACTTCAAATGTATCAAATACATTTAAAAGTTGCAATGTACAAATGTAGGAAGTGTAACACAATCTAATTCTAATGTATTTACAAATAAATATTTGAAAATTCAAACAATCTATGGTTAAAAAATCACTTATAAATAAATATTTCCAAAACCCGATGGTCAAGGATTTCATGACCAATGAGTACCATATGCATATACATCCCCTACATGCATACCACATACTAACATCCCATTTAATATTGTAGCTTTGGGTTAACAGCATTCAAAAAGGTAAAGGGTTAAATCACCTGCTCATTGAAGATACAAGAGTAGATAGAGTTCGCAATTATTGTAAAGAATTAATCTGCAAAATGTTGAATATTCTGAAAATTGTCCGAAGTCACTCCAGATTCACAACACATAAAAAAGGGATTACCCCAGAACATTGTGTTGTACCTTCTATAATTATTATTGAACATGTCAAAAATGTTTGTAAAAATATTTATCTTAACAATCTTTTACAGTAATCCAATGGGAATTTTAGAGCTTCCAAAACACCGAAACATTTTCTTAACAACCCGTATTGTAGCATATAGATGTACATGTAGCTCAATTAATTTTCAAGTACATATTTTTTAGTTTCTGACCTGAAATCTTTTGACAAGTTTATATTGACCATTATGCTCCAAGAACATAGAAAACTAGTCAATTTTTTATACCATTCACAAATGTTTCTGGTACATACATTTTGAATAAAATACACACAATAGTATTCTTGGATCCTAATCCTGAATTTGGATTTTAATCAAAAATATGACATTAACTGATTTTCACTTTCGTTTGTAAATTACCAAATCTTAATACCAACGAGACTGACTAGCATCAGACCCAGGATTCAGACATACATGTAAGTTCATGTTAATATCTAGTGTTGTGATTGCAAATTCAGTCTATTGTTTGTTTTGTTTGTAAACATCGGGCAGAATCTGATTCGAAAACATTTAAAATACATGATTTCTTCACAGAAGGTCCGAGACACTTCCCATAAATACAATACATGTATTAATAAATCGAAACTACAGTAATGTGCTAGCCTGAATGTAGAGACAGTAACAGTTGTAATGATGCTTTCAAAATCAATAATTAACATTCATTGGAGATTTTTTAATATTTTAGTCAGGCCACCAGTGCAACTTATGAGATTAAGACTAAAGGAATGGTATCGATATGGTGAATTTTTTGAACACATGTTTCTCTTAAACCAGTCATCAAAACATTCTGAAAATTTTACACATCATCAATTTAATGGTCATCTTTTGGTTGGTAACATTATAATCTGAAATATATATATTTCTTTATTTCATTCTCAAGAATTGGTAGAAAGAAACAAAAAACAATTACACTAAAAACTCAAAAATGTTAACAAAAACAGTTGTATAAAATATATATAAATAATTTTTGCATTAACTTGTTGCCAATCAGTCAACATTACACAAAGGACTGTGTTTTTTTACAGAATGTTTTCAATATTTGGTTTAAGAGAAAAACATTGTTTAATATAGTTCACAATATCGATACCTATCCTTTATCACACTTTTTATTGTACCACTAATAACCCTCTGCCACTTTTACCAATATACATCCCAGCATGGATGAACGTTTGTGACATGAGACTGTAGAATATATGTGATATTATAATCAGTATTATGTTATACACTAGCCAGACATCATATACAACACAAAATTGTATTTTGCCTATGGTTTCACATTCCCATGTTTGCCACATAAATATATTTTATTGCTTTAATGAGTTTTGTAGCATAATATTCATATCTACATATCATACATTTATCTTTACCTATAAATGAAAAGGTACAAGTTCATGAGTTATTTGAATTGCACATTTGATATGGAGTACCAGAGAATTATGACAACATTTGATCATCTATCACGATATCCACTACTGTCCTATAATCAGTATTTCACATTATATATTTTTTGACTAGATTTGAATCGGTGTCTCATTTCTGTGTTTAACATGTCCAGTGCAGTAACCTTCAGTATAATGAGAGTCAGTGCAACAAAGCATTGTGCTTAGTATGATTGATAATTTCTTGAATTGTGTGACCTACGCACGTCCTTCTTGCAGCTTCCTTTTGAACCATCCCAAAGTCTTTATATATTAATTTCATTATGTAAATTGCATTGCATGTAATCTGATTAAATCAGGTCATGATAGAAAAACAAAATCTTCAGATTCTTTCATACTTGTTTTGATTACATTCCCTTGCCTATCCACATCGATGTGGCGTACTTTAACAACTTTTTCTACCTCCTCTCCTGAAGAGTTACTCATTGAAACATCAGAGCTCATGCCATTTGAGAAAATAAACATGGGATATTGATCTTTCTGCATGGGGGGAAAGGCAACCTGGAAATAATCAAATGTCAAGTCTGTACATGTATTGTGTTAATATTTTAATGTGAAAATGATAGGATAACTGAAAGAAAATGATTTGAACATCAGGAGAAAAAGACATGTAACTTGAGTAACATTCATGTGTTATAAGAGCACTTTAACCTTGTTCAATGTTGTCTACTGACAGCCATCCCCCTTATTCAATATTACAAATGACACCATGGAAACGCAGCATTCAGTGGACTCACATTGTGAAATAAGAAGATTAATCCAAAACGAGGCAAAAGAATGAGATTGGACCAATGGTGTTCATTACCACCATGGACCCCCATAAAAAGGATATGAGCAAAGAAATGGCAGTTTTTCATCTGTCCAAATTTTGTTGATAAATGGAAGAATGGACAGACATAGATGAGACAGCAATTCAATAGTGAGGCAACACTAACAAAATCACATAGTCCTACCAAATATATTACAAAATATTTCATTACCTCCTGAGTCCTTACAACAAATTCATCAAAGTCTTCTTTGTTTTTACAGTAGAATCCTATTGTACAGCTCGGGTCCATTTTCTCTATTGATAACTTGCGAGGAGACATGCAGTGGAATGTCTGAAGTAAACACAATAACTTTACAGATATTCTAATGATCATAATAATACCACATTAGAGGAGCAACCATGTAAAGTACTAGTGTAGTATACAGTTACACTTGTGCGTGAAGCTGAAATTTTGACGAAATAACTATTGTGAAATTATAAAAATAAGATTTCCAAAGTCTCTGGTTATCAGTAGAGCAACTAACACACGTCCAATGGTCTTTGATTATCAAAGTTTTCATAACACCATTGCCTAACTGTAAATTGAATCTATTATGGATTTTACATCCAGTGGTAACTTACACGAGTGTCATAGTCTCTGGATCTAGTGTCAACAACATCTTGACTGCAGTGAGGGTCTAGATACACCAGTTTATCATCTGTAACAAGATATACAAAATCATTATTGGCTGGTGGTGAAAGATAAGGTCCCAGTCTAATTCGGACTTAGAACAAGTGAGTATAAAAATATAGCAATCACAACAAGGTGTACAACCCAAAACTCCAACATTCACCAGAGTGTTTCATTCACTTTTGAAAATCTGCGCAGTGAAATAAAATGAGGATCTCAAGATGGCCGGTGGTCATTTCCAGACGTAATTTTTTTTATTTGGGAGGATTTCCTTGTTTGGGTTCAGTAATGAAATGCTTTGGTGTGAATGTAGGAGCGTTTGGGTTATACACAGTGACCAGGGTTCTCCCCAGGAAATTGTTAGACCCCAGATTTTCCGCAGTGTCGCAACGACTCCCCCCCCATGTGAGACCAGAGATATCCTAGTACTAGTAGTATACTATTCAAACTACTACTTAAGATCTTCTTCCTATTTTAATCACAATATATTCTGACCTCCTATTCCTTGTTTGTATCCAGTTTTATGTATTTCTTAAAGAGTTTTACCACAAATAATGTGCCAAAAATGTAAAATAAGACTCTGGAAAAAACACTTTAGACTCCGGAGCAAGAGGGTCTAAAGAGGAGTCTAAAAGCCTAGTGAAATTACATTGATTGGCTCTGTGCTTCTGGGCAAATGCTTAAGCTACAACCTGAATCTCACCTTGCCAGCCAAGAAAATACAGAGAATGTTTTGGTTTTCCTCCAATTATTCCCAGGCATCCTGGGATTGCAAGTAGAGCTTTGATGCAGTCTATATATATCACATTTAAAGCAGCACCACCAAGTCGCACAGGAATCAATATGATCACAGATCGCCATTTTTCAGTTTGTTGTGTTGTTTTGTTTGCAGAGTGGGAGGAGCCATCTGATGTTATGCTGGTGGAGGTTGAACTCCTCCTTCTTTGCGTACACAAGGTTACAATATCTTGTACATAAACTGGAAAACAATAGAGGCAATGGTCTATTCTTAATAATTCAGTGTTTATCAGGTTAGATCATATATGACAAAGATAGAGATAATCAATCAATATGGTACACATAGATAGGCAATTGACACTTAACTGGGACGTCTTATGTCTTCCAAATTATCCATGACTTATTTTGAGAAAATTAATTCCTAGATTAACGATTAAGAAGCAGAATATACATCATTACTCTCACCTGTACAATCCTGTGCCACATAGAGACAGATGTCACCAATAAGTGGGTTGATTATGGGGGCATTATCCATGGCCTCTCTGTAACACAAGATTTAAGATATTATATGACATTTTCTTGTCCGACCCATGCACAAAAGATTTTCATTCGATATTCAGATTAAGATTTTTCTATCAAGTAGTCCGGGTCCTTCCAAGTCTCAAGGCTAGTGCCTTAACGCATTACACTATTATAAGGATCCACCAGGAAAAATTATATAATATTTTAAAAGAATATCACTTACTTGAGAACATGTGCAACTGATGATGGCCCATACCAATCCCCTGCTTGTTTCCCCATACGTAGACCATAGTGCACTAAATTGTGAATAGAAAATGGGCTATGATCACCTGGCATATCCCCAAACCATCTTATAATTTGTCTATGAAACACACGATCCACATCAGTACAGCCTTTCCAACAATTCCAGTCTGAAAACAGATTGTATTTCCAAAGATGAGCATTGTATGTACATATGTTTAAATGTATTCCACATTATTTCATAATATTAAACTGGTAAGATAAGTCATGAAAAGAGTTGAACAATGATACTTGGCAAATCAATGTGACTTTGGATAAGCTTTATAATGATACATGACACATACTATGAAGACACTGGCATATGTCTGCCTTTCGGGGCACCCTGTATATATGTAATATCAATGATTACTGGACCTCTAGTCTAGTCAAAGCTGCAACACAATGGACTTTCCCAGCTATATAAGGGTTATATACTGGGAGGTTTTGGATAAAGGGTATATCCTGAGGGATATATTTATATCTCCCCGAGGGACTGAAGGGACAGATATAAATATTTCCTGAGGGATATACCCTATACCCAAAACCGACCGTACATAACTGGTGTATCTCATACTTGAATGGGTTTTCAGGAGATGATAGAAAATCCTCAACATCAATTTGGTTTTCGAATCTTAGGTTGGTAGCTCCTTCTTTATCACTCAAATAAGGGTCATTCTCGTGTCCATTATCCATGTTTTTACAGAATTTCACTCGACTTTTCAGATTTATAAATATATTTTTACAATTATATTGAAAAATTTCCTGGAGTGGGATAGATATATTATATCTGCCTGCATTTGACCTGGAGTGGGACATATACAATAAATTCTACCCGCTACTCAGATAGAGATATATATTCCCGGGTGATATCTACCCGAAACCCACTCAAGTATGAGATACAATGGTCTACTCTTAAGGTGATGAAGGTCTGAACTCTGAGCTAAAAGAATGGACAACCATTTGAAAGACTGAATACACATCTTGCCATTCCTTAGTAGCTAGACTTACCCCTTCCAAGAAAGTGCATGACAAAAGCTTGGGCTAGCATCATCTGTCCTGTTCTTAACATACACCCCCAGCCGAGATCTGTTGTAAGTGTAGACTTTGGTAAAGGAGGAAAACCTTGTCTGTATGTGAACCATATTCTTGATGAAAAGTCCTGTTTGAATTCCTCCATACTAGTAATTAATCCATATCGCTCTATATCTTCATCTCTCTCTGAAAACAAAAGAGAATTTTTATCTTTACACACAGAACCAGAACAACGGCAACGCCAAAGCGTAGCGAATCCCATCGAACAGAAATGGCTGGCATTTTTACAAACGAAGCGCAAATATCATAAAACAACACACCAGAAAGGCCACCATTTTCAAAATGGTTGCTCACTAGCCAAGTTGTCATCAGAAGAAATAATATGCTTTTAAGTAGCCACCTCTAAAATTTTTGAAATATCACACACATGCTTGTAAAATAACACACATAAAAATGGTGGCCATTTTTCAAAATGGCCGACTACTCCCTAAAGTTTTATTAGACAATGTGCCATGCTTAAAGTATTCACATATCAATGGCTGCCTTCAACCAAAAGTGTCATAGGACAGTGTGCCATGCTTATAGTATTCACATACCAAATATGAACAATATCGCTCCACTACTTTTCGAGTTATAGTAAAATACGTTAAAATGGCGGCCATTTTGAAAAATGGCCGCCTTCTACCAAAAGTGTCTTTAGACAGTGTGCAATGCTTATAGTATCCACATACCAAATATGAACAAAATCGCTCCACTACTTTTTGAGTTACAGCAAAAATCGTAAAATGACGAGTAAAGGCCACCATTTTTCAAGATGGCTGCCATGTGCTTCTTTAATATCTACATTTGTAGCATTATTAACGTCCTTTATAATTTTTTTACATTTAAAACATATTGCTATTACAGTTTTACATATTGCATGTAAATTACTGTAAAATCGTCACTAAAATGGCCGCCATTTTGAAATGAGCGGCCATTTTAAAAATCGGCTTTCGAGCAGAACTTCTTACCTCATAGGGTATATGTGTACAAAATATGAACAAAAACTGGCCAACCGTATTTGAGTTATTGCCCGGACGGACGGACGGACGGACGGACGGACAGACAGACGTACGTACGTACGGACGGACGGAGGCGTTCCCTATATCCCTCCGAACTTCGTTCGATGGGATAATTAATTAAGAATAACTAGAAAAACAGCAACTCCCCAAGAAGCAAATAACACTAAACAAAACATATTTATCAATTTACTCATTTTGAAAATTTCAAAATAAATATAATCAGGTAGTAGTATTCTCTCCTTTACACCTGTGAAGTGGCACAATATTAGAAATTTCTTCTCTTGTAGGGGACAGGTATGCCCATAAGGCATCAATGAGTCTACAAAATGCTAAATTTTACTAAATCGGACAACTGGTATTCGAAATTTGAGATATTTTTTATAAAAAGGTAGTGGTCAATTTGCCTATAAAATTTGAATCAAATCTGATAAGATCTGTAAGTCTGTAAAAAATGGAGGTAATTTTGAATTGACTGATCCTCTTCAAATTCTTGATTAGAGGTCATCTCTGAAGCATGAGCAAACAAGAACACAAATGTGTACAACATGTCCCCACCTTACTCGAGTCTCTAGCTTACAGCTAGACGAAACTTCATTGATTTCGTATGTACTGTGCTACACGCACCTACACGCACCTAGAACTCATTTTTAATAAATTTTATAAATATTTTAAAGAATATTAATCATATTTAGGATGAAGCGTTGCTTGTCTGGATTTAGATATTTCAAAATTTCATTTCGGAGTTTGACACATGGTGAAATTTTCTCGCTGTAGCTAAAAATGGCTTCCGGTTCTGGACGTGAATAACATTTGAAATTATTCTCGCTTAAAGAAATCAAATATAACAATAGATTCAGACGGGCATGTGAGCTGATGTTCTTCAAATCTATACATAAAGGTATATTTCATATTATTATGCCATATTTACTGTGCGTGTGACACAATGATTTACAATATTTATAATACTAAGGCAGCTCAATCTTCCTCCTCAAAGCCGGAATATAGAGAAGGCTTTGGACCGAAGTAATCCCCACCAATGGGTGATCCTATATACTGCAAATTTTTCATACTGAATGCCTAACACTAATCTTGGGTGATCCTATATACTTTAAATTTTTCATCCTGCATTGGGAAATTAGGAAATGTGTAGACAGGACTTTATAGAGAGGATTTCAGGATGGAAAATCCAAAATTGCAACCTTAAAATTTACCCAGAATGCGGAAAAATAATCAGTTCGAAGATTTTCATACTAAGAATCATCCCTGAAAATTTGAAATTGATCCGTCAAATGGTTATCCTGAAAATGAGTAGACAAAAATGAAGGGCCATTCTCTAGGGCCATATTCCTACTCAAACTGTTTAGTGCAATAGTAGAATGACAAATATTGTTGGAAAGGTGTGAAATTATCTTTTAAATTTCAAAATGATTCAAGATATCTGATCAAATATGAAAGAACAAAAGCGCAATTTGAGATTTAACCAATTAGCCTTAAAAGCATAAAATAATATTTTACATACCTTGAGGTGTGCTGGAGTAGACTTTACCAAGGAACCACACTGGAGTTTCATAACTATAATTTGTTTTAATTTTGACTGCCCAGCCTACAAAGAAATTAATTCATAATTTACAGACTCTAAATGAAGGACACACAGCCATGTGCTCACACAGTGTAAAACCTTTCCTGACTTTCAACCAATGATATATAGTACTTTGAGAAACTTAGATAGCACAGTTTGTGACCTAGATTGATGACCTTAGAGCTTGAAAATTTTACTTTTTCAGAGCTTGGTAGGTCCTATGTGATTAAGCTGACAAAAATTTGAATCCAAAAAATCAACTTTTTGACCTTTCGAAGTTCAAGTAAAGGTCAAATCTTAAATCTAAGGTCAGATTTGAACTCATGAGAACTCATAGATGATATTTGAAAAAATGGTCAAATTGAAGCAAGTTGTAAAACATGTAAAATAACCTATTTTTATCGTTTTTTGACATCAAATATCTCAAAAACACTAAAATTTAATGCTGAGTGACAAATATTGAGCAATTTGTAGAGAATGCTTAAATCTAGTTACAATTTAATTCATCGTCACAAATGGTTACAAATTACAAAAGTGTTACAGACGCAGATTGCCAACATTGGAAAGACAATCACAATAATCACCTTTTGATGGTAAAATAACTAGAAACAGCAACTCCCTTATCAAATCACTCATATTTTGAACATGAAACATTACATTTTTCATATAAAATGGTGGTCATTTTGAACTCAGCAGCCATCTTAAACATTCCTTCTTAAGCAGAGTCTCATACCACTCATGCATCAGCAACAGGAAATAAGTCAACCCCCCCACTCTCTCTAGAGAAAGGGAGGGGGTCACTGACTCCCAGTTGAATCAACATAAAAATTTTAACCTAATGTGTCAACTCAGGTATGTGAGTTATCAAAGATTACAGATTGTATTATCTGTACCAATAACTCAAATGCGAATAGGTAGTCACTAGTTTCACCACCAGATGGCTCATTCAGGTCAGATAGCATGGCAGGTATAGTAGAAAGTTCCCTTTAACTTGAATATTCATCAGTTTAAGGTGTTCAATTTTCATACAGCCCTTGTGTTTCTGACAGTTATGCAAATTAACCTTGAACATTCATCAGTTTAAGTGGTTCAATTTTCATACAGCCCTTATGTATCTGACAGTTATGCAAATTCTCGAAATCGTTATTCCCTCTTCAAAAGAGAAGACGCGAAAATCTTTCCTTATAAGGGCAAAATATTTCCCATGATGCAGTTCGCGGAGGAACAAATTTATACTTCCTTATTTTCCCTCATAGGTTTAACAAGGGGATTTTCACACCTATGTTTCAAACGATATATTCGTTCATATTCCCGTACGAGAGTACAGAAAAAATTATTAGAAACGATTGATCTCTCATCAATCTTAATAGAACAGCTATTTTTTTCATTGTATTAATTCATAGCGTGGTGAAAACCAGGATTGAAAAGTGAGAAAATATTCCGGAAGAGAAGGTCACGTGATCAGTAGACTAGTCGCCATATTGGAAAAAACAATTCCATTCGACTTTCAATACTTTCATGCCAATCTTACCGCACTACAAACTGCAACATCGATGCAACAACTGAATAAAAGTATTCATCTTCAAATTACATTATAGAGTTACGTTGAAAACCCACAAACAACTGAGCAGTAGACCAAAGAAGACGCGTCGCAATTATCGAGGTCAATCTGTTCAGTGGTCCGAAAGCAAATCTATAGTACTCGTTTCCGAATTTTGTTGTTCATTGTACAATCTTTTATTGATTAAACTTGGTATACTGACTATTAAAGCAATGACAAAGAAGAATACTTACGATGGTGTCATTGTTTTATTTAGCGTGCGGGTGTGAAAACAAAATTGAGTAATTAGTTTGATTTAGAACTTTCGTGTCACGCAAATAGCTACGCGAAATGCATAGTGGGAAAATATTGACCAATCAAATTTTGTCCTTTTTGAGTGCTTTTTCAGTGCATATTTGCAAACGTTCTGATTCAAAGAGCGAACCGCGAAAAGGAGAATTAAAATATGTCCAGAAAAATAAAATGTTATCTGTTCAATACAAGAACAGATATTTCACTTTTTTGTGATTATATAACATGAGGTCTATGCCTGCTTTTCTGCATGTACAATATGAAACATGAGGTCTATGCCTGCTTTTCTGCATGTACAATATGAAAAGGCTCAAAAATATATAAAATATTGCTCAAAAATGGAGCTTTATTAGTATAATAATAGATGAATATTGAATATGTTTTCAATATAATACTGCACTGTGGTCTTTTGATTGCTTATTTTTAGGTTTTATTGATGGAAAAAAGTGCAGCGGATTATGACCTTGCATTAATGTTACACGTTTTGTTTCGGTAACAAAATGTCGGAACGTCGAAGGTACGATTTTTCTTTTTTCCTTACTTCACGCATTGTAGGCAGAATCAGACATTTTTTTCACAAAAATGTGTATCAGTATCATATGTTTTAGAAAATGTACATGTTTGCGAAAAAATAGCTCAGAAGACAACAGAATCGTTGATTTAATTCCTCAATTAAGTTACAGAAACGGTATGGGTTAAAAGTGCAGATCTTAACTGTTTTTTGAAATACCGTTTCTGAAACTTAAGTAAGGAATTAAATCAATGATTCTGTTGTCTTCTGAACTATCTGTTCGCAAATATGTACATTTTCTGAAACAGAATACGTTTGTGATAAAAATGTCATAGGAATACTGATATACGTTTGTGATAAAAATGTCATAGGAATTCTGCCTACAACGTGTGAAATAAGGAAAAAGAAAAATCGTACCGTCAACATTCCGACATTTTGTTACCGAAAGTAGTAGAGCCCATGGCGTTATCGAGTGGATCACCCGTGAACTAGATAAACAAAAAATATACCATATTTCATATTGTTCCACATTGACAACAATTTTGTTTTGACTTTATCCTTTTGCTCTGGTTCATCTTTGCTTGATATAAATCCTGGCAATGTCTTTAGCTCTGATTGTGAATTCTTTTTTATTGATATTTTTGGTTTCGTTTTACTTTTAGAACCATATCCATTTGGCGCTGGGTCGATGTGAGGGGTCAATGTTTTCTTGTCTGATTCTTCCTCTGACAGGGAAACAGTTGTGTGAGACCCATGACAATTATGTTTGCCATTTTCTGTTTTTTGTTCCAAATCATAATGCATTGAGGGTAAACTGTGAAATCCGGTTTCAAAACCATGTTCAATTTCACCAAAATGATCAACTTCTGACCAAGATCCTAAGGAAAATTCATCATCGTTGGCTGCCGCACACATCTTCTCTACCCTTTATCAATACAATGGATCCCTAGATGACCTACAGGTGAGGTCATGTCCTGAATTGTTTTTAATTTCTGCAAGCGGAAAGAAATTTAGAATCTGGTTTGTGAAGTACGTCATGGAGTTTTGTGTAGGTGGCATCTAAATGAACAACTGTATTTTACTAAACGAAATTAACAAATCCCACAAATCGGATTTTTGAATCAATACTAAGTTAACTGCATTTGACTCTGATAAAGTATGTTATCATATTCGCATCAAAATAAATACAATAAGTAATTTTGATATGCAGATGTTTGCATATAGGTCAAGGGTAAAGTAAAAAGTCACTTTCTAGATTTAGCTAATACAGGGTGTTCCCAAAAATGAAACTCAGAGACATAAATGTCTCTGAACAAACTATATTAATTATTACCCGCGAACTATAACTAGGCCTACCAGAGGCCTAGTTCCAAGTCTCGTGTGAAATACAAACTGCACATCTCATTTTCAATTCAAGTTTTCTCAACATTTCTCGCGAGGATCTTTTTTTAGTCTATCACTTAGGCTATAGCCCCCCCCCCCCTTTATATTTTGAAACTAGCTATAAATAATTTTTGAGAAAAATAATTTTGAAATTCAAGAAGATTATCGCGATTTTTGTAATGCCAATTGATAGTTTCTGAGCTGAATAACGCTGACACAATAGATACGTAAACTTAGTTTACCCCCGGGGTTACCCTTACAAGATCGAGGTGATAAAACACTTCAATACACCTTTTAATTTGCTAATTCTGCTCGTAGGGATAATTTTCTACGAATTTTTAAATTGATTCCCGCTTTTTATTATTTCCAGAAATGATTTCCTTTAAATGAAGCAATATCACAGGCTGGTATCGAAATATTTGTCCGCTGTGACGGAGCATGCTATTTTTCATAAAAACACTAAGAATACTTCACGATTTATTTTTTTACTCATATGTTTCGTTATACCATACAAAATTACTTACTCCATGCAATCGATATATCATTTGCGGGTAACTTTCACTTCTGTTTGAAGTTCAATTACGCTGGGAAGAAAAGCTATTGAAAATGGCGCCGGAGTATCATACTTCAAAATGTGCCATTTCTTGTTTAACTTTCTAATGGCAAGATATAGTGACACGATAATATTTACACATGGTTTTAGCATAACTATGAAGGTATAAATGAGATGTTGGTCTTTTTAATTCTTTTATAAAAAATAATGTTTAATTTTTTTGTCCGCTGTGACGGAGCAGTTGCAAATGTGAACTGTGAAAATGCTCCGTCACAGCGGACAAAAAATATTAATATTATTTTTTATTAAAATATCTGAAAAGACCCAATGCATTAATATCTCATTAATATATTCAGAGTTATGCTTAAAACATATGTTAATATTATCGTGACACTATATCATGCCATTAAAAAGTTAAAAAAGAAATGGTACATTTTAGAGTTTGATACTCTGGCGCCGTTTTCAATAGATTTAACTCCTAGCGTTATTGGACTTCAAACAGAAGTGAAGGTTACACGCAAATGATATATCCATTGCATGGAGTAAGTAATTACCTTTGATATAACGAAACATATGAGTTAAAAAATAAATCGTGAAGCATTCTTAGTGTTTTTATGAAAAATAGCATGCTCCGTCACAGCGGACAAATCTTTCGATACCAGCCTGTGAATATAACCCTATATCACACCAAACTAGTTCTCACTACGTTCTCGAAGACAGTCTTAAACTGTGCACGAACGGATTTGACGTACTAAGAACCCCAAAAGAACCGTTTTGGGATCTGTTTACAAACTTCATGAAGACTAGAACGAGTAGGTCCTCCAGCACTTAGAGAATGCTCAAAATTTTCTGGTGATCGTCAAAACGTTGCCGAATCGGTTTTAAACTGTGTGCGAACTGAATGAACGTAGCTACAACGTTCTACTGCCTGTTTACGAACTTCATGGATTTCCCGTACGGAGTATGTGATTTAAAATTTGAATCGATTCAAAATTCGATGGCGACCATACCGTTCTGTAATCAGGTCATGGTGACCTTCTAGACTAAGGGACGGTTTATCTGACTACGTTTCACATCGACGTGGTGCGACCTGAGCGAACTGCGAATGAGATGGACGTATTGAAGACTGTTTATGAACGAAGTAGCTAATTATTTTAGACATATATCCCGACTGCAGCCAGGTTGAGCCCGTTTTGCGACATTTTCGTAGGACTGGCAGGAACGGGTAAGAACTAGTTTGGTGTGATAGGGGGGTAATTAAACTCAGTTTCCTTAAAAACATTCTCGAGAGAAAGCTCATAAAACTCTTGTCACTCAGTATTCAATGAAATCAGCAAAACAACATATGAAAAAACTAGAAAAATCCTTGGACGCGCGCGTTTTTTACAAATTAACTTTACGCATTCATGCTAGATATAAACGTTACAACGTTGGTTGAGATGTTCTCAAGACTTGGGATAGGCCCTGCGATTGTGGATTAAAAGTATCGAACAAATATTTGAGGCACAATGTACATTTAAATCAAATAGTGGATGGACGGATAACAACATAGTGTACACTCACATTACTATGCAATTTTTGGCTTTAATTACTGTTTATTTTGATTTATTTAGAGATTCACGCATGATCAGCAGATAATTATCGGGACGTCATTTTTTTACTGTAAACACCGTATATGACCTACGCGCATATTCAAACGGCTATATCTTTTATATGTAAATGACATGGGTACACTGCGCAAAAATCTCGAAAATAACTGAAAAGGATTGGTATCGATATGGTGAACTTTTGAACACACGTTTCTCTAAACCAGTCATAATTTGAAAAAAATATACTTTTCCGTATATTGTTTTAGAAAACACACCAGACACTTCTTTTGTTCTTGGTATGATATATTCGGAATGAAATGAAACATCTTGAAACATCTTTCCGAACCTTATTGGAACAAAACGACATAAACACAACGTGTTTAGGTCTCTCAATAGTGAAATTGTACAAAGAAAATTTTTGTTGATTTTAAAAGAGTATCTTGTTAATGAAATAAAAGGTTTATCTTAATCTTTATCTATTTTGGGGGGTTTTGTTTTAATTTTTTGAATACTTTTTCTTAAATCAACCAAAATTTCCTTTGTATAACTATAATATTGAGAGGTCTGAGAAAATGTTGTATATGCTATTTTGTCCCAACAAGGTAACAATTGTAATAAAAGAACAAAAAATGTTAACAAAAACAGTTATATGAAATATATATAAATAATTTTCGCATTAAATTGTTGTCAATCAGTCAACATTATATAAAGGACCATGTTTTTTTTACAGAATGTTTTCAATAATTGGTTTAAAAGAAAAGCATTGTTTAATTCAGTTCACCATATCGATACCCATCCTTTAAGTCATGACATAGTAAATGAATGATAAAAACATATTTTCAAACTTAGCATCATGGGGACTTTAAAATAAGGAGAAAAGTGAAGACTGCACATTTTCTCAACATACAAAAAATCCTTAAAGCCTATTATTTGCATTCTGATACTCATAGCATCTTTCTGTTTCACCTGACTGAGGAGAAATGAGATGTCATGGTTTATCATGATTGTACGTATTATTTGTAATTAATAAATAGACCATTCTGGAAAAAGAATAAATATGACACAAAATGGGTCGGCGACCCATTCTGTGACTCGGTATTATGGCATTCGGTATAACGTCTTTCGGTATAATGCGCGTCGGTATGATGTGTTTCGGTATAATGCGCAGACCCCGATTTCTCATTCCCTGAACATTATTTTGATTCAATTCTGCTAGTTAAAGAAATGGAACTTGAATTCAACATTTGAACAAGCAACAAAAATCTATGTACGTTAAATCATTTCGCTTTCGTTTACCTGAATTAATCTAACTTTCACTTTGTTTGTCACATCAAGTGTAGACGTTATATGTTTTACAAAAAGTACGGGGTACATAGTATTGATACAAAAGCTACACTTTTAATGCTAAAATTCAAATACTGGAAAATAAGTGATTATTTTCCAATCACTTTTTTTCGCAGAGTCAAAGTTTACTACAATAACCACAAAATCCGAGTACTAAATGATATTTACTATAAAATTATATACCATCGGAAAGATAATTAAATTTACAAGGTAAGATAGTCTATGTATTACATACTAGTATGTCCATTGACAAAGTCACACTTCTCTTTGGGACCACAGGTGCTCCCTGGGTAATAAGAGCAAGGGGCCGACATGCAAACAGATAAATCAATCATGATTTCTTTAATTGCAGGAGGGCCCCACTATCTCATTACCCATGCAGGGAGCATCTGTGGGGACAACAGTGGTATATTTGTGAATTCCCGATTAATGCCATAACTTTGTATATCAAGAGGTGGCTCGACAACTGTTTAGTATTTTTGGCATGTTGATCCTCCTATAGATAAGTCATTCATTGACTATTCTTAAAATATGGGACCACTTTATTTTTGAATTATTTTTGAACAAAATATTGGAGTTTCAAAAAGTTATGACAACTTTTGTCATTTATTCATGTTTTTGCGAATGTAACCAAAGATATTACAATCAATTCCCAAGAGCGTATGCTATACCGTATCGAACTTACTGTAAACATAATCTTCGTTTCTGTATGATAAAGTCACCATTTATCATGAAATGGTCAATTTTATTCCAAATTAATGTAAACAAATCGACTGATAAATAATGGTGGCCCACACTTGGTGATTACTACATATAATACAACCTTTAACTTACAGTTTCATAATGTTTATGACTTATTTGTAGAGATCAAAACTGTTGTCAGTCTATGTGCCCACGACATGTACCTAGATTATTTTAGCGATTTTGCATAAAATAATAAAATACAAAAGATCTGTCTTCAATGCAAGCAGGCATAGCATTTAACAGTTACATAGAAGCAAAGGTGACAGAACGTACAAAATGTATATTATAAACTTATCATTCCCAAGTGAAAAACAGTGCAATCTGTGGGGGTGTATGTAAAATACTGACCTCTCCGACCACAGGTAGCCTCAGAGCAGGGTTTTAAAGGAAACTGTAAAAGACCGACCATATCATGCGTAACACTATAATAATACTGCTTTCACAAAGGCAATTCCACGAGGGAAAGTGTACCCGTGTATATACAATCTACCGCCGAGCAAAGACCCGAAGATGTCTGAAAATGTAGGGGATAAGTTAATAAACTCCTGTTTTATATTGAATTTCTCAATATGAGAAATAGATAAAACACAGAATTGTTTGTAACCGATATAATTGTTGTTCCAGGCACTCATGTTTAAAGAATAATGAGTACTTAATGCAATATTTACTATCAAATCGCTAAATTCAACTCTAAATATTTTCTAAAATGTCCAAAGTTTACCAGTTATGCTCATTCGATCTCGATATTGAATAAAATACGATATCAGTAGAAAGCTACTAAAATGAAAAAAGATTGACCAGTAGAGATTAGGAACATGACACATATTCATTTTTATCCATAAACATGGATATTAATTGATTTAAATGCAATTCATTCGCTCTCAAGTTTGACTAAAATATCAGTACAACGGCTCCTAAAATGAAGAAAGATCATATTCATAATTGATTTAAACGCAATTCCGCGCTTTTCCTATCCTCCAATGTTGATAGCCTAATTTCTGTTTTGTCAGTCTGGGTCAAAATGTTACAATAGTATTAATAACGAGTAACCCTTCTTATAAAGGCAATTAAATCAAGGTTCGAAAACTCCCAAAAGTAACACTAGCACTATTTCATCATCAGCATGTCATAGACTCGACGATATAATCGGATCTCAACAGATTTACTCAAGTAATGTTCGGATTCTGAGATCATTTACTCAAGATATTTTCGGATCTTTGTAATATTACTCGTCGATCACATCGGGTCCGATGTCCGATAACATCGGATCTTTTAGGACAAAGTTTATGTGAAGATTTTGCTGTTCAAAAGTCCTATTTTGACCTAATATTTTGACACTTAATATATTATACATATGACATACATTTACAGGCCCAAGTATGTCGTATGTATGGCTCATTGTCAATTAAAGCTAGTATGAATGAGAAAAACGGTAGGTTGTATATACACGGGTACACTTTCCCCTCGTGAATTCAATATCTAAAGAGACTATTTTTAACCTCTGAAAATACAGAATTTAACACAAAGCATTTCATTTTCTCACAATAAGAGATATCACATTTTATTGCATACATTCATATTCAACCTTGCCTTTAATAATGATGTTTAATTTACACTGGAATGTTAAAGGCCTAACTAGAACAAGAGCAACTCCCCAGAGTAGCATAATTATCTCCGAGAAAAAAACAAGGCATTAACATAGGCGAATGATGAACACCAACCATCACTGCCGAACACCATACACAAAAAAGAGTAGAATATTGATATGCAACCTTCATGCCTTGGTCACATTTGCTCCAATTTTCTCAACGGCACCCGACAGATTGAGTATTTTGTTCAAAATTGAATACAATATTGAACAAAACACTCAATCGGGCGGGCGCCGGCAGATGGATCGGAGCAAATGTGACCAACGCATTAGTCTGTATACAAGCATTATTATACAAAGCAACAATAAAAAGGAAATTATATGATAAAAAATAAAAGCTTGAACAATACATATGATCTAGGATGAATCCAAGTAATTTGGCTGAAATAGGGATTTGCTCAAATTCAAAAGAATATAAAATGGGTACAAAATTGACGTTGGTATTGCACTACATATATTAACTACAGGGTGACCATAAATAATGAATATATTTTAACATAGGCGAATGCCGAATGCTGAACACCAACCATCGACTGCCAAACGGCATACATAAAAAAGTTGGAGACTAACTTCTGTTGGTGACATAAAAACTTTATCCAACCAGTGCAATACTAAGTGGAATATTGATATGCAACCTTTAGTCTGTATACAAAGCAACAATAAAAATGAAATTATATGATAAAAAATAAAAGCGTGAACGATACATATGATCTAGGATGAATCCTAGTAATTTGGCTGAAATAGGGATTTGCTCAAATTCAAAAGAATAAAATGGGTACAAAATTTACGTTGGTATTGCACTACATATGTTAACTACAGGGTGACCATAAATAATGAATATACTGTATTTGATACATTGAAAATATTCAACAAATGTATGTAAAATATACTATCACACGCATGTATCAGGGTATTTATAAATTTGAATGTTCACATAAACAGGTTTCAAGCAATTCATTATATGACATCAGACTCATTGAATCCAGTCTCCTCATCACCAGAAACCAACAATCGCTCAGATTCCATTTTATGGATGATATCTGCTTCAAGGTTCCTCCCTTCATCTAAGACAGTTTTAGTATCTTGGGGAGCTACAGGCCTGAGTTTACGAGACACAGGTTCCTGGGGGTCTTTAACAGGCATCACAGCAAATTTATCACTTACTACAGTCACATTAGGCGATTTCTGTCCAGGCCTCGCGCTGGATTTATGAGATTTCTTACGCAGCTTTATTTTACCCTGAGTAACTAGTTCATTTTCGGCAACTTTTGTCACTTTGAACCTGTATTTTTTCTTCGCATGTGTATTCCCAGGAATATTGAGTCTCAGTGTTTTATGACCTTTGTGTGGCATTGAGAGTGCTGTTTTATATTTCTCCTCACTTGTAAGAGATTCATTACTCAAACTGGTTAGGTGTTTTTCAGGTGACCATGTAACACGTTTTTTAAGTCCATCATGATTGTGGGAGAGAATATCATTAGCCTCAGGGTATGAGCGGGCCTCAAAGTAGACAGTCCTTGGATGGCTGGTATGAGGAGTGGAAGGAGACAGTTCAGAGGGGAACTGGCTCAGTGTAAAATGTACATGTGGGTCACTATCTTCATCTAGAGACACATCATCATCTATATAGGGGAGATCTGCACTAAGGTTTCTGGCAAGAGGCTGAAGTGAATAAGGACACACAATGATGAATTGCAAAACATGCAGCTAATGTGCTGGATGGGTGAAATGCAAAAATATGAAAGGACATACAATTAAATCAAAGGTCGCAATTGAATGGACATGACTCTCAATCTGTATCAAATGGGACTTTTCTATCAAATTATATTATACTATTATATATTTAGCGATTAATTTTACAAGATGCTTGATCACTAAATCTGAGTTTAGGAGTATTTTTCGTTTATCTGCCTTGGTCTGCCAAACTGGTAACTACATTCTGACACCAGGGTTATTTATTGAAAATGTTTCCTTTTCATGAAAAAAAATTATTTTCTATAATAGTATGAATATACAACAGGCCTTAAAGTACGCATATGATGAAGAACTTCTTACTGGTGGTTTTGCCATTTCACTGAGGACTCCCTGGTATGTCTCACTTCTCTCAATACCCTAAAAATACAAACATTTATTTGTTTACATATATTATATCCAGAACATTTCAGTAAAATGATGACCTTGACCTATGGAAATGAAGATTGTATTTCACAGTTCAGAAATGATTTGAATTAGTAGAAAAGTGAGGTTTACAAGTACATGTACAATGGTTTTTACACCTGTCATTTTATACTTGCCTTGTACATATCTCTAAATTCACGTGCAATTTCCTTAGAAGCTTCACCCTTTAATGTCTTGCCTTGTTTCAACTGAGCTTCTCTCATATCCTGAAATATAAAACATATATACAAATCTGCTAATGACTGGGGTTTTGTGTATCTTGGAGCAATCTAATTAAGAGAATTTACTATTTAAGACTTTTTGCGAATTCTTAATTTGGAATAATTGAGAATTCGCAAAACAGTCATATAGCAACTTCTCTTAATTAGATTGCTCCAAGATACATACAATATTATTCTGCCTCCCAGAAAATTGGCTTTGAATTAATTAAGTAAATTTTTGTGATACACCATATTAAAACAAGTGCCAAATCAACATATTATTGTAAATTTTACTGATAAAACTGGTGACAAGGTCTATTGAAAATCCATACAGTATACAGAAGTCCAGACAAAAATTGAATTTGCCTGGAAAAAATGATATAGTGTGCCAGAATTTTTAATTGGACCCATTACTTGGTTTGATTGATTTTCCATATTCTCAAACTTTCAACGGATCACAAATCTGCCAGATGCCAGTCCATTATTTCATTGTTTTATAAATACTTGACAGGATATTTCATGGCACTAGGAGAAGTATATTATTAAATTGCTTACTGTCCATTCTTTCAAAAATCTTCTCCCCAAATCTACAGAATCTGAGCCCTTTGTTGTTTTATAGGAATCTCTGGCAATCTAAATTAAAAAGATTATAAGACTATAAATATATCATACAGTATGAAAATTGATTGCAGGAACAGTCATGAATCTAAAGACAAATATTGTCTCAAAACTTAAGCTTAGCTCAATCACTCATTATTTTTGAATTTACCCAAATAACTTACAGACTTAAGCAGCTTCGATGTAACTGAACTAGAAGATTGATTTGACTATTTGAACATAATTTCTTTAATCTGTATTGTTTTCAAATACATGATTAAATGTAACACTTTTATTTCTTTACCTTGATATCTTTCTTCCAGAAAATGTCAGTTGCTGAGGTTGCTGTGTGAGGGGCAACTTCTTTGATCTATAAATGAAACAAATATAGTTAATATAAGCACCACGACACCCAATTCAAAATGAAATGGAATCTCAAAAGAAATGACTTCCAACTATGTATATTTTTTGTATAAGCAACTCCAAAATATTTTTCCTTAGACTAAAATATTCAGTTTAAGAATATATTTTTAGATGCTCCAAATTCTAATGGTTATTTCCAAATTGTTATTTTCTAAGCTCTGTTTTTGCTTGGAAACATGTTAAAAGGTTCATTTCTCATCTCCACAAATGTAAAGATCAATTTTTTTATAATTTTATAAGTTCTGCTTGTTATCATTTTCCGCCAGAAAAGTATTTGTAATTTTGTGACTCACCTTTAGTACCACATAGCTCATCAGGAATATGAAGAAGATATTAAGAGCTGTTAAAAGAAGGCTTATAAAGCCCATGATTGCAGTCTCTGCTGCCATGCTGCACATATACACAGGTTTGTATGCATTGTTTACATATGGTGAGCATGGAGGGCTCAATGGTAAAGCTGCATTCGTGTCATTGTCTGTCTCATTGAAATACAGTCCTGTGGCTCTGGGGGTAGGTGTTGCAATTGAATGCTGCAATTGAACATTTGTATAAGTGTTAAGGAATTACTGATTTATGACATCTAAAATTCACAAATCAGATCATGTTTTACAGCATTCAATTGGGAAGAAGTCAAAAACATTATATTCAAAATAAATTCAACAATGTCCATTTTGAATCTGAGAATCATCGTCGATGGTACTTTAGTAATCATGTTATGTATAATACAATGCACATTAATCATCTGGAGATGATCATGTCATGTATAATAAAATGCACATTAATTATCTGGAGATGATCATGTCATGTATAATACAATGCACATTAATTATCTGGAGATGATCATGTCATGCATAATAGAATGCACATTAATTATCTGGAGATGATCATGTCATGCATAATACAATGCACATTAATTATCTGGAGATGATCATGTCATGTATAATACAATGCACATTAATTATCTGGAGATGATCATGTCATGCATAATACAATGCACATTAATTATTTGGAGATGATCATGTCATGTATAATAGAATGCACATTAATTATCTGGAGATGATCATGTCATGTATAATAGAATGCACATTAATTATCTGGAGATGATCATGTCATGTATAATACAATGCACATTAATTATCTGGAGATGATCATGTCATGTATAATACAATGCACATTAATTATCTGGAGATGATCATGTCATGCATAATACAATGCACATTAATTATCTGGAGATGATCATGTCATGTATAATACAATGCACATTAATTATCTGGAGATGATCATGTCATGTATAACACAATGCACATTAATTATTTGGAGATGATTGAATGTATGCTGAATAAGAAATGGAAACTCCAAGCAACTACTCACATGTGTGTCTAGAGGGTGAGCAGCAGCTATCACAGAGTAAGCCAAAAGCATTCCCTGTAATACAAGAAAAAATAGTGTTCATCAATCCATGTACACATTGGTGTTTATTAGATTTTCCTCAATGATTAATCATTGAACCATAATTTTTTATATAGTTTACACTAGGAAAGAGCTAGTTTTAAAGGTTTTAACGGATGCTAAGCCAATATGGTTAAATAAAGGCTCAGAGGGGAACTCACAGAATTGACAACAGGTGGGAGCAGAGAAGCTGATATGGCAACACCCACAAGGGGTCCAGCATTTCCACCAAGTATGGACAATGCTACACCAGCCCCTGAGGCTATGGCAATAAAGACACCCACAACCAGACTGCGAGCCATTCCTCTAGATAAAACATCAGAACATATAATATGTAGTATAAATAGAGGATATCCTATGGTTTATGAGTGATATGATTTTTATCCACGAATGGATATGATATCTGCACGAGTGAGCATAGCGAGAGAGTGCAGATATCAATATTCATGAGTGGATTAAAATCATATCACGAGTAAACCATAGGATGTTCTATTTATTTCATAGTTAAAGTCTTCATCAGAATCGTCGGAAATTTAAGTGATTTAATTCGAATTTTCAAAACGATCCGGCGATGTAGAGATTTAGCCTCGTTTTGAGTCTGAAGTAACAAAAATCCATAATTCATAGCATACAGTGCAGAGGCCTCATTATCCGGTCAGCGCTAAATTAGCGTTGCGATTTGCGTTGCGCTTGCGAATCAACATTATTCGCAAGCGCAAATCATGGTTTGCGTCGTATTACGCGCTTCACGCAAACGCAGACGCAACGCAGACGCAACAGTATGCTAATCGCAAATAAATTGGAAACGCGGGAAATTTAAACTTAGGATTTTGCCCCATTGATGTATACTGGGCTTTAACATTGCGTGGGACCTCGTGGGACCTATTGGGATTTTGCTCCATGAGGTCCGTGGGGCTTCATTGGACTCTGATTTTGCCCCATCTTGCCTCATCGAGTCCCATGAGGTCACATGAGGTACCGCGTGGGACCAGGTGGGATTCGATGGGGCAAAATTCGACGTATTCCAATGGGCCAAGGTGGGATTTGATGGGACTCCGTAGGTCTTGATTGGGCATGATGGGGACTCAATGGGGCAAAGTCATCAAGTTCCCATGGAACACCGTCGTTATTTGATGGGAAAGTTGGAACTCAATGGGGCAAGTGGGATTTTTGCCCCATTGGTGTATACTTGACTTAATATATTAGCCCGGTCAGAAACACGCTGAAACACGCCCAAGTATGGTATAATTAGTTTTATCCATTTAAATCTCAAGGATGTAAAAATATTTATCCCATACTTGGACGTGTTATAGGTACATAAAGCTGGTTTGTAAACACTTTTATTCCATACTTAGTAGTGTTATAGGTATATAACATGCGGGAATATAACTGATATGTGACGTGAGCAGGAGATATATATATCTCCCGCTCAGCAGATCTACGACGTCATAAATTCAGGGAGTAGATACTGAGCCAGGGGACTTTGCTATTATTCCTCACAATCTACTAAGTATAGAATAAATCAGTTATTAAATGCTCGATTTTTGATACAGGGTATATCCCTCGGTAAATACAATATATCAACCCTCGGTCCCTACGGTCCCTACGGTCCCTACGGTCCCTACGGTCCCTCGGGTTGATATATTGTATTTCCCTCAGATATACCCTGTATCAAAAACCTCCCATTAAATAACCTCTATATATTTTCATCAGCGGTCAGATATACCTATACGTCCCGCTCTGAGCGGGCAGATATATATCTGCCCGCTGACGTCATAATCGCCGTTCGCATATTGGTTCATTTTTGTAACATGCGCATAATTACTGTAAACGTTAATGGAGAAAAGGCAGACAATCGCGATCTGTTTGAAGGAAGGAAATGAGCGTATCCCTGTTAAACAAGGATTTCAGAAATAAATGTGGATGAATATCTGAAAATCAGGCTATTCTAAATGAATTCTTACGGTTGGTTGGACATTTTCTGAACTCCGGCCAATTGAACAGCGTGAACAAAATGACCAAGATTGGTATGGGATAAACAGATCATCCTATAGTTCAATATCCTGAACCTCATATAGGATAATCTCTATTTATCCCATGATACTACTAATTCCCGATGAATAACCGGGAATATTTTTGATATTGAGAAAAAATCGTATTGAAAATTTTTGCCAAACAAAGCTTCCTCTTTCAATCAATTGGGTCGATATAGCATGCTAAAATGATGTTCTTATGTGAAAAACGAATTCCAGTTTTATCATCATCGCTCTGACACAGACAAAAATGCTTACGTATTGCTGAATGTTTTGATGTTGATGTGTTTATGTTACACATGTACAATAATTTTTTTATATTTAAAAATATCATAAAGCTAAGTCATATTTTCTTGATTAAATATATCATTTTTTCATAGAAAAATCTAACTAATGATTTTATGAAGACAGTTATGAATATCATGGAATAAAAAGCTAATTTACTGGTCGGGATTAAATATGGGTTTATTCCTCATGACAATTTGACATTTCACATATTGTGAGGGACAATTTGGTATTTCCCTCTGACCCTCCTGGCTCTCGGTAAATATCATATTGTCCATCATAATAAAACCCATATTGAATCCCTCCCACTACATAACCTATATATATCTTGCGAAAATCTAGATCTGTCACTGGAAGGCAGCCCATCTTGAAAACAAGACACGATATTTGCGAAATGGAATTGCGATATTTATTATAGATTTCACAAAACCAAGGTAGCATAATCGTGCACTTTCAGACTTGATTTTGATAAGTTTTGGTTATTTGTGTCTCTAATGTTTTTCACCTATTTTTAGTTGGATGTCTCAAAGGGCACTTCCTAGATTTCTACAACGATAATGTTAATTTAAATAGGAAAACTATCAAGATTCTTGATGATATGTTTGCGATTTATATTGCGGCAGGGTCAGGGATGCCGCAAATAAAGTGGAGTTTGCGACATAAAAATCAACTGATTTACGTGGACGCAACTGTGCGATGACTGCATAATACCAATTTGCGTGCGGTTAGCAGTGTATTTGCGATGCGAAATGAAAATAGCGATGCGTCTACCGTGTAATAAGAAAACTGCGATTTGCGCTAAAGACGCAAAACGGCAATGAATTTGCGCTAGAGTGCCTTTGAGATGACCTCATAATATCGTTTTGCGTACGATTCGCTAAATATTTACGTTGCGATTGCGATTTGCGGTGCGTCGACCGGATAATGAGGCCTCTGCGCCGTATGTCATGGCTTAAACACCGTATGCCATGGTTAAGTGAAAATCTGTCAAAAATATCATATTTTACCACTGATTACAAAAATACCGTTTTTATTTTGACATGTTATCCCATGGATATCATGCTAACTATGGAATAAATTAAAATATGTTCAGTGGCAGAATCTGTCATACATAAAGTGAAAGGGTGTTAAAAAGGCCTTTGTTTAGGCATGGGCTTTCAAGAGTCTCTTTTTTATTTTTAAAAAATTTATTAAAAATGATTGTTTACAAATTCAATATAATTTTTAAAAGATGTTTTCCCACAGCAACATGCCATATTGTATTGTGTCATGGAAAAAATAATGAAAACATAGCAAGCCATTTGACTCAACATTTTATATTGTTAGTACCTCAGTGTAAATATGCATCTGATTGGTCAATTAGCTGTCAACATTTTTGCCTGTTCCCCATCTGTGCATCATGGGATATCATATTGACCGCGTATGTTACTGTACTACACTTGTGAATTATGGGGAATATGACGTCATAATGTTTACAGAAAAAACATGGTAGACGGACATTTTGTAAGCGTTGATGAAAGTGATATTTTGACTTTACTAGACAACAAGAATAGAGAGTTTAGCTACTGTCTTCAGATTTTCTTAAAAAATGAATTATTGCTGCCGTGGTTCAGAGAAAAGATTGAAAATGAAGCCATCATTGATGATTGTTGTCTATATGTGTATTATTATTTTTTCTGACTAACAAAACAATTGTAGACCTCTCCATTCGTTCAACCGTCAAAATCATATACCCCGACTGTGAACCTTGATACTACTGTTGACCTCGACCTTCGACCTCTGTCAACAGTAGTTTCTCGGTTTACAGTCTCGGTGTACAATTTTGCCGGTTGACCTCTGGAGACCTCTGGAGAGGTCAACAATTGTATACTGTACATACATTTACATCTTTAAAAGGTAGTTCTCCATTTATTGAGCCCTTCTGTATAATCCAATGTCATACCTGCTTTTCATTTCATTTGTGGGCCATTCTGCTGAGGCTCCAGAATTTGCACCATTCATATTGATCAAACCAAAGATGAAGCCTATCAAAATACCTGAAACAAAGATACATTTGCAAGGTTTCATTCCACTTCTCTGATATAGAGCTTGTTCAAACAATTACAAGAATATGAATAATTTTGAAGTACAGTCTAAATGCATAATCATGGTCACACAAATATGAAAGTGGGGAAGATCCATTAAATCCTTGGGTGAGACTGTAAAAACTTCGAAGTGACTCCTGACTGTCCAATGGACTTCTCTTTATTATGGTACATTGATAACATTGATAATACACTAGCACACTCTTACCTAATACAAAGCATATCCCAAGGCCTACTGCTTCAGATTTCAATCCCTGGTTACGAAGTTTAATATTGCCTATTGCATGGCCAAATGTCCCAGCCATGATTGGTCCCATGAGGGGAGAGATGAGCATACTGGCGACCAACACAACAGAACTATCCTCAAACAAACCTAAAGCAGCTATAATACTGCAAAATGAAAATTCAGTGAAGTGAAGCATACTGTAAAATAGGTGTATTAAACCAGAACAACGGCAACGCCAAAGCGTAGCGAATCCCATCGAACAGAAATGGCTGGCATTTTTACAAACGAAGCGCAAATATCATAAAACAACACACCAGAAAGGCCACCATTTTGAAAATGGTTGCTCACTAGCCAAGTTGTCATCAGAAGAAATAATATGCTTTTAAGTAGCCACCTCTAAAATTTTTGAAAAATCGCAAACGTACTTGTAAAATAACACACATAAAAATGGTGGCCATTTTTCAAAATGGCCGACTACTCCCCAAAGTTTTATTAGACAATGTGCCATGCTTAAGGAATTCACATATCAAATATGAATAAAAATGCTCCACTACTTTTCGAGTTATAGTAAAATACGTTAAAATGGCGGCCATTTTTCAAAATTGTTTTCAAAATGGCCGCCTTCTACCAAAAGTGTCATAGGACAGTGTGCCATGCTTATAGTATTCACATACCAAATATGAACAAAATCGCTCCACTACTTTTCGAGTTATAGTAAAATACGTTAAAATGGCGGCCATTTTGAAAAATGGCGGCCTTCTACCAAAAGTGTCTTTAGACAGTGTGCAATGCTTATTGTATTCACACACCAAATAACAAAATCGCTCCACTATTTTTTGAGTTACAGCAAAAATCGTAAAATGACGAGTAAAGGCCGCCATTTTTCAAGATGGCTGCCATGTGCTTTTTAATATCTACATTTGTAGCATTATTAATGTCCTTTATAATTTTTTTACATTTAAAACATATTGCTATTACAGTTTTACATATTGCACCTAAATTACTGTAAAATCGTGACTAAAATGGCCGCCATTTTGAAATGAGCGGCCATTTTGAAAATCGGCTTTCGAGCAGAACTTGTACTCCCATAGGATATATGTGTACAAAATATGAACAAAATCGGGCCAACGGTATTTGAGTTATTGCCCGGACGGACGGACAGACGGACGGACGGACGTACTTACGGACGGACAGACGGACGGACGGACAGACGGACGGAGGCGTTCCCTATATCCCTCCGAACTTCGTTCGATGGGATAATAAAGGTTTATTGTGTAGATCTGTGGTATCTATAGACAATGAAATAAGTTGATATAGTGGCATTCTTGAAGGAAAAAAAACTTTCAAAAAGCGAATTAATTGGGAATGCTTGGAAAATAATATTGCTATAAAAGTATGGACTTGTGCATAATCACATATGATGCATTTTATCTGACCAAACATGGAAGTACATCCAGACACAGGATATTTCTATCTGCCTTACCCTGAAGCCCAAGTAATATCTCATTCATTTACTATGGTTTGGTACACAAAATTCTTTGGACAGCTCATGTATGAAGATATTATATACATACCTGGCTATTACTACCAATGTAATATAGTCAAAGGTGAGCAATGCTTGGGACCTAACACCATCAACAACCTTGAAAACAACAGGACTGGTAATATATAATATAGAATATGTTATAGAGGGGATGATAAATTTGCATACTTTTCAATATTTCAACCAGTACATGTTTCCTCCCACAACATATACTACTCATCATGTACCGTATCATAAAGACGGTAATTGAACTTTATTATGTCTAGCAAAGAGGCATTCATGCAATGTTACGAGGCAAATATATGATTAAAATTATTTTTTTAAAATCTCAATCTAGGATTCTCCCTTAAATCTTGCAAGAATGAATCATTGCTATATCTGCTTTACTGTAAGGCGTATATGATAACACAATCTAGGATTTCCCTTAATTTGCAAGAACAAATCATTGCTATACCTGTTTTACAGTAAGGCGTGATTTGATAGACTTCTTGAATTCATTTTTCTGTTGTTCATTAGGAGCATCTAGTTCAGAATCATCCTCATCTGTATCTTCTGTATCAGAATCTAACTCTACGGACTCTGAATGAATAGGAATAGGCAAAACACTGAAATAAAAACATTCATACTTTTAAAAAAAAATGTTGTTTGAAGATACTTGGATACATCATTATTAAATTGCATTAATATATAGGGTGGGCCAAAAAAGAAGAGCAAAAACCTCTTCCTCATGAAAACACATATTTCTATGGTCTAATTGATGTAATACCATGATGTTATACATCAAATTATGGGGAATTAAATTATTCACAATGGTATATCATATATTGCATAATGTAACTTTCTTCATTCATTTTCAATTTGTGTATTGTTTTGTTACACCAACATGGTATCTGATAGTCTTGCTTCAAGACCCTGGACCCCCCCCCCCTTATTTACTTGAACAACAACTATTGTAAAAGTAGGGTTCAGGCTCTCGAAGCAAGACAAGGTAATTGCTGGTTTTGGCTGGAATTTACATAAAAATGTGAAGGGAAAAGGATTTACCATTTGGAAAGGTCAACAATTTTTTACCAATATTTCTTTAAAAAAGTTTAGTTTCTCAAAGATCTCATTGACCTCACCTGACAGAAGAGTTGGATGTTTTTATCCCAATACCATAAATGGCTAGTTTGTCGAGTATCAGTTCACATCTCTCCCCAGAGTCCTCTATGAATGTCACCTGAAACATAATGCATTTTGTGAATTTTACATCAAAGGGGCCCCGGATGGTTTTGTGTTTTTTTTATGGTTGTGTAAATTGGATTTGTCTTTGTTAGGGATAACTATACATGTCATGATATAGGGAGAAAATCAATAAACTCAAGTTACATGTATTCACATTATTTCCAAAGTACATCTCAAAGATTTTATTACAAGTTTCCCTTTCAATCATTTAAAAATGGAGATGCTGATAGATGACGCATGTCACAATGGAGATGCTGATAGATGACGCATATAACAATGGTGATGCTGATACATGACACATATAACAATGGTGATGCTGATACATGACACATATAACAATGGAGATGCTGATAGATGATGCATATAACAAAGGTGATGCTGATACATGACACATATAACAATGGTGATGCTGATACATGACACATATAACAATGGAGATGCTGATAGATGACGCATGTAACAATGGGGATGCTGATAGATGACGCATATAACAATGGTGATGCTGATACATGACACATATAACAATGGTGATGCTGATACATGACACATATAACAATGGAGATGCTGATATATGAGGCATATAACAATGGTGATGCTGATACATGACACATATAACAATGGTGATGCTGATACATGACACATATAACAATGGTGATGCTGATACATGACACATATAACAATGGAGATGCTGATATATGACGCATATAACAATGGAGATGCTGATAGATGACGCATATAACAATGGTGATGCTGATACATGACACATATAACAATGGTGATGCTGATACATGACACATATAACAATGGAGATGCTGATATATGACGCATATAACAATGGTGATGCTGATACATGACACATATAACAATGGTGATGCTGATACATGACACATATAACAATGGTGATGCTGATACATGACACATATAACAATGGAGATGCTGATAGATGACGCATATAACAATGGTGATGCTGATACATGACACATATAACAATGGTGATGCTGATACATGACACATATAACAATGGAGATGCTGATAGATGACGCATGTAACAATGGTGATGCTGATACATGACGCATATAACAATGGTTATGCTGATACATGACACATATAACAATGGAGATGCTGATATATGACGCATATAACAATGGTGATGCTGATACATGACACATATAACAATGGTGATGCTGATACATGACACATATAACAATGGAGATGCTGATAGATGACGCATGTAACAATGGTGATGCTGATACATGACGCATATAACAATGGAGATGCAGATACATGACTCATATAACATTAAGAATGCTGTTATATGACACATATAACAATGGAGATGCAGATACATGACACATATAACAATGGTGATGCAGATACATGACACATTTAACAATGGAGATGCAGATACATGACACATATAACATTAAGAATGCTGTTATATGACACATATAACAATGGAGATGCAGATACATGACACATATAACAATGGTGATGCAGATACATGACACATTTAACAATGGAGATACAGATACATGACACATATAACAATGGAAATGCTAATATATGACATATATAGCAATGGAGATGCAGATACATGACACATTTAACAATGGAGATGCTGATATACAGGGTGATCACTAAGTTCTGGGAATTTATCTGTCATTTCATTATTTTTCAACCAATCTACTTGAAATTTTCAAGGTAAATGGAGAATATAGTTTTGGGTTGGATAAAACAGTTTCATTGTCATATGATGTCACAATGGATAATTATTGTTACTATAGCAACATGACAAATGACGTAGCGGGTCAAGAAAAACTTGAATTCATCCTATTTGGTAGAGAAATTTCTGTGATTTTTTATGTTTTCAAATATTTCTAAGTTTAGTTTTTAAACTAACATCTGTATTGTGATATAAGAGTCCACTTTGCTCAATTTTCCTATCATTGGTCAGACTCTCAAAGTCACAATCATGACTCAAAATAGCGGGGAGTTATCTTCCATTGTGACTATGCTTCTTCCCATTCCTCAAATTGCCCATACTAGTCTTGAAGAATTAAGCTTCACACAAGTTGTTCACGCCCCATATTCACCATATAATGTTCACCAGATGAACCACCATTAAGTTCACTAAATTTGACTGTTGAAGCTTCATATAGAGATCATCATTAGTTTGGTTCCAATGAGGGACTGATCTCAACAGCTTGAGCAAATTTTAAAGGGATACCAAGGGAGGACTGGAAAGCAACGTTATGGACTACAGTAGGTTTGACAACAATACATAGGCATTCAGGCCTATGGAAATCATTATAAATGAAATGATCCTTCCAGCAATGAAGAATACTTCTGAATAAATGACTTCAAGAGTACTGTTCTGCCTCTAGTACAATAAGTTTGAACCAACGATCTAGGCAAGATGAATATGTTTTAGCAGGATATTTTTCAAATTAACGTCAGTCAAAATTTGCTGACCCGCTGACCACTTTTACTTTTTTTATAATTGCAATAAAATAAATTGTAAAAGTGATATGTGTATGAAACATTGTCTGTCAATTCAGAATTATACAATGTACATTTGCTAGAAGTTTCAACTGAATTGGTTGAAAAATATTGAAATGACAGACCGATTCCCAGAACTTAGTGATCACCCTGTATAACACATAAAACAATGGAGATGCAGATACATGACACATAAAACAATGGAGATGCGGATATATGACACATAAAACAATTGAGATGCAGATACATGACACATATAACAATGGAGATACTGATATATGACACATATAGCAATGGAGATACTGACACATGACACATATAACAATGGAGATGCTGATATAACACATATAACAATGGTGATGCTGATACATGACACATAAAACAATTGAGATGCTGATATATGACACATAGAACAATGGAGAAGCAGATGAATGACACATTTAACAATGGAGATGGTGATACATGACACATTTAACAATGGAGATCCTGATACATGACACATATAACAATGGAGATATTGGTATATGACACATATAACAATGGAGATGCTGATTTATGACACATATTACAATGGAGATGCTGATACATGACACATATAACAATGGAGATGCTGATATATAACACATAAAACAATTGAGATGCTGATATATGACACATATAACAATGGAGATACTGATACATGACACATATAACAATGGTGATGCTGATACATGACACATATAACAATGGATATCCTGATACATGACACACACAACAATGGAGATGTGGACACATGATTGACACATATAGCAATCAGCTGATACATGATGCTGTTACACGATAAAATGAGATTAATACCTGATATTGTTTTTCATCATTGCTGAGGGTCCACACATCATTGTTTATGGACAATGCAACTAATACCCCTTTCGTGACCTATAGGAAAGCAGAGTTACATTTCAGTATACTGGAAAATGTATTCATTATGCTCATGCATGTGATAATCATCAATATAGTGATAATTCCCAGAAAAATTATATAAAAATTATATAACTTACACTATTGGAGGCATTAAAAAAATTCATTTTGAAAAACTGGTTAGTAAGTAAGCAGTATGAGAATTGTAAGATGAGCTTGTCTCACAGACATTTTAAGGTAAATGTCACTCATTCTGTGAGAATTTCTTTTCAAGCTTCGATATTCACAGAAAGAAAGTCTAACTAGATAATGGCAACTCCGCGGAGTAGCAAATCCCAACGAACAAAATATCAATTACCGATTTCCAATCAATTATACTCATTACTTTGGTTAAAATTGAAAAAGGACGATTCTCGGTTTGGAGAACAGTCTCCTGGGCTAATAATTTTTTAATGAAAAATATAGAAATATTACCCAAATTAAACTATAAATATTCAAAAGAGGACATTTAAATCTACAAGATGTAAAATTTACAAATTGGTCTGAAGCAGGGATAAAGTTCAATTTGACCGATTCAATAAAATACAAGTCTCGATTTGGGGAAAAAAGTTTATCAGTGTACTGTGCTAATATTTTTTCACGAAAAATCTAGAAATATTACCCAAATTAGATTATGACTGTTCAAAGGTAGACATTCAAATCTACATTATGTAAAAAAATCAAATTTGTCCGAAGCAGGGATAATGCTCATTTAGATTGATGAACTTCGTTCTCCAAACCGAGAATCGTCCTTTAGATTTTAGAATTGGTAATTCATGCAAAGCAGCCATTTTGAATTCGCTGAGGTACAAATCTGAAAAATAATACCATAATTATGATCTACTCAAAAATTCCTTTGAGTATTATATAGCCATACGTTGAAGGGATCGAAAAATTATTGCGAAATTGTACATTAGACAGCCATTTTGAATTTTACGAGGCTCGAATCAGAAAAAAGATACAATATTTGCAATCTACTCTTAATTGCCTTTCATTTGAGTATAATAAAGCTATACTTCAGAAAGATCTAAAAATTAGCGAAAATTTCTGTTTTCCTGACCCCCCATACACGGCCCCTGGGGGTCAGGATGAAAAACACAGAATATATGTGAAAAAGATAGATGTTGCGAATATATTACCAAAATTTCAAACAATAATATTAATTACTTTGGTTTAGAATGAAAAATTTATGATTTTTGCGAAAAAGCCCCGTCATTTTTAAAGCGGCGGCCATCTTGAAAAAATCCATTTTGAATTTTCTGAGGTACAAATCTGAAAAATAATACCATAATTGTTATCTACATCAAAATTCCTTCAATTTGAGTATTATATAGCCATACTTTGAAGGGATCGAAAAATTATTGCGAAATCGTACATTAGACGGCCATTTTGAATTTTACGAGGCTCGAATCAGAAAAAAGATACAATATTTGCAATCTACTCTTAATTGCCTTTCATTTGAGTATAATAAAGCTATACTTCAGAAGATCTAAAAATTAGCGAAAATTTCTGTTTTCCTGACCCCCCATACACGGCCCCTGGGGGTCGGGATGAAAAACACAGAATATATGTGAAATAGATAGATGTTGCGAATATACTACCAAAATTTGAAACAATAATATTAATTACTTTGGTTTAGAATGAAAAATTTATGATTTTTGCGAAAAAGTCCCGTCATTTTTAAAGCGGCGGCCATCTTGAAAAAACGGACGGACGGACGGATGGACGGACGGACTGACGGACTGACTGACTGACGGACTGACGGACGGACGGAGGGCTTCACTATATCCCTACCGAACTTCGTTCGTTGGGATAACAACTAGGCATTGCAGATCATAAAGAATCAGAGTTACAGAGGTTAAGCCACTTGAATAAAGTAAAACTAACTAGACATGTAAATTGAACAAGTTCAATTTAAGACTCCAGATTTCAAACTTTTTTCAAGCTGAGTCATCCAATTACTTGTAAGCTGAGTCATTCAGAATAAGCTGAGTCAGCTAGAATATAGACATTTAGACAACTCTTAAGAATGTTATCTTTGACTCCACTGGCTTAAGATGGGGATATCATCATATCGACGTTTCGAGACTTCAAACCGCTATAACTATCTAACCAGAAGTTGGATCGAAATTTGATTTAAAGATTCTGATTCCTGAGGAAATTGTACCCTTAATTAATAACTCATACGTTAAATTTGGAGAACTTTTAATTTTGACCTACTTTTCGGACACCATATCTCAAAAGTGGGTCAAAATACTTTCTGACGGCAAAAGGTTAACACTATAAGCACACTTTTTGCTACCTGTATACAAAATTTCGAAGCAAATCATCAAAGTGTAATGTCAGAATCGCAAAAATAAGGAAAAACTATGAATTTGACCTAGATTTTGACCTAGGCATTTTGGTGTCCAAATTTTAAAACTAGATAGCCTTCGAGGTCCATTCCTTTTATAGGTTTTCAGAATGTTAAGCTGTTCTCAGTCCATATTTGGTATTTTACACTTCAAAAAATTCTTTTTTCTCATTGACATAACATGGGGCACCAAATTTAGCGATTTTTGAGCTTTCAAAACACCATAACATTCCAACCGAGAGTCGGATTGAAATTTGGTTTGCAGATTCGGATTTCTGAGAAAATTCTACCCTAAATTCATAACTCATACGTTAAATTTGGAGAAGTTTTCATTTTGACCTACTTTTTGGACACCGTATCTCAAAAGTGGGTCAAAATACTTTCTGACGGCAAAAGGCTAACACTATTAGCACACTCTTTGCTACCTGTATACAAAATTTGGAAATGTAGTGTCAGAATCACAAAAATAAGGAAAAAACTATGAATTTGACCTAGATTTTGACCTGGGCATTTTGCTGTCCAGATTTTGAAGCTAGTTGGCTTTTGAGGTCCCCTTCTTTTAAAGGCTTTCATTATATTAAGCTGTACTCAGTCTATATCTCGTATATTACTCTTCAAAAAAATCTTTTTTCCCATTGACTTAACATGGGGCACAAATTTGGCGATTTTTGAGCTTTCAAAACGCCATAACTTCCCAACCGGAAGTCGGATTGAAATTTGGTTTGCAGATTCAGATTCCTGAGAAAATTCTACACTTATTTCATAACTCACATGTTGAATTTGGAGAACTTGCTGTTCTGACCTACTTTTTGGCCGCCATATCTCAAAATCAGTAAGAGCATGGGCTTTCAACTAGAAGGGTAGGCAACTTCCCATATTTCATACATAAACATTGCCATGGGTTTTCAAAATTGGAGAATGTACACATTCCAAGAAAATCTTATTTTGTACTTTTTATTGATGATTAAAAGAAATAACTCAAAAATAAAAACATGATCTTCTACATACATCTTGATAATTTAATAAAATTTGGAATTCATCATAATTATGACAATACAGGAAGTGAACATTCTCCCACAAATTTTGTTTTTATTGGAATGTGTTCTTGAATAATTACCCACAATGCAATACTCAAAGAGAACATCTTGATAACTCTTATTCTTATTGGTCTCTATTGTTTACTTTTATATGATATTGAATATATTTTATGCTTAAATCATATTAAAAATTGATTTTTATTCAAAATAATACTAAAACATATACATTTATCTAATACTTTTTGAAATATTGCCATAAAAGGGAAGCATGTCATTGTTCATTTTGAAGGTCTCATGTTATTACATAGAGTTACATACCCTTCTAGTTGAAAGCCCATGGTAAGAGTAATCAAAAAAAGACAGAGACAGTTATGAACTACTGAACTGAACTACTCTACTGAACATTTCTCTGCGCATTGAGTTCCCACATCGCAAACCACTCAGCTGTGTTGAAGCTGAGACTAACATACCTGAAATGACCATTATGTTAGTCACAGATAAAAGGAATGTGGTCAGCGAGTCGAACCACATGAGTCGAAGTCTAGGCGGCCTGTTGTTGACTGTAAACCTTGAAACTAAAACAGTAGTTTCATAATTTACAGTCTCAGTGTAAAATTTTGCCAGTTGAACTCTGGAGAGGTCAACAATTATATAATACTGTACCTCAGCCAAGGGACTATCAAACTTGAGGAAATCTACATGTGTCTCATTGTCTATAAGAGTTGAGTTCCTTTCTCCGACTTTTGTGATATTGACATCTGAAAAATAATGCATTTATTAAACATTACAAGTAAATAATCATGGATGTATATTGAAACTTTGTGATCAGATTCAATTTGGAGCTAATTTTTTAAAATCAAAATAATGTGTGATTTGCTTGACATTGATCTGTTGAAAGCCCATGATCAAGCACTCAAAAATTGACGATTTCAATTTTTCCAGCAAAGAAATGCATAACAAACAAACATGCATACTGTAGTCTAATGTGCGAGGGTTGACAGGGCAGCCATATCATGGGGAGTAAATCATGCCTACCTCTTAATTTTATATCCTCTTGATCTAGCCTGTTAAATTATATATCTGCTTCATATGGGCTTATTAGCCTTTTGCAGATTATTGACATAGACATAGACATGTAGAGTTATCCCGTACCAGGACTATAGTCCTGCAGTGAGAGCATTGTTTTGCCTGTACGATTACAATTTGGGAGAATTATCTACGCCCCTTACACTTAAGAAACCTACTTCAATTGATTCCTGGGTATTTTACCATTCTTTTCGTGTAGTTGAATCCACAATTGTCTGGGTATATCGGCAGAACGGGAACATTGTTCTTTTTCATCGACAGATAATCCATCACTTTCCAAGATGGCGGTTGGATCTAAAAGGGGATTCCCCGTTTGACTGACCCGGATGTGACCCGGAAGCACCAAAAATGGAGGAATTTGACGGTTGAAATAAGTTAAATATTACACGCAAATATTGTGATTAAAAACGAAAATTTCTTTGTTCTGCCGATAAACCCAGACAATTGTGGATTCAACTACAAGAAAAGAATGCTAAAATACCAAGGAATCTATTGAAATAGGTATCTTAAGAGTAAGAAGCGTAGAAAATGCTCCCATGTTGTAATCGTACAGGCAAAACAATGCTCTCACTGCAGGACTATAGTCCTGGCACGGGATAAATGTAGAGAATATTAGGGGGGGGGCTGACTTACTACCCGTGAGTGGAGACCATCATAAACTTTTGGGATGTTATTAGCACCTATGGTTCGGGAAAAACTAATATTTTACCATTAATAGTTTTGGAGTCGTGAGCTGCTGATGTTGATGCAGTTTCATCTGGTTGATGAAGTTGATCTTCAACTTTTTGAGATGGATTCTCCTCTTCACCCTCTTTTTCAAAGCTTTTTATGGAATCTGCTTGGTCAATCTCTACTTCTTTAGAAGCCTGAGTATCGTTTGCTACGACCTGCGTATTGTCTTCATTATCAGAATCACTTGAAGTAATGTTTTTCTCCTTGCAGTTTTTTTCATGCGGAACATAAATCAAGAAAAGTACTGCGGCCATATTGGTATTTCCCAGATTTTAGGTCACATGACTAGGGTGTTACTAAATACCACCTAGGTGTCCCCTTGAGCAACTGGATTTCTAATTCCATTTTAAACCACGTACACATTTTAAATATAGTATTATTTCCTTTGTCATACTAACTTGACATTAAATAGGCTTGAAATATTAATTTGTAGTCGAGAATATTGCAAAGAAGATTCGAAAATAAAATAGTTTTATTGTTAGAAAAATGGGCACCTGGAATTTTGCTCATGTAACTTATGGTCATTTATTTGTAGTAATAAAACACTGTTTATGCTAAAGTGTACACTTACATTTAAAATATATACATTGGTCTCACTTTAGTTGCTAAAATAGTAGCATTTGTACCATTTTATTGTGAGCAAATAATGAAATATTATCCTAACAAATGACTTTTGACATTGATCAAAAATTTCAAGACAATTAAAAATATCATAACCAAACAGAAATAGTTACACAAGTTCCATGATACTTTATATTGTACTATATTAACACTTGGAAAAATGTTAGTTTAAAATAAAGTAGTAAAATATGCCAATAAGGCATTTCAATGGGGACACCTAGGTGTGGGGCACCTAGGTGGCATTTAGTACAACCCCATGACTAGGGTCGAACTCCCATGCAGTGATATATCACTGCGGCGGGCAGGTATCTCACCGTAAGCATGGTAACATCGTAATAAACAACTGACGTGATTGGTTCTAGTCCCATGCTCAGGTCGCGTGTTTGTAAAATTTAGACAATTTCATTGGTTGAATTGCGCGTATTAACTAATAAACAACACGTGCGGTAAATTTTATCAACACAACTTTTACTCAGAATTCCTTCCGCGAAGATTTCTTCTTATATTTCATTGATTTTGGAATATTTTGACAAAATAATTATTGGTGAACATAAAAGAACATATATTTTATAAGTTGTGTGAAAAACAAGTACATCTGTGACAAAAAGGGGGACTATCTTCCCCAAATTTTGGGGATTCCATAATCTGCCCGCCGCAGTGTCTATACCGAGACACTGCATAGGAGTTCGGACTAGGGTTAATTTGACTTACTTCCGGGTTTCAATTTGCAAAATGAAATTTTCATAAATTTATAAACACTGTCAATAGAATGAGATTCGAAGGATCATATTTGATCTTTAGTGTATTATACTATGGTGTTCTATGGAATCGATCGGGAGCAGTGATTTGAAACACTTGGATCATTGAATGAACAACGTTCAAGTCTTCAAAATCAGATTGAACATGAAAATTACTCAACAACATTGTTGTGGGACATTGTTGAATACATGTATTACTAAATTAGGCTATAATACAAAGTCAAGTACTTTCAAAAACATATTATTTTCTTTTTAAAGATTTTCATTTAATTCACAAGAAAACTGTGAGTATACATATAATTTATCACCCAGTGGCAACAGTGGCTTAGTATCTGGAAGGAGCGAGGAGCCAAAAACCCGTAAAGGACCAAAAAGGAATTGATATAATAATGATGAATGTTGATACAACGATGAATGAGAATTGATAATATTTAATTTAAGGCGAATGTTCTGTCAAGAACATGTAGCACTCCAATTTCTAAGTTAATAGTTTATTATACAAAATGAAAGCAAGTAGCAAATATTGTGGACAATGTTTATCATCTCGGTGCTGCAGTCGTAGAGTGCGTTTTCAAGCTCTTATTATTTTTATGCTTCTCATTACTATTATTTACTACTTTACCACAGATTCTCACGATATTCCAATTCATGAAAAGGTTAACTTTTTACCGACATCAGTATTTACAAGAATACATGTATACTCAACAGCAACAAATGTCACATCCGATATTCATAATTCGAAATTAGCATCTAAATTGGTTCTGCTATGGTTTCCATTCTTTTCAAAGGAGCAACAATTATGGACATTACACAGGGGTTCACTAGATCACTGTCCTGTGAAAAACTGTGTATCTACATTTGACCGAAGTAGACTATTGGAAAGTGATGCTGTGGTTGTTCATATCACTCACCCACATATGGATCAACGATATCCCGTGTTGCCGCATACAAGGCATCCTCACCAACGTTGGGTACTGTTCACTATTGAGCCTCCACAACATATAATGACACACTTTTCGCTCTATAACAATCAGTTTAACTGGACTGCAACATTCCGCACTGATTCTGATATACCAGTTTATTATGGACATAAACAACAACACAATAAGACAAATGAAGAGTTCATTTATAAAAATCAAACAATGTTAGAAAAGGAAAAACCACGTCTTGTTGCTTGGATATGCAGTAATTTTGTAGCACGTAGCAATCGGATGCGATTTGTTCGTGAATTACAGTGGCACATTACAGTTGATGTATATGGTAGTGTCAGCTCACTCTTCAAACATAATGATCTTCCATGTGATAGGCACAGCCCAACATGTAATCAGCTCTTACATCAATACAAATTCTACCTTGCACTTGAAAACAACAACTGTAGGGATTATATAACTGAGAAGTTCTGGTTAGCCTTGGAAAGAGGCCTCATTCCTGTAGTTATGGGAGGGGAATGGTACAAGAAGCAAGCACCACCATTCTCTTACATTGATATCCATACTTTCAGCTCAACAAAATCTCTCGCCCAATATCTGATTAAAGTAGCCAATGATGTTGATTTGTTTAATAGTTATATGCTATGGCGCTACAGCTATAGGATCATTGACACTGACATCTACAGTGGAGTTCTTCGTCAATGGGGTTGTAATCTATGTAAGGCACTTAACAACCCTGCCCTACCCGCCCAAGTCTACACTGATCTACCTGGATGGTATGCCGAAGATGAAAAAGGATGCAGCACCTACTCAGTGAGTGAATATTTATTTTCATTGAAGTGACACTTTTTAATTGGAAAGTACAATTGTACAAAATCTTTTTTTTAATGTAATATTTGGATATCACATTGGCACTCATGTTATAACCTTTTTATTTGACTACTTCTGATTTTTGTGAGTCTCGGTAGTGTTAACTTTCTAGAAATTGTTGAAAGTTCATTCACACATAGCTAGGCAAGGGATGTGGTAATCCAGCCAATCTGAACACAGTATTTCACATAACAGCAATGCATGAAATAACCAATAACGCATTCGTTGTATGGCTGGTTGTGGTCATGATGAGAACTAAACTCACTGATTGGAGTTCATGCTTTGCCAATTTGACCCTTGCAAAAGTTTCATTGAAAATATCTTCTTTTGGTGATTTTATAGCCTTTAGTGACATGGAAGAAAATATTTTGCAATGTGTGAAAAGAATTTAAGCCCAAAACTTAATGCATTGTGGAATGACCATTTTTTCAGGTGCTGATTCATAAAATTAACACTCGATGCGAAGGAAGGTGCAAATTTTGTAAAGCAATGCCTTCAAGGAATGGTCATTCCACATTGCACTGAGTCATGGACTTAAATCCTAACGAATGACATCAGTTAATTCAATGTTTTTTTTATCTCATGTCTGCATTTTTTCTGTTTCTCTCTGTGGATGTTTTTCAGAAAAAATGATTTATTATGTGGGATTATGACAAACAAAAATAACTGTTATAATTCAATTCAATTTCTTTTAGTCATTCACTTCATGATGTACAACAAGGTTAACTGGTACAATTTATTGAAAGTATTACTTTGTCTTAGTAACTGTAACTGTAATGGCACTTTTATTGCTTCTCATTTTCAGGTTTGGGAACGCCTGAAAAGAATTCTAAATATCTTATTTTTTCGACTGAGACTTTAGATCAACCAATCATCTGAACCTGATTGGACCCATCATGGTAAGCCACATCCTCTCCATCTCTATCCTTCTGCGATGCAATTGGAGCATAAGTGAGGAATTATCATCCAATTGGACCATAAGTGAGGAATTATCATCCAATTGGACCATAAGTGAGGAATTATCATCCAATTGGACCATAAGTGAGGAATTATCATCCAATTGGACCATAAGTGAGGAATTATCATCAAATTGAAGTATTGGACCATAAGTGAAGCATTATCATCCAATCGGACCATAAGTAAAGCATAATCATCCAATTGGACCATAAGTGAGGAATTATCATCACATTGGAGTATTGGACCATAAGTGAAGCATCATCATCCAATCATCTAATTAGACTAGGCTTCCAGGACATGACTAAATGTGAAATAAACTATTATTAAACTAAACTAAAAAGTAAATGTGAAACCTCAGTAAATAGCAGTCATTGCAACAGACACAGCACTGAAGCAGTATTATCAAATATACCAAATAATAATTGATTCTTTAGTTGTAAATGTTCATCAATTTCTTCGTAAAAAGCCTCATGCAAAGTACGAAAATATTTTTTAATCATACGAATAGTATTTCTCATTACTTTTTCATGAAAGCTGTATTGCCTTTTATTCTGACCAAAAATACTTCATGCTTCTAAAACCCCAAATAGCTCATAGATAACTATCCATGCCTATGATGTCACACATGTGCCGTTTTCTTAAAAAAATTGCTGTATACCTTTTCTTGTATATTTTTTTCATTAGATTGACAAACATGGCATAATTTTACACAAATGATATTAATGAAACACAACTTAGATCTGACAAGATTCTTGTTTTTATTTGAGTCTCTTTATGGTGGTAGCCTAATCATGACAGCTATTTTGCTAAGTGTTTTTTGTTTTGTTTTTTTTGTCAGAAAGTCGTCTTTTATTTAAATGTATCCTCTATTACCACAAGTGATTTACATATTTTATGTATTTATGTGTATTTGAATTAAAAATAAATAAGTAATTTTTTAAGAATTTTTTCATTTTTTATTTATATAAGTTCATTCTAACTGTATTATACTACAGTATACAAAAACATGTCATATAAATAGTGCCTACACTATAGTAATGTGTCACAAGGCATTTGGCAGGTTTTACATCACTTGGTCTTAGGGTATGGCTGGTCCCTTTTTGAATAACTGACAGGTTTGATAATTATGATAATACAAAAACTTTACTTAGAAATTGTAACTTTGGCTAAATTCATGCTCTTTAATTTGGCAAAGGACCAGGTACATGACTAAATGTGAAATCCCAAGGAGAATACAAGGCATTAATAAGCAAAATGTCACCACCAGCCATAAGTTACAGATGCCGAACTCAAAAACCAGCCGCCGAACCCCCATAAAAAAGTTGGGAGACTATAACAATATGTCAGCACTTATCGTAGTGACATGAAAATCATCAATTTGACTCTCTGGAAAGCCATACGTAATGGAACACCATATAATATACCTGATATTATTAAATAACAAGGCATTAACATGCAAAATGTCACTACATGCCTTTTGTTACAGACACCAAACATCAACTGCTAAATACCGAACACCATTCACTAAGAAGTTGGAGACTATAACAATATGACATCACTTTTGGTGGTGACATAAAAATGCTATTATTCTTGGATACAGAAAATAACTGATTTCACTTGAGAGACCTATTTTCTGTATTTGACTTGAATCATTGAATAACTAATATCATGAGTACTAACCAGACAGACCAGACTAAGATAAGCCAAGTTTACTAATACATATAGCCATGAAAGATACAGCTGAGTAAAGTCACAGTATCATGAGGCCTACTTATTAGTACCTATGTCATCATGTAGTATCACCAAGCCAAGTGTTAGAAGTCAAAGCGTTTTACAATGTTATTGTGTTACATGACAATGTTGGTCATATGGGCCAGATTATTAGAAGTTGCTCAATAGAATAATCAGCCCTTAGCACAGGATTTCATTCTGTGTTTTCATTAACTAATACAAAATATCACATACATGTACATTCTACTTTCATAAATGATCCTTGTCCCTATTTCTCAAAGAAATGCTGAATTTCAATTGTGTCTTTAATGAGGAAACCATGACAATATCATTAAACAATATTTAAGACGACCCCCAAACAGGACACACAAACAAAAATTGGAGCTCTACAAAAATCAACAAAAAGTGGGATAAATGAGAACAATTTGGAAAACAAATTTACTCTAAATGGATATAAAGACATAAGGAACATTTTGACTGATTTTCAGTGAAAAATTCTCGGAACTTTACAAGATATTGAACAGGAAAATTTTTGGATAAAATACATAAAAAGAAATTGACTTATATACTGTAAAACGGGTAATTTTGACACCGGGAAATTTTAGCGATTTTTCAATTTTAGGGGGTTTTAGCGCGAGAAATCTTAGCGAAATGAAGATTAATCTTTAAAAAATCAAATTAGCGAAATGCATTAGCAAGAGAATTTAAGCAATATCATTGGTTGTTGAACCGTGTTCAATTAACACCTTTTATCTTTGGCTATGGATGGCTATTTATCCTTCAGATATTGAAAGCGAATGAGAATTTTTAGCGAAACTATAGCGATCGTTAACAATTACCCCTCGCTAACAATACCCGTTTTACAGTATTGCCTTGTACAAACATAAACCTTCACCACAGTACAGTAGATCAGCAAGCATTACATAATATTGACTTAGATTTATGCATGCACATGTGGACTTATAGCTAATACAAAGGCAATTAAAAAGTACAACACCTTTCTAAAACCACAAACATAAACGCCTAGGGACCATCTCAAAAACATTATATGATCATGTCTGTAATAACTAGAAACCTAACATTAAAGTGCAGTCTTAGAGACTCTGGATATGCAAAGGAAATCGATGTACTTGAAGGATTATATCACATTGGAATAGGAGAAAAGGATATTGATGCCATACAAATAAATAGAAGAGAAATTCACGTAACCTTCAAGAATAGAGAAGCAAAGACCGTTGCAACAGCTATGGATATAAAAGTAAATGGTCATTCGGTAAAGATGTGTGACGTAGAGAACAATACTACAAACGTGACCCTAAAAGATATACCAATACAAGTGTCAGATCAAGTAGTTAATGCTTATTTGACTGGATACGCTACAGTTCTCAATGAAATCAGCCATGGATACGTAAGAATGCCAGATGGTACCAAGACAAATATCCGCAATGGCATTAGGTACATTTCAGTTGTTGATATTAAAGAACCAATACCAAGTGCTCCCATTATTGCTGGATTCCATGGAAGACTTTCATATCAAGGTCAACCTTGTAACATATGCAAACTCACAGACCACCCATGGTGGAGGTGTCCTTTAAAGGGAGTGCGTAAATGTTACACGTGTGGCAGCACAGACCACATTGTATCTCAGTGTACAGGACGTGATAACAAAAATGAAAAGGAAAAAGTGATTGAGAAAGATGAAGACGAACACATAGAGAAAGATGAGCAGAAATCAGCCACTACAGAAGAAGATACCAAGAAACCTGACACAATACTAACTGGCGGCTCGATTGCTAAAGGTATCAGCACAATAATGAAGACAGCAGTCCCAGCATGTCAAAGTGGGGCTAAGATAGAACATGTCCCAGGCCTACTTCAGAAAACAGGGGACAACGAAGAAATCAAATATGTAGTAATGCAAGTTGGTGCAAATAATATTGTATATAGCAATGAGGCACCAGATGTTTGCCTTGACAAATACGACCGCATGGTGGATGAGGTACACAAGAAATACCCATCATCAATTATAGTTGCAAGTAGTGTTACCCCCGTACATCCATCCACAGGCAAAAACTCCAAGATGCAATCTAAAATAACAAAGACAAATAAGCTCATTAATATGATGTGCAAATCGAAGGATTTCACCACTTTTGTGGATAATGACAAGGTTCTACTATGCAGCGATGGCAAAACTTCACCTAAAGACTATTCAAGCAATGATACCAAAGGTGTCCATCTTTCTCTACATGGATCTGCTAAAGTGGCCCGCAACATCATGGATACCCTAAAAGGAATTGAGATGGACGATGCAACTTTCCAAACCCCCCCTACCAACAAGAGGAAAGAGAGAGGATCATCATCTACACCAACATCTGCGGAAAAGCAACCTGAAACAAAAAGCAAAAAATTAGGGAGTTACTCATGAACTTTTATTAACTCATGGACAAGCTGAGACTATTGACCCTCAATGTGAGGGGACTCAATAATGATAATAAGAGACGAAAATTATTTAAATGGATAAAAGATCAAAAACCAGACATTGTATGTTTACAAGAAACCTTTTGTTCAAAAACATTTATCAACACTTTTAACTCTTCATGGAAAGGAAAGGTGTATCACAGTGTAACAGATTCTAATCATTCTAGAGGCGTTGCAATTTTATTCAGTGATACTATAAGTGATCTGTGCATAGTTCAAAATTCTCATTATACTAATGATGGGAGAGCAGTCCTTGTAAATTTTGAGCTAAATGGTGATACTTTCACAAGCATCTCCATTTATGCTCCCAACGAAATTTCAAAGCGATGCACATTCTTTAAAAATATTAACGATTGGATTGTTGAGAATGCTGTGAATCTAGATAATCTTTTAATAACAGGCGACTTCAACTGCTGTATAAATAAGGAAGACAGAATTAATACTACACAAATAAGGCCAGATCGCAGCAAATTTTATTTTGAAAAAATGATAAATGACTTAAACATAACTGATGCATGGACCTCTTTAAATAATAAAAAACCGGGATTCACATTTTTTGATAAAACAAATAACTGTAAAAGTAGAATTGATTACATATTCAAATCAGTCGATAGTTTTTGTGAACTAAAAAGATCATATATTCTACAGGCTCTTGACAGAGACCATCGAGCTATTGTATGTGATTTTAAAGTGTGCAAAAAGTCAAAGGGTAAAGGGTATTGGAAACTAAATGGAAGCTTACTTAATGATGAAAACTATGTCAATAAAATCAAGCAATGTATTCAAAATGTTAAAATGAACTATAACAAGATAAAATCTAAAAGAGCCTTTTGGGAAATTTTAAAAGTTAAAATCAAAGAAGTATCTATTAGGTACTCTATCAAAAAAAAGCGAATCGAAAAAAACGAGAGTAAAGAACTTCAAGAAAAGATTGATGATATAAATACTTTTATTGAAAGATGTACAGATACTGATATAACAAATAAGCTGAAAAAGAAGAAAGCAACAATGGAATCAAAATTAGATTTATTTTATGAAAAAAAGGTTCAAGGTGAACAAATAAGATCAAAAGCAAAATGGGTTGAATATGGAGAAAGAAACTCAAAATATTTTTTAACTTTAGAAAAATCAAGGCAAAGTTCAAATGTGATTGATAAAGTGCGTACTGAAAAAGGTATTGTTACCAAAGATCTTGATATACTAAATGAAGCCAAATTGTTTTTTCAAAAATTATACTCAAAAGATAATATACCAAACACTGATGTAGATAATTATTTAGATAATGTAATTCTTAATCGTACTTTAACACATACAGAAAAAGCAATATGCGATAATGATATACTTCAATCTGAAATAGAATATGCAGTTAAGAATCTAAAGAAAAATAAAAGTCCAGGAATGGATGGAATAATTCCTGAATTTTATCAATATTTCTGGGATGATTTAAAAGAAATGTATTATGAACTCTTACATGAAATTTTTGAAAAAGGATCTATGTCTGAAACAATGAGATTATCAATACTTACCTTACTATATAAAAAGGGTGATAAGCAGATCTTATCAAATTATAGGCCGTTAAGTCTTTCCAACTATGACTACAAAATTTTAGCATTTGTTTTGGCAAAGCGTTTACAGATAGTAATAAAGAAATTGATTAATGTTGATCAGTCAGCTTATTTACCGGGTCGGAACATAGGATACAATGCTCGATTAATTTTAGATATGATTGAATATACAGATATTGAGGATATACCAGGTCTTTTGATATGTTTAGATTTTGAAAAGGCATTTGATTCGTTAAATTGGAACTTTATGTACAAAACAATCGAAAAATTTAACTTTGGAGAAAATTTTAAAAAATGGATCAAAATTGTATATCAAAGTCCAATTATGAAAATAAAAAATAATGGTTGGTTTTCAGATAACATTCAAATGGAAAGGGGTGTACGCCAAGGCTGCCCAATATCAGCTTTATTATTCATTTTAACAACAGAAATTTTGACTAATGTAATAAAAAATGAAAAGAACATAGAAGGTATTAAAATCGAAGCAAAAGAAGTAAAAATTATACAGCACGCAGATGATACAACCCTGTTAGTATCAAATGAAAATTCTTTAAACATTGCACTTGAAAAAATTAAATCATTTTCAAAAGTCACAGGATTGAATCTAAATATTAAAAAAAGTAATGGAATAAAACTTGGAACTTTTCAAAACAATGAGAGGGAAAGCATTTCAGGCATTCACTTTCCAGAAACCCCAATCAAATGCCTAGGCATTTATATTGGCCAAAATAAACCACAATGTGAAACTCTAAATTGGGAATCAAAAATAAAAACACTAAGGAAAACACTTAACATTTGGAAATGTAGAAAACTTACTCTTTTTGGAAAAGCCCAAATTATAAACTCCTTAGCAATATCTAAATTAATTTACAATTTTTCTGTACTCGAAATGAATGATAATGTAGTAAAAGAAATAGACAGCATACTCTTTGATTTTCTGTGGAATGGGAGAGACAGAATAAAAAGAAAAACTGTAATACGAATGGTGAAAAATGGAGGCTTAAACATTATTGATACTAAAATAAAAATACAAAGTTTAAAATCAGTTTGGGTTAATAAACTTCTAACTAGTGAAACATCCTGGAGACTTTTTCCAAGTTATTTGATAAATAAAACAGGTCTATGTCTAAAAACATTTCTAAAGTGTAATTTTAACCACGATGTAGCACCTAAAGAGCTGTATATATTTACACCTTTTTACAAGGAAGTGTTCTACTCTTTTAATAAGTGCAAAACATACAGGAATAATAATGAAATGAACAATGATGACATTTTAAGAGAAATCATTTGGCTAAATAAAAGATTTTTATCTAAAGGCAAGACACTACTATATAAGAACTGGATTAAATCAGGTTTTATATATGTTAAAGATTTCTTCAATAATGATGGAACTTTTAAAAGTAGTAACACTTTCATTCAAATTTTAGAAGAAAAAAGAAACTGGATGGTAGAATTAAGTATCCTTAAAGATACAATTATGAAAATATGTAAATATATTGGAAAGGAAAATTTACCTTACCTAAATGAGAATAACAAACCGATTTTTTTAATGGAAAATCATTTTGTTGATATACAAAATAAGAAAGCTAAATTCTTTTATAATATCCTACAAAATCAAATATCTGAAAGGAATATGAATGAATTTAATTGGAAAAAATTATTTGGTATAAAGCAACAAATCTGGGAAGATATTTATCAGCAAAAGGTAAAAGACATGACATACAAATATTTCTCTGAATTTAACTTCAAAACCATTCATAACATACTGGCATGTGGAAGCACAGTGTCAAAATGGAACAAAAATGTTTCAAGCATGTGTCTTATCTGCAATAAAACTCATGATATGAAACATATGTTATATGAATGTAAAAAAGTAAAACATATATGGCAAGAATTAGGTATACAATTAAAATGTGAAATCATGTATAAACATATTGTTATAGGATTTTTATCTGGAAATAACATCACCAACTTCAGGAATGTCATTATAACAATTTTAGGGATCACAATATATAACAACTGGTGTAAATTTTCTGAAGACAATAATAGTTGGAAACTATTTGACATTCGAACAACTTTCATAAGAAATTTACAATATTATTCCTGCTTATTTAAACTCATAAAAAAGGACTACAATTTGTCTATATGGATTGAAAACATCGTTAAGAACTTTTGAAAAAAACAAACATTTATCTTTATCAAGATTTTTGTAAAACAATTTTTGTGAATCCTGCTTATACGCAATTTATTGTATTGTTATTGTACATGTTTAATATTTGTGAATAAAAAAAAAAAAAAAAAAAAAAAAAAAAAAAAAATTAAACAAATTCAATTTCAAAATTCAGAATATTTTTGACTAAAATCCTTGTCATGAAATGCAAGCCCTAAAAGTAATCCACATTTGGGGTTTGGTCAAAATGTCCATGCTTTTTTCCAAAAGTCATCTAACTAAGGATTATTTCAAAGGTCCATTTCCTCCCCTATTCATTATGGCCATTGAAATGACAAATCTAATTTTGCCTAAATATGACATACTGATACTTTGAATTTAATTTAGGGACCAGAGGCAACTTTACATGGTTGATGTATGGGACAGATTTCACACAGACTACTGAGGCTGTTAAATGTAAATGCATGTAGTTCACAGATAAATGGCCATATAATATCTGTTGGGTTGGCGGAATGGATCTGAAAGATGACAAGGAAAATAAAAGAAAACAATTTGGGCTCATGCTAAATTTGCTAGGAGAATGAGGCCCAAAAAGGCCTCTGTACTATTTTCAATGAGGCAAGGTACTACTAAATGCAAAACTCAACCTGATTAGGTAAATTTTCCTAAATTGTATAATTGCCTAAACTTCATTCACATCATTTCAATCGATTAATCACTTTACTCGTTACAGTCACTAATGCGTCCTGTTCTATTGAATGTTTGAATGTCCTAATGTTTTGTATTGCTGCGTTACAATGTTGTGTTGCAAGGTATCTTGTCTGCTCAACTCCATCACTCTAAAGTACAGAAGGAACATTTTATCAGTCAGAACTAAGGGATGTAGTAGATTGAGATTTAACGATCATGATTCATACATCCAACATATCACAAGTCTGGTATACATTTACATGTTATTGCATTGTAATGTCTACTTCAATTGATCCACTGATTTATTTTAGAAACAAATGTGATCATAAGTGATATAATAAAATAAATGCTAGTAAAAGTTGTTCACCTTTGCTACATACTGCCTTGCAGCTGCTACATCCCCTGGTTGTGAGAATCTTCTCATTATCATCTCATTCAAGGAAGGATGCTGTAATACAGAATGTCCAATTTCAACCACCATTTGTTACAGACACCAATTGCCAAACACCAGTCACCGGACACTCACCACAAAAATTTGTAGACAATATGTCACAGGTTACAGTTAATGAATTAACTATTTGGTATATATGGATATATAGATGGCAGCATTGGTAGGGCTAGGTAGACAGCAATTACGATTCGAAAAACTAATAAAAGTCACTGAATTTCTTGATTTCTTGAAGATTATTAAATGGATTAACCTAAAACTCCATGGACATGCATGGACATCCTGGGCTAAGAAACCACTAAAAACACTAAAATAGGTATGTTATGTAACACTGGTGAATGCAGCAATTCCATTTAATAAAATCCCATTTAATGTCACTTGTCAAGTGACAAAATTGTAAATGGAAGCTATTGTCATTAATTGCTTTTCAATACTGACCAGTGATATTGTGTAAAAAATAGGAGTGCCTGACGTGGATAACAATAATTTTTCAAAATTTCTGCCATATTTGACAATTATCAAAAGCAAAATGTGTCATACTTCCAGGTGAATATCAATACAACTGCTGCACTAATCTTTGAGTGCTAGCAAAATATGAAAAGACCATGTGCAGTATGGCAAGTGATTTTAGACGGTCATATCTTTCACCATGAGTACTTTCTGGGCATAAATATGGTGTTTTTTATTAAAACAATATGTTTTCTTTCAAGTGAAGTAACCATGATGATAAAAATATCAATTGAACATTTCGAAAGATTATGAATAGGGACCCCATGTCAACATTTTTTTCAAAATATTGAACCTATTTACTCAAAAGAGGATCTCCCTTTTCTGATTTCTATTGCATGAAAAGCTTATTCAACAAGAGGTCTAAAACATCTTCAATAATATAATTGTATTGAAAGTCTAGTTTTGAAGATATCAATTTCCGATGACCAAAATGAAACATGAGTTTTCCCTATGGGAAAATAACATAGGATATGTGGTTTTTAACTTAAACGCATTTCATTACGCATCCCCTTTTCAGAAATTGTTCATATAGTGGAGAAGTATTTTTGATATGTTTAAATTGAGAAAATCAAGATCCTCTTTAAAGAAAATAAGCTTAACATTTTTTAAAAAGTGCCAGGGTGGGGCCCTAATTCATGATTTTTCAGAGAGTTGGATTGATATTTAAGTATCATGGGGACTTCACTTGAGAGAAAATATATTGTTTTAATAAAAAATGTTGTTTTTATGGCCAGAAAGTACTCATGGTGAAAGATATGACCGTTTAAAATCACTTGCCGTACTGCACGTGGTCTTTTTATTGGGCAAATTGATAAAAAATATTGTGAAAAGCAAACATTGATTGCACTGAAACTGATACCTGTTGTGCTGCAAATAACACAGGTGCAGTTGCCAGTCCCAACTTGAGATCTGCAGCAGTGGGTTTCCCCATGACGTTTTCACAAGAGGTAAAGTCCAACAAGTCATCTACCAGCTGAAAAGAGCAAAACATATTAAAAATACTGCACCAAGAAATACTTAAGTGCACATACTGATTTAGAACTAAATTAAATCATTTGAAAAAGTTTCTCTCTAATTCTCCCTTTATTGAATCATAATATCATTATGATGGATGTAATCTTTCCTTGCACGAGGTTCTCACGTTCACTGGCTAATCATTTTAAAATTTTCTTTCAACAAACCTGAAATGCTATTCCTACATTTCGACCATACTGATATGCCATTTCTATGGTTTCTTCTGTTGATTCAGCTAAAATTGCCACCTGGAAGTAAGTCAATCATTTTTTTATTAACAATGGTTCTTAACATCTAAAAATACCCTGCCCCTTTTTAAAAGATATATTCTATCAAAACCAACCTTTCACAGTAAGACACTTCATATTTCTACTACACTATTATTTTATTTATTTATTTATGATAAAAATATATATAAAATATGCAACATGTCACAATCTAAGACACCACAATAAAAGAAGTATCATGTGTTCAAAAAATAATCTTCCAAATAGAAAACATGTAAGACTACTGTATATGGAATAAAGCTAAATTGTATACATGATGAAATAACATTATAACGATAGGAATTTTTCTCTGTGTCAATCGTCCAACCCCAGATCCAACCTTACTCTGAGAGCTGAATGATGTTAAAATTCTATAAGCTTTGGCTTACTGTACTTTTAAATATCTATACATAATACAATAGAGTACAAAAATCAATTACTGATTTGCAGCTATTTGCAATCAAACTGGCTGTTTTCTTAAATGTTTTTTTGAGGTAGTGAGCAAATCTTTCATTCTCATCCTCCTTTGATCCGAGCTGCATAAACTCTCCTACAAAAATATGGTATTATGCAACATATTAGTTTTTGAGACATAAATAACACAGGCTGGTATCAAAAGATTTGTCCGCTGTGACGGAGCATGCTATTTTTCATAAAAACACTGAGAATGCTTCACGATTTATTTTTTAACTCATATGTTTCGTTATATCAAATAAAATTACTTACTCCATGCAATGGATATATCATTTGCGGGTAACCTTAACTTCTGTTTGAAGTCCAATAACGATAGGAGTAAAAGCTATTGAAAACGGTGCCAGAGTATCAAACTCTAAAATGTACCATTTCTTTTTTAACTTTTTAATGGCATGATATTGTGACACGATAATATTAACATATGTTTTCAGCAAAACTCTGAATGTATTAATGAGATATTAATGCATTGGGTCTTTTTAATTTTTTTTATAAAAAATAATATTAATATTTTTTTTGTCCGCTGTGACGGAGCATTTTCACAGTTCACATTTGCAACTGCTCCGTCACAGCGGACAGAAAAATTAAAAATTATTTTTTTATAAAAGAATTAATAAAAAGACCAAATACATCAACATCTCATCTATACCTTCTTAGTTATGCTGAAACCATGTGTAAATATTATTGTGTCACTATATCGTGCCAATAGAAAGTTAAACAAGAAATGGTACATTTTGAAGTATGATACTCTGGCGCCATTTTCAATAGCTTTTCTTCCCAGCGTAATTGAACTTCAAACAGAAGTGAAAGTTACCCGAAAATGATATATCCATTGCATGGAGTAAGTAATTTTCTATGGTATAACGAAACATACGAGTTAAATAATAAATCGTGAAGTATTCTTAGTGTTCTTATGAAAAATAGCATGCTCCGTCACAGCGGACAAATATTTCGATACCAGCCCGTGAATAAGGACAGTAGAAGTTTTTTCTCCATATTCATTTCATTAATTACAAAAGTATTGATTGCCAAAGCAGAAGTTAGGAAAGACAATGGATTATCAATTATCAAAAGCATGCAAATAAACAACAATATCAGGTAAAGTTTGCAAACCATATATATTTTCCTATACTTTCTTAATTTACATGCATGTTTCTTTAATGAAGTTTTTTAGTATTTGTTATGTAATTTTACACACCTTTTACAAGATCTTCTAATATTTGTGAGTATGCTAGAACAATTCTTTCATTGCCCATACGAGCTAATGCCATGGAAGCCATTGCCATTATGTAATCTCCACCTAATATTGCCTGAAATCAAAAGAAAGATGTGCTTATTATAAGATTTCAAATAAACAGGTTTTCCATTCCAGTTTTCGAAACAAGAATACAACTTTGTAACATTGAGAGAGTAGACATGTGGCAACTCTAAATAGGAATATTATAACAAAGAGACTGTCACCATCAATTATGAATCTGGCCAAAAAAACAAATACAAAATTTGACTATTGATCAGATTGTTTAGATAAAACTATTCAACATTCAGTTCATAAATAAAAACAGCATATAAACAAAAGCAGTAGGATTGTTATTTCATATCTAGTCTGCCTTGTCAATCTTCTGACCTTTCTTTCTCCCCAGTTCTTGTGAATGCTAGGTTTACCACGTCGAGTGTCTGAATCATCTATGACATCATCATGGACTAAACTAGAGGTATGGATCATTTCGGCAATCATAGCACATTTTCGCTGGTTTCTTGACAACTCTCTGGAAATAATCATTGTTCTGTGTTAAATAAAACTACGCATTTATTTATTTTTGATGGTATATGTTAAATATTATCGAATAACAATTTTTTGTGTTTACAAAATTTTGTTATTGTTGTGACATTTTGACAGAATCTGACACATTTCGCTGCACCTTGAATTGTAAATCAAAATAGGCTTACAGTTCAAAACAAAATATTCATCATTGTTAAACTTTTTTTATTAAACTTACAGTGGTTTTTCATTGTGTGTATTGACAGCCTTTGCCATAAGCATTGCTATCATTGGCCTAAATGACTTTCCCTTGCCATCAAAGTGGTACTGACTAACAGATGCAAGTTCTTTTTCATATGGGTGTAATTCCTGAAAAAAATATAATCAGTTTAAAAATTAAGACATTTCAAACAGGTACAGACACCACAGTTGGGATATTAAAGTACATGAGACTGGATCTACCTATAACATTAGGATGAGGGTACACCCTTCTGGCTCAACAAATTACTAAAACTCATGAATTTTTTATGATATTAGAGACAACAGTTTTAAACTACATATATTTTTGCCATTTGACAGTTTTCATTGATAGTTTAATTTTTTTGCCATTTGACCGTTTTTATTGATAATTTGAGCAAATTGTGTCTCCTTGCTAGGAAACCCTTTTGAATAAAATACAATAGAGGGGCAATGTTGTTCCATCTGGATAGTTCTGGGACTAACTAATATAATAAGTCCTATTGTGTATAAATTATTAGTATTTTAACAAAAGATTGGGAGTCAGGAGACATTCTTGGTTCTCTAAAGATTTTTTTAATTAATGCCTTCCCTTTTCCTCTCTGCAGACCATACATGAGATATGTGTTCAGAAAACAACTTACTTGCTTTATATCATCACTGAGAGTTTGAAGGTCAGAACGAACAAGTTCAAATGGATCCAAATGCTGTGTTTGTGTAGTAGCTGTTGATAATGAATGGGAGTGATCTGATTCAAACTTTCTGCTTAATAGTTTGTGCTGTCTTGCATAGTACTGAAAACACATTGAAAGAAATATATAACAGGAGTACAAAGGGCTGGCTCCAGTCAGACTGAATCCTTTGTCTGAATAAATCCAGACTGTAAGTCACCTATTGTAAAATGTGGTGTTGTATAAATGTTACAAATAAGTTTGTATATTGATAAAATGATTTCTTTTATATGTAGTCTAGATGTCATTTTAATAATTTCTGTTAAACCGCAATATATACCCACTAGGGTGTCTAGCGGCTTGTTTTTATAGTGTATATTTAATATAAGAATTATGAAATAAATAAATTGAATTGAAAATTGATTACCTTATAAAGAACTTACAATATTATTTTTTCTCGTATATTGTCCTCTTACTGAAGATATTCATAAAATATACAGACGCTTCTTGTAGCAAAGGCATAGATTAGGTCAAGCCATTTAGGCAATTCCAATATCCTAGATGCGAGCAGAAATAATATTGATTTACGTCATTAAAAATTCACAATTCAGTCATATTTGGAATCTACATGTAAAATTAAATCAAGAAATGTGGTTTTGAAAAGAGTTTATCAACTTTGAAAATTTAATTTTCTTTGAAAATGTGACTTCTAGGTCGGGGAGATTCCCCATAGACCCCATGTTGTAAAACCACAAAAAGTGAAATATCTTTTCTTGTGTTGGGCAGATAATATTTTCTTTTACTGGGCATATTTTCATTTGTATAACTATCACATAAGGGTAATATGAAAAGTGAACCACTAAAACTGATGAATATTCAAGTTGAAGGGAATTTTGTAATACCCTGCCATGTTATTTCCCCCGAATCAGCCACCTGGTGGCGAAACTGGCAACTACCTACTCTTATCTGAGTAATTCTCAAGATAAATGAGATTAAACCAGTAACGTCGGTCTATTTGAAAACAAATAACACGTGGAGCAGGGGGGAAGCAACATTACGAAAGCGTATTTATAAATTCAATTTGTGCAGGAATTTGTGTCTGCTGTGAATATCATATTACAATTCTCACAATTCAGTAATGTTATGCAATGACATTACAGATGAAAGATTTTTCTTCAAAATGAGACCCTAATTATAAAATTCTGACCACTTATTCATATCTTTTTTTACTTCCAGTTCCCTGAAATGGTGAAGGGTTACTGTCCTTTTTATAGATAGATCATGGGCGTAGCGCTATTTTTCTAAGTAGTACGCCACCACCACAGGAACAAGAGTTGAGTGAATCAAAAAACAATCATTTGGGGGGTCTGGGGGTTCTCCCCTAGGAACATTTTGAAATTTGGTTGTATTTGGAGCGAATTTGCAACCATCTGGTACGCCTGTGCGTACCCAGCGTACCGGGCGCTACGCCCATGGATATATTGACTCAGATCTGGCATAAACATCTCATATCACAGTGCTACAAGTTCCTGTGATTGACATATATACGCCAATGCCAAAATCATCCCATAAAGTCGAAATAGCACCACATCAAAGTAACGCCATACAATACATCGAAGTTCAATGCAGTCCCCCAGTAGCCTAGAGTCCATTTCACTGTTTAACTGCGTCAGTAAAAGCTAAAAAATAAGGAATCAAAATATCATTTTGCAATAAGATATGGAAAAATATATTCCTATTGTACATGAATGACATTTGTATATCTTGGATTGCTTCTAGTTTGGCTTATAAAGTGTGTGGCCTCTTATATTTGGATGCTTCTCTGCCATGTTATTTTCAAAAAGATTAACATGGCTGAAATTCTTCAAATTACAAGACGGCACAGGCTTATTGCACAAAAAATTAAAAAATCTGAAATATACAAATGTCATTCATGTACATTATTAATATACTTTTCCATATATTATTGCACAATGGTCTCCCAATTTCTTATTTTTGCCATTCTACTGACGCAATGAAGCAGTGAAATGGACTCTAGAAAGAAACTCTTCGCAAAATTTATTTACGTCAGATATCTGATGTGTTGAAAGATACGTACTGGTGAGAGTCTTCAAGTTACACTGTGAAGGTATTGAAGGTATTGAGAGGTTTTTAAAACCCATGGTACTGTATGAGGTCAATCAGTGCTCTGTTGGAACAACTTGACCTTCAATTTCATAAGAAAAAAATCACATAAATTAAATCACTCTTACCTTTGTCGATTGTGATGGAGTTTGAAAGCTTTTGGTGTAACAAGATCGGCAACTGTTACAGTATGCTAAATCGAATGTTGTCATACTATTCTTAATTGTTACTGGTAAAGAGTTTTGCAAAAATCGTAAAGATAATCGTCCGGTCTGCAGAGCAGCGGACATCTTGAACTCAGAGCCCTACATTTATTTGAAAGATAGTTTTACTTCAGAATTTATTTGTATTTGCACATTAATAATTGAAATACTTTAAGTGAACAAAATAAACTAACTTATATTGTTATATTTTATCATTTCAATTACTTCTCATCATTAGTTTTAAGGAAGAAATATTGCCATTTATAAATATACTACAACGTCTCTCCATGAAATGGTAGCTCAGTATAAGTAAAGGTCCCGGATATTGCAGCCCGCAAATTACGAAATTTATGTTGAATGTTTTACCATAAATACCCACGCGATTATACAGCTAATGAACTGCAAATAGTTTTGACAACACTCTTTTAAAGATCTGGATGTCGAACGAGGAATACTACGAATGAAATTTAGGTCGTGGCCCGAGTGTGAAATCGAATTTCATTCTCTCTGGAGAGAGTCTCTCAGAATCGGTTAGATCTACTGAACACAGCTGGCTCAAAACCCAGATCGGTAGAGAATCGGCTACTGTAACCCCTGGGACTGTAACTGTATGCTTACTTAATCTATAGTCCTAGCCTCAGCCTGGGACCTCCAGCTTTGATAAGATTACAGGTACACAGGCAAATTACATCGGACCCCGTACAAGCCTGTCTAACAACGGGCCCTGTACAACCTTTTCGTTACGAGTCTCGTAATTGCTTGTAATTTTCGAGCCTTGTAAGAGCTTGTTATTACAAGGCCCGTAATAACTTGTAATTTTCTACCCTCTTACTTGACTGTACGGTGCCTAGAGTCCATTTCACTGCTTCATTTCGTCAGTAGAACGGCAAAAATAAGAAATTGGGAGATCATTGTGCTATAATATATGGAAAAGTATATTCATAATGTACATGAATGACATTTGTATATTTCAGATTTTTAATTTTTTTTGTGCAATAAGCCCGTGCCGTCTTGTAATTTGAAGAATTTCAGCCATGTTAATCTTATTGAAAATAACATGGCAGAGAAACATCCAAATATAAGAGGCCACACACTTTATAAGCCAAACTAGAAGCAATCCAAGATATACAAATGTCATTCATGTACATTATGAATATACTTTTCCATATAGTATTACATACCTAGCGAAGCATTTGTATGGAAGTCAATGGGAAAGTTAGCGAGCTATATCCACCGATATTGCCCGATTACCCCGATATAGCCCGCTTACTTCGTTTTGATATTAGATTTCTTTAATAACCATGATAATATCATGACGTCACGTCATTGATACAAAGTAACCATGGGAACAAAGGCATGTAATACATCAGTTATGTCACTATGACGTGAAATATGCCTTCGTTCTTGCCCAAATATAGAGCCTCTCAAGGTCGGCCTATATTGGGAGAACTCAGGCATATTTCACGTCATAGTGACATACCCTCTAATTATTGCACAATGGTCTCCCAATTTCTTATTTTTGCCGTTCTACTGACGTAATGAAGCAGTGAAATGGACTCTAGACTATATCCTCTAGTCTGAAATTTTTTTGAAATTTGGTATGAAAATATTCAGACTATAGCCCATATATGTTAAAACTTGGGATTGAAAATTATTTGTTTACATAGGAAGTGCCATTCAAAATGGCCAACTGGGTAAATTAATTTGCATATTTGTTACTTACCCTAGCTTTATTTCCATTTGACATTATGCTGTCTTACTTTTTATGGCATTTAATTGTACCTTACTACTTAATTGAATTGTTTTAATGCTTATTTTTGGAGAGTGAAGTTTCCTAAAATTGATAATTGTGTGCAGGAAATTTCCTGTTTTTTCCCACAGGAGGGACATAATGATCAATAGACTGAATTCTCAGGAAATTCAGTCTATTGGATATAGACTAGTACGGTGCCTAGCCCCGTAATAAATCGTAATTTTCAATCCCTGTACTTGCTCGTATGGTGGCTGTTACGAGGCCCGTAATAGCTCGTAATTTTCGAGCCTTATACTTGCCTGTGCGATACCCGTAACAAGGCCCATAATCGCTTGTAATTTTTGAGCACTGTACATCGACGTATGGGGCTTGTAACGATGCTCGTAATTGCTCGCTTATTTTGATGAACACTTTTTGATCGATGAAACTAAATACAGAATACTTGAGAAATTACATTTCAATTTAATTTAATTATGAATTATATGTCTTCAATTCAAAAGTTTCAAAATATTTGCATGTCTGTATCACCATGATGAAAAGTATAAAAGCTAGGAAACAAAATAAACAGGGTTATCAATGGGAGACACGACCATATTTCTCTACAAGGGAAGTAAATGCATATAAAAACATTTGTGTGTGATATTGGAGTACGTTGAAGTGTGATGTATTAGATAAATGTTATTGTTATCGAATCTATGAAATATGTTTGAAATGAGGAATATATAGCGCGTTGTAACAGTTATATAAGTGAATGTTGTAGTATGACATTAAATAACTTTTTACGTGCTGTAAAAGAGTCTGATGATGGGCCTTATACGAGTCCGAAATTACGAGCCTCGTACATTGCTCATATGGGCCTCAAAAACAACAATTACGAGCATCGTACGGGCCTCGAAAACAAGCTCCGTTATTTGCATGTGTATTATAAAAGATATTTGAGTTGTTTTGTAATGGATCATTCAGATCTTTCAGGGGTTAGAAGTCCATGGGAACATGGTACCGTATTATGATATAGCGCTTGCAAGAGCCAATTATGGGATTTACCTATTTCAGAGTCTATCTGATCTGTAAGTAATAGGACAGCCTTTAATCCAAGGTATATATCATTTAGTAATCGCAACACCTGAAATAGCCATGCCCAAGTCGGTCTCTTTTACTATCTTGATTTCTATTATGACCGCCGGTAATAATTCAAGATCAAATAAGTAAAAAATACCGACTTGGGCAAGGCTACACCTGAAACTGAAATACTGATTTTCACTGATAATGTGAAAAGGGAAAAATTGTAGTCAAATTGGGTTTTACCGTCTTCAAAGCAAACAGTTGAACCTAAAAAAATAAGAAATCTAAAGACTATTGTGCAATGGTATTTACAAAACATTATTTATATTGCACACAAATGACATTTGTATATTTCAGATTATTTAGTAGTTAGTGTTATAAACCTGTACACTCTTGAAATTTGAGGTCCTGGGTTATTTTTTCAGAATTAACATGGCAGAGAAGCTTCAAAATATAAGAGGTTACAGACTTTATAAGCCAATTCACAAGCAATCCAAGATAGACAAATGTCATTCGTGTGCATTTATGAATATATATTTTTCTACATATTATTGCACAAAAGTCTAGATTTCTTATTTTTGCTTTGGTTGCTGGTTGCTTTGAAGCAGTGTAAAAGACTGTACTGATGTTTTAGAAATATGGTTGCAATTCAAAATAAATGGCTCTTTAGAAGTAAATGTATTCTTTTTTTCCTAAATGAAACTCATTGTAACATAATTAATACATTTCTGTCATTTTGTGATATATTTCTATCACTGGCAATGTTTACTTTGAATAACTTTGCCACATAATGTTAATGACTATTTTACTTTGTGTAATTTGTTTGTAGGAATAGTTTCATTTTATATATCAGGATTTGTATGTGAAAATAAATACTGCAATTTAACAATTGGTTATCAAGCTGAGTATAACTAGATATGCCAGACATCCAATTGAAGGGAGTCAGTGTTTCCTTCCCATTTGAGCCTTATGCCTGTCAAGTGGATTATATGGAAAAGGTCATACAATGTCTTCAAACAGTAAGTCTTCTTCAATCATTTTTTTCAATTTTCCACAATATCATCTTAATACAATAGCAGATGTATGTTTAAACTTCATAAAAGTTTATACATGTAAATAAATTTAAACTTAATTGGTGCATCTTCTTTCATTCAATCTGGCATTCTAAATAGAGGTTGTCATGGTCATCCATGATGCTTTTACTTATTCAGTGCTACTTGTATATTATCAAGAATACCAATGGTCTATTAAAATGTATAAAGGGATATCAAACTAATCAATAGAAACTTACAATGTGCAGGGCTTGCATTAACGGCGTCCCGTACATGTTAAGGACTCAAAAATAATTTGGAGGACGCAAAAATTGAAAATATTTCAGTTTTTTGGACGCAAATTTTTTTTAGGTCAATACTACAATGTGTTTACAATGATACCTAACAAAAACAAATAATTATGATCTCTCACCTTTATTTGAATCGTAAATAAGGCTCAACATGTTAAATATTTACAAATAATCATGATTCTCTCGAATTTTTTCGACTTTGTTTATTTTTAGATTTGAAACCATGACAGGCGACAGTTTTTCCTATTCAGAAACAAATATTAGGTTATTCATGAAATAAAATGTATTCATTGTCGAATGAACGAACATGCATTTATTCAGTCCGTACTTAACGTTTACTTCCGTTTTAATTTCGCGGCAAGAAATCAAAAACTGAAAGGTGTTTTGGTAAAAAATGCTTTTAAAATAAAGTTATACCTCAAAACAGGCTAGAAATAGGGGACAGACTTTTTTTCAAAGGACACACTTTTTAAAAAAAATTGCGTCCTTGGGACTCACAAATTTTCTAACCTAATGCAAGCGCTGAATGTGTTTTCCAGAATTCTAATGGTCTACTGGAGAGTCCTACTGGCACAGGGAAGACACTGTGTCTTTTATGTGCCTGCTGTTCATGGCTTATAGGGAAGAAAGCAATGTGGCAACAACATAAGGCAGCCATTGCTGAGCCTGAACTAGCAGAGCAACTCCTTCATAGTACTGGCCTGAAGCAGGGAAGTGATTCCTGGGGCGGCATGTCAGGTATGTTTAATATCACCAAGAAGTGGGGATGACGTAATGTAAAGCAAAATGAAGGGTATAGAACCTCTGCTTATTCAAAATGCAACATTTTTTGTAAAAATGTAATCTTTGATAATTCAAATACCAGATGACTAATTTGGTTTCAGTTTTGTATGCTGATGCCTTAGGGACAATTGTTCAAGAAGTGATTCACTCAATGACCCGGGAATTCTAAAATGGCCACGATTATTTATTAGTTAAATGCAATTTCTGATAACTAAGATACCAGTTTTTTGATACCTTAACTACCAAATTTTATAGGCGGAGCTAATATTTTATGAGAATAAAACCTCTTTACAAGAAGAAATTTTGAATATGGCTACTAAATGACTGCCCTTTTTAATAAAATATATAATCTTCGGTAACTCAGATACCAGTTGTTCTTTCGATTTCATGTGAAGGATTTCATAAAATGGCTGCTGAATTCCAAATGGCCACCTTTTTCGGAAGAAATATAATAATATAATCATTAATTATCAAAAACTTTAGGTTCATGCGTATGTTTATGTACTTAATATTTGTATCAGGAGATAAATCTATTTTTAGTAAAATTATAACAGTACAGCGTATTATAACACAAGAGGTCTGAGTTTCTTTCACTTGTGTTTCAGCTCATCCAAAAATTATATATGCATCCAGAACTCACTCTCAGCTTTCACAAGCAGTACAGGAACTTAAACGTACATCATACAACCAGTGAGTAGAAGTACTATTACTTGAAACGATAATTTAGAACCAGTTTTTAAGGACATTGAATGAGTAAATTGTGTACAAGACAAGAGCAAATGTAGGACTTTGATTGGAATAGTGCAGAAGGTTAATATGAAATGACTTGTGTGGAATAGCACAATGGTCATCATTTGCATAAGTAAATACAAGTATTGAATTGTAAAAAAGATTGCTTAAAACCTCAATTCAATATTTTTTTTAAATAATTTTTTACAAGATAAGTACTTCAACAAAAAGGATATAGACATTACATCTGATTTTTAAAGATTAACTTAAAATTATGGACGCATGTTTTCATTTGTTTAGTTTCAAAGTGAGTGTGCTCGGGTCAAGGGAACAACTATGTATTCACCCTGGTGTGCAGAAAGAGACCAATAATACATCAAAAGTGCATATGTGTAGGGCAAAGGTACAGGCTCGGAGCTGTCATTTCTACAACAATCTAGAAAGTATGTTTCAGTCTCATTATAGCTATCTTTACAAATGTATTTGACTTGATGCATATGGTATTTATTGAGCTTGCCATTGTTGCCTAGCTTGAACTGAATATTATTGCAGTTTTAGTAAGACTCTGTTTATGATATTGACAAATTTTACATGCAGGAAAAGTTCACTTTATGGCTGACAACCACACTCTGGTTTGAAAGTAAAATCCTAGAAGAACATTTCTTTCTTCATTAAGATAATCATACATGATCAATGTACAAAAATCACATTGTTTAATACTATGAATTATACAATTACTTTTTTGAAGATTTTTCAAGGACAGAAAATGTCCTTTCAAATTCAAAGCATAAGTCTAATATATGTGTAGTATCCGAGCCCTAATGTCACTTTTTTTGTGGACACCCTGTATAAATTCTCATGTTTTTACAGATGGAAAGTTGCAGAAAGACTATCAGGCCAATGTTGTTGATATAGAGGACCTTGTCACACTTGGAGAAAAACACAAGTAAGCACAGGTTAAGTCAGGCAATAACTAATGAAAATATGTGAAATTACACTCCTGGTCAGCATCCCCCTTGTTACAGCTTACAACTGTGCTTAAATGTTCTGTTTAAACTGTAGTTCATACTTTTCAGTTTTTGTTGAAGTCCGTGAAAATGAATGTAAAAAAATACTTATATGTTTCCAGAGTTTGCCCATACTACATGGCCAGAGAGTTGAAGAAAGAAGCAGAGATTATATTCATGCCTTATAACTACTTACTTGATCCTAAGGTACATCCACATATCTACACTTTTGCTTGTAAAATAAGATTCAAAAGGCAGCATTTCAAGATGTTAGCTGGTATAGTATTGTGTTCAAAGAGATAATTGGTTCATGCATATACAGGGTGGTCCAAAGAATCATTTACACTTTTGATTGCGTAGCATTTTTATGTCCCCACACCACATAGTGTGGGGCCATATTGTCGGCCTAGGCGCGTCCGTCTGTCCGTCCGTCCGTCCGTCTGTCCGTCCGTACGTCCGGCAGTTTTCTCGAAAACCGCTACAGATATCACCTTCAAATTTTCAGGGATAACTTATGAGTGCATACAGATGTGGACGAAAAAATTTTAACTTAATACCTACTTCCTGTCGGCCATTTTGAAGTCAAATGCTAAAATCCTTGTCTGCAAACTTTAAGAAAAACTGCTTCACAGTTGCTTTTAAAACTTTAACATCTTGTTCAGCTCACTTCATTCTAGATCTGATTAGGTTTTGGACCTGCTAGCTCAGTCATGTCAGCCATTTTGAATGTCTTAAGAAAAGTTAGCGCGCGATAATACTTTGTATCATATTGAATGGTGTTTTTGAGTTTTCATACTTTAACTATTTAGTAGCTTTATAAATAATTTCAGATGTACTTTGCTGTAAAAGCCTACTTTATTGTTAACAGTAGTTATATGTGATAATTTTGTAAAAAGAAATCAGCAAAAACTCATAAGGACTTTTTTATTGTCGGCCATTTTGGATTTTTCGGTCCTAAAATCTTGTCTGTGAAGTCTTGTCTGCGCGTTTTCAGGTGAACTGTTTGGTGGATCAATTTCAAATTTTCAGGGATGATTCTTAGTATAAAAATCTAGATCTCATTAGTTTTTTGGCATTCTGGGTAAATGTCAAGGCAGCCATTTTGGATTTTCCATCCTAAAATCTTGTCTGTAAAGTCTTGTCTACTCGTTTTCAGGTGAACTGTTTGGTAGATCAATTTCAAATTTTCAGGAATGATTCTTAGTATGAAAATCTAGAACTGATTAGTTTTTTTGCATTCTGGGTAAATGTCAAGGCAGCCATTTTGGATTTTCCGTCTTAAAATCTTGCCTGTAAAGTCTTGTCTACGCGTTTTAAGGTGAACGGTTTGATAGATCAATTTCAAATTTTCAGGGATGATTCTTTGTATGAAAATCTACATCTGATTACTTTTTTTGCATTCTGCGTAAATGTTAAGGCAGCCATTTTGGATTTTCTGTCCTAAAATCTTGTCTGTAAAGTCTTGTCTACCCGTTTTCAGGTGAACCGTTTGGTAGATCAATTTCATATTTTCAGGGATGATTCTTAGTATGAAAATCTACAAACAGATTAGTTTTTTGACATTCTTGGTAAATGTCAAGGCAGCCATTTTGGATTTTCCATCCTGAAATCTTGTCTGTAAAGTCTTGTTTACATGTTTTCTGGTTAACTGTGTGACGGATCAATTTCAAATTTTCAGGGGTGCTTCTTAGTATCAAAATCTAGAACTGACTAAATTTTTGGCATTCTGGGTAAATTTTAAGGTGGCCACTTTGGATTTTCCGTCCTCAAATTGTGTTGGTAAAGTCTTGTCTACTCATTTTCAGGATAACCATTTCACGGGATCACCACTTGGTGGGGACATTTTGTACACATTTGTGTTCTTGTCTAACAATAGAAGGATTTCCCAATTGTTTTTCATAGACATGTCCTACAGACATGTACGTTTTGTGTTGTGTAAGTTTTATTATCATATACCGCCCTAATGTGAGTACAGATCATTAGATTGTAATGTTCTCAATCCAAGCTCTTTGCATTCACTGTACTGTCCCTGATCTCTGTTTTGATATTCTTAAGCACATCAATAGTCTGGTGAATGTTTACATAGATCCTGCTTTTAAAGTATCCAGACCAAAAAAACTTTATAGGGGATATGCAGCGCTTGCATTAGGTTAGAAAATTTGTGAGTCCCAAGGACGCAATTTTTAAAAAAAAAAAGTGTGTCCCCTATTTCTAGCCTGTTTTGAGGTATAACTTTATTTTAAAAGCAGTTTTTACCAAAACACCTTTCAGTTTTTTCGAGGTCTCTTCTGCCGAAGGCAGCGCAAAGTAGGAGCGTGCGGGAGACCTCGAACCATTGATCACGTTTGCTCCTGTAATTATTCCCTTCTTCACCTCTTTAAAATGTGATTTCAATCAGTTGATCAAATTTTCGGACTTTGACCTCTAATTCAAATATTAATATTTATTAAAAAAAATATTGACTCATTATTATATTTTTAAAATTCTTTCAAATAAAGTGAAATGAAGCCAAAATCAGCTAAAATTATGAAATGTCGTAAAATGGCGTGACTGGAATATGATGCAATCACCCGTGAAGTCAGACACGTATTGCCACATCAACAACTAAACAAACAATTAATATAGACTTCATTGATTGGTTTAAAGATTCTTCGCATCATTTGTGACGTCATAAACATGTTACCAACCAACAACTAAACAAATAACAAATAGGCATATTAGGTTCGTTCAGTGCCACGCTCTTGAATCAGTTATAAACAGGGATAATCAACAGATACATGAGAGGGTCAGGCATTTTTTCGACTTGGAGACCTCGACTCGGGGAGTTTGCTGCATTTTTGATTTCTTGCCGCGAATTTAAAACGGAAGTAAACGTTGAGTACGGACTGAATAAATGCATGTTCGTTCATTCGACAATGAATACATTTTATTTCATGAATAACCTCATATTTGTTTCTGAATAGGAAAAACTGTGGCGTGTCATGGTTTCAAATCTAAAAATAAACAGAGTCGAAAAAATTCGAGAGAATCATGATTATTTGTAAATATTCAACATGTTGAGCCTTATTTACGATTCAAATAAAGGTGAGAGATCATAATTATTTGTTTTTGTTAGGTACATTGTAAACACATTGTAGTATTGACCTAAAAAGATTTTGCGTCCAAAAAACGGAAATATTTTCAATTTTTGCATCCTCCAAATTATTTTTGAGTCCTTAACATGTACGGGACGCCGTTAATGCAAGCCCTGGGATATGTCTTGAGAATGTGCAGATCAAATGTGATCCATAAAATGGGAGATGTACTGGCGGAGGTATTCAAGTGAAACATTGGAGCAGTCTAATGTTGCTTCATCTTGCCGATAGATAACAGTATCAATGTCAACCCAATGCTTCTGCCCCAGTGCCAGAATGAATGACCAGTATGGTCCAGTATCACCATTAAGACCCAACTTTCACCAGTCAACTTCTCTACATCACATGTTTGATGCTGATGCTCAGAAGGCTAAACCTGAGTAGAAATGTGCATTTTCTATTTGTTGAAGGTCATTACAAACTTTAATGTGCAATTAACTATAGCGATTCAGCACCAAAGAGCTTGGATTGAGCACATCACAAACTATTGGCCCATGCTCATATATATCATAAGCAATCATAAGCAACAGTAAACAAAGATGAGGTAATTCATCATATTCAACACCTGTTTCCAGAAAACACGTACCCTTTAATTCTTGTCAAGATCAATTTTGAATATAGCAAGTATATGGAGTTGTTTGTTCTTAATATGCAATTTTGCATCTTTCTATGGCAGTATGGTGTATATGAATTGTGCAAATATATGCTGCATGTTCAGAATAATATTAAACAGTGTGTCAGAACTATGACTTCAAAAAACCCATTTTGCATAATCTATTCTACATAATTCCGTTGAATTTACAATCTTTCGAATACTGCAATTCTTTTTGTATTGATTTTGAAAAACAGTCTCGCCGGGCACATGGAATAGAACTTAGTGGAAATGTCATCATATTTGACGAGGCTCACAATCTGGAAAAGATCTGTGAAGAAAGTGCATCATTTGACTTAAAAGCTGGTGACCTTGCCATGGCTATAGAAGAATTGGGGAGTGTACTTGACAAAGCACTTGAACTAGCCAAAGAGGAGGATAACCAAGACATTGAGGGTGTACCCCCAACAAATTCAGGTAAGAACTTTACTGGTACTTCTATATACAGCGTATGTCTTATATTTGTGATTCTTTGATGAGATAATAAGTCATACTGTCTTTGGAATTGAATTGGTTTTATGATTACCAATGTTATAGACCATTTCTTATATTTTTGATTCATGAATGTTGCATGTTGCATCTATATGTATGACAGTCTTAAAATAACTGTTTTTTGCTTGTAGATGTAATACCAGATTTGCAACCAACAGAACTATACAGTGTAAAGGGTAAGATGTTCATTTACAGTAGGATGTTCACTTTTACTGGCATAGCCTCAACTAACCTTCATGTCACCTATAGCAATGTTCAGGCTTCAGTCTTTCAGTTTATACCTTATATCAGAAATTTGTTGTATTTTTGTGTTTTCTTTCTACATAAGCCATTGTTTTTCCCCTAAATGTGAACACTTCTCAGTGGGTACAGTTATAACATTGGTATTATCTTTAGACATGTCTATTGTTCTATTGTACATTGCAGCTATGATGCTGAAGCTAGAAGAAGCCATAGACCAGATTGAGATCAAAGACAAAACAGCTGGGCTAACCAAACCTGGCGTGTGAGTAGTGGTTGTAAAAAATATAATATAATATACGATCTTTCCAACGATATATTACACTGGTTAGTACCATATACCATTGGCTTTGGCTATAAATGGGGAGAGGGCTTATTAGACACCCTGTTATACTGCATGTTGGATATGGTCATCGTTTAAATCATGGTTTTTCATTTGCTTGGAAAATTTGGAAAATTGTTTTTTAGTATTTTTAATCAGCTTTTTGCAACTTTGTACCCTATGGTAACACAGTTTTCACATTACAATTGCAGCTATACTACATGGTAGCAATACTATCTTAAATTGATGATATTGTGTAACTTAGAAGTGTCACACCGACCTGAAGTCGACCCGAATCTCGTGTCGGAAAGCTCGGGTCAGGTCACCAACAACTACTTACCTATTTCGGGTCAGGTCAGAACACTCGGGAACATCGTAAATTATCGTAAAATGCTTTATATTTCCGGCAATAATTTCTAGCTGGAATATTTCTTGTATACGTATAAATTACGAACATAAAATAATTTACAGTTCTTCTCTACGATTTAATACTAAGCTTCTATCATTTTTCTTTTATCAAAGTATAATATGCAGTAATGCCTGCTTAAACAGTATTATAATGTGCCATGTATCACCCAGTCGTTTCAGTCCTAGAACTAAATTAATTTTTCTGTTTTTTCGTGACCCGACCAGAAATTACCCCGGCCCGGGAACTTTTTTTGTAGGGTCGACCCGAAGTATAACTTACCCGTGACACCTCTAGTATAACTGTTCTCACTCACATCCTTTACTTTCTATACATGGAATCAGATGTTATGTTGAAGTTTTATTCTGTGTACTTATTAGTTGTTACAACATATATAATATACAATAACATGTTAAATTATTAATTGTAGATATATGTTTGAGCTGTTTGGTACATTCACTTCATCCTATTCATAAAATCAGCAGTTATGTGAAAGTTTTATTTTATTTTATGTGTTTGTTAATTGTTGAAATAACATTATATATTATACCATGTTGAATTATTGATTGCAGATACATATTTGAGCTGTTTGGTACAGTAGAACTTACATATGAGAACAAGAACAGATACATCGAGGTCTTAGATAAAGCAATACAGCATTTAACAAATGATGGTAAGATTATACCAATTGAAAGAACTTACTGTAACTTGTGTTTCTATTTTCTCTCTTCGTTATCTATGTTGTGTTTGATACATATATAAATGATATTAATGCTAATTGTTGCATGGTATTATTTTTTTAACTCATGCCTATTACATAATGTTCAGCCAGACTTTTCATATAGATACAGTAGTCCTAAAATATGTTAGCCCCAAATAACATGAATAATATATATAACTATTCGCTATCCTGTATGTATTTCAGAGAGCAGTGGTTTCCAGAATAAAGGCCAGTCATTGTCTAAGTTCTGTGATGTCATAAAGATAGTGTTTAGTAGGGACCCTGATGAGGTGAAGACATATTCCATGGTCAACCATCAACACTCTGTTGCCAAACATTTCAAGGTAAATGTCAACATTTCTATATAATGACAGTAATTTGATGATATGTAACAGTGTTATGATTCCAACAAATAATGTAGTAAGTAATATACAAATGCCTTTGTACACAACTCTATCTATGTAGATGATTATAAGCACGCATTGTGTATTCATATTAATTCATCATTTTCCAAAATATTCCTGTTCTGAATTTTGATAGGTAAAATAGTATTCTACCATCTAATAACTTAAGGGAGACTTGTGACTTGTGCACCTCCTCACTTTTTTTATGTTTGCCATAATTTCCAGATCTACTCTTGTCATTTATATGCAATTTGCTTCTGTCCATCTAGGTGCACATCCAAGATGAAGTATCTGATGGGAAGAAGTCTGCTAGAATAGATGACTGGACAAAATCAACAAAATCACAGAAAAAAGGTATTGAGTGGGTATTCCAATTTATATGAATGAAGAATTTTTCAGCTCTCTGGTGATGCAAAAGCCATTCATTGCTACCCCAATAATTGTCTAAATTCTGATTTTTGAAGAATATGTTTGCGGAATCAACAGTTTACTGAAATAAATTAGAAGGTATTCTCAAATGATTACATAGGCCACTTTAAAACTTCAAAATGCCAACTTGGGCCCTTAATCACAAACATTGAATGTCATATTGTGTGAACTCACATTATATCATAGTTATTGTTAAATTACCATGAACTTTGAGATAAACCTTGAATTAAATGTTAGTTCTAAATAAAACGGTTGGATACATTTAAAGGCATTATATTTAAAAGTATGCATGATTCATGCATTATATATTAACATGGTATTTCAGGTCGCACCCTGAGCTACTGGTGTTTCAGTCCAGGACATACAATGGAAGATCTGAAGGCACACAATGTCAAGTCTATTATTCTCACCAGTGGCACACTGGCTCCTTTAGAGTCATTTAAGACAGAAATGAGAATGTGAGTAGACTTAAAAGGTCCTGCTCAGGTACAGGTGTTGGTGTACCAGCGTTAAATTAAAGGGTCTTACTCATGTAAGTTAAAGGGTCAGGCACCTGGATTAAATTAAATTGACATCTTTTATCTGAACCTCATTTGATTACAACAACAATGAAATTTATTTTCCAGCTTAAGATTTATGTTTTTCGGTATGGGAACAGATAATTAAGGAGTCTGATGGGACACAAATAATATTTAATGTTGAAATCTGTTTTGCAGCCAGTTTGATGTTCAGCTTGAGAATCCTCATGTAATTAAACAACACCAAGTGTATATAGGATCAGTATGTAAAGGCCCTGATGGGACACTTCTCAACTCCTCATATGAGACAAGGTTTACTACAAAATACCAGAACTCACTGGGTAACTCACTAGGTAAGTACTCAATACGCATTGAGGAGTACTATCTTGAACAGAAGATTAATAACAGATCATATTTTCATGATTTGTTGTAAAAATGGTTGTTGGGGTCAAGGGTCAAAGTAAGAGTTTCTTCGACTTTGTCGCATTCAACTGATGATTTGATTTGCTTTCAACATTTTATTTTTCATTCACTCTGTGTTCTTTATTGATATTATGATTTTCCTTGGTATCACTCAAACTCATTTGATTTCACATACATGTACATATCTAGCTTAATTTTGTAGTTAACTTTGCCAGAGTGGTTCCCAATGGTCTACTGGTGTTTTTTCCATCTTACCCCGTGATGAATGGATGTGTAAAACAATGGCAGGTTAGTGGAGCAATTAAAGTTTCTTTCTTAGTTATAATTGAAAAACTTTGTTATGATAAAATCTTCATCTGTTGTACATTATCTAGAATTGGATTGAAGATATTTAAATCTGATGTACATGTATAACACACATGTATGTGTTTAGAGCTTCTAATTGCTAAAGGCAGCAAAACAAGAGACTCTTGAAGATGGGATTACATCTTTTTCTTGTACATATACATTTACATGTATTTCAGCAAGGCGAAGGAAATATCTGGGGTCGCTTAACACAACATAAACCTATCTTCATCGAGCCTAGAGGGAAAGTAGACTTCCAAACTGCAATGGAGGAATTTTACGAGGCCATAAATGATGAGTCTAAGAATGGTGCTATATTTATTGCTGTGTGTAGAGGAAAAGTAAGTAATGTATTACAGGATTGCAGTTGGGAAAAGGAGTGTGACACTTATCAACTGAATATTTTTGGTCCAAGGAATTTAATACAAAAATATTTCACATTTTCATTGGTTTTCAAGAGGCACATTCTTCATTGGTGATTTTTAAATTTTCCTGAATCTGAGATAACATTGATAAACACTAGAACTTCCAGTGAATATACTCCAAAGCTGAATATATCCAAAGGACCTTATACACCCTCCATTGGGATCTCCCCATGGGAAAAAAATAATTCATCTGATTTTTCAAAATGAGTATTCTGCTTCAATTATTACATTTATATGCACACTAGTATCTTGTTGACCTATATTCAGCACTGTATTGCTGTATAGGCCACTTATTAGGGTCATAATTCAATCATGAAGTGTAGAGGCATAGATTCCAAACCAGGGAGTATTTTTGTGTCTGTCAAAATCCATTTACATCCTACGCATCCCTGCATCTTATCCATATATGTTACTACATAATGAAATATTATAGTATAATCTTTGGTTTTGCAAAATTGTATTATATTTGATAAGTGTAAAAGTTGTTTTTGGAGCATTTTTCTATAGCCATTTTGTAGGGGAAAAAATGATGAAAAAATGTACAATCTTTTAATTTTAAGTATGACCTGAATCGATTGCAAACTTCATATTTGCACATTTGATGAGATAAACCATTTGTGTCGTATTGTGAAATTATTAAGTTTGCAATCGATTCAGGTCATAGTGTATTTTTGGTATTTCTGTGATAATCAATGGAAACCAATGGCCTCTATTGGGATCTGCTGATATCCTCATGTTAAGTCAATGGTGCACAGCCCCATGTAAGTCAATACAACCTTACTGAACGAAATGATCCCTATCTCAGCTTATGTGTGTCCGAGCACTTTAATATTTTCCAAAGTATTATATGACATTTTATTCTTCATGTTACACCTACGAATGATTCATTTTGACCATAGGGATATTTGCCAATAATTGCACCTTGTCCTTCCAAAGATCTCTACTTGCCTCCAATTTCACTCATGTCTCTACTACTCTTTCCTCTCTCTTGATAATGTGTTGATTGTTTCTGATATATCTCTGCATACCCCAGTATAGAGAATGTCATTCTTCATCTCAGTTGGGAGAGGCAAATTCTGGACTTTTCTGATGAAGTTTTTGGTATGAGAAAGTTTACCGGATGAGTTGAGACATTTACGAATACATCTCATTGCTTGGTTTTTAAGAGACACACTCTTTGTATGTACAATTCTAAGTTGTTCCTTTTGTTCAGGTTCATTTTTGAATATTTCCTGCGACTTTATGTATATTTTCTGTGCACAGGAAAGGCAGCTTGTTGTTATGGCTACATTTATCAATACGATATGTGCACATTTCATATTTAAAAATGTGCAATATGTGCCTTTGCTTAATTTACAAACATCTAACAAAGCCCCATATTTGAGCATATGTTTTAAAATCTGTAAATCTACCTTTTTGCACTGTTCACCATTCAATACATTTTTCATCAGTATCTCCATTGGATATCTTCTTGAACCTATTTCACATTTCTGATTTGGATTAGCTCCTCTTTCAAGTAATTCTAACACAATGTTCTCTCTGGATCTCCATATAGCTGTTGTTAATATGGTTTCTATCCCTGGTGGGGCCATACTTGCTCCATTATCCAATAGCACTTGTACACAAGTTAATTTCCCTGACATGGCTGCCTCTCTCAGTGGCCAACCATAACATCCGTTTATATTCACTTCTTTTCCAAGTATGCATTTCACGATTTCTGCAAATCCTTTTTCACTGGCTACACATAATGGATCAATGTACAATCTAGGTTCAAAATCCAGATCAGATGTTTCAATGTATTTCAGTAATATTTTCACACATTCAATGTGATTTCCCTCTGCTGCAAAGTACAAAGCATGCTGGATCAAAAGGCTACACATATTTAAATTAGGGCTGTATTTCTTGAGAAGTTTCTTACAGTCTTGACTTGCATATTTAGCTGTCCATGTTAAGACTGGTTGATCTTCAAGATTGTCTTTAATTGACTGCCATTCCTCACTCATTCCTACATCCAGTAGTGTCTGTATACACTCTGTATTACCTGTAACTGCAGAATACAATAGTACAACTTGGTGCTTTCTTTTACCTGGATCAAGTTTTGCCCCATTCAGCAAGTGACACATGCAATCAGAATCACTGTGGATAATATATGGGAGTGTGCCAAGAAGATCCATTGCTTCTTCAAATTATTTTTGTCTTTAGCATGTATACGTTTGAACAATGTCCTGGTGCTTTGTTGTTTTAAGCTGCTACAGTCTCAGCACACTTCCTTTTTTTTCTTCGTTGTTACGCATCAATATTAAGTATTATTGTAATACTGATCTTATACAGTTATATCAATGTTTAAACTAGTTCTTTCAACAATGACCCAGAAGAAGATGCTGCATGTATTTGTTTGACGATTTGTCTTTGTACTTGATCAAATTTTCCTCTGTTGAATAGTATTTCATATAAAAGTATCCAACTTAAGTATCCTTAATGTTTTTCACAATTTCACTATTTTCACAACAAGTGCACAATGTACAATGCAAGTGCAAAATGCAGGACAGGAGCTCTCTATTATTTTTGTGTTATGGCTTCATGGAAGGATTAACATTTTGACAATTTGATATATGTATACATATTCTTGATAAGAAGTATATTGTATCAAAGATGCATGTATGTACATGAATACTTAAGATAGGGGCCTTATTACCCAAAGATTAAACAGGCAACAAAGTATACATTACATACATTGAGCATCATTTTTTGAATTGTCAGTATATTTTGCTCACATCACTGTGCTTTTACACATTTACATTATTTTTGCATTTTGCTGCTACTTTAATCTTAGCCTAGTTATTGTCATAAATGTACACTTTTGGCAACTTGCAATGATTAATAATGAAGTCAATATAGCTGTTAAAAATCATGTTATATACAGTTTGTCTTTTGTAATGCCATAAGTGTGGCGATTGAAGATGAATAAATATATTGATTAACTAGTGAACTCACTGATAATAAAAACAAACAAAAATATGTTATACAGTGGTATTGTGGATCATGAAACTCATCGCCTTATACTTGCCCTCTCCAGGTGAGTGAGGGTTTGGACTTTGCAGACATCAATGGACGTGCTGTTGTTATCACTGGCCTCCCATACCCCCCAATGATGGACCCTAAAGTCAAGCTGAAGATGCAATTTCTTGATGAAATGAAAATTAAAATGAAAGAGGTTTGTCTTGAAGCGATGATTCACCTTCTCATTCCTTATATGTATGTATGGAACTTCAATGTCTTAATACAGTGTCAGACGATTGTTTTTTCACTGTTTTTTTTTTGACAAAATTCATTCTTTTGAAATATTCCGGATGAAATATTGACTTTGTTCACAGTTTATAGAAGGACAGAATGCAGTCATGTTGGAATTCACTATATTGACCCATATCTCTTAATAACTCTGTGGTGAAGTAATGCAAATTTTAATGTATTACAATTGTTATTTTACATATAGGGTTTAACTGGCAGGGCTTGGTACAAACAGCAGGCCTCAAGAGCAGTCAACCAGGCTATAGGACGTGTTATAAGACATAGGCAGGACTATGGAGCCATACTTCTCTGTGATAACAGGTACAACTTACTAGTACTGTATTTAGCAGTACCAAGCAATAAACCCATTTCACTTTGATTCACCCTTATATATATAAATACAAACTTATCTAGAAGTCATGTAGGATCAAATATTTATGTTTTAGATTCTCCAATGCTGACAATGTTAATCAGCTCCCTCTATGGTTGCGTCCTAAAGTGACAAGTATTGGAAACTTTGGGCAGGCTGTAAGGGACCTCACTGAATTCTACAGGACTGCTGAGAAAACTGTTAGTATCAGTTTTATTCCCTGTTTCTTTTTAATTTCTAGGAATTTTGCATTTCAAGCAAGTTGCATATGTAGATTCACAACAGATGTTCAAACATATATTTACTCTGTCTAAAAGATTTCTCATTACTAAATTATATCTTGTGAACATTTCAAAGTTTGAAGATGGATGCTTTAGTTGGTGTTCATGAGCTAAATGGTGCCTGCTATACATTTTAGTGAATGTGGATTCTGGTCATGGCATCAAGGCCTATGTCTACATGTATTTATACATATACTGTACATGTACAATACATTGATGCAACCATTTTAGATGCCAGCCCCCAAACCAACCAGGAAGCGTATTGGGGCAGGTGACAAGGCATGCGAGACAGCATACTTTGAGCCCACAATCAACAGAGGTGCAGGTGTGAATGTGTTAGCTGCTAGCAGGATAGAGAATCATGTAAAGAGCCTCAAAAGAGTAGGTACGTATATGGACATGGATACATTAAGCACTTTATACACTGGAAAATGTCTTACAGCCAATACTACCTCTAGTTTGTATGTCTCATGCTCAGTTTCACAACTATCATTTGGTGAACATTTGATGAATATAATACAGTATTGAGATTGCATATCCTATAACTTATTTTTCCTGATGTAGATTTAATGATGATATGCTCCTTAGATTCAGCCGATGTGTCAATTACAAAGTTGAAGATTGCTTATGAAGGAGATGACACCAGTCCCACTGCTGCCCCTGTTAATCTGCTTGATGCTCTGGAGAGCACACAGGTACAGACGATAACATACAGTACAATCTGTTGAATCTGAATGCCACTGAAACAGGCCAAAAGTGTTCAGATTGACATGTGTTCAAATTACGAGATTTTTCAACATTGAAGAACATTGCAGATTAAAGAATGGGATGAAAAGAGTGTTCAATTTAGAGATGTTAAGATTAGAGAGGGGTTTGGATTAGAGGTGTGCACTGTTGGTAAATCACTTAATCGATCAACAAAATATTTTAATTGATTAATCATAGATTAATCATTCTAATATAAATGATAGAGATCTGACATAATTTCCCTACAATATTCTAATACTTTAGTAGTAGGCGATAATTCATTCGTTTGATTTGATTGCATACCTCTATTGAATAAAATATATCAATAAGATGTATGAGAAAACACAAAAACAACAAAGGTAAGCGTCTAGCTTAGGGTAACAGGCCCGTAAGACACTTTACTCCAAGGGGGGTGCGGTTTTTAGCTTACTAAAGAGAGTATTAAATTGTCATTTTTTGCCGCGTAAATCAAATCGCGTAAGACAGAGGGGGGGGGGGGGTCAGTTACTCCCTATATTGGTTTGGAATTAACAAATGCAACTTCCAAACGTTCCAATTGTTTTGTAGGGGGTATGAGGAGTGGTCCACTCCCCCTAGAAAATTTTACAGTTTTGAGATGTTATTTGGTGCTTTCAAAGTGTAAGTTTCTAAGTAGTACGCCACCACCACGGGAATAAGAGTTGAGTGAATAAAAAACCGAGCATTCAGGGGGTCTAGGGGTTCTCCCCCCAGGAAAATTTTGAAATTTGGTTGTATTTGGAGCGAATTTGCAACCATCTGGTACGCCTGTGCGTTATGAGTCAATAAGAAAAATGTGAATTTTTTTCAAATTCTTTTGGGGGTGTCAAAGAGGATGAAGTGGGGTGGGGTGCCAGTAGGGGAGCAAGGTTTTGTCCCCCAGAAACATTGACCATATCAAGGTGCTATTTGATGATGTCTGGGCACTTAAAAAATGTCTGAGACAATACATGAAATTCAGAATATTTTCTTTTGTTTTGTGGGGGATGTGAGAGGTGGCCAACTCTCCTAGAAAATTTTACAATTTAAAGATGATATTTGGTGCTTCTGGGCACTTTTAAAGTGTATTAGTCAATAAAAACATTGAAAAACAATCACAATTTTTTCAAATTTTGGGGGTGTCAAAGGGGGAGGGGTGCCAGAGGGGGAGGTGGGGCTGGGGTGCCAGAGGGGGGGGGGCAAGTGTTTGTCCTCCTTATCAAAATTTACAATATCAAGGTGCTTTTCGATGAAGTTTGGGCACTTTAAAAGTGTCTGTGCCTAAAAGTGCCTATTTCCCAAGAAAATTTTACAATTTTAAGATGCTATTTTGGTGCTTTCTGGGCACTTTCAATTCAAAGGGTATGAGTCAATAAAAAAATTTGAAAAATCTCAATTTTTATTTATTTTTTGGGGGGAGGGAGGGGGAGGTGGAGTGGGGATGCTAGAGGGCGAGTAAGTGTTAGTCTTCCAGAATCATTAACTTTATCAAGGAGCTATTTGATGATGTCTGGGCAATTTAAAAGTGTCTGAGACAATAAAACAAATTCAGAACTTTTCCAAAATTAAAGTAAATTAAAGAATTTGAGAAAATCAAAATTTTTTGGGGGGGATCAAGGGGGGGGGCCAGAGGGGGGGGGGGGGCGCCAGAGTGGGGGGGGGGGCGCCAGAGGGGGGGGGGTTATGCAAGTGCAAGATGCAAGAGGGGGAGCAAGTCCCCCAGAAACACTAACTATATCAAGGAGCTTTTTGATGATGTCTGGGCACTTTTAAAGTGTCTGAGACAAAACACTAAAATAAATTTAGAACTTTTCATCCATTGTTTTGTGGGGGGTGTGAGGGGTGGCCAATACCCCTAGAAAATTTTACAATTTTAAGATGCTATTTGGTGCTTTCTGGGTACTTTCAAAGTGTATGAGTCAATGAAAAAAAAATTACAAAAAAATAATCAAATTTTTTTTGTGGGGTGACAAAGGGGGGTGCGGTCGCACCCATCGCACCCCCCCCCCCCCATCTGACGGCCCTGGGTAATTAGCTTGTTTGGCAGTTTGAGTTTTAAGCTTGGCATGTCAACCTGAAATTAGGTCTCAATCAGTCAGTGACATCATGTAAGCTTACTCATGGCAGGATATTGAAGATTATCTTTTTGAGAATCAGTTAATTGAGTATTAAGAATCTTAATCGATTAAACTTGTGTCGATCAATTAATCGATGATCGATTAAAAATTTACACCTCTAGTTTGGATATACAGGTTTTACTGTATCATACCTTAATCCTAATTACACATGGAATGATAAATGGATAAATATGTTTGATGAATTTATGCAAGATCTCCTGCCGATTCATTAGATTTACAGAAAATGTAAACAGTTAGCCTTCATTAGATATGTATTTTTAGGTTTTACCAGTTTCACCTCTGGAAAGATGTCTCTCATTGCATAAATATCAAAAACATAAATGCGCCTTCAATTGCGACATCAATATACTTTAATACAAACCCTTTTTGAAAATATTAGAGCTTCAAAAGGATTACTCATATATATATTCCATGGTATTAATTGCCTTTTTGAAAAGTATACCTGTTGAAGACCCCTGTAACTACCATAATTTCTTACTTTCCATTTCAGAAACCCCTCATTGACACAATGTGTAGTCCAGAACCAGTAAAGGTACTCTAATCTTATTAACATATTTCTTTGTTTTGTCAAATTATTCCAGTAAAGTATCATTTACTGTTCGAATCATGTCAATAAATATGTGTATAAGTAAGGCATTTTATTTTGCGTTTCCTCAGAAAAATGAACACATCATCCAATATAAATTTTCATGAGATAGTAAATCTTTATTATTCTTCAGCCTACTTCTCATCAGCTTGCTCTTGAAAAGAAGAAACTAGATTTAAAGAGGGGAACTAAAAGAAAGCTGGTTGTTAAGGTAAATATTAGTCATCAATAAAGTTATGTATGTAACATAATACAATATCAATATAATAACCTATTTTAAATATGATCATTCACGTCAATGTGACAAAGTAGCGAAATTACAACCAATATGCATATAATGGGAGGCTTTAAAACTCAATGCTTTGGATTTAGTTTCATCCTTGAGCCCTCCCTCATAAAACATAAAAATTGTATATTTAATTGAATGATAGCACATTGTATTGAAATATGTTTTATGAGAGCATAAGGTTTATTCAAGCTGTACTAATCCCGAAGAATTTAGAACTATCCCCAAATTGAGATTTATTTCATTTCCTGTCAAACCATGATATTTTGAAGCCTCCCCTAATACTTATTGTTTTGTTCAATGATTATAGCCGAACAAACCCAAACAAGAGACGAAGATCCCAGAAGCAACACCTTCATCAGCACCATCTATCAATAAACATATGGCAGAAAGTATATCATACCTTGAAAAGGTAAATAATATTTTCGCATCAAGATCCAATTGAGCTTTAAAGGTTGAATATCAAAAGAAATCAATCAAATTTTGTTCACTATGATCATGGTCAAAGTAAGTGAAGCTTGATCAAGTTGTACAACAGATAATGCACATTGTACACATTGTGAATACTAAATAGATGCATTGTACATGTACATTGTAGGTGAAGTTAGTGTTGAGTGGTGCATCATATAAGATGTTCTCTGGTGCAATGTTAGCATACAAGCAAAAAGAAGACTTCACCAATCTGGTCACAGTCCTTGCTGAACTGTTCACTGAAGACAAGAGACATGAACACTTATTCAGAGGTGATATTGAGGAGGAAGGGGGAATTGAATTGAGCACTTTAATTTAGATGATCGGATTTTCAGACTGCTGCTTTTAGCATATGTCTATTGTATATGAACATATTATTTAGGGGAGGATTTTAATATTGAGGCCTCTTAAGTTGAAATTTTAAATACAGACTTATAGTAATTGGATCTATATGAACATTGAACAGTGACACCCATCTCACAACATGTTGTAATCAACAACAATAACACAATAGTTGATTAATAAAATTCAGATATTCAGATTCCAGAGGGCCAGGATCAATTACAAATCTTAGTTCTAATGACATGAATTCAATTACCGTTGTTAATATTTTGTCTCACTATGTTTACCTTAGATCAGGAAATTGTTAACTTCATTTGTAAACATGTACTTGAAGAATGTACAGGAAAACCAATTCTAATGTTTTCCTTAAGTACATAACTTCCTGCTTTCCAGGGAATGTGTAATGTCATGAGATAATGATGTTGATTTAAAAAAAAGTGTCACATATTGTCTTCCATTGTTATAATTTTCCTGTCTGTTACAATTCACTTCAATATTCCAAAATATTTTTCAGGGTTCTACAAGTATGTCAAGCCAAAACACAAGAAAGAATTTGATCAAATGTGCAAAGATATCACTGGGTTGGATTGTGACTATAAACCAGAGCACAGTTTGTCTAAGCAGCACAGGACTGTACCAAGCAAACAACGTACAATTACACCTAGCTTCCCATTGGGGAACAAGTCTGGTGCAATAGCTGAAGTGATCAAAAGGAGGAAACTGGCCCCAGTTGCCTCAGGGTTCATTGATAAGGGAACACTGCTTGGTCAACCTAAAGATAACATGAACACTGTAAGTGTATTGCACTAGATTAGTATATGATATGACATGAGAGTCTTCCTGCTTCTAAAATGGATATTGCATGATTGATACAAATCTGTATACTGTCATTGTGTAATGTAAGTATATATATTCAGGCACATACAAGGGTTGTTCAATGAATACAGGTAAGATATCACTGGGTTGAACATTCACATTCCAATAATACAGCCAACAGTGTAGAGTCTACAGTTGATGTATCAAAAAATGTAAAAACTGCAACAAATCCTGCTTCCAATTCACATGACATTAGTGACCCAGTGATATCTGGACAAGAACAACAAGGGTTGTTCAATGAATACAGGTGCATACAAGGGTTGTTCAATGAATACTGCAATGTAGTAGAAATGCTCCCATGTAGTTATCCTTGAGCCACTCAGGATGTACATTTGTTGTGTATTATGACTGCTCTCCCTCTGAGAATGTTCATACAGTTTGTATACTAATCAATTAACAGATTCAAACATGGGAGCCTTGAGCTCAAAAGACAAAGGCAGCTCGATATCATACCGCTGACTAATCATATCCCTCTTGCTTGATTCCTGTATGCTCTTATTTAGGTACAGCCAGCTACATAGTCATTTTGGAAAAATCTCCCATCAGAGTATTGTTTTCTTCAGACACAGTATGGCCAGATATGAATGTTAAACTTTTGACAGGCTCTTTGCATTACAATGTACAATTCAATAAGGAAATATGTATACATGTAATGTTGTTGTTTTTTTCATTTTAGAAAGCAAGTTCAAAGACCACAGCAGTATGTGATGACATTCCTCTCAGTTCATCTAGTGAGCTCATCTTCAAGATGCCCCACACAAGCTCACCACCACATAATAGCAATAAAATAAACCACACTCAAATGACTGGTGCATCTTCACATTCCAATAATACAGCCGACAGTGTAGAATCCACAATTGATGGACCAGAAAATATAAAAACTACAACAAATCCTGCTTCCAATTCACATGACATTAGTGACTCCATAAGGCTAAATGGCAAAATTGTGCAAATGGACAAGAACTTAGAAGCTATAACTTCTTCTGGATATTTGGAAAAGAAACAAGACAATTCTGCTGATGTCTCTATAGATCTAGATATAAGCTTGCCACAGACTAAACCTCTAGCAAATAAAAAAGATATCACTATTAATATCAAAGTCCACAGTCAAACTGGTTGTGCTAATAATGTTGATGGCGATAGCTCAAAGAAATCATCAGTCAAACCTAAAGATGACTCTAAACCTCAGAAAACAACAGGTAAGCGATACCTCCACATGTTGTATTTTTATTGATACCAACGAGGCAATAACTCATAACAATAAACCAATTTACCCATAAAGCAGGTTCATATACATGTATGTTCTTTCAACTGTGAAATAGACTTTAATTCAGCTGGAACTATCTAGAATCACACTCATGGCAAATATTTATGTATCTGTGTTTTAGGCTATACTTGTGGCAGATGTAAACAAGATGCAAAAGTTCCCTGTAAAGCTCTTTGTGAACATGTATGCTGTATCACTTGCTGGAAGGACATTTGTCAAGTAAGTGGTAGTTGCTTTAATGAAACATTAAAATATTACTATTTTAATTCCATTGATTTTACGTATTTTTTCAGATTTAGATTTTCATAATTTCAGCTGTACCTGTGGACTTATAACTGCTAAATGAAGTCCAGTAATAGTGCATTTGTAGTTTGTTGTTTTGTTGAATTTATAGATAAGTTTATATAAGGCTTAATTTTGATATATCGGTTTTTTGATTTGATAAAAATATTGATGTCTGTCAAAGATTTTAACAGAAGCCTGAAAACAAATTTCAGACATTGATAAAATGCACTCAAACTTGGAACTTCAATTAGCATCATAAAATAGCCTTGAAAACCATTATTTAACATGTTTCTTTGACAGACACTGATGTTTTTGATATTGCCCATCAACGCTGCAATAATTAATTCAAATGAACTCAAGGACATCATAACATGATACAGAGAAACCTGTTACATGTAAACATTTCAACCTTTGACCACCACATGCACTGCTACCCACCTAGTTACACAGACGTATCGTCAGTGTATCATGGCTGAACTACTTCCGGGATTTGAATTTGGTAAGATATTTTTATTTCTCGATCTACACCTACTTATAAGTTACGATGTGGATTATAATTTGGCTCGAAGTTATGGGAGATAGTCTAGTTTGAGAATGTGTCGATGGTTTTAGGTTTGGTATGTTAACGAAGACGCATTTCACATATTTAGTCCCTCGCTTTTGTTACACTGACGATCGGCATTAATATTGCCAATATTACACTGATATTGGTTGTACGTCAGTGTAACAAAAGTGAGGGACTAAATACGTGAATTGTGTCTTCGTTAACATATAAAACCTAAAACCATCGACACATTCTCAAACTAGACTATCTTCCTTAACTTCGAGCCAAATTATTATCCACAACGTGACTTATAAGTAGGTGTAAATCGGGAAATAAAAAAATCTTATCGAAACCTAGTCACGGAAGTAGTTCCGCCATGATACACTGACGATACATATCCTTGTGATATGTAATAAAATGAAATTGAACAATTGTAAAGGAAAAAGTTCATTAATTTGCCATAAAACAAACAAAAAACATCAAAACATATATTTCTTTCCTTGTGATATCAGAATATAGTAACTCTTCAAAAAGAAATTTCACAGAAAAAAAATATTGTAATAATATACCACTTGAATTTCAAACTTTCAACATTTCACTTTTTTCATAACTGATCAAAACTTCAATTGCTCCCATGAAGCCATTTACACTCACACAGTTTTTGCTCAAAGACCATGTAAATACTGAACACTTTCAATTGTTAAATAAAAGAGCCAATCAATATTTGGGTTCAGTAATCTAAACTTTTACATAATATTGCCTTAAGGTATTAGACTTTAGAGGAGAACTGATCACTTTATAGAAGTGTTAACATTTACAGGTTTCAGTGTAGTTGGTCTAACAACAAGTCATGTTTTGTAGGGGGATAAGCTGTGTCCTGTCTGCAGTTCACCTGTGAGGAAGAGACATTTAGAAAGAATATATTTCCCCCATGGACCAAATAAACAAAATTCTTGATGGACATTTTACAGTTGAAAAGCAATATTTAATTTATTTATAATAGCCAATTGCATGCTAAATTCTTCACTGCAGTGCATGATGATAGACATTATTTTTATAAAACTATTCAAAATTATGGAAAGCAGTGCTGCTATTACAAAAATGGAATTCATAAAACTGACTGAATATTTTTTTTTTTTAAATAAATGATAAAAACAAATTTACAACTGTTTTTACTTTTACTAAGAGTCTCATCAGTTGAAATATCAATGATGATTTTGAAAATATTTCATCATTTAATAAAGATGTCACTTGTAGTTTGAATTTGCTCAGTCCAAGGAGGATCGAAACTTGATATTTTCCACCAATGAAAACGTTGAAATGTCGTTATTTTCTGAAATTATAACCGTCTATAAATTCAAAATAAACAGTTCAAAGGATTCAAACCAATATCTCGATCATTTCTTGTGAGTTTTGAGGTTCAAATGTTGAAGTGAACAAAATGGCGGCTGTTTGAATTTGAATTTTGTATAACGACATGCCTATGTATTGGACAGAATATCGATCTTGCACTCTGGGAGCCAATCCTCCTTGAGCTCAGTTTGAAAATGGTAATATGGTTTGAGACCAGAACACACAAATTGGATTCATTCCAATTTAATTCCACTATCCTCAAATTAGGAACTCAATATAAAATTCAACATTATAAACGTTTCACGAAGTGCAATGTTACACACATACTGGTATACTTTGCAATTCCTGCAATGTCAATGAAGGAGACAGATGTCACAAATACTAGCATCTACAAAAAGGTCCTTCCAAAAAGGTTATCTGATCAAACAATGCACTCAATACAAGTTAATAACACAAATGCGAGTAGGTAGTTACCAGTTTCACCACTAGGTGGCTCATTCGCGTCAGATAGCATGGCGGGTATAGTAGAAAGTTCCCTTAACTGAAATTACATCTGTTTTAGTTGTTAAATTTTTCATATAACCCTTATGTATCTAATTGTTGTGCAAATTAAAATATGTCCATTAAAAGAAAATGTTATCTGTCCAATACAAGAAAAGATATTTCACTTTTTGTGATTTTGTTACATGGAGTTTATGGGGAATCTCCCCGAACTAGAAGTCACATTTTTAAAAAAAATTAAATTTTCAAATGCTTGCACAAAAAAAATTGGGCCCCTCAAACCAAGTGAAAATTTAAGGCCCATTTTCTAAATAATCTGGCCCCTTAAGGCTCTACCAAGGGGGGGGGGCTGGGCCCGGGCCCGGGCCCCCAGACCCGCCAGTGTTTGTAGATGTAATTTTACATGTAGATTTCAAATATGACATCACTTTGACTGAATTTTGATTATTTAATGATGTAAATTAAGATTATTTCTTCTCGCATCTAGTCTATTACAGCAAATATCAATTGTAAGAGAAGAAAAGTTAGTAAATGAGTAAATATTACAGTTTAAAAAAGAGCTTGCATATTAAATGAATAAACTGCCTTTTAACACTTCACAAACACCATGCCTTTTAAAAAGTATAAGGTGTGCATGGCACTGTATGCCCCTCTTATAGTTTTCACTTACTAGACAAGGAATTTTATCAAGCTTTAGTATTTACAGAAAAGAAGGAGTGTATCAAAGTCTATTGATGCTGCAAATTACAGGCTGTTGTGCTTTTTTTAAAGATCTGGGGTACATAGGGTCATAATAAGACTTTGACTCTTTTAAGTCATGTCTTCTACTCCTCCTCCCTTTAAAACCTAATTTCAAAAGGTTTAAACATTACATTGTTCTTTAATGGCTACCTGAAGCTTGAGTGAATCGGCTGAAGAAATAGACAATCAGATTCCAATGTTTTAGCCATAGAGGGTAAGAACTGTGTCTGGGCTAAGTTCGATATTTTGCCAAAGAATATCTTTGATTATGTACAGGATCACATGGTAAGCACTGTCTGGATATATTGCAGTATAAATAGTTAGTTTAATTATTGGAATAGACTTTGATTAAGATAAAGTATTTTATCACATTAGCCAATAATGAGATTACAGCAATGAAATAAATGTTTGTGATAGGGGCACGTATCAAATTGTCAAATTGGTCTGGATAAGATAAACAAACAAACAAACAAGTGTTAAACTAACTGATATCACAATTTCACTGGCAACTTTTAACTTTTCTCTACTCTTTTTCAATTTCAGTATCAAGGACATTAAATGAATACTCTTGATTTTCAATTTTATTAATAGAAATACAGTTTCAAGTTTGACTCATTTATAGGGTTTATTTTGTTGTAGTTCAAAAATGCTTGTGATATACATAACAACTCAGAAATTGTGTATTTATGTAAGTACTTAACATTACATATTTTACTGCACTGATACAAAAGATCATTTGATGTTTCCGCATACAGGTGTATTGATGGAAATAGTGACATATAGATAAAGAGCTCATATATTTAGAATGGGTGGATTGCATGTGTCTTTAACATGTTAGTCACAGGTCAGGGGATAAATTCCTGACCTATATCTCAACTACACAAAATAGTCCTGGGATTATATCACTTTATTTTTCTAACCAAAGTTCAGATCTCATTAAGATTGAGCAGTTAACACAAGATGCATATCAGTATCCTATTACCAGCAAAAAATTCAAATTTTCTTTGCTTATTTACCCCTCTGTATCTTTGTTTCATATTCAAGGAGTAACTTTCACTTAACTCTGTCACAGTACATGTATATATTTTATATGAGGGTTGAGGAATTTTCAAATTGAATTATTTTGAACAATTCTTTTGAATTAAGTTGTTTTCATGTTCATATTTCAATGTTGTGTGTATAATTGACTGAGTTTGAACTTAAACTAATAATTTGACTTTAGAATTTTTTCAAGGGGAGTATTTTGCATTTTTAGGTTATTATTTTGTTGTAAACAGTATATAGCCTCTTTATTAATTTATACAGTATTAGCTTTTACATATATTTTAAACATACATCTTTTTAAAGAATGAAGCAGTTGACCTTTACATGAATTGAAACAGTTTTGTTTGTATTGTGTATTTAAGTCTGATTTACTCTAATCACCATTTTGGCCAGGACATGACCCAATGGAGAGATATGTGATTAAAACCCACACATGTAAATGTTGCTATATACATAATGATGCAACAGATGATCCCAATATCTACAGCAAGAACAATGGCAATTTATTTATGGTATGTACTTTTATGTACAGTTGTTGATGGTGGGTATAATGGGTACCCGTATTTATACTCTTGAAATCTCCTGAAAATGGTTATAATAAAACTCTCTAAAATGCTCAGGTTACACCCCATTCTTCCAAATATTGATTTTCAGATTCAAGCAGACAACATAATTTGAATCCCCAGAAATCCTCAAATTATTTCAAATGCTGGTTTTCATATAAGGTAATTTAAAAATTTGGTTTGAAATTGAACCAGCATAGTAGTGATAGCAAAGAGCAAGCTGCTATAGAGAAATTTAGAAAAACACAAGCCTTTTCAAATATGGTATTTGCATATTGAGGTTTCTTGGACTCTGTGGGAGGGGGGTCTTTTTAATTGAAAAGGCAGGCCATAGACAAGAACCATGTGCTCTACTTGCTACATGCAACTGACACCTCAGATTTTCAACAAAATGGCTTGTTGTACACTCCCATCCAAATTTTGGGTAAACCCAACTCCTCTATTGGAGCACTTGTAAAAGTCTGTTAATTCATGGCAATTCAAAAGGATCATCAGATTTTTCATATATAGCCAGAAAAATTCAAACCTGAACAGGCGTTAAACTGTGCTTTCCAATGGGAAGGCAGAGTTGCCAAATGTTTGGAGGGGAGTGTATTTCCATATACAATAGAATACTCCCATAGAACAGCACACTGGTCCAATAATTCAACACACTGGTCCAATGATTCTTGCCTAGAATGGGAATGGAATAATTCAGATGTCAATACAATTACACTGGATGCCACACAGATGCTAACAAAAATCAAGAACTCTCAATTCCCATTGGATAACAAATTACTTACACTATAAGGTAATCAGAGAACATCTAGTAATTTGATGGACTATTTATTTCTATATGTAACTGACTCTAAAGATAAGGTTGGATTTGGTCAATTCACTAAGTAAACTCTAGGAGTCTGTAAATGATATGTGAGTACTAGGATACATATCTTTCATCACTTTCAACTCCAGTCTGGGTTTAAACATGCTAAAAGAGAGAAAATATAAACTATAGAAAACTGACTCAAGGGTTAGGTTAGACACACAGACCTGATTAACAATAACTGATATATTTTCATAATCTATTCCAGAGTATATGCTGGGATAAGATAGCTGGGATTTAATAAAGAGCTTTCTTCCAAGTTGGAGTTTGGATACTGTATAAATAGCCAAAAGAAAAGCACATCAGGCAGTTTACGAGACAATATACTATTGGTAAGTTGAAATTATGTATTATCTCGATAAATATATTGACATGTCGGGGCGAGAAATATTTATTTACTAGTTTTTCTATTCTCTGAAATAATACAATGTCTTTTTATCTGAATTTTAAAAAAACCCAATAAATCCTGTAAATAATTCTCATGACATACTCTCAATAAGAGAATATACATGTGGGCCCTTGATTAAAACTGGAAATAATTTTATTACAGTGATTTTTCTTTTCGCAATGGTTTTATTATTTGACAAATGTTGATGTTTATAGATTAATTGCTACAGAAATCTTTACACGCATTCATATGTTTCTGCCATTTTGATTAATTGGGCCCTCCATTGGATTGTGATATATCTTGAAATGATGCCATTAGTTTGTACTTACGTGCCGAAAAATATTAGCGAACATGCCTAATACTAGACAGCTAGCATAGAATAAAATTAATTCTTAGCTCGATACTTAAATTAACATCAAAGAAAGATCTCAAGATTTCTATTTTCAGTGTGCGTAGGATTGTGAAATAATATTAAAGTTCTGTCTGTATTTGAAAGGGTTTCTTCATGGGAGATTTTTACAGGATACATGTAAACTTTCGCACCTCATCATAAAGTAAAACTGCAATTTATCATCTGTATGGCATGTATACTTATATTTAGTGTATTTTGGGCCTCAATACATATTTGTCAAATTGTGTATGGTATGTGGCCAAACAAAAGCCAGCCAGGAAAGACATAAAATTGTTTTCAGGTTCCGAATAGATTATAGCTTACCACTTGATTGACAATAATGTGAGGGTGAGAATATCTGCCCAAGGCAAATCCTTGTCTTGCGTTTTATTGGTTGCTGTGTCATAGTTCTACTTTGAGTTGTTTTTCAATATTTTAATCATAGAGCAAACTATGCAATATACACTCTGAAACAAAGGTACAGAGAATTCAATTCGAGTGCACTGTACTTTAATTTATGGATGTCTAAGGACTAGGCTGCTATTGTGAACCCATGGACCACTGGTAAACCATACCAGTGATAGATAAGAGATGGTTTGGTAAGTCAGAATATATGGACTAATTGTTATTTCAATTTATCAGTGTAGAGATTCTGAAAATTGAACCTGAAGACCAGGATGCTGTAAAATATATAACTTCTTTCAGGATTTCTCTATTATTTGCCAGCAGGGTATAACAACTAAAATATACAAAAATGAAAACTCACGCGTAAGTACTGTATGGATCTATTCCGATTTAGAGAATTTGAAAGAGGTGATATATTACAGAACGTCATACAGGAATCTCTGTAGCTTTGTCGGCAGGTTAGTATCTTCTGCTTGTTAACTCAGCTCAAAGCTACGGTTGACAAGGAAACAAGCAAAAGTGAAATAGAATTTTTATTAGGTTTTGAAGTACACACTGAGTCATAGAGGCCATTAGGGCAACAATAGGTGGTGATTAGGCAGTCGTTAAATCATGATTTAGATGTGAGCTTATGGACCAGGGGAATAAATGAAGGAAGGTGAGGAGCTTTAAGTTATAAACATTTCTTCTCTTGTCACCTTTGTGTTAATAGATTTCTTATTGCTCTTTGTAATTTAAAGGAACGGATCCTTAAAGGGATCAGACACAAGTATTTGGCAAATTGTTTTGAAGAAAAAAGTTGATGTGTAACATTTGAAAATGTCATTATTAAAAAATTCTAGTGCTAGGTGTTCAAGGACTTCTAATACAATAAACACCATTATTTAGAAAATGAGTGCTCTAACATCTTTATAGCAAATGAAAAAGTCAGATTTAAAAACAACAATTTACCAGTTAACCAATGTTTTGTGGAGAGAGGATGTTATCCTCTATAATCAATTTAGCAAGTAATTTACTTCATAGATTTGAACAAATTAAATGTACTATAACAATTTATGAGAATTATTTAGATGAAAAACTTAATTCTATTGACAATTGTGGATATATTATTTTTTCAAATATCACAATTAATCAAAATGATAGGTCCCCTAAGATAATATTTATTTCCTCGTGAAATGTACTTTGCTGCCATTGGGGAAAAGATAAGTTCTAAATAAATAAATAGCATATGTCTGAGTTGTTCCATTGTGGCTCATCTGAGGGCATCTTAGTCTTGCTACAAATATTGCTGAAATCAATTTTCTGAGGCAAATAGGCTATATGGTTCTCATCATACGTTGATAAGAAAATGAGTTGGAGTTACATCGCTATTTAATTGATATATATTCATGTTTTTTTTATTTAACAGCCTTGCTTCAATTCTGTCATGTATCATATATGTATGTATCTTTGCATATATAGCATATTCATTTTATGAGGACAAATTAGGTTATTTGTTTAGTAATGCTTTAGTCGGGTAACAAGATATATACAAGATTCTTAACATATACATTTTTTTAATTTGCTAGTACTTATTAGGCTTCCTCTTTTGTTTTGTATTGACCTTAGAGGACTCAAAAAGCACATATTATATTATTATCTCAATGCCTTTTTCTGGAAAACTTGACAAGTCAAGATTTATGTATGAGCGGCTGAGATAATTCAGAGAGGCCTCTAAATGGCTTGTGAAGACCAGACAATTTTTTGTGACATAACAGCCTAATTCTTTCTATTTCTTCAAAGTATTTCGCTATCTAAGAAAATCAAATATCATAGCTAGACATCCAATATGATGTAGACCGCAGTAAAATATATTTAATGCCTGACTCCACAGTTATCAGGGCTGTAATCAAGCTGCGATCAAAGCAACTCAAGTCAAGTCTAATAACGAAAAAACTCCTTTTCATAACCAAGTGAGGATTTGGCCATATCTTGTAATTTTGTGGCCCTATGTTAGAATGGTAATTTTATTTATGACTTTCCCTTGGGGATCTTAGCATCTAACAAGTGAAATTATACAGGAAAGGTCAAAAGTAATTTAATGGTTCATTGTGGAAATTATTTCTCTTCTAAAGCAATTTTGTTTCACATGAGGTGGCCAGAACATAGATCTTATCATAGAGTCCATGTGAAGGCAAGTTATGAAGACAAGTTGTGAATGCTGTACATTGTAAGGCCTAGGGGCAAGAAGTCAGCGAAAAGTATCAATTTTGATGTTGTTGTTGTTTGGTGAAAATAAAAGTGAATTGAAGAAGTCAAAAGATATTTTATTTCAGACTTCCTCTGTGATCAGTCACGCTTGATAATCAGTGACCAAAAATCTTAGTGTCAGTACAAATAAGAGAAAATATTTGTTAACCAGGTTTGAAAAAAGTACATGTAGTTATACCATTTTACAGATCACATTTTAAATGTTAAAAATAAATTAATTAATGCTAGAATATCTAATAAAGGTAGAACATAAGTGTTGCATTATGGTTTTTGTGAAATCCAATAAGAACAGAAATATTCAGCAATTTGCAATCTTGGCTATAAGGATGACGTGCACGTACATGTCACGCTGATCTCATCTGTTATAGATTGTTTCATGTATAAGCAACTTCCTTAGAACTCATCTGTGCATATAATAATGCTAACTAACTAATGAATAATATATAAGTCAATTTGTAATTATGGGCAATATAACATTGTATATTAATTATGGAATAGTTAATTAGATTCTTATACACAAGAGGTACTGTTTATGGTATGTATGATTAGTGAGATAAATTCGGAGATATCATGTCTTCCCTCAGGATGTACCCCATGATATGCCAAACCTCCCATAGGATCAATATTTATAGAATTTATGTAAAATGGAAGTTTGAATGTTTCTCTTCTTAAGAGTCCTTTATAACCACCTCTTCTTTCCCTGGTCCTGTATTCCTTAAATGGCAAAAAGGCTTAATCTTTTTAAGTATCTTTTTAAAGCATGCTTTATTAGACAAGGACAGTCACTGCTGTGCTTCAACAAATTAAATTGGACATATACAATAGCAATGAGAATGTTAAGTCTTAGAGATTCAGTGATCATTCACAGCCGAAGATGAGCAATTCATAAGCTAAATAGTTGCTGTTTTACGTATTATTAACTGCCACTGTTACACCTCAAGTTTTGTTTGAAGGATTGTTGTTTGAATGCCAGGAGGAACAAGCCATATTCAGTGAACCATGAGAATTCCTGATATGCAAGGCAGATTTATGAAATCAAGAATCCTATTTTGGGTGGAACGTTTAGAGTGCAGTAATAATGAAGAGTAAAGAGCATTATGTAAGAGAGAGGGAGTTGTAAATTATTCTACCATTGGTGGCCTTTAGCTGGCTGCAATCTGAAATAACACAGTGCAAATTGGCAAATTAGTAGTTTCTTAAATTACTCAACATGATTTATCTAGTTTTCATGCCTTGAATTCTATTGCTGCTCACTTTCAGAGGGTATCTTAGAATGTTGAATAATTGGGACCTCACAAGTGTTCACTTTAGAGAAGTGTTCGCAATGGAGAAGTGTAACAATAGAAAGGTGTAATAGAACACTACAAAAATATGCATAACAGAAATGTGTTTCATGTAGACACATGTTCACATGTCATCCATATTGAGAAGGGTCTCTATTAAAGAAAAATTAAAAATATGTTCATAATAGATATGTGTCGACTTAAGACATTCATATCCATAGATACATTATATAAATAAGAAATGTTCATTTTAGAAAGGTGTTTAACTTTTCATTTTAATCTACTGACTATAGAAAGTGTTCACCATACGAAATTGTTCATGTTAGAAAGATGTTCACTATAGAAAAAGTATTCAATATAGAAATGTGTTCACTTTCAGAAAGGTAATCACTGGAGAATTGTTCACTCAGATGGTTTTACTGTATATTCATTCTTACTAGAAATGCCTCCTCTCACACATGTGTCAGTAATTGGCATCACTGCTTAGAACTATTACAGAGATTTAGAGGACATTTAATGCTCACTTTGTTTAGAAAATAGTATGTTTGTATGTTTTATACCCATGTTATGTTGTCTTGTTTCAAATCAGTCCCATCGCCTGTAATGTATTTCAAC